GTCAATACGCATTTAATTTATATGTTGTGTGTATAATATACAGTATTCTTACAATAAGCTGTAGAGAAGAAAACCTTACCAAGAAAAGCATAAGGAAGAGAAAATACTTTGTGAGTTTTATATTGAGAGGACTCCATGGCCCAGTTTCCCTTCTCTGGGTGGCAGTGCCTTGAGTAGAATCCTGTTTGCTGTCTCCCCAGCATGGCGTTGGACACAGAGTGGTGTAAGGGAAAGAGCAGACCTGTGTTTGTATCCCAACTTGGATAGTAAGTCCTGGTTGGCTTTGAACAAGTCTTTACTATCTTTCGCCTATGTTTCCTCTTTTTCTAAATAAGGGCATTAGATTTCAGTAAAGTCTGAGTTCCTTTCTCAAAATTCCATCATCTACTGGCTGCTTATCTTAAAGACAACCTTGCACTAAGATAACCAACATGGAAGATGGATTATTTCACAAAAAGGTACAAAGGCATACACTTATCTTTAACTCTCTTTGTATTCTTTTGTTTTCTACCTTTGACTTTATTAAGTCACCAGTGAGCTGATCACTGCATTTGCAAAGTGAGTTCCTGGAACCCGAAACTCTAGGAGGTAGTAACTATGTTTTACCCACAAAGTTCCAGCCACTAAACCATTTCTCTCTCTCTCTGAGGGTTTTGCATGGTCTCTTTCTGCTTACTAGCTTCCCTGGAGGTACCCTTGGCATCCCTTTGAGGGACCCTCATTGGGGGGTGGATAACAGGCTACATCCATGGAAACCAACTGGTTTGCATGGCCCACAGGGGTTGGAACCTTTGACATTAGCCTAATTAACTGTTCTTTACCCACTGATCTACCAGTCCAGGGACACTAAAAGAGAAGCAACAGGATTTAACACCTGCTTCTCTGCAAGCCCCCCAATTTGCTCCCCCCAATCCTCACACACACACAAAGTGGGTGCATGTAAACAGTGACTCCCTATCCGACTCTTGCCTTTAATTCCTAGGAGGTGAAAGATAATTTATTTCTGAGTACACAGTGTGAATGCCCTTAATGCCAGTGAACACTTCAAAATGGTTAAAATGGTAAATTTTATATTTATATATATTTTACTCCAACTCAAAAATAATTTCCTAATCTGGGAGGAGAGACACGTAGCATGGGGCTAGAAATAAGGAGAGATTTCACAAAACACTCCATGGCTTACATGTCTGAATGATGCTTTCCTGGTTCAGAAAATCTTCAGAGGCCCCCTCAGTAATTGCCTTCCCAGTCTTCAGCATATACATAATCCTCTCTTTGTGTGCCAGTGTCTCCAAGCACTACCATTAAAGGCCCTTTTGTATTTAATTATTTGTTTACAGATCTATTTCCTTCCTCCTTGAAAACAGTGTCTGGCACACTGGTGTTCAATAAGTGTTTCATGCATAATGAATGACCACATCAGCGATGTAAAGTCCTACTCTCCTAGCGTCTCTTTGTTGAATGAATAAACAAATCTTCAATCCGTGATCGAACTTTTGGAAGTAACAAAACTCCTTCACAATCGGTTTTAGAACATGAAGCCAGTAATTAAGAGGAATAATATTTCACAGAGGCAAAAAAGTAATGGAGAAATTGTTCTATGATTTTTCGCACACGATGCACCTTGGTTTCAGAGGTCAAGTCAAACAAAATTATTCAGTAATATTTGAGCAAAGCCATTATCATTGAATTCTGTTATTTGAAGGTGTTTACTTTTTATACAAGCACTGGGGTACAGGCCAGAGGCGCGGGAGGGTGAGAGAATCCAACAGAGACAGAGCAGGGAGCAGAACAGGCAGAAGGACCGAAGTACACTGCTGAGGGGAGCAGTGGGCGAGACAGGAGAGGTCTGTCGCGCCATGTGGGAATCTCCCTGGGCTGGGTGGGAATCGAACCTGTGCCACGGAGGCTGTGGACAGCTTCACAGCACTGCGCTCAATCCACTGCGCCACCGGGGAGGCCCCTGATAGTATGAATTTTTATAGTTTTTAAAAATTGCAGTCAAGAATCTCCCTGGTGGCGCAAGAGGTTAAGACACAACCTATGACGCTATCTGCAGCCTCTGCAGCATGAGTTCAATCCCTGGCCAGGGAGCTACCCACATGGCACAGCAGACCTCTCCTGACTCGCCTGCTGCTCCCCTCAGCAGTGTATTTCAGTTAGTCTGCCTGTTCTGTTCCCCACTCTGTCTCTGGTGAATCCTCTCACCCCCCCCACACCTCTGGCCTGTACCCCAGTTCTTGTATGCATAAATAAATAAATCTTTTTAAAAAATTGCAGTCAAATTTATATATAACAAAATACATTCATTTTAGAGATACAATTCGACATTTTTTTTTCTTTAGTGAGGTAACATTAGTTTACAACATTGTGCATGATTTAGGGGAATAGGTTCTCCCCCCTCAGATTTATGTTCCCACACACCCCCCACCATCAAAGCACACAGAGTCCTTTACCCCACCCCACTTTGTTTCCACCCATCCTCCCTCCCCCTCTAGCAGCCTTAATTCTCCAGTTAAGTTTCTAGGGTTTGCTTTGCTTTAGTTTTGTCAGTTTCTTTTTTGTTGTGGGTTTTTTTTTTCTATGTATATTCTACATATGAGTGAAATCATCTGGTGTTTATGTTTCTGCTTTGGATGTAGTTCACTTAGCATAATCCCTTCCAATTCCATCTGTGTTGTTGCAAATAGCAAGAGTTCATCTTTTTGCATAGCTGAGTAATGTTCCTGTGTGTGTGTGTGTGTGTGTGTGTGTGTGTGTGTGTAGATAAACAAACAGGATGTGATGTGCATATATATGTAGAAGTATTTGTCTATTCATCTGTTATTGGGTACTTAGATTGTTTCTATAACCTGGCTACTGTAAATAGTGCTGTGAGGAACATAGGCGTGTATGCATCCCTTCAAGTCAGCGATTTTGGATTCATCAGATAGATATCTAGCAGTGGATTTGCTGGGTCATATGGTAGATCTATTTTTAATATTTTGAGGGACCACATAAAATAAGCAACTCTGACAAAGGATTTAAGAATAGTTCACATCAGAGGAGACAGATTTTTATATAGATTCCACAGTCTCAGAAAAACAGAAATGACTGGGTCTGGATAGAGGAACAATCATTATCATAGTATCACTTTTGATATTCATCTGGGTTGTTATTAACTTACTTTTTTAAACTGTCATTTTACCTAAATGTAGGTAAGAGAAAATGAACCCACCATCCCCACTTACTTTATTTTAATAATGCACTAAGTTAAGCATGTGAGATTTCAACCAGTTCACGTTCCTCATTGCTTATAGCTGCTTGTTGATATACCTCACTACCTCTTTGCTGCATCCAGAAGCACATCATATTTAACTGTGATTTTCTTGCTTTAACTACTGGAATTAATTGGAAAAGTGTGTTCTTGCTTGTATCCAGATTTGTAATGTGGAAATAAGCAGATAGACTCTTGAACTATTATCATATTCCTTGCAGTTATTAACAAACTTATGGAGTCCTCCTGGCCATATATGACTAAAGCTCCATAATGTTCTGCTTTTGTCTACCTCCAAGGAACATGCACTTCACTTTTACAAATTCAGCATGGTAATTTTGTGCTTTTAGGTAGGGGTTAAACACTACAATTTTACAGAAGGTTTTTAGAAGGTAAGTCTTTTTTTTTTTTTTCCTCAAAAATGACAGGTTTAGGAAGCATAATTCTGTGATGAATAGCTGTAAAAAAAAAATACTGCTTACTGAAGTAAAGAAACATTCCTCTCTGAAGGTGGAGCAGAGTCTGCATTGTACCATCTTGGCCACCGAGAGCAGTGTGTAGCATGGCATTCTTACAGCTGGCCTCTGCACCCTTTTGCACTAATTTGGACACATAATGGGCTAGTGTTTCCTGTTCAGATATCTTTTTTAACTGGGACCTTGTTGCAAACCTGGAACAATTCTGTAACTCCTAGAACTCATTCTGCCTGTAAAAAAATGACAATTTATGAAAATATTAAATCTGTACCTAAAGAAGGTAAATTCAACTTTCTACCTGTAACATGTCCGGATAGATTGTGTTTCTGTTTTCTGGATGATTTCGTATGGAACAAATTACAAGAGTGTACTGGATCTCTATTGGCAGGTGCTTGAAGTTTCCATTACAGCTCACATCTGCTCATTGTGTGTATATGGCTGCTTTACACTTTGTATGACTTACATCACCGTTTACTTAGGCAGGATAACCACACCGATGCCTGATGAGATGGGGAATGGGGAAAATTATTACAGTGAATTACCCATAATAGGTTTTCAATAAATATTTAATATGAAATATCTGCTATGGGCAGATTTAATTGTATATTCCATGAGGTAGATGGTGGGGAAGTAGCCAAAGGAATATGAGTATTTAATGGTATTTTAAGAAAGAAGTTGAAATCTTTATTTATAGCCTCATTAACTGAACACATAAATTTATTTTTTGTTGGGCGGGTGCTTATAACAGTGCTAAGAATTGTTTAAAATATTGTACTTGAAAAGTGGATCTTAACCTGGTAAACTGAGAGGAGGGACTTGGGGAATGAGAAGGAGAAAATAAGAGAGTAACCCAGCCTCTCTCAACAGCTTAATAAAGTCCTTCAATAAACGTTGCTGCATGATGAGCATGGACTTCCATCCATTCTTATGCATTCTGCAAGGCACCCAATACTATGAACATGGTCATTTAAAACTTCTCCTCCCTCCTCCCTCTCCTTTGTCTTTGTTGCTCTATCCTTTTTGCAATGGAGTAGATATGAGACATAGTTGCAAATGAATTTTAATTCTCTATTAAGGAAAAAAAGTCTAAAATAGATGCAGATTACTACTGTGTAATGGCTCAAAATGTGCATATTCTCATATATTGTCTTCTAATTGTTTCTTGGACTCCTTCCTAATATTCTAGCAGAATACGAGGATGTACGTTGTTAATATCTTTGTGTTTTCCCAGATAACACAAGGCTTTGTTTTCTCTTGTTTCCTAACAGGTTGGTACCGAGGATATACCCTCCAAAATAAATCTAAAAAGGTATGATTTGTCATTCAGTTCTTTCACTTTGAGCCCTGTCAGCTAGACTTGTGTTGTGCTGATCCCTTTATCTGCTCTCTGCAATCTCTAGACCTAGTTTACTTTCTCTTTGGTGACTAGTCTTTAGATTTGAAAACAAATTCTCTGACCTCAATGCTCAAGTAAAATAGTGCAAACCCCAAAGACCATATATCCCATCAGCCAACTCATGGGTAATGGCCCAGGGGTGAGTTCACACAGCAGGGAGGGCCTCTGTGGCTTCTCCTTGTCTCTCAAGCTCAGCGGGATGGTGACGCAGTGACACTAACACTAGCTGGATCTCTGTTCCAGGGAGGGGCCCCTGTTTTGCCCTTATCCTCTCCATTGAGTTCCACTTGATTCTTACCTTCCTTGCAGAAGCAAAGGCCTCCTATGATTTCCTAGCATTAAATTCTGTCTAGGCAGTGTCTTTGTCTGCTTTGAAGAGTGGATAGGTGGGTGCCTAGTGAGGCTCTCAATATCAGAGTCTGGTTTGTGTTTTTAATTTTTCTCTATTTTTTTTTTGAAAGCCCTTAATTAAGCTTCAACTCACGCTTTAGGAGAATTATTTCAGTAGGAGTTTCTTTCAGTTCTATATTATAAACTGTTCTATATTACATTAGAGTAGTTTCAAATTGAGTCACTGGCCTCCCTGGTTGAGTCACTGGCAGCGGTTGAGCACTGGGTTGCAAAGCTGCCAGCAGCCTCTGCAGCGCCGGTTCGATCCCCGGCCACCGGGTGAGGGTCCCACATGGCGCACAGACCTCTCCTGCCACCTGCTGCTCCCCTCAGCAGTGTACTTTATCAGTCTGCCTGCTCTGCTCTCCGCTCTGACTCTGGTGAATTCTCTCACCCTCCTGCACTTCTGACTGTACGCAGTGCTTGTATAAATAAATAAATAAATCTTAAAAAAACGAACAAACAAATAATTTGAACCCACAACCCTGGTAGTACATCATGAAATCAATACGGCATGCAAGGACCAGTATTTCCCCCCCAAAAAACAAAATCGAAAATGAAAAAAGAATGGAAAGCTATGGTAAGTATTGTTTCATGAAACTTTTGGAAGTGAATATATTTTTGTGTGTTTTTAATTATATTTTATATAGAGTACGTACTGAGTGGCTGTAAAAATTTATCTCATCATAGTCAAAAAGTTTGAAAAACACTGACCCTAAGGATTCCATTCTCCAGTGCCAGAGCCACTAATAATCAAGCGAAAGAAAATATATCAATTATGTTAATACCCCTCAGTTTATTTTTTTTTAAAGATTTATTTATTTATTTATTTATACAAGCACTGGGTACAGTCAGAAGCGCGGGAGGGTGAGAGAATTCACCAGAGCCAGAGCGGGGAGCAGAGCAGGCAGAAGGACCGAAGTACACTGAGGGGAGCAGCCGGCGGCAGGAGAGGTCTGTGTGCCATGTAGGACCCTCCTCTGGTGGCCCAGGAGCAGCCGGGGATCGAACCGGCGCTGCAGAGGCTGCCGGCAGCTTCGCAACCCAGCGCTCAACCGCTGCGCCACCGGTGAGGCCCCCTCAGTTTATTTTAGGTGAGAGCAGCACTGTTGCTTTGACACTGCCTTTGGGTGACTTAGTATGTCAGCACTTTTCTTTTGAAAGAGCAAAGTTGATATGCTGAATTATCTCATAGTTCATATGCAAAATAGAGACTCAGGAAAGGGGTGAAGAAACATTTTGGAATCAATAGGTGAGTAAAAAGAATAATAACCCAAGTTTTTTTTAATTAATTTTTTAAATTTTTTACATCACTGTTCATTTTTAAACAATATTTGCTTCCCCCCCACCCCCTCAGGTGTAGTCCTCATAGAGTTTCCTTCCCCAGTGCACCCGTGCACCATCACCTCAGTCCCCTGTGCTCCTCCCTCCCTCCCTCTCATCCCTCTCCCACCTCCTCTCCTGCAGGACGTCTCTGATTTATGATTGTCTGTTTTGGCTTTGTTGTGTTTTGTACTGAATAACCCAAGTTTTTATCCTTGAAACATAACATGACAGAAGTAATCCTAGTACACACCTCATGAAAGAGCTTGGGACCCAGAAAAATCCCTTTCTACAGGTCTAAGCCTTGAAAAACCAGAAGTGTGCTGGTCAAGTTTTCTACCTGGTTGACTATTAAGTCACACTGAGTCTTTACACCTGCATGTGTGCACACACACACTTTGTTAACTTTGGGAATTCAATAATCTACCTAAATAAAGGAGTGTTTGCTTGTAATGCAAGTATCAACTCCCATCATTTTAGTCTTTTATCACCCCCCCAAATTCTGATGCTGAATTTTTCTATCCATATTTACATTCTTGGGCCACATGACTTCATTAACCAGCTTAATTATTTTTGTTTAGTTGCTGTGGACTTTAATTTAGTTCCAGGGGAGCTAAAAATGGCAGATGTTCTGGAATGAAGGAGCGCATGAGAAGATTAAGGCAAAGACTCCCCTTTCTTTTGAGGTCCTTGCCTAGATACAAGTGCCCACTGAGCAGCCACCCCTGCTGCTTGGTTTGGGGTTACCCTACCTGTGTTTATTTTGCTCATAATGATGGAGGTGGTAGTTATTTAAAAGCACAGAGTTACTCATTTTGAAGTTCTAAATTTATTAAAGGGCAAGAATATCTCTGTCAGCTAATTTTTAATCCTTATTTAGAAAAACTTCATTTTAAAACATAAACCAGAAATTACTATCTGTTGAAGTTCAAGAAAAAACAAAATTCTTGATTTTTAACTGGTGAACATCAGTTGGGTTGAAAGAAAGTCTCAGACCAAGTTTCCTTTCCAGAGAGTCTACAGTGTGTGAGGGTCCTTTTTGAGGACAGAAGACCTTGGTGTCTAGAGCATCCTGTGGTTTTCTGGCATCAGAATCCATCCAGCCAATACCATACCATTGTTGTCTACTTTGAAAATTGGATAGGTGGGGCGCCCCACTAGGATCTAAAGGACAACTTCTGAATGTAAAAAGACTTCTTTCTGTATTCATTTTCTTAAAAACCTTATTTAAGCTTTTAGCTCACCCTTTCAGTTAAAACTTCTCTTAGTTCTTGGTAATGAAATGCTATAATTCACTGAAATGATGGCATAAACAGGGGCTGTGCATTTACTTGTAGATTTTAAGTGGAAAAAAACTTTTTTTGTGGGTAGATCCAGGAAAAATACAGGGAATTCAGTCCGTTGTCAGGAGTCATGCTTAAATTTGGACATCCCTTCATTAAAAGATCCAGTCTATTTGAAATGTTTTCTGAATGCTGGTCTTTTTGTTTTGTTTTCATCTCCCAGTCTTTTGGAGAAGAGTTACTTGAAAGGGTTATTATTTTAATGGAAATTTTTGGTTTCACTTGTTAGCAAACCTACCCATTTAGAGTGGTAATAAAATGAGCTTGTGGTTTTACAAATTGAAGAAGCAAAGCGCTTTGCAGAAACGAATTATTGATCCTGGCAGGATTGTGGGAGGGTGGATAAAGGCAATCACTACAACATCATTTGTTCATTTTTTAACTCAAGTGAGTAGGTTGCATTGAGAACAGAAAAGCAAAACGGGGAGATATGCTATAAATCAGAAATCTGTTACCCAAGTTTACTTTGATTTTCTCTGTGTAGATTAGCTAAGAAAAATTACTTTACCAGATCAATTCAATGATTGTCAGTGGACATTTGCTCTCCTGGAAAGATGATGCTTACAAATGACAGAGTAGTAATACCACAAAGTAAATATTCTCTTTTTTTTTTTTTTTTTTTAAAGATTTATTTATTGATTGATTGATTGATACATACAAGCACTGGGTACAGTTAGAAGCGCGGGAGGGTGAGAGAATTCACCAGTGCCAGAGCGGGGAGCAGAGCAGGCAGAAGGACTGAAGTACACTGCTGAGGGGAGCAGCGGGCGGCAGGAGAGGTCTGCGCGCCATGTGGGACCCTCCTCCCGAGGCCGGGGAGCAGCCGGGGATTGAACCGGCGCTGCAGAGGCTGCGGGCAGCTTTGCAACCCAGCGCTCAACCGCTGTGCCACCGGGGAGGCCCTAAATATTCTCTTAATAAGAAAACCAATATGTCTTTACACCAATAAAAATTCCTTGCTTCAGTGCCACTATTTATAATCCGGAATGCTTCTGTCTTAGATCCCAGTTATTATGGAGAAGCCAGTTGTCAGATTTTTAATGTAATTTTAATTGGTCCTTTACCATCTTGATTTGAAAAAAATCTCTGCAAAGACATTCCTTGGGAATGTTACGTTCATCTTATTAACCCTACCCAACACTCTGCTTTTTTATGTATTATGGACTTTTTTTTAGAATGTTGTGGAATATGCATGATGTAGAAGTTATTTTCACCTAGTTTTATTTTTATTTTTTTAAAGATTTATTAATTTATTTATACAAGCACTTGGTACAGTCAGAAGCGTGGGAGGGTGAGAATTCACCAGAGCCAGAGCGGGGAGCAGAGCAGGCAGAAGGACCGAAGCACACTGCTGAGGGGAGCAGCGGGCGGCAGGAGAGGTCTGCGCGCCATGCGGGACCCTCCTCCAGTGGCCATGCGGGACCCTCCTCCAGTGGCCGGGGAGCAGCTGGGGATCGAACCGGCGCTGCAGAGGCTGTGCACAGCTTCGCAGCCCAGCGCTTAACCGCTGCGCCACCGGGGAGGCCCTATTTTTACCTACTTTTAAATGTACATTTCAGTGGTATTAAGTACATTCACACTGCAGAGCAGATACTGCAGCCATCCCCACCCCCAACTGTTTCATTATCCCCAACTGAAGCTCTGCCCATTAACTACCCTCTAACTAATATTCCTCATCCCCCACCCCCACCCCTAGTACCTATCATTCTACTTTCTGTGTCTATCAATTTGACTACTCTTGTTACCTCATACAAGTGAAACCCTACAGTATCTGGTATTTTATGTCTGGCTTATTTCCCTCTGCATCATGTTCTCAAGATGAGCTCTGGACACCCAAGTCTGCTTTTCCACAAAGCTAGTAACCAACAAAACATTTACCTCAGCTTAGCAAACAGAAAAGCACCCTTAGCAATTCACTGCTCCAGAAATCGGACCCCAAAAGAATTATAAATATGTCGAATTTTTGTATTGAACAATTTGATCAGTTTTCCATAATTGCTCTGAATCCTGACTCCGTGATAAATGAGATCAGTGTTGCCTTGCGTCAGCGTGTGTTCTGGGTCTTATCAGTACCAGGACTGGCATAGTGCTTCTCACTCACGCCCCACGCCTCCCCTTTCTCAGAGCAGAGGGGGAGGTCTGTACTTTTTTGATTCTGCCTGCCTGGAGGGGAAGGATGGCCATTTTGCTTCTGACTCAGGCAGTGTCAGGATCCACCCAGCATCACCCATGCTGGGAGCAGCTCAGTCTCAAGTTTTCTTGTTGTTTCCTGTTTTACTGGCAAAGGATTAAAAGGGAGAAAGAAGAGTGCTGTACAGCTAAATACAGTGCATGGTGAAGCTTACTCGTTTTCTGTCTCTGATTACAGGTCACTGGGTAGACTGCATCTTTGACCCAGTCCTCCAGGCATTGGGGTGTCCCTCTTCCACCATTGTGGTCAGCCACCCAAACACAGAATGCCCATAGGGTCACCCCAACTTTTGCAGGCATAGCGCTAAGAGCCATTGAGCCAACAGTGCCCATTAAATGGGATCCTTGCCCCCGCCCCCTGGCCTGGCACACCAGGTCTCTAAAACAAAGTGCCTTTTCCAGAGGGCAGTTTCTCTGTTTATGGACAAGCCCATCATACATATAAACAGCAGGAACACTTGGAATTTACTAAACTTCATATCCATGACTTGCTTCCTGTTAACAATTTGATCAGGTCTTCCATTTTTCAGTTTCTGTGGACTGACTTTTGTCTTTCTCTTAAGCCTTTCTGGGCCTTCGATTTCCCTTGGACCTTGTCACCTCATAGGGATTTCGAATAGAGAGCAATTTGAGACCGAGAAGTACTGAAAATAATCAAATAACTAGTACTAATTGATTCTGGGTGCATTTGGTTTATGTGAAAGTGCTGAGGAAGATTTACTGTAGGAAATCACTGTAATTTTATGTGGTCACTAAGTACATAGCCCTCCATCTAGGAATTCTCTGAAACTCTTAAAGGGAAGCATCTGTGGCATAGAGGATCTGCAGAGCTCTTAGCAGCTGACTCCTCACTGACTCTCAACTGACCCAACCATGGTTGCCTGTCCTCTTACGAAGCATTTGTCTCTACTCTCTGAACCCACAGCTTAATTGCTGTCTTCTCAGTGTTTTAGCTAGGCTTTCATTTGATTGCCAGCGCAGGTAAGTGACATCTGGCAAGCCCAGTGGTACAGGTGAGCAGTGATCCAGGTGTGCTTTCTTCCCCCTACCTTCTTGCTCCTGTTGTGCTGCTTATTTTGGGCTGAGATTTTTATGGCTATGTAACCAAATTTCTTCTCTTTGTAGGGCATTTTTCCTGAAACATATATCCATTTGAAAGAGGCAACTGTGGAAGATCGAGGGTGAGTTCTAATCTAGAGGACTCCTAAAAAAATGGTAAAGATGTAAAATTATCATTGAGAAACACCTTATGTACATTACTAGTTCACTTACCTCCTCAGTTCCACTTCTTATTATGAGAAATGAATAAAAAATTTTTCTGGGCCTCCCCGGTGGCGCAGCGGTTGAGCGCTGGGTTGCGAAGCTGCCCGCAGCCTCCGTGGCACCGGTTCGATCCCCGGCTGCTCCCCGGCCACCGGAGGAGGGTCCCACATGGCGCACAGACCTCTCCTGCCGCCCGCTGCTCCCCTCAGCAGTGTACTTCGGTCCTTCTGCCTGCTCTGCTCCCCGCTCTGGCTCTGGTGAATTCTCTCACCCTCCCGGCTTCTGACTGTACCCAGTGCATGTATAAACAAAACAAACAAACAAACAAATAAGTAAATGAATAAAAACATGCCTCTATTAAAAAAAAATTTTTTTTTCTGACGTAAATCCTTTCTCTAGTTATCATTCCTCCTCTGCCCCCTTCCGCAGAGTAGCAATGACAGAGGTAGTGATCAATTTTTCCCTCCCTCCTGCCCTGCCTGTTCTCCATGTGTGCACACGTGCAAATGAGTATTGGGTGCTCTTGTGCAGATTAGACCCAAGTGTCCCCAGTCTAGGCACACTGGGAGATAGATGAACAAGCCACATCCTGTACTTACCAGCTCAGGACCTCGGGCGAGTATGTCAGCCTCAGTACCCCTCAGACTTTTCCTCTGCAAATAGAGGAAACAAATCTGGCCACATATTGGTCACAAACTTGATGTGAAATTATGAAATAATGTGTGTGAACGTGCTCTGCCAACACACTCCACTAAGTTTTGGATGTGCCTATTTCTTATGTATTTTGCCATTCGTCCTGGCAAGTGCTGTCTCTGTGGCAGCTAAGAAGGGCGAGGCACTCGGCCTGCAAAGGGAGAGAAAGGCCACCGAGTTGGCCGGTAGCAAGCATTAAGAGGTGAGAGTGAGAGCTGGGAGCAGAACCGCAGGCCTGGGGTGATAGAGAGCAGGCTGCTCACGGAGTCACGCAGACTCAGAATCTACAGAACTTGCTCGATCATCAGGTCTTCACTTCATTTCACAGCCAAGAGATGGAAACATGCCCTAATTCACACAACTCATGGGGAGCAAAATCAGGACTGAAAACCAGGTGTCCTGCTTTCCTGGAGAATCTTTTCAGTAGGTCATTCTTATGCTATCTCCAGTATGACCAGCACATTGGTGGCATTTTTTCATGAATTAGGGTTGTCACGTGAAATGCAAAATGCCCAGTGAAGTTAAACATTCAAAGAATAGCAAGCAATTTTTTTTTTAAAAGATTTATTTATTTATTTATACAAGCACTGGGTACAGTCAGAAGCGCCGGAGGGTGAGAGAATTCACCAGAGCCAGAGCAGGGAGCAGAACAGGCAGAAGGACCGAAGTACACTGCTGAGGGGAGCAGCGGGCGGCAGGAGAGGTCTGCGCACCATGCGGGACCCTCCTCCGGTGGCCGGGGAGTGGCCGGGGAGCAGCCGGGGATCGAACTGGCGCCGCAGAGGCTTTGGGCAGCTTCGCAACCCAACGTTCAACCGCTGCGCCACCGGGGAGGCCCACAGCAAGTAATTTTTTTCAGTATGTCCTGGATATTTCATGAGACATACCAAAAAATTATTTTAATATATCTGAAATTCAAATTTAACCGGGCGTCTTCTGTTTTCACTGAATGCATCTGACAAGCTTACCACGAATCCCCATTCATTTGCTTGCTTTCATTTCTTCTTTTTTTCCTTTCGCTAATCATAAAAATACCAGAGAGGATTTATGTAAATAAATGTCAAGCCTGCCTTGTTATAAATCTTCCATGAGTAAGTAAGGACTTGGGTACATGAACATTTTCTGTTCTGTGAAGTAGCTGATGAGAAGAAAACTGGGTAAGATTCTAGAAGTGGGCACCCCCTCCACCCTCACAACTGGTCCTGTGTGCAATCACAAACCTCAGGACCCTCATGCCATTCCTGCTTCTTCACCTGAATTCCCTAATGTTAGCTGCTGGGCAGAACCAGCTAACATACAGGATTTCGCTTCCTCCCTGCAAGTCACTGACGCCTGCCTGACTCCCTTAGAGAAATGAGGAGATCGAGGCTGAACCCCAGCCAGTTTCATGGCAGAAAGTGGGTTCATTTTGAGACCTGTGGCACTGAGTTCCTTTTCTTGTCTCAGATACTTAGATGTAAGTATCTGAGAGTGACCACCCAGAGTGACCCCAGCGGACAAGTTTTACTTGATTTCAACTCAGCCAACCCATCCCCATCTTGGAACTTGGGGAACAGACTCCAGGAGGAAAGGATCCACCCTGAGTAAAGGGAGCCTCTGTCTGCTTCTCTCTAGGCAGAACGAGACAGTGATTCCTGGGGAGCTGCCGCTGGTGCAGGAGCTCACGTCCACGCTGCGAGAATGGGCTGTCATCTGGCGCAAGCTCTACGTGGTAAGTTTCCCCAGGCTGGGTGCTGGCCTCGTGGTTCCTGGGTCCCTAGCCTGTCTGTTCTGCTGTGAGGTGCTGGCCCCTTGTCACTCTCAGTATGGAGTGGGGTGCATAACGCCAGGACCCCACAATGACTGATAACCAGCGGTTCCCATTTCCGAGGAACTGGGTCACTGGAGATAGGGGGTGATAGAGGAAGTGGATGTAATCATTCCGTCAGTCTTTGCTCTGCTGACAAGCAGGTGGATTGCAGAGTAATAGGGATGATGACAAACTCTTATATTCCGTACTAAGTGCAGGAGCCATGATTGCTCACAGCACTCTTACCCAGCAGTACAGTTACTCGCGGCAATTTATCAGCAAGGATCCTGTGGGACCTGCTCTTCGCCTCTGTGTGTGGTGTGTCCCAGTGAGTAGGAACAGGCCAGTGTCTCAGTGCCCAGCCAGCCATGCGTGGCTCCTGTGAGATGGCATCACCTTGGCCAGCCTGCCACAGCACCCCACACAGACACCAGCATCTGAGTCATGTTCGAGAGCCCCAAGACCAACTTCTTTTCCCAACCAACTCAGTACTGTTTCTCACAAACATTGATTTGACCTCAGAAAACTAATAAGGTAGCCACTTGGGTGGGCCATTTTCCAGGAACCAGTGTGTTCTCTCCACGCTGGACACACGCAGTATGGTCAAGATAAGGAGGCTTTAGCATTTAATCCTCAGACCGTGACTGCGTGGGGTGGCCATCGCAACAGACCCAGAGCGCTCCATGTCGGTCGGCGGCAGGCTTGTACTTGTCTCCACTTTAAGAAGCTCCTTCCTTGACATTGCAGTGCACAAACACTGTTTATGAACTGTCTCCCCCTGCCTGGACACCTGGAGGATAGGTGTCCCAGAGGCGTCATTCTGGAAGCTTCTCCCAGGTCCCACGGCAATCAGGATTCCCTGAGATGGATGTGTGTGCTCTCATTCCATGTGAACGAGTTCAGTGTGGTTATAGACCCTGGCTGGGAACCATTATCTTTCTCTTTTGTGGCTTTGTTATCTAGGTTTTTGTTCAGTTATGTGTGGATTCTCTTTGTTTTTCTCTGTTGGTTTTAACTCTCAAAGGCCAGTCTTGATAAGTTATGGAAAAACCCCACTCTGGACCTTAAATTCTAAAAAGGGTAAGCAGCAGCTCTTTCTAGCGTAACTTCTAAGATTTAATGTAAGATATTTCATTTTTATCCAGGGCTGTTGTTTCCCATAATGGATTGCAGCAGTAGCAATTACCACCCCCTGGGGTGGACAAGCACATGATTTCTCCCTGCCTGCCCATCCTTCAAGGCCTAGTTTAAATTCTTTCTTCTTTATAATGTGTCTACTAAAAACAACAACCCCTAATGCTTCCTTCTGGACTCCAGGAACCCTTACTGCTGAATCCATCATCTGGTCCATGGGCATCCTGCCATGTAATGCAAGTGATCTTTTTATCTCTTTATGTTTAATTGGGGAGAGAGTGATCTGTAAGTTCTTAAATCACAAACTTGGGAGGCCAGACATGTTCTTTTAAGCCCTTTGGCCTACATCGATAATCTTGTATCGAAAGCACTCTCTGGTTCTGGTCAATTGATTGGTTAGTGGTGGATATAACAAGTTTGATGGATGAGATATTGCATTTGCATGGCTTAGTTCCTTAATATGTTCTTTCTGGAAATTGGTGAGTGGTGAAAGATATGAGATAATAAGTACTGGGAAATGAGATTTTTTGTAGGAATTGAGAGTATGAAGGAGGTAGATGTTTCTTCTTGCTAAAACACAACTCTTGTGCTCAGTTATCTCTGTCCATGCACATCCACAGGTAATTGTGCCAATCCTACTATCTAATAGAAATGAGAAATAGGTGAGCTGGGGAGGAAGAAATATGATTCATATATTTGGGTTTTCAGAATTCTTAGAAGTTAGTGAGAAGTGTGGGCTGGGAATTTCCTGTCAGTTTCACTATTTAATAGCAGAATTGGGTTCTAAGCGAAAAAATATCCATGCTCACTCAGAGGGCAACATGCCTCCCATCTAATTCTGGCACCTAACAAAGTACTTATTTTAAAATGTCTTGAGTTACTATTGGTTGATTAGATTAAAAGACATTCATTCTGAGAACTTTGTTCACTTGATAGGGCTAAATAGTCTGCTTGATACATGCTCATTCATTAAGAAATTCAATTAAAATGGATTTGTTATTCATTGTGACTCTCTGTTTTATTCCTGTCCCTTGCTAAAACACTTCATTTGAGATAGAGTTTCTGAATTTCTTTCTCAAAAATTTGTGTAAAAGTAGTAAGTTTCAAATGTTATGCCTCCCTGGGCAAATAAAACAAAAGGAACCCAAATCTATAGTTTCCATCTCTCCCCTCCCCTATTCACACTTCTTAAGGTGTTTTTGTTATATGATTCTGTGTGTAAATTCCATGAGTCTGTATAAAGATAAATACAGCTTTTACTATGAATATCAGTACTTGAATTATTTCTCTCATGCCTTTCCTCCCAAAGATTAAGAAATCAGGTATTCTAGTTGATGTCCTAAAGACAGCTCTGGCGTCTCAGAACCTCCATATTTCTCTAGAATACATTTCCTAATTCCATTCCTTTCAGCATAAGTTCATGAGAAATTTATGTAACAGATCCAGAGTTTTATGTAAGGGGAAAATGCAATCCACTAACTGGATTAAACCCAGCTCTGGAGACATAGGTAGTTATCCTGACATGGAAAGATGTTTGTATAGCTACAATTTGTTTTCAGCAGTCACTTTGAAACCTCAGGAAATAACCATAAATAGGTTTTAAGTGGAGGAAGAGCACTTGTTCAAAGTAGAAAGAATAAATGAAGACCCCTTCCACCCCCTGCCATGTTCCTTCTTCTCTTTTTTTGTCTCAAATTTAATTGAATTGCCAGTCATTTACATAACTATGTCATCTGGGGGAGTACAACTTCATACCTCCATGTGTGCACATACTTCTCTTACACTGTACCGTAGCTCTACCTTTCCTCTCTATCCCCCTCACCACCCCCAGCTCCAGTATATTTTTCACAGTCTCATACTTATTTTTGCCCTGCTTTGCCAGTTTATTTTCCTTGATAAATGGTAAATAACCAAATAATATATTCTTCCAATGAGCGAAACCATCCGGTATCTGTTGTTCCCTTTCTGATTTATTTCACCAGTGTAACTACCTTAAGATCTATCCATTTGGTTCCCAAAGCCACTATTTCATTTTTTTATAGTTAGTAATATTCCATTGAGCATATATTCCACAAATTTCCCACATTCCTTCTTTCTTTTTTGTTAGTATTTTTTGTCCATTTGGTTACATATCCTGGGTGGATATTGACCTTATGCTTCTGGAAAGCTTGGTTTCTTGCTGCAGACCCTGCCCACCTGGCTCTATGAACTTGAGCAAGTCACTTCCAGTCTCCACGCATCTGCTGGATGTTGTCTGCCTAAGTGATAATAAGTCTGCCTTGTTTACTCCCTCGAGTTACAAGAGGTGGCTCTGGAGTCATTGTGCAGAGTGATCCTCAAGGACTCTGCACATGTGAGCAGGACATTATTGATGTGGTCGCTGTCGCTGGAAACAGTAGCCACTCTGCTCCTCCTCCCTCTGCCCAGCCTGTGCTTGGTATCTCACTGGCCAAACTCAAGACTCTGAAGCTCCCTTCACGTCCCCCCTTATCCAAGGCCCCTTCCTTTGTCTTGTGTTATCATCTTAGGTGGAGTGACCTTGAGCACTCAGTAACAGACTGTTACTCACCATAGATACTGGCTCCTTCGTTCAGGTTCAAGTCTAGAAGGCATGGGTCACCCTCACTGCTGTTCTTCAACTGGAGCCTGTGTACTGGGTGTTTTCAGTGGTAGATCAGAAAAGGAAATTTTGTGAATGAGGTGGTCACTGTAAAAGAGCAAGCTGAGGATGTCAAGGTTAGGCAAGCAGCCAGTGCTTTAAATGCCGGCTCCCTCCCTTACTTGGTATGTATGTTTATATTCACAAAAAATAACAAACCCAATAATAGTTACTGCAAACAGACCGGAACGGAAATAACTCAGATTCTGAAGACAAGGATTTTAATGTGGGATATACCACTAGCTGATCCTATGGCTTGAGACAAGTCCTTTGTTTGATCTCCTGGTTTTATTTTCCTCATCTTAAGTGGCAATAATATGTTGGGAATATTTGCTGTAAGAATTCAATGGATAACCGACAGCGCCTAGCACACTGTTGTCAATAAATGACAGCTCTGACCATCCCCTTCCAGCATTACTTCATGAAAAAGCCGATTGGTGATGAAAGTGTTAAGAGCCGAATTAGGCTGCACTGTGGAATTTTGCTGAGGTCATTTAAGGGTGTGCTTCCCCCTGTCCGGGGGTCATTCACTTGTCCTCCAGCTTGAGATGGAATGGACTCCCTTTTAGTCCTGTAAGGACTTTATTGCTCCAAGTCGATGGTCAGTTAAGTATTCTCTCCATTATTCTCGCTGTCTCAGGATCTTTCAATTTTTTAAACCTCGGTAAGTAGATCCAGTGAACTGAGCTTTGGCCTTCTCTTCTTTCTGGCCCCATACCTCTCTGTTCCACATGAGTTCCCCCAGCTAGAAGGGCAGATGCTTATGCATTGATTTAGATACAATTGGATTAATAGAAGACTTACGTTTATTCCGGTAGCAACTCAGAAAATACACACAAATCTACATCCCACATCATAACATCAAATTACTCAACTTAAAAATTGACAAGATTGTGTATATCTTTAAAGACAGTGGAACAAGAATTTTGAAAGAGAGACTGTCTTGGAAAATGCTGAGATGTTTGGTTGTTACAAGCATACTCTATAACATTACAACCTGAGATTTAGCCCAGTGCTGTACTCCAGTTTCCAGTTGGAAAAATGATTGGTGAGTTGTCAGTGAGGCTAATTTGTCCATATAAGTTTGGGAGATAATTGTGATCCTGTATTCTTATGGCAAACAGATTCAAGAAGAACATGGTTATAGCAGATGGTTAATATACATTGTTGAATCAAGTGAATTTTATTGCTAAAATATAGCTCATAAAAAGGACAGATATCCTCTCATTTAAAATTTGCTAGCAAGCTAGAACTATGTACTGGTGCATATTTCCATGAGGCTCTCCAGCAGAAAGAGTGCCTGTAGCTCAGGTGGGGGCAGGGAACTTGCCCAACACATCAATCAGCCCTTCTTCCAGGCCTTGCATATCCAGGCAGATTAAAGCCACTCAAGTCTAATCTTTTTGAACTGGGAGTTATTACTGGAGGCTGGAGCACATGCTCTGAAGTGTAATTAAGCTGATCTCCTGGTCTGAAACCATCATCTGATTGCTTTTTACCAAGGACGGAAAATTCCCATAGAAAACTTCCTTTTGTTTTTGGACATTTTATCTGTGAACTGCAAGCCCTTTGCAGCTTGGCTCTCACGAGAAGCACAATGAGGAGACTTGGCAGTGAGCGGGACAGGGCAGGGAATTGGGGGGCGGCTTGTGGGTGGGCTTCAGTTTCTCTGACTTTGTTGCCTAGCTTTCAGGATTTCTTGCACTACTTCTAGAGGCAAAAATTATGTCTTACTGGCACTTTTTTTTTTTTTTTTTTAAGTAAAGCCTTTGTTAGGCAATGCCTTCTCCTGACAGAGGAAAGGCACTAGAACAGGCTGGGAGCATGGCGGGACAGAGGCTTCCCACTTTCCTGGAGCTGGAGGTGTCAGCGCAGCATGAGGACATGCAGCAAGTCATCTGTGTGGACCCAGGAGTTACATACGCTCACAAAAGTCATGCGATTCACTGCAGAGTCGCCCGAGAGTGTGGGTACCTCAGGGGTGAGATGGTTCAAGTCAGATACAGTTAATCAGGAAGTTGCTTGGAGGAGTAATTGAGTTTAATGTCTCAATCACAGACTTGAAGGCGACACTGATCCTTGCAAATGGACCTTGGTGCCTGTCCCTTTATTTTACAGATGGTCATATCCTGGAGGGAATAATTTGCCCAAAGCCAAGTAGCAACTTAATGATACAATTAGAGTAAGAGATCAAATCCCCATATTCCAGTCCAGCACTCTTGTTTCTAAATCACAAAACTTGCACTGAGGAGAAAAGGTTAGTGAACAAAGGAAATATTGGCTATTTTGCAGATAGACAGGTAGAGCACCAAAGGAAAGTCTTGTGAACTGTGGTCTGCATTTTGGAGGAAATTGCAAAATAGAACCCAGGTTTTCTGACAACCAGTGAGGTGGCATCATTGTCTAAATAGCCCCAAGATTTTGAAATACCCAATGGTTGACTTCTGTATTTCAGAGTGTTAAAGGCAAAGCTCCTTTTTCTTTTGACTTTGTTTATATCAGATATGAATAAATAAATATATACATATGAAACAGAAATGTTAGAAGTGAGACTTCAGAGATCTATAAAAGGGAGACATTTAAAGCAAATCCTGGCAGAGGCCATGACAGGAGCAAAGATGGAGACACAGAGGCTCATGGTCTGAGGGGCAATGCCTGAATCCCATGCTTCCCCAGGTTCCCTGAGTGTCAGAGGCCAGCTATTGCTGAGCATTCTGCTTATAACAATCTTATGAATGTGGCAACAAAATCCATTTCTTTAAAGTAAACGGGATAATTACTTCCTTTGGTGTGTTCCAGCTTGTGTCTTCAGAATTAATTTGGCACAATGAGCCAGAGAAGAATGGCTGTCTTCATCCTTCTTTGGTGGGAGAAACTGGCAAACACGGCTGATATGGACAGGCAATAATTAAATGCCTTAGATGGTGTCTAATGAAATTGAGGCTGAGAACTTTTGAACATGTGCCCCAAACAAAGCACTGTCTCTATTAGAGGATCCTGAGCCCTTAATCCCTCCCCCCACACTTTTGTTAAACAACATTATGAGAATATCTTCATTAAAATTGGAAAACGTTTAGGGCCTCCCCTGGTGGCGCAGTGATTGAGCGCTGGGCTGTGAAGCTGCCCACAGCCTCTGCCGCGCCGGTTCGATCCCCAGCCACCAGCGAGGGTCCCACATGGCGCGCAGACCTTTTCCTGCAGCCCACTGCTCCCCTCAGCAGTGTATTTCGTCAGTCTGCCTGTTCTGCTCCCCGCTCTGGCTCTGGTGAATCCTCTCACCTTCTCGCGCTTCTGACTATATATACCCAGTGCTTGCATAAATAAATAAATAAATAAATAAATAAATAAATAAATAAATCTTTAAAGAAAAAAATTGGAAAACATTTAAAAAAAAATTCTAACCAGGAATAAACAAGTAAGTTGTAAGAAAAAAGAAAGAACCTCTTTTCTGTCTAGATGTTTTGGAAGGCAAAATTTTATGGGCTTAATTTCTCAGCCTTTTTTTTTTCAGTTTGTAAGACAGTGAGTCGGAAATACTTAATTTAAAATTAAATGGAAAAAAAAAAAGGGCAGGATTTTTACCATTCCTTACTAGAAATAGGGCTTTTAAAAGTCTGATTTTTCTGCTTTTCTAAAGATTGGCTGATGAGAAAGAAGCTGTTTAGAAAATTCTTAAGGGCCTCCCCGGTGGTGCAGCGGTTGAGCTCTGTGTTGCGAAGCTGCCCGCAGCCTCTGCAGTGCCAGTTCGATCCCCAGCCGCTGGGCGAGGGTCCCACATGATGCGCGGACCTCTCCTGCCACGCCTGCTGCTCCCCTCAGCAGTGTACTTCGGTCCTTCTGCCTGTTCTGCTCCCTGCTCTGGCTCTGGTGAATTCTCTCACCCTCCCGCTCTTCTGACTGTACCCAGGGCTTGTATAAATAAAAAAATAAATCTTTAAAAAAAAAAAAAAAAGGAAAGAAAATGCTTAAAAGCATTAAATGTAGGTAGTTTCAAATTTTTAAGAAGCTTCACATTCATTGTTTTGGGATAAAGTGTTACTAGAACATATTGCAATCACAGATAAATGAGTTCTTTCCTTTCCTCTGTGTACTCAGAGAGCTTCCAGCTTCCATTAGGCTTTATCGCATTCTGCTAATCTCACTGCCAACCTCCCACTGCCCCTGCTTCTGGGCTGACAGCTCCTTACATTAACTCTTTGTTCAGGAGTATCTTGGGTCTATTTGATGGCTTGCCCAGGAATTTGTCCTTGGAGTGGGGAGCATCAGTGAAGAGGAACAAGTTGCTCAGCCATCAACAAGTGTGAGTGTGTTTATAGTAGATAATATTGCCCTGTAGCTCAGAAGCATATGATTATATAAATATACCATGACAGTTCACTTATCAATAAAAATAAAGTGGACATAAGTAGGTAGAATGATAATGGATTTATTTCAAATAAATATATCTCAAAAGTGATTGCCAAAGCAGTTTCTCCTAATCACTATCTTCAGTGCCCCCTTCGCCCGTACACACCCTATCAAGCTGCCATGTTTATTTTCCCTGTTGTACTTTTTATTTCTTTTTTGTTTTTAATAAATGAATTGATAATTTCACAAATGAATGCCACAAAGAATGTCCACTTGTGTTGTAGGTTTTATTCTTTTATTTTTATTTATTTATTTTTAAAGATTTATTTATTTATTTATACAAGCACTGGGTACAGTCAGAAGCGCGGGAGGGTGAGAGAATTCACCAGAGCCAGAGCAGGGAGCAGAGCAGGCAGAAGGACCGAAGTACACTGCTGAGGGGAGCAGCGGGCGGCAGGAGAGGTCTGCGCACCATGTGGGACCCTCCTCCTATGGCTGGGGAGCAGCCGGGGATCAAACCAGCGCTGCAGAGGAGGCGGGCAGCTTCGCAACCCAGTGCTCAACCAATGCGCCACCGGGGAGGTCCTGTTGTACTTTTTCTTAACTTGAAATTATCTTGTATATATGTTTCAGCATTTACTTACTTGTTATTCTTTTTTCCCCTCTCTTGTGTGGCAGGATCATAATTTCCAGCACATAGTAGATGCTCATTGACTATTTTAAACAATATATAATGGACTGAAACAATTGTGTACATAAAACCAAGACTGTAGGACACAGACACCAAGTATTAGTCTTTTAAAATGATTGAGGTACAAATAATTAGTTGTTCACTGGTTAATTTGGTTCTGTTATAGGGCATTCTTACTGGAGCCCAAAATAATGATTTAATCTTTCTAGGCGTAACAATTTTCTGGATGGTCCATCATTATTCTGGGGAAGCAGATTTAAAAATAAAATTTTTATTTTTATTTTCCCCTCTTCCTTACCTCTGAAACTGCAGTTCTTTTCTATGCAAAAGATATTGGTGCATTTCACTCATGTACACTTTGTAGAATGTCTACTTGGTACCAACTCCTAGAGATACGAAAACAAACAAACTCATTGTTCCTCATTGTCCTCTTGCAACTTACTCTCATTGCGGAGAGTAAAACAGGCTGAGATGTCCAGGGTTCTGGGTGCTGGGACAGGAATAATTTTCCATCTGTGGGAGGGACAGCCACCCCAGAGTTATGGTTTTGAGGAAGAGACTTCTAAATTGAAATTGAAGAAGCCAGAATTAGCAGCTGGTTGAGGGTATAGTGTGAGAGGTGTGAGGAGGAATGTGAGTTTGGAGGGAGAGAAGAAAGTGGTTCCCTTAGGGTGCATGAATGGTTTGACCTACTTAGGAGTTCCAACCACCTGTTCCTGCTGCAGGTGCTTATCCACTTCTAACACAGAGGAAGGAGTAGGAATCGCTCATGGGAAAGCCATCCTTATTAATATATATATTTTTAAAAGTCCCCTCTAAATGCACATATTACTGTTTGACAAGATTAATTGGATAAATAATACCTTACAAAGAATCAAGTCTACAGGTCCTCCCATCCTCATCATACTTTTTTTTTCCTCTTTCTTCCACCTCATTTTCTCATCTTAGAACAACAAGGTCACACTCTTCCGCCAGCTGCAGCAGATGACGTACAGCCTGATCGAGTGGCGCTCCCAGATCCTGTCTGGAACACTCCCCAAGGACGAGCTGGCAGAGCTCAAGAAGAAGGTCACAGCCAAGATCGATCATGGGAACAGGTAAACCAGGGATGACTTCTCCCCGAGAACTCAGAAAACAGTGCTTGCTTCATGCCAGGGGCTCATTATGGCTTTGGAGTTTCCAAAGCATCGTGTTTACAGCTCTCTTTTTGAAACATATTTAATATCATTGGGAAAAAAGTTGGCAGTGGCCTCCATGGGCCAGCCCTGCACTGGGTTTCCGACTCCAAGGAGATGACAGATGAACAGGGGTGATGGGGATGAGATAGAAGTGAGTTCATCACTGAGCAGATCAAAAGGCACTGAGCAGCTTGAGCCATTTCCAGAGACCTGGGGCTCTCTCTAGTTTTCTTCTGTCAGACTCATTCTCTTTCTCTCTGTTTTCTTCTAACGGACATTGTTTACAGCATGTAAAAACCAGATTTACCAGAATCATGAAATGCTTTTGACCTTTGTGTGTGTCTCCACTAACCTGTCAAGGGCTCCTCACATCACTAGTCGTCTGATAACCTCAGGCAGATAACGTAGGTTCCAGATATTATTGCCTTTCAGAAAAAAGAGGAAATTAGTCAATTATCAAATCTTATGGTGACCTGGGACTCCTGACTGACTTTTTAAAAGACTGGGATAGTTCCTCATTAGTTTTTGTTAATGATTCATTTGACATATTTGGTTTCATTTTCTGTATTTCTCGAACTTGTACACATCCAACTTTTTCCTCCCCATTTACCTACTCTCCTATTTCAGAACTCTGAGATATACTTCAGAGAACTGTTAAAATATGGCTCTTTATTTCGCTTATTTAAATGTTATAGACTCAGACAACTATATTCAAAAATAGCTGGCATAAACATAGCACAGATGACTCAGATTCAGCTATTATTTGTGAAATATCTCCTATGTGCACTTGACATGTATTACGTGATTCTATCCCCTGTGAGGAAACCATTATTCCCATTTTATGGTTAAGGAAACAGACCAAGTGAGTGTAAGTGATTCACTTTCAAGTCATATAGATAATAGGTGGGGAAGCTTAAATTTGAATCCTGGACTTTTCGATTCTATGTCTGATGTTCCCTATGTAAGGTAAGAATGTCACTGGTCCAACCATAGACCTCTAATCATGAGGGCTGCATTGCCAGTTGGGCAGGGCAGTAATGGGCCTCCTTAAAAAGCTGGCTAACGCGAACCAGGCAGCTCCCCCTTGCACATATTTTTTTGGATCTGGCCACAATATGGCATCACCTTGAAGGACCCTAATCTCTGGCCCAGAAAGTTAATGTCCCACAAATAGCAGAGCATGCCTGGCTGCTTTCACATTCCAGCCCTTGGAAGCAGCTCAAGGAATTAAGCTGTTCCGTCAGTGCGTCAGTGATCCCATGTCTGAGCAGCCAGCGGGACACGTCGCTCATGAGTCTGGGTGGCCTGCGGGTCTGACTGCCATGGAAGGGAACCTGCCAGATTAAATCAGATGATGAAGATGCTATAAAAGGAGGAGGGGAAGTCGGCATGTTGTTTTCTTCCCAGAGACTTGGCACATTTTACTGTCATCCCTGAGCTTGCTGTTGCACATCCCCACTCCCAAATCGCTGGTGGCTGGAATGCACGCTGGGCACTCGCAGCAATATCCTGTTTCCAGCATCGTCCCGCTTCCTTGGAAGCAAGCAAAACTTTTTTTGCATGTACACTCTGGGCACCAAAGCCTTGGTGAGGATGGCACTGTGTATAGTCCACATGGCTGTGTAGCCCTCAAGGCTGCAGCTGGACACAGCAGCTGCTTTCTTGTGCCTGTTGCTGCAATAACAACAAACACCTATCCAGAGTGCACTGTAGCTACATGTAGTTTATGTGCTTTACACATATCTCATTGCATTCTTGCAACGTAGGGAAATTGAGTTTCTGTGGACCAAATGATTTGCGTATCACTATATGAGTTTGCCTAACATTTTCATTAGTTTTCTAATGTTGTTATGTAGGAAAGGGCAGAAATTGAAAGAAGAAAGGGCAAGTGAATTGTTCTTGACTTTCCAGCACCCACCCATTCTATGATTCTTCAGGACTCTTTCATGGGCACTCTTCCTTCAAGAGTCTGTTCCTGTGAGGACTGGCTGACCACGCCTTTCTTTTTTTTTATTTTTAATTTTTAACTTTTTTTAAACAACATTTGCTTCCCCCCACCCCCTCAGATTGAGTCCCCATAGAATTTCCTTCCCCAAGGCACCCGTGCACCATCACCACAGTCCCCTGTGCTCCTCCCTCCCTCCCTCTGATCCCTCTCCCTCCTCCACCCCTGCAGGATGTCTCTGGTTTATAACTGTCTGTTTTTGCTTTGTTGTGTTTTGAACTGTTATTATTTTTTTACACTGATGTCCTATTTGGTTCCCCTATATTCCTGCTGTAAGTGAAACCATCCGATATTTTTCTTTTTCCTTCTGGCTTATTTCACTGAGCATAATTCCTTCTAGCTCCATCCACGTTGCTGTGAATGGCATGAATTTATCTTTTTTGATCGCTGAATAATATTCCATTGTGTATATATGCCACATCTTCTTGATCCAGTCATCTATTTTTGGGCATTTGTGACCACTCCTTTCTTTCTAGAATGCTTGGATTAGATCTGGTCGTGCGAGATGACAATGGGAACATCTTGGACCCAGATGAAACCAGCACCATTGCCCTCTTCAGGGCCCATGAAATGGCCTCAAAAAGAATTGAGGAAAAGATCCAAGAGGAAAAGGTACACTTCCTCACATGAGCAGATTTGGGCCACTGAGGTTCTGTTTTTCTTTGTTTTTTTTTTTAAATTTATTTATTTATGCATACAAGAACTGGGGTACAGGCCAGAGGTGCAGGGCGTGAGAGGATTCACCAGAGACAGAGTGGGGAATAGAACAGGTGGATTGACTGAAAACACTGCTGAGGGGAGCAGTGGGCAAGTCAGGAGAGGTCTGCTGCGCCATGTGGGTTGCTCCCTGGCCGGGGGATTGAACTCATGCTGCAGAGACTGCAGACAGCTTCATAGGTTGCGTCTTAACTCCTTGTGCCACCAGGGAGGCCCTTTTTTCTTTGTTTTTTAATGAGAGAAATAGAGTCATTGACAACAGAGGTAGAAATACTGTTAAAAAAAACTATTCATCTTCTCATTTGAAGAGCAAAATAAAAAAAGAATAAAGAAGCTGTGTTCTGACATGGAAAGATCATGCAGATATATATTCAGTGAAAAAGAGCAAGATGCAGTATAGTGTGTACCGACATTATTATTTGTGTTTCACAAAGGAACACATGTGTATCTCTGCACACATGTGGACTGGCTCTGGAATGATGGGCAGGAAATTGATAATGAATGGATGCCCCTGGAAGAGCAAGGTTGGCGGGACCTTCTTACTTTGTAACCTTCTGCATTTGGGGCACATTTTACAATTTCCAAAATAAGTAAAATTTAGAAAGTGTTGGAAAGATTTTGACATTGGTAATTGGACATTAAATAAAAATAAGAAATGTAGAGAAAAAGTGAAAGTAGAAATTCAGCCATATTATGACTGCCCAGACACAACCATACTGATATTTTGGTTTCTAGTCTTCCACTGCGTAAAGTAAAAGATTTTTTCATTCCTGTGCATTAAGGAAAAGATTTCTATTTTTCTTTAGTTTCTAGGTTTTTGTTGTTTTTAGCACAATTGTGATAATATTTAATTGTGTTTTTAAATCAGTGGTTAACCACCCTTAAAGGTACAACCTTTCTAGTGGAATCTCTTCTTTGCAATGAGTTATTCCCCCCAAAAGAGATAGTGAACCAATGATTTCTGTGCTTTTGTGGTTCATCCAGAAACTATCACAAGAGATGAGAACTTCTTGAAGCTGCTAAAAACATGAGCTATCACCTTAGCATTATTGCATTACTTGAGATCAAGGCCCCAAACAGGACAGTCTTGGCATCTAAATAATAGTGATTATATTTTGCTTAGTCAATCATTTATCCACTTACATGCATGTTCTCAGTAAGTGCTTCTCTTCTTGGTGGAAATTATTTTTGTCTCCCATTTGCAGGGTAATGTCTTGCCAGTATCTCTCATTTGCTGAAATCAAGGTGCTTTTCTCGTCCTCTTTGTTCAGTCAATGTTGCAGAGCCTGGATCTGAGGGGCCAGTCCATCTTCAGCACCGCCCACACCTATGGCCTCTACGTGAACTTCAAAAACTTTGTCTGCAACATCGGTGAAGATGCTGAGCTGTTCATGGCCCTCTACGACCCTGACCAGTCCACCTTCATCAGGTAGCAGACTCTGAGGTCATCTGCTGCAGCCTTGTGACAATAGCCGGCCTTTGCCTACCCCTACCAGAGGGCATCTTTGCTGAGTTTGAGAAAGGAAGGATTTCTAGGCAGAGGAAAATAACTTTCTTTGGGCTCTAATCCTTTCTACATGGCTGCTGAAGCAGGGCAGCAACTGCTTGTGTTCTCCTGGGTCTTAGAAATCCTCTAACACTCATCAGACACAGAGGCAGCACAGAGAATTCAAAAGACTGCAGGATGCCCAGGCTGCTGTGGCAGAGTCGAGTCCCAGCCTCACTAGACCACCAAGGGCTGTTGTCTCAGGAAGCCGCAGCAGGAACTGCGCTGACCTGATGCTCAGGCAAGCAAGGGAAAAGCTGAAAAGCGGCAAATTGCTTGCAAAAATGGATTTAAGGAAAAATGTATTAAGGAGAAAAGGAACAAAGTGAGAAACAAACAAAGTGAGAGACTCCCAGCTCCTGGACCAGGGCAGGTTGGGGCAAGGAAGCTCCAGTGAGTTGTGCCTCAGGGAATATGCACCTTCTTTCCCTGATTAGTCTAAAGCCCCATCAGTTCCTTTGTGATTGGTTAGTGCTGGGTGGTCTCACTCACTCTGCCTTAAAGTCTCTGTGCCCAGAATTAAGCCTCTGTCCCAGCCCATTAATCTTAGCATCCTTTTTCTTTATCGTCCTTGTTGGGCAATATCTTGTTACCCCTAGTCCTGGGGTGTTTGATTAGTTCCTTTGGAATTTGTTGCCCTTATCTCTGGAGCCTTCCTACTCCTCCAGGGCCCTTCCTATTCTATTCTGATCCTAGAAGCTGCCTCTTGCCCTATGGCTCAGGATCCCAGACTGCTTCTGGGACCCTCCCTAGAGCCTGACAAGGTCTGTGCTGAGGTCTGCAGAGCCTACTGTGGACCACCGGCTTCCTGACCCATGCAGACCTTGCTGAGGTGGGTTAAGCTTAACCCTGCAAGGGGATTGCCAGTTCCACAAGGCAGACTGCAGGATGCCCATGGCCTCTGAGCCTTGCCTTGCCCACCTGGCTGGGCTGCAAATTCGGCATTTTCTAAGGCAGGTGAGGTCCCCCTCCTCTGGACTTCACTAATTTTAGCATGTGCTTTTATCTGAGTTTCCCTTACAAAGTGATTCACTTTGTTCTGTGACTACCTTGCTGTGGGTACCTGGAGGAGATGAGCTCAGCCTCCTTACTGGGCTGCCCTCTTGCCCACCCTCACTAAGTGCTGCTCTTTTATCACTTAAGATCCAGGACTGTGGCCCTGCCTGTTATTATTAGCATTACAGTGAAGTGGATCCCTGAGACTATAGCAATGAAATGGGCAAGGGAAAAAGGACTTGTTGCCAAAGAAAAAAAGTGAGAAAGATGCACAAAAGAAAGATTAAAGGGTTCAGATATCTCTGTTTAATTTACCTTTGAGGTGAGGGGTGATCACAGAAGATACCCTTTTTCCTTATATTTTTTCTCAATGATTAAACAATAGGAGGATAAAGTGTAATATTCACTCTTAATCCCTTCTGCAAGTTCCCTGACCACCCCCCAAAAGAATCACAGATTATCATTTTAAAAATTTTCTGTGCAGTTAACGTATATATGCAGTTTCTGCTCCATTCTTCAAAAAAAAAAAAAACACATTTAAAAAACTACAAAAGTATTTTGTGAATTTTTTCACTAAGAAAATATCCTAGTGATTATTCCATATAGTTTCTTAAAATGTTGTCAATTTTTAATAAATAGTTGCTGGCATTACATTTGGTTTGCATATAGCATAAACATTCATTAGTGTATATATAAAGATTAACAGACTTATTTTTTTCCAATGCATTTTTAAATTGTTTCTTAATGTTGCTAAAAAAAACTCTTTAGGAGAAATTCCTGAAACAGTAAAATTTTTATGTTAATAATATTTTAATATTATTTATAAATACTGGTATATCTGTTTCAAATTTAAAAAAAAAAAAAAAAACCAAAAAAAAAGCCAAAAGACTGCAGGATGGGGGACAGGGGAGGTGAATTGGCAGAGCACAAAGGATTATAAGGCAGGGAACTACTCTATATGGTGCTATAATGGCAGATAACGTGCCATTAGACTTTAGTCCAGAGCCACAGAATGTATAACACCAAGAACACACCCTAATGTTAACTATGGACTTTGAGTGATTATAATATGTCAGCTTAACTTCATTATTGTTACAGATGTACAACTCTGGTGCAGGACTGGTTACAGTTGTACAACTCTGGTTGTGCTGTCTGTGCTGAGGGCAGATCCATCCCCAGGTAGCCCCTCATTAAGACTTTTCTTTTCTCTTCCCCAGTGAGAACTACCTAATTCGCTGGGGCAGTAATGGAATGCCCAAGGAGATAGAGAAGCTCAATAACCTTCAAGCAGTCTTTACTGTAAGTCCTGCCTTGTGTTTAACCATTTTCTTTATCCTGTTAGCAGATGCACATAAGTATGTGGAGAACATAAAAAAATATGAAAATTAACATTATCACCCACACTCATTCATTATTAACACCTGTTTTAGAGCACCTGTAAGTAGCCAGGCATTGGCTTGGGCTCTTGAGACCTGTGTCAGTGAATGAACCAGAAAAAAAAGTCCCTGTTAGGCCTCCCCTGGTGGCGCAGCGGTTGAGCGCTGGGCTGTGAAGCTCTGCAGCGCTGGTTCTATTCCCAGCCACCGGTGGGGGTCCCACATGGTGCGCAGACCTCTCCTGCCACCCGCTGCTCCCCTCAGCAGTGTATTTTGTCACTCTGCCTGTTCTGTTCCCCTCTCTGGCTCTGGTGAATTCTCTCACCTTCCCGCACTTCTGACTATACCCAGTGCTTGTATAATAAATAAATAAATCTTAAAAAAAAAAAGTCCCTGTTGTCAAGGTGCTTTCATGCTCATAGGAAGATAGTAATAGACAATAATCAAGTAATGAATGATTGTGTAAGATGTCAGAAGTCCCAGTGCTTTGGTGGAATGGAGAATTTCCGGGTTGCCCTTTAAAGGAGGTGGGTCAGGGCAGACCTCTGTGTGAGCTACTTGAGCAAGAACTTGAAGTTGATGGGAGTGAGCTTTGCAGATAAAGGGAAGAAGCATTCCAGGTGGGGTTACAGCCAGGTTACAGCTGGGGCAAAAGTGGACCTAGCTGGATTTTTGCTTTTAAAGATTTCAGAAGACTTGTCCTTCTTTTCCTGCACTTCTCCAACGTAGGAGGAATGTTGCTATATATGGATCAAGAACAAGGAAAAGTACTGGACTGTGGGTGGGGCATGGGGACTCTCTTTCTTTTAGATTAGACACTTTCTAGGAGTTCTCTTACTTTTTTATGATATTGGTATTTAAAGAGTCCTGAAGCTGTGGCCCTCTGGGTGGACAGTTCCACCCATAGGCCTCAAGGAGATACTTGCTTCCTTTTATCCTTTTTTCCTGATGCCCACATCATATTTATCTCCTTATTCTCTCACCATGTTTATGGCAAGGGAAATGATAGAATAGTAGCCCCCATAGAAGTTCACTTCATTCATTCATTCATTCATTCATTCATTCATATTTCTGTTAACAGCCCATCCCAGAACATACGTGGTCTGATCACTGTCCTTGCACTGAACTATCTATTCTTTACCCCATGGTAAAAAAAAAAAATCATGAAAACATTGGGTATGTTATTAAATTATTTCTGATGTTTAAATAAATGAGATATGTGAACTCATTCATAGAGTATCTTGTCTGTTCTTAGGAATACGGGTAAGTTAGCACATAAGCCACAAAAAACAGATAGTTCACCTGCACATGTCCCATTAATCAACACATCCAAAAACTCTCAATGGAAATTCCTCATAAAAGAGATGTATGATTACAGAAAGCAATTCATGTAAATGTCTGTGTTACAGACGGGATTATTTGGAAAATGAAATGAAATATCATCAGTGTGTGTGAATGCCCAATAAATGTCAATGTTTTGCAAGTTTAATTTCATTTGACACTGAAATGCATCCTATACTCAGACATGTCTGGGCAGGATATGAAGTAGCAATGATAGGTGTCCTGGCTTTTAAAACACCCTGCTTAAGTTGATAAAGACTTTAGCTTGAATATGATCTGATTTCTAAATATGAAGTAGGAACTGGGAAATAAAAAATCCTTTTCTGGATGCAAAGTTACTTTTCTCTGACACTATGGTAGTTCTTCGGTGGGTTTGGGGAAGAGAGGATTGTTTCTGGTATTTCGGCCTTAGGAAGTCTCGTCTTGTTATAGGACAGGGAGAGGGTCAGCCCAAACCCCGCAAACCTGCCTATTCTAAATGGGTTCTGCCATCCGCCGCATCAACACAAAACATAGGAGACTTTAATGGGAAGGAACTTTAATAAAAACTAGGAAACAATACAGGTGAGGCAAAGAGTCTAGTTTCTAGATGAAGCACCCAAAGCTACCCATCCCCTCGTGGGTAAAAGTCCATCCATATGGGAATGGCGCAGAGCAAAGCCCCAAAGCCTGCTACAAGTCTAAAGCACCTTCCAGTGGGGACCCACAGAAAAGGGTCACAAACAACCGGACAAGCCCGGAAGGAAAAGAGCAAAATCAACATCAAGATAAAAGCTGCCATGGTCACCTCCCCACGGGTCTCACCCACATCTGTGTCACCCAGTCCACGACCAAAAGACAAGCACAGTTTCTTCACGTGTCTCTAGGCTCCATGTGCCTCCTCCAGGTCTCCTGGCTCCATCCTGCTTCCTTCCTCAGTCTCTTCTGCCGCTTCTCCTCTTCCTGCTCAGCTCCACCCTCCCTTGGGTGGGGCAGGGAACCTCCCCCTTTCCTGGGGACCACCCTGTTACAGTCTGAATGGCATTCTGTTAGAGGGAAAAGGAAAGTGACACACTGACAGGTGACACAGGGTGATCTCCTTTCATGTGTTCTCTTCCTCCCCTTAGGACCTCAGCAGCACAGACCTAATCCGGCCCCGCATCAGCCTCGTGTGCCAGATTGTCCGGGTGGGCCACATGGAGCTGAAGGAGGGCAAAAAACACACTTGTGGACTCCGAAGGCCCTTTGGGGTAGCAGGTACAGAAGGACCCACAGACAAATGTAAAGGGGTGCAGCTACTTGAAAAACAGTGTGGCAAGTCCTGAAAAAATTAAACAGAACCCATGATCGAGCAGTCCCACTTGTGGGCATATACCCAAAAGAACTAAAAACAGGGTCCTGAGATATTTTTACACACATGTTCATAGCAGAATTATACACAGTAGTCAAAAGGTAGAACAACCCAGATGTACATTAACAGAGGATAGATAAACAAATGTGGTATATCCATATAATGGAATATTACTCCACCTAAAAAAGGAAGGAAATTCTGACATGTTACAACGTGGATGGACCATGCAGCGAGTATGTTTAGAAAAATAAGCCAGTCACAAAGACAGATACAGTATGATTCCACTTACACAAGGTACTGTGAGTAGTCAAATTCATAGAGACAGACAGTGGGGTGTGGTTGCTGGGGGTTGGAAGCTGGTACATGGGAAGTTAGTTTTAATGGATACAGAGCTTCAGCTGGGGAAGATGGAAACATTCTGGCTGCAATTAATGCATTTTACTTAGAAATGATTAAATTGGTAAATTTTACCATGATTAAAATGTTTTTAGAGAAAAATAGAGATGAAGAGAAAAGGGAGAGAGAGAAGGATGCAGACCCAGAGACAGTACAACATGCACCTGCTTCTCATCATCAGAATTGGACACCAGCATTTACTGCCTGGGGCTGCAGTTACCTTCCCTTGGATTCTAAGTCCTCACCTGCACTTCCCCCCTCATGTTTTTTTCTCCCTCCTATGTATGCCCAGCAGTCCTACATACAATTGTGTATATTCAGTCTAAAACCTCAGTTGTGACTATTGGAATCTCCCTGCCTGAGGCCACATACTGATTTCAATGGAATAAAATACTCCCTGAAAAGTAATTTGCCTTTCTAGGAAATTACTTTTCAAAGGCAACCTTGTTTCTAACTAGTTTCTAACTATTTTCAAAGAGGGTCCTTAACTTCAGTCAAACCCCCACACCCTTCTAAGAGTCCCTATGTTTTGCTCTGTAATTTGTTAAATTGAGGAAATATATTCTTAGTTTTACATTGACATTTGCTCACTAAGAAATTTTGACAGTTATCTGCAAAATATCCTAGTTCCACTCTTGGATCGGGGACCCAGAAACTCCATGCTGTCAGGTCAACCTTGTAGGTTACGTGCACAATGAGGTGGCTTCTCCTCCCATAAGGCCCTTGGTCTGTGCATCCCTTGAAGCCTGGTGCACCCCACCTGCTGTTCAACCTGTCCCAATCTCTGACCAGAGAACTAATTCTCTGACTAGAGAACTAAAATGAAATCTCAGAAAAGGCAAGGAGCCCTAACCCAGACCAATGTAATCATCTCTCCAGCAATTTCTTTATTGTTCCATAAAAGAATTTAAGTCATATTCACTCAAAATTGACCAGGGAAATTCCAACATCAAGTTTGAGACCTTTGTTTTCTCTGTGTGTGTGTGTTCAAGGTGTTGATAGTGGTGGAATGAAGAGGAGATAAATTTACTCTGCACGTTGATGCTGAACATCAGCAGAGTTTGGGTGTAACTAGATAATGTTGACAAGCCGTGTGGTTGGAGGAGTCAAATACAAATTTTGTGATTTTTTTTCAGGGTTCTATTAAGAGCTGAATGTCATGCCTGCTTCTACACCTTCCTTTCACCAACATTAGTATTCCCTAAGCCTTGCACACTGTGCTATTTGGTATACTTTGAAAAGGCATTACCCTCCCTTAGTTTTTCATATGAAAGTTGTCTCATATCTCACTATTTCTTTTCATCTTCAAACTGCTTATAAGTAAAGTAGATTGTTAGTTGTGTTTATGGCCAGATTGTAATTTACTAACCAAGGGATTCCCTCTTGCCTAGTTTCAGCAGCTATAGAATAATGCTAATTGTTTTCCCACTGGTAATAAGTAGGCCATACCTGGCTTTGCTAGGTAAAACTTCTGACCTAGGATAAGATACTTACCTCTCCTGTTCTCAGTTTCCTCATCTCTTAATTTAGGGCCAGCACTAATGTTTGTAGAAATAAGATAATATGTGCCATAGGCTTAGAACAATGATGTATTAATTGCTCTTCTTGAACATGAAGAAGTAAATCACTGGGCCATCAGTTCTATGCTGCTACTGCCCTGGCTTCCCCTCATTTATGTGAAACCAGGTGAGAATATGTCGAGTCGAAGGGAGAGATGACCACCTCAAGTCTTGAGTTTCTCCCCAGATCTTTAATTCTTTTGACAATCCTGCCAAAAATGTTTTCTCTGGATCTTACTCAAAAGTAATCCAGTTACAGGTTTCACAAGAATTAGCAACTCAGTCTTGTAGGGTTTTTTAAAAAGGGGTAGTCTGCAGGATGAATATGAGAAAAGCTCCTGCATGAGCTCCTAGTGAATTCCTCTTCTACTTGGCTGGGAATATGGAATCACCATTAGCAAAAAAATAAAAGAAATGCCCCTACTTGGTCTCTTTCTTCCTCCAGTGTTTTGTGTTTGCCGAGACTGTAATTTTCCATAGTAACTTAGTGAGGCCTGAAGCAATTAGTTTCTTCAATTACATTTATCTTTTTCCTAGTGATGGATATTACTGATATCATACATGGGAAGGTGGATGATGAAGAAAAACAGCATTTTATTCCCTTTCAGCAGTAAGTACTTTGGCATTTCTCCCAGGTGACTTGAGACCTGTATTAGCCCTTTGGATGATGTGTTAACACAGAATCAGGTGCTAGGCATCATTTGCTCAGGCAGGGAAGGAAAGCTTCAAGCTAGAAGATTGTCAGATAGGAGCTGACAGGAGACTTCATGCAAAATCCTTTGTACTGGACTCTAAATTTAAGAGGGTAAAGTGAACTTTCCTATTTCTATAGAAATGACCGTAAAAGTATTAAGTAGCAAATGGGGATCTGCATGGAAACCAGAGGATAGTACCGTCTAATTGTCAGAAATGTCAAAATATAGCTGTGCTTTATCTTATGGAGCAGGGGTTATAGAAAAACAGGAATCACATTGGACAGTCCGGGGCTTCTCAAACTGTAACACACATGACTCCCCCTGGGAAAAGGCAAAATGGCACCCAGTACGTCTGCACCCAACAAACTTCTAGGTGGTGCTGATGCTGCTGGCCTGGGGACCACACTTTGAGTTGCAAGGATTTTGGAGGTGCAGGAGTGAAGGACTGACTCATCTCCAAGTGGAGGAAAAGCCAGCCTGGGGGTCCATGATATGAAAGCTATATAAAGTATGTAATATGTACATATGATGTACAGAATGATAGGAATGATCACATTCATAGATATAAAAGTTATTCTGATTGACATACAATATTTAATTACAAATATATATATATATAAAATAACATTCACAGGTACAAAAGTTATTCTGCTTGATATGTATATTTGACTATCAAGTAGGACCAGCATTCATAAATGAGAACATTATTCTGCTTCATATACAATATGTCAAATAGCAATATATATAGATATGAAAGCTGTTCTATATATATAATTATATACATGATGTTTCCTTATCAATGTATCTAAAATAGGAGCAGTGTTCATGAATATGAAAGTATCTGAAATAGGGCCTCCCCAGTGGCACAGTTGGTTGAGCGCAGCACTGTGAAGCTGTCTGCAGCCTCTGCAGTGTGGGTTCGATTCCTGGCCGGCCAGAGAGATACCCACATGGCGCAGCAGACCTCTCTTGTCTCGCCCACTGCTCCCCTCAGCAGTGTATTTCAGTCAGTCTGCCTGTTCCGCTCCCCACTCTGTCTCTGGTGAATCCTCTCACCCTCCCATGCCTCTGGCCTGTACCCCAGCTCTTGTATAAATAAATAAAATCTTTAAAAAAAATCTCTAAAATAAAAAAAAGTATCTGAAATATGTACCAGTATATTTGTTTCAGCTTTGAGGTGGGCTTCTTCTCTGGTTGATGTGCCGCCCTGCTTGGCCCCTGTGCCAGTGCTTGTCTGGCAGCCATGTTGAAATCGCCCTGACAATGCGTCACCCACAGAATACAGTGCTGCATTTCGGAGGAGCTGAGTCCTAATGTGATTACAGCTCGCTGTGCAGCCAGCAGCCTCTCTAAAGTGTTTATGATGCAAGTTTCAACCGCTGGCATTTAACTCTCTAAGATTTATGGTAAAGTTTTCCTCCATTACTTACCTCAAGAGCTTTCTAGAGTATTCTATTTGGAGAATGTGATATGAGTATCTACCACACTGTCTAAGAAAACAACAGCTGAGATTATAACAATCCCAGTTTTCAGTAACACATTGCAGTATGATTCCCCCTACTGTAAGGGTACAGATCTGAACCCTCTGGGAAGCTGGCCCGAGAATAAAACCACCACAGAGAAGACTAGAGTCTTTTGTCCTGCGCCAGGCTGATACTAGTTCCTGATAGCATGTGTGCTGTTAGTAGAATGGGGGCTTTGATGGAGCCTCAGCCTGATTTGACCATTAAAGTGAAGCTTGTTTGCTGCTACTTGTCCATTGTCATCATAAAGGAACCGAAGAACACCCTCTAGATGTCTCTGCATGCTCTGCTCTCATATGTTGACACAGCCTCAGAGGGAGACTTTCAAGTCACATGACCCAGGTCCATGAAGCCAGGAAGGGGACTCTTGTGGAACTCACTGTCAAGTGAAAGCCAAACTGGAGGCTGGGTCTCCGGTCTCTCTTCTGGCCCTTCTATCCCATTGCAGCAACCCTCTTCCACCTTGTAAAGGCAATCAGCCATTGCCTCTGATTTTAGTGGCTAACATTTTGTTTGTTCTTGTTTTCCTTCATTGCTGCAAGTCATTTCCTAGATGAAATTGGGGTCTAAGATAGGCGCCCAATGAAAAGTAAAAGAAAGTAGATAATCTTACAATTAAGAATGTTTAGTATTTCTGTTTCCTAATTATTCCCTTAGGAGCCACCACTCTGAGACTGTGCTACAAACTTCCTTTTTTCTTACCTCTCATTTCTGTCTTTCCCAGAATTGCGATGGAAACGTATATCCGGCAGAGGCAGCTAATCATGTCACCGCTGATAACGTCCCATGTGACTGGGGAAAATGAGCCGCTCACTTCAGTCTTGAATAAAGTGATAGCAGCAAAGGAAGTGAATCACAAAGGACAAGGTGCACAGTCCTGTGTTCTCAGCTGAGAGGGGACCTGGGGGCGGGGGTGACATTCACAGTGAGTTTTTGGACTCCTGCCCCTTCATGATGTGTCTCTGATACAAAGCAGACCTCAGCTTGCTGCTGAAACCATTGGACACTGATGAGCTCTGAGAAGGTGCCAGCACTGAACTGAATCACAGCTGTAGTTTCTGAATTTTATGGAACAAATTTTTACCCCATGAATCTTTCCTCATTTTTTTTCTACCCTACAATCCCAACACTGACCTACATAAATGCACGAAGATATTGATGCACAATTATGTTCCACTCTCTGAATATGTTTATTCCTTTCCAGTTCCTAAAATTGATAGGAAGGAGACCAAAGTAATACAAATGAATATGTATCGATATAAAATAATAGACTAACTAGCAAAACTTAGTATTTTTAGTAATTCCATTTATTGTTCTGTTGACACAGTTTTAATTAAAAGAAGTTCTATGAATTGAAACTGCATTTTAAATTCAGATAATAAAGAAAAATAATTCAAAATTTTAATTTAAATCCAAGGGTGGTGAGGATTTTGGGATAAGTTTGATTTTGAATATAAGTCATTTTTCCCCCTACCATCCTGTAACTGCCTTCCCAAGTAGAAGCAATCAGGACACATCATTTTCAGCATATTTAGTTTCCCATGCATTTATACCTGTTCAGCGCATGTCGGTAATCATTAAAGAATCTGAAAACTACTTAAAGTATTTCTGTTACTTTAGAGCTCGTACTCTAACAGTATATTCAGTTAGGGTGGAAAACCTTTGTACTAAATAGATTGCTGTGTATGTGCAATTACTTAAAAATCAAACAAAAAATAACTTCTGTTTCTTAACAAAACAAGCACTTTTCAAATATTTTTATGCTCTTCAAAAATATTTTTTGTGGTTATATATTATTCCATCATTTGGATTTAAGGTAATGAAATAAACACTTGAGTGCTTCCTAATTTGTCATCACTATATATTTAGATAGCTGTACTATAACTACCTTTATAAATGAAGTTTTTTCCATACTTTGAACTGTTTCCCCACAAAATCTCCAGAAACTGGATTTCTGGGTCAGATGATTAGAGCAACCTTAAGCCCAGAGATATACTATCACCAGATTGTTTTTCATAGATTTCTACCAGTAGATATTAATTACCATCTTGCCTGCTTTGGTAAGTAGTATTTAAAAACCTTTGCCAGTTTGAAAGGTGAGATGTAATCTTCATGGTTCTCTTGCATTGTAAAAATCTACTTAAAGATGAACTATCTAGTTTCATATGTGTTTGTGAGTTTTCTAAAGTTTTTATTCTCAGTTTTATGAGCTCTTTATATAAATGAAGATTACACTGTCTTATTTATTAGCACATTTCCCATTTTTTGGTTTGCCAAGTATTTATAAGCATCTTGTACATTGTTGTAGATTGTCTATTTATGTTCTATTTGTTTGCCTGCATTTCAGTGTTTTTCTTCTAATGAGTATAAACTCATAATATCCTATGAATTTTTGTACCATTTTACAGTATCTTTTACATTTTGATGAATTTCAAAATTTTCAGTTTGTAGATAATTCTTTTGCTTTTGTGATTTCATCATGTTTCTTAGGAAAATGTCTGATTCTCAGTTTTAGTAAGAATTTTACCATATATTTGATTGATTACTATTTGATTACTATTTTACCATATATTTGATTGCTGTAAAATACTTAATCCCATTGTTTTTACTAATTTTTATATCTTTTCTACCACTACTATCATTACATTTTCTATAAATAGTATTGCTATAGTTGTATAGTCCTTGATTTTCTGATAAGTGCTGTCTTTACTACTTGTTTTTTCCTCAAAGCAAATATCTGTTTATGTCTCAGTCTAATTGTCTAAGAAGTCCTGGTGTGCTTTTGATTGGAGTGTCATTAAAATTATAAGTTAATTGAAAGAGACTATCATCTTTATAATAAGACACCTGTTTATCAATACAATGCACATACTTTCTCAGCATTTATGGTATGTTTATTATTTATTACACAGAACTAAGCTTATCTTTTATTTCTTTAAAGGACTTTGGGTGTCTTTGAAGCTATTGCCCGGGGACCTCACGCAGGTTCAGAAGAATTTTTCACACTTGGTGGACAGATCAACTGCAATAGCCCGGAAAATGGGCTTTCCGGAAATAATTCTTCCAGGTAAATGCTTTGCTTGGCACTTATTCTGCATCCTCTAGGGCATACTTTCATGCAGCAGCTACTTGTAAGAGGACAGTGGCAAAGTGGATCTGGAGATTTCATTATCTACAGTCAGACTACCAAGCTAGTGGGAGAGACCAGCAGGGTTGATACCTCTCTTCGTGGCTTGTAGATGGCCACCGTCTCCCTGTACCTTTACCCTGTATCTTTTTTTTTTTTTTTAATAGAGGCATGTTTTCTTTCTTCCTTCCTTCCTTCCTTCCTTCCTTCCTTCCTTCCTTCCTTCCTTCCTTCCTTCCTTCCTTCCTTCCTTCCTTCCTTCCTTCCTCCCTTCCTCCCTTCCTCCCTCCCTCCCTCCCTCCCTCCCTCCCTCCCTCCCTTCCCTCCCTCCCTCCGCACTGGTACAGTCAGAAGCACCGGAGGGTGAGAGAATTCACCAGAGCCAGAGCAGGGAGCAGAACAGGCAGACCGAAGTACACTGCTGAGGGGAGCAGCGGGCGGCAGGAGAGGTCTGCGCGCCATGCGGGACCCTCCTCTGGTGGCCGGGAAGCAGCCGGGGATCGAACCGGCGGCGCAGAGGCCGCGGGCAGCTTGCAACCCAGCGCTCAACCGCTGCGCCACAGGGGAGGCCCTACCCTGTATCTTTATCTCTGTTCAGATTTCTTCTCCTGATGACATAAGTTATATTAGGTTAGGACCCATCGTGTGCCTTAATTTTACCTTGATTACCCTATTAAGGCCTCTCTCCAAATACAGTCACACTCTGAAGTCCTGGAGGTTAGAACATCAACATAAGAATGAGTCCTCCATCCTTCGCTCCTGTATTCTCTCCTTGGCAATCTCTTCCACTCATTTGGCTTCTGTGGGTTACTTACCTCTAAATTCATATCTCAGGCACTGAGACCATTCCTTTGAACTCCATTACCATAGATCTGACTGCTTTGCCTACCCCCAGTGGGATTGCTCTTGAGCTCTAACTGGTTAATTCTAACTGAAAATCCCAATTTGGAATTCACAATCCTGTGCTTCTACACCTTGCCCTTCTATTGAGTTTTATCTAATAGAATGGTACCTGCATCCATCCAGGTGCATTAGTAAGACACCTGAAAGTCACCCTTGACACCCCCCCTTTTTCCTGACACTTCATCCAAAATTAGTGGCCAGTTTCACCTTTTAAAGAACTTTCAAATCCATCCCCTTCTCTTTATCTCCATTGCCACTACCTGAGTTTTAACTGCTATTATCTCTTTCCTAGACACCAGCCTTAGCTTCATAACTAGTTTTCCTGATTCTGTTCTTTCTTTTATAATCCTTTTTTTTTACACTGTAGCATGAATGGTCTTTTATGAAAACCCACCTGATTTTTCTCCATTGCTGAAAACACTTTGATGACTTCTTTTTAAATCTAGGATGGAGATCCAAATTCTGAACTTGGCCTGCAAGTCCCAGAGAGATTTGTCTTTTGTCTGTCTCTGTAGCCTCATCTCATTGCAGATCTCCCCTTTCCTTGTCAAGACTTCTGTCAGTTTGTCTTCTACCTCTGGGCCTTTGCACATGCTACTCTCTCTTTTACTCTCATCCCTCCAGTATCAGCTCAAAGGAAAGATTCCCACATCCTTCAGATAAGGTTGGAACATAGTGCTAGCTTGTTCACAGAGCCTGGCCTGTTCCTTCATTTGTTATGATACATTTAAGTGTGTTATTATCTCAATACTTTTCCCCACCACTAGACTATGAACTGTATGTTCATAGTGAGACTCACCATCATCTTCCAACAGCTAGCACAGTTCCTGGTACAGAGTGGCTGCTCAGTCAAGTTTTTAAATGAGTAGATGGACGCATCATTCTCATCTGATTGTACTATCATTAATTCAACCAATTGTCAATGGCTATCTATTGAGAATGTTTCCAAGTTTTCACTTTCATCAAACACACCACAGAGGATATCTATAAATATTACTCATGGAGTTACTGTAGCAGACTTTTAATATAGGTTGTCAGTATCTTCATTGACAAAAATATGTCAATTAAGATTCCAAATTGTAACATAACTAAGTCCCTTTTCTTCACCCTCACTGAATGTGGCAAAATCTTAGTTGTTTTTCCACTCAGATAATGATGAAAAACCAATGCCCTGAAAGTGAACCCCTATTTTCTGATAGTGCTGTCAGGTTTTATTTCTTACACTGGGAGACACCTTAATATAGTACAATTAAATGTTTGTGCTGGTAAAAAATGACTCTGGAATTGGTAAAACAATTAAGCTCAGTTATATAAACAGGAAGTAAACTACAAGTTTCAGAAATTATCTGTTTCATAAGGTTGTTATATGAATTTTAACAATTAATGCGTATAGACACTTTGAACAGTGCCTGATACATAATAAGCATTCAGTAAGCATTAGCTTCATTATTCTCAGATGTGTTAAAATATCACTCTCCAAGGCATTACTGAACAAAAATCTGCCACTATAAACTAATAAGATATGTTATTATTAGGTAATAATTATTTTAAATAAAACCAAAAATTACTACTAGAAAGCATTAATCTTTTTAAACTATATTTGAAAGACATCTAGGCAGGTAAGCAGAATTGAAGTAAGCTGAAGAGAACAACAGTACATATAAAAAATCACTGTATGAAGTCAGGGCCTTTCATATTTTGCCCATCTATTATATCTGTTATGTGCTAAAAATTAGAAATGACTTCTCTCAGCACGTTTGGTTGTTATTTGTAGGAGATGTCCGGAATGACATTTATGTCACCCTGATCCATGGCGAGTTTGACAAAGGGAAAAAGAAGACGCCAAAGAATGTAGAGGTCACTATGTCTGTGTATGATGAAGAAGGCAAGCTCCAGGAGGTGTGTGGTGTCACCCGAAAAGTCTGCTGCCATCACATGCTTCTGTACAGGACAGTGGACTTGACCTGATGTTAACTGGGTGCATTTGGTTTTTCATAATGAAAAGTATGAAATCTAGTCAAGATGTGATAAGCAGTTACCAATTTTGCCTATAAGCCCATTTAGATTCTTCTTTTCATATTTCTCCTGTGTTAAGAAATACTTCAAACCACTGATTATTTTATGTGTAAAATTCTGGTGCAGAAGTTCTGTGTTATTTTCAAGGTATTTAGCAACACTTACAAGCCAGGTCAGTTCCTCTGCGGCTTGAGGGAAGTGGTATGCATGCCCAGAGGCACTGAAAGGCACATTCCTCAGCTGGTGACAGAACCGAAGGAGACTTGTGCAATAGAGAGCTATTAAAGCAGAGGAGCTCTGGGCTAGCATTCAGCTACCACTGCTTTTTATTTTTGTCATCAGGAAACTCCAGTCCCAAAAGCATCCGTTACTTTCTCAGGAAAAGACAGGAGTGGGTAGAAGAGCCAGGAATGGACCCAGGTTCCCTGACTTCCAGTGCAGAGCTCCTGCAGCTCTGTCCTAGGGAGTAGTTAGTCTTGATTCTGAGACATCAAAGTGAAGCATGAAAATGTGGTGGCTACAGGGACCTCTCATTGTCCCAGCTGAAATCTGGCTCCTCTTATTGAGTCATAGTTATCTGGTTTGGAATCCAAGAATCAAGCCCTCCGTCCACTCATGTAGGTTCTTGAAAGCACAATGAAGTACACAACCTCCTCGCTCCCCAGGGAAATGATAATAAAACAATTGGCTAAGTCAAGTCATATTCTGTGATGAAGTGATTAATAGAATGCTGTGAGCCCTGGCTGCAGCTGACTTATTACTATAGCCCTTGGACCACTGAGTTCATTTCAGGTGCACACCTTCTCCTGGTTGGTCATTTCATCACTGTCCTAGCTGGCTGGACGGCCCCTTTAGAGGCCTGGGTGTACTAAGCTAGCGTTTCATTGCTAGGAACAGACACAGCCTAAGTTTAAATTAATGTCCACCAGGTACTCAGAAAACCGTATAGACAGGAGGAAAGAATCATTTCCCTCGCAGGGCAGTGAGTCTGCACATGTCTGTCACTCCCGGTCACCTTCACTAGGCCTGCGGGTCCTCAGAGAGGAATGAAAGAGGGTATCGTGTAGGATGGAAGAGAAAATAAAAGTTACAGCAAAGAGGAATGTTAAGATGGGGCTGGGTTCCTACATGACTATTCCACTTGTCTGCTGAGATCCTCACAGAAAGTAGTACAAACTTATTCTTTCTCTACTCTTGTCCTTCAAAGGTGATCCTTGCATGCCTCAGTGCAAGGCACGTGGCGGTCATATGGTGGGCAGGAGACTCATGTAGAGTGCAGTATCTTTTCTAGATGATGTTTTCCCCTCCTAACTTTTTTCCTTTCCATCCAAAGAAAGCAATTCACCCTGGTGCTGGATATGAAGGCATTTCAGAGTACAAATCAGTTGTGTATTACCAAGTCAAGCAACCATGTTGGTACGAGACAGTCAAGGTGAGAAGGTGCCGTTTGTACCCCTGTCCTATGTTAGCCTTGTTTAGATTCATTTCTGTTCTTCACCCGCACGTTATTCCTACCTTATCCTACCTAGTTCTATGGTGTGAAATAAGAAAGGAATCTGTAGCTATAATTTTGTATGAGAGCATTGATCTTTATTAAACTCAGAACTTTTTTTTGTTTTTATTTATTTTTTAAATTTAATTATTTTATTTTATATTTTACATCCTTTTACATTTTTGCTTAATATATGCATTTTCATCTTGGTTATATTCCCCATACAATTCCCACCCCCCTTATTTTGACCCTCTTAATTCTCAAAATTAAATGTGTAGAGACTGGAATAGAGAAAGTTGTGGTTCTAACAGGCTGCCAGGATGGTCCAAAACAAATGGAAATTTTCACCCTCTGCAGGCAGTTCCCTTGGCCTTTGACCTTGGCCAGTTTCTTCTTGGCCTTTGACCAGGCCTCTTTTCAGTTTAACTGTATGTATTAGCAATTCCAAAGTGCTTTTCAAGTCAGTCACAATAGCCCAGCAGCTAAAACAATCAGGTGTTGTAATGCCTGCTAACTAATTGGGCCCCAGGACTCCAAGAAGTTTAGCAACTTCCTAAGATCCCAGAACTACTTAGGGTCAGACCTGAACTGGAGCCCACTTCTGAATCCCTGGCTGCACCGGTTCCTTCTGATTGTCAGGGTTTTATGAGCTCTTTCATAGAAAATGCAGGGGGGAAAAGCCTCCATTAGGGCCTTCCTGGTGGCGCAGCGGTTGAGCGCTGGGTTGCGAAGCTGCCTGAAGCCGCTGCGGCACTGGTTCAATCCTCGGATGCTCCCCGGCCACTGAAAGAGGGTCCCTAATGGCGCGCAGACCTCTCCTGCCGCCCGCTGCTCCCCTCAGCAGTGTACTTCGGTCCTTCTGCCTGCTCTGGCTCTGGTGAATTCTCTCACCCTCCCACGCTTCCGATGGTACCCAATGCTTGTATAAATAGATAAATAAATAAATCTTAAAAAAAGAGAAAAAGAAAAAGACATTTCTCCTTAAAAAAAAAAAAGCCTCCATTAATATCTCATTTCATGGGTGACCATTTTTTTTTTTAATAATAAATTTTATTTTTATATTCCCCATACAATTGCAGCCCCCCCATTCTGACCCCAATCCCTCCCCTCCCACCCCGCCCCCTAAAAGTGTCTCTGGTTCGTAGTTTTTTGTTGATCTTGATTTTCACTTTCTTATAGTTATTCGTTTTCCTGGTCCCTTATTTAAGTTTTCTAGATTCCTGCTATGAGTGAGACCATCCGGTATTTTTCTTTTTCTTTTTGGCTTATTTCGCTGAGCATGATCCCTTCCAGTGCCATCCATGTTGCTGCAAATTGCATGTGTTTATCTTTTTTGAATGCTGAGTAATATTCCATGGTATATATGTACCACATCTTCTTGATCCAGTCATCTATTTTTGGGCATTTGGGTTGTTTCCAAAGCTTAGCTATTGTAAACAGTGCTGCTATAAACATAGGGGTGCAGGTGTTCTTTGGAATTGATGTTTCTGTGTCCTTTGGGTAAATACCTAGGAGTGGAATTGCTGGATCCTATGGAAGCTCTATGTTTAGTAGGTCCAGAAATCTCCACACAGCTCTCCACAGTGGTTGGACCAGTTTGCACTCCCACCAACAGTGCAGAAGAGTTCCTTTTTCTCCACACTCATGGGTGACCATTTTAACACAATTTTATATACGTCCAATGTTTTGAATTATGGTGTTTATACAAGCATATTGTACTTTAAGAAAAAAACCTTGTTTTGAGGCATTAGAAGTCCTGCAGAAATGTATTTTTAGATACTTACATAATATTTTATTATATAATAGGTCCTCAGTTAACATCATTGATTGGTCCTTGGAAACTGCCACTTTCTTTTATTTTATTTCTTTTTTTAAATATAAACCAGAGACACACTGGTGGGAAGGGGAGGAGAGAGTAGGGTCAAACTAAGGGGGGGTGGGAATTGTATGGAGACTATAACCAAGATGAAAATGTGCAAAAAAAGTGCAAAAAATGAAAAATGATGTAAAAAATATATAAAATTAAAAAAATAAAAAGTAACATTTCAAGAAAAAAGAAAATGCACTTTAAATGAAAAAACATAATGAAATCCGGTCCTCAAATAACATTTCATAATGTTGTTTCATTCAGCATTGGCCTGGGTTGTTTTCTTCCTCATCAATATTAGAACAGGATGACGAGTGGACCCGCTGCATGATTATGCCACAGTTTACTTAACTGTTCACCACAGTTGTCTGCTCTTTTTTTGCCCTGTGCCTCCATTTTCCTTGTCCCCAGTGTTCTACATTTTCCTTCTGTTTTAAAGACCCTAATCGTTACCACATCGGCAGTGTCTTACAACCTGAAATGTTCTTTGTGGACTTCTTTTTCCTGTGTCATACTTGAGAAAATACTAGAAATTTGAAATATCTTAGAATATATCCATTCTCAGGATCTTAAAAATAACAGATGATCTCCTCTTGAGATTCTTTTGGTTTGAAATTGCTAAACTTCCTTTGAGTAAAATCTCATGTCAAGACTTCTCTAGAGGAATTAGTGCTGTGATGAGAAACTAAAAGCAAGCCTGGTTCTATGAAATACTGTGAGCATAAAGTAATGTACGTATATGTGTGTGTATATATACATACATATAAACTGTTATATATATTAATTATATACAAACTATTAAGTACATGTAACTGTTATAGGACAGGGAGAGGGGCAGCCCAAACCCCACAAACCTGCCTATTCTAAATGGGTTCTGCCATCCGCCGCATCAACACAAAACATAGGAGACTTTAGTGGGAAGGAACTTTAATAAAACTAGGAAACAATACAGGTAGGGCAAAGAATCTAGTTTCTAAATGAAGCACCCAAAGTTACCCATCCCCTCGTGGGTAAAAGTCCATCCATATGGGATCGGCCCAGAGCAAGGCCCCAAAGCCTGCCACAAGTCTAAAGCATCTTCCAGTGGGGACCCACAGAAAAGAGTCAGAAACAACCAGACAAGCCCGGAAGGAAAAGAGCAAAATCAACATCAAGATAAAAGCTGCCATGGTCACCTCCCCATGGGTCTCACCCACATCTGTGTCACCCTGTCCACGACCAAAAGACAAGCGCAGTTTCTTCACGTGTCTCTAGGCTCCATGCGCCTCCTCCAGGTCTCCTTCTGGTTCCATCCTGCTTCCTTCCTCAGTCTCTTCTTCAGCTTCTCCTCTTCTTGCTCAGCTCCACCCTCCCTTGGGTAGGGCAGGAAACCTCCCCCTTTCCTGGGGACCACCCTGTTACATAACTATTAATATATTACAAATAAATATTATAATTAAATGTTAATTACATGAATACATATTACATATTATATATACATATCTATTAATTATATTAATTATATAAACAATAATTACCTATTTTGCGCAGGTATCTATTGCTATAGAAGAAGTTACTCGCTGCCATATAAGATTTACCTTCAGACACAGGTCGTCTCAGGAATGTGAGTATTAGGAGATCTGTGACATAGTTCCATTTAAAAAGTATCTGTTATTGCTTGACAGCACTTTTGTTCATCTGCAGAATAAGATACTTAGAAACTAGATACTTGGCATCTTTATTTCAGGATTGATTGGTGCTAAGGAATCAGAAAAATGAATTTTTCTGGCCTTCCAAGAACTGTTTATCATTTATACCAGAATTTCCCGCAAATGTTCTGTGAATTATATTCTATGAAGATGAAATGTTCTGTGAATCCTAAAGTCCCCTGCTATAGTAGAAGCTCTATGAATGACAAAAAGGATTTTGTAGAAGCTCTATTATGACAAAAAGGATTTCGTAGTCAGCTGGGGTAGAAAACACTGTGTGTTCTCTCCTCCCAGACTCTGTTGAAGATTCCATATTCCTGCAGCAAGAAGGCAGCTTAATTAACTATCTCCAAGCTAGTGTCTTTCTTTCTTGAAAGATTATTTTGAGTCTTAGATCACAGTTCAGAAGATGCTGTTCTCAAATATGAACAAAGAAAATTGATTTCATATTGATCTTGAAATTACTTGACATTCCGTAAGATTGCATGTAAATGAAATCCTTCATTCCAAACTGAATGTATTGAACACCATCTACATAGAAAGCGCAGGGTAGGCCCAGGGTATGCAACTTCAACTAGGACACAGCCAGTTCTGTGAAGCGGCTCTATGATCTACTTACAAAGGTGAGCAAGGAAATAAACACTTAATCTCCGAAAAGTATGAGACATGCTGCCAGCAGAAACCAGCACACAGGACTTATCCTTTCTGAGGATTTATGCATGAAATTTTCCTACCTCCTCAATAGTGTGTAGAGGTTAGTCCATTGAAGGGTGATGGTGGAGAAATATGTTTGATAACTACAAAATAAACTCAGCAGGACTGACAAGGGGGCAGTGAATACAATCATAATATTAGTTGAGCTTTATAAAACTGCCAAGTTTGTAGTTCGGCATAGTCAAATACCAGCAATTTCATACAGCTCCACATAATGCTAAGAAAACACTTAACAAATATTAAGTCAAACTCTATTTGTACACTCTTTTATATATAACCATAATAATCTAGTAAAGTTTGTTCTACTTTTATCCAAATTTATATATAGAAAAACAGATTAGCAACTTGTCCAAGTTCACAGCACTAGTAAGTGACAGCACCTGCATCAGACACCTTGGCAGACAATCAGACAATCAGGCAGTCTGATTCCAGGTGGACCTGAGCCAGATCATGAATGATGAAAGTTATTTTGAGACAGGTTATGGGGGATCCATGTAAGGTTGTTGAGGTGGTGGTCGTTTGGTATATGTTTATAATAGCTTTATTCATAATACCTCTCCCATTGGACATGCCCAAATGGCATCAATAGAAGAATGGATAAACAAATTATAGTACAATCATACAATGGAATACTACTCACACTGTTAGTGTCTGAGACTTTGATAACAGGTCATGAGTTACCCCAGCCACCAGCATCCGAGTAGGGAATACCTGAAAACCAGGTATCCTGCTTATTTAGGAAGCTAGGCCCTCCTCTCCAAATGCTGCAAGATACACATACCCACGCTTCCTTTGTACCTAGGCCAATATTTTGGAAGGACTAGAAAGGCAGAAGCTGTAGATGACATCATAAACCTTAGTGCATAATAAATATTTCACTGAGCCTGTCTTAAAGCAGGAGAATTGGGATATCCCATGAATGGGTTTTGGAGCAGGTAGTAGACCTTATTTGATATGATTTTGGAAACGCATTCTGGTGCAGTAGTGTTGGGTAAAAAAAAAACAGTGACAGGGAGTATAATTATGAAAATCTCACATACAGAGAAGAGATGAGGGTGGCTTGAATGCAGCTCAGAACAGAAGGGATGTAGAGAAAAAAACACTGGCTCCAGGGTGTTTAGTATAGAGAGTTAACATGTGGATGGAGTCAGTACCCACATTTCTGATCGGGATGTTTGGGTGGATGGTGGTCTCACGCATTCAGAAATGTAGGAAAAGGAGCATATAGAAGATTTCAGTTGGGGAAATGTGTCTTTGAGGAATCTGTGACAGTCACAGTGTATATGACTTATTGTAGCCTGCTAAACTATGCTAATGAAAGCATGATTCAATGTCACACCCCAGAACAAATCGTGACTCAGCCATGCTAGTCTTCACTTCCTTGTTTCTTTCTTCTCTGCTCAGACACATATTTCTGTCTTTTCAGCCAGAGATAAATCGGAGCGAGCATTTGGGGTGGCCTTCGTGAAACTGATGAACCTGGATGGCACCACTCTACAGGATGGGAGGCATAACCTGGTGGTATATAAGGTGCTACTAACAAAGCAAGGCTCAGAGAAGGCTGAGGAAATTATGTTCCCTCTGAAACCAGTTCTTAAGGCTTCCTTCAATTTTGTGTATATAAACATCAGAAACTTCTCTAGAGTTATATTGTATAGCTGCATTAATGTGTAAACTCTAGGAACCCAGATGGTTAAGGTCACGTCCACTACACAGTCTCCCATTTCCTTTCTGGAAAGGACAAGTTGCATTGTTACTCAGTCTCCTAAGGAACATCTCTCCTCATGTGCAAATGGTATCTGTGGTGGTAATAATCAAAGGGCTGCCCTCCTGCCTTCCACTCTGGATGTCATCCTGTGCAGTGTGGACGGTTGCTGTTGGACTTGTTTAGGGTGTGTAATGGGTGTGATAGGATGTGGTTTTCTTATCACAAGAGCCAGGCATCATTTCTTTGCTATGGAACCTTTTTTCCTTCTCTAACAATTTTGTCTACATTCTTCCCTTCTAACAGCTGCAGCACTATGGCTTCTACTGAGATTTTATAATCTAAAGTGTAATAGATGCTAGAAGGTCTCATTTTTCCAACAATATCACACAAATTTTTTTGACATGCATCTATCTGATGTTCATTTTTCTTAACAACTCTGTAGTTGATAGTCTTGGAAGGCACGGCAACTTAATTCTACCCAATCAAGCCATCAACTCCTTGAAGTACAATTGAGACGAGTTACAAGTTCAGAAAAATGAAATCCAACCTTATTCTTTATTACATTTATTTACTTATATCAGAGATAGGAATTTTCTAGTTTATAACTTATTCTACTTTCATTCGGCATTGAAATTATTTCTGGATTCAAACTCTGGAAAAGTATCACAATGTCTGGGAGTTGGGAAGGATCTAAGCATAATTTAATAAACCCTTTTTATATTGGAAATGAATTGTGCTCACAATAGAAATTATTTTTATTTGCATGTAAGAGATTTTGCCCATCATTTGGTCTTCTGAACATATTTCATTTTCAGGGTGACAACAAGAAAATGGAAGATGCTAAGTTCTACCTGACCCTTCCTGGAATCAAGGTAGAGACGGATGATAAAGAGGCTCCCAAAACCCCGACCAACTCTGCTGCTGCAACCAAGGATAGCACAAAGGACAGCTTTCAGATTGCCACCCTCATTTGCTCTACAAAGCTCACCCAGAATGGTAAGTGTGGGGCCGTCTTCCTGGGCTCTGTTGTTACACTCTGGACCACATGGGTCCATGTCTTCTGAGAAGAGTGCTGGCTGTTTTGGATTCTTCTCAATGCTCTTCAAATGATATTGTGGATAATACTAATCGAATAGGTAAGCTCCTTTCTAGGCTTCATTGTCTCTTTCTTTTTTTTTTTTTTTTTTTTTTTTTAAAGATTTATTTATTTATTTATACAAGCACTGGGTACAGTCAGAAGCACGGGAGGGTGAGAGAATTCACCAGAGCCAGAGCGGGGAGCAGAGCAGGCAGAAGGACTGAGGTACACTGCTGAGGGAGCAGCGGGCAGCAGGAGAGGTCTGCGCGCCATGTGGGACCCTCCTCCGGTGGCCGGGAGCAGCGGGGATCAAACTGGTGCTGCAGAGGCTGCGGGCAGCTTCACAACCAACGCTCAACCGCTGCGCCACTGGGGAGGCCTCATTGTCTCTTTCAAACAGGATAAAAGCATATGGTCTTTTGGGGTTTTGTTTTTTTTTTTTTTTTTGTTTGCTTGTTTGTTACCACCTATCATACTCCTTCACAGAGGCAAAAGAAATTCAAAAGTGTTATATTTCTTTCTTTCAAAACAGCAAAGAGCTTTAATAACGTGCTGTGTGTAATATATGTAACAAGAGATGGCAAGAAGGGGGGAGGATACTGGCAAGGAAATACCAGTTTCCTGCCAAAACAGGTAGGGCCCAGAGCAGGGAGGGTTTCCTGGTAGAGTTCCATTTGTCCCCCATATAGTTTCCTCTTTTCCCTTTTTTCCCCCAAGCAGTCACGAAATTTCCATAAAACTGAGTCATAAAATTGACTGCTGAGTAGTTCAAATAGGGCTCCATTTTGGTCTTCCTTGAAACCTCTGCTCTAAGTTTCAGCTTCTCTGATGTGATCATGGCGCTTGCTTGCCAGTACCAGCTTCTTGTTGATTTAAACTATGTAATGTATAAGGGGTTCTGCGGAGCATAGTGAGCCAAGAATTAGCTGCCCAGGGGACATGCGTTAAAAATTGTACATCTCGGGCCTCCCTGGTGGCGCAGCGGTTGAGCGCTGGGTTGCGAAGCTGCTCGCGGCCTCTGCGGTGCCGGTTCGATCCCCAGCTGCTCCCCAGCCACCGGAGGAGGGTCCCACATGGCATGCAGACCTCTTCTGCCGCCCACTGCTCCTCTCAGCAGTGTACTTCGTCAGTCTGCCTGTTCTGTTTTCCGCGCTGGCTCTGGTGAATTCTCTCACCCTCCCGCGCTTCTGACTGTACCCAGTGCATGTACAAATAAATACATAAATAAATAAATAAATAAAAAACATGCCTCTATTGAAAAAAAAAAAGAAAAAGAAATTGTACATCTCACATGCTGTATAGGGGATCCATTCCTTTGGCCTCTTAGAAGATTTGGGTGAGGAAACTGGTAAGGGCTGTGCCTTAGGGAAGTGCAAAGATAGACAAAACAGTTTAGATATCAGGTACACGCAAGGATCAGGTGTTGGTTGATCCTTAGAGAGTGTTAATATTGTTTGTTTTGATGAATCATGGTTGACTAGGGAATAAGGATAGAATTTCCACCTGGACAAGTGGCTAGACTCAACAGAGTGAAGTTTGGAGCTGACAGAAAGTAAAAACGGGGAAGTAAAAATGGGAAAGTGAAAGTACGGGAAAGTAAAAACACATGCACCAAAAATTAATCTAGAAAGAAAAGGCGAAAGTGTGTAGATAGTGAAAAGATCCTGGGTTGCAAAGGGCTTGAGGAAAGGTAAGAGAGGAAGGGGTGAATAGGCAGAGCACAGGGGATAGTTAGGTCAGTAAAACTAGACTATGTGATGCTGTGATAGATGTATGGATACATGTTCTTAAACGTTTGTCACAGAACATAGCACACAGTCAACTGTCATGTAAATTATGGACTTGGCGTTCACAAACTAAGTCATATTTGCTCAGCAGTTGTAACAAATGTACCAGCGAATGCAAAGTGTCAATACAGGGGAACCTGGGAAAGTGGAGGGGTATATGAAAAGGCTTCGTACTTTCTGCTTAATTTTTCTGTAAACCTAAATCTGCTTAAAAAATAGTTTCTTCATTTCAAACAAACAAAAAATAAAACCAGAAAACACTGTGAGCTTCACAGAAGACATGCCACAATTGCATTAGCGACAGCACAATAATAATAAGTGCGTAATAAACTGCTGACATGGGATTAAATGGTACAATATTTATGAAAGATTACTTTGAAGGTGTATTAAAAACTTTTAATTTATTCAGATCCTATAATCCAGGAATTTGATCCTAGAAACTGAAACTAAGTAAACAGAGAGAGAAAGGTGCAAGGATTTATATGTGAGAGTGTTTTCCTGTTAATTCCCAATAGGAAAATAGTGAATCAGACCAAAAATCCTGTAGTTCAGGTCAGTTTAAGTTATATAATGATATAATGATAATTATATGTATACATTATATATAATGCATGTATTTCATATACATGTAACATACAACATGTATTTATGTTCTATATCAATATATTAAACAATGATAAATATATGTATAATGTTAAAATAGATGCAGATGTCAAATATATTTGAAAACTTAATCAAAGACATGAAATTTTTAAAACTGTTGTGTATAATTCCAGTATTGGAGCCAGTTGCCTAGCTTCAAATCCAAATTCTGCCTTACTAGTGATTTTATCTTGTCACTTGATCTCTCTTTGCTTATCTTCAAAATGGGGGTAATAATGGTATATATTTCAGGGCCTCCCTGGTGGTGCAGTGGTTGAGTGCTGGGTTGCGAAGCTGGCCCCAGCCTCTGTAGCTCTGGTTTGATCCCCGGCCACTGGGTGAGGGTCCCACATGGCGAGCAGACCTCTCCTGCCACCTGCTGCTCCCCTCAGCAGTGTACTTCGTCAGTCTGCCTGCTCTGCTCTCCTCTCTGACTCTGGTGAATTCTTTCACCCTCCTGAGCTTCTGACTGTACCCAGTGCTTATGTAAATAAATAAATAAATCTTTTTTAAAAAATGGTATATATTTCAAAGAGTGAAGTAAATTTAAATAAGTAAAAGCAAAAGAGCAGTGTGTCATCTATCACAGAAACTACATGAGCTATTAGAAACTAGAATTACATAAAAGCTATTGTTATCATCATCATCCATACATAGAAAAACTCCAAAATTTTGAGCAGTTTTTATTTTGATCACTCTTTTTGGTATTTTCCAAAATTGTGAATATGAAATGTCAAATGATATATTTAAAAATATGGTCGTAGACAACATAAAGCTTTAATGTACTTGGGAAGGATGATCTGGGACAGTCCAGAGGAACAGCCTTTATCATGCATCTAATAGATTATCCTTCCCAGAGCCTAGAGTTCAAGAGCAAGTAACAGAAGTTTGTAAAGTTATAATGAAAAGCAAAAGGAATGTCTGCTAAAGATAACCAAATTGATACAGTGTTTATTATCTCCTAGTAAAAAAATTAGCATGCTTTGTATGACCACACCTTACAGGGGAGATCCTCTACTTCCAAAATACTAACGGTGGCGTAAAGCCAGTGGTGCTATAGAACAAAATTAGTTTAAAAAAAACGTACTAAGCTTATTGACAGTAGCAAGACACTTGATCTGTTTTTACATACGTCAACCATCTTCTGCATGTTCTAAGCCTGTGCTGTCTCGCCATAGCAGCCTTAAGCCCTTTGTCACTTGTGAAATTTAAATTAATAGGATAAAATCAAGGCTAGAAAGATAGGGAGGACAAGAAAGGCACCGTGCCGTGTGCACCACAGGGAATGGAGCCTTCTAAGGGACAAATAATAACCCCAGGCAGTTCTTGTGTTTGCTCTCTTCTTCGTGGATGCAAATTATAAAAAACCAGTTTAATTTATTCTGAGGAAGAAAGAGCTGAAGAACATTAATAAACCACTAAGTATATCAGGGCGTTTACTGACCAAGAGGGTAGCTGTTTGCCTTTCACACAGGAACCGTGACCACAGGCGTTTCCCCTTAGTCTTAGGAGGGCTATTTAGACGCAAAAGGTTAAAAGCCATTGACCTTTGGTACAAACAGATCTTGTCAACTCTTTATTATTTTTTTTTCAAAACTAGGACAGACTGATTTGATGGGATCCTTTGTTGCTCGCCCATACGGACATTGAGAATAGATTTGCTATTCCAGGCAAGGAGAGAGGAATTCAAGACCCTGCAGGGATGGGGCTCGAGGGAGAGGGGCAGTGTTGTTCACAGCAGCATCTTGTTTAACCCCCCCCAACACTCTGGCATATGAAGACTCCAACTTTGCCATTATTAGCTTCACTTTATTGAAAATTGAGTCAAAGGACTCGTATTTTGCTTAAGCTCATTAAGTGGTCGATTGGGTCTGAAAATAGACATTTAGAACTACAAAGCATATATTTTCCCTTGTCTTTCTCTTTTTTAAAATTTCGATTTCCTTGATCCTCTCCCAAATCCTCTAATCTAACGTGGGTGTCACTGTTCAGAGTATCCTGGATTCTTACATACTGCAGACGGGAAAGTAAATTAGGACTACTTGGGATAACATTGAATGCTGTCTAATGTGCTTAAAGATGGTCCTGACTGATGAGCCAGTTCTATACCCCAGAGAGCTGGTAAATCTGGGCACCATGGACATGGGAGAATGTTGTCTCAGAATTTTTGTGGTAGCAAAAAAAAAGAAACCCAGAACCCCAAATGTTTATCAACAGTGGAATAAATAAATCCCATTTAGTGCAGTGCACGCCATACAATGGGATAAATGCTATTCGGCCATGAAAATAAATAGAGCGATATGCACCAGCCTGTATGAATCTGAAAAACCCAGTAAGTCCAGGACTCTAAGATTGTGCCACTGCTTCAGTAGCCCTGAGGTCTCTGATTGACCAAATATATTCCTAAGCTGAGCCATGTAGGATGCAGATGTCTCTAGGCAGCAAATGTCTGGGCTGGGGAGTGAATTCTTTTCAGGCACTTGACTGCAGAGTTCCTAGGTCACCATTCACCCCAATGAAGTATCTACATCCTTTTCTTTTGGCAGCAACAAGCCCTGTGAAGTAAAGAATGGAGTGGAATCATTAACTAGTCTGTGTCAGAAATAGGAGATGGGAGATAGAAGCTGACTGTCTAGTGGCTAAGCCTAGCACAGTGCCTGTTATGTACTTACTGAATGAATATGTTGAAGAATTGTATCGAGCACACCGCAAGTGTCTTCACTGAGACTGGTTCCCCTCTCCATCTGTCTATTCATCCATCCATTCTCTCTTCACACTGGCACAGAGCACCGACTAGTGGCCTAGCACTATGCTGAGGTGTCAGAATGAGTGACTTATGCTTCCTGTTCCCAGGGGATTCAGAGCTGTAGGAAGAATCAAAGAGATGCCAAGTATATCTTTATGACTCCAGAAGGAACAAAGTTTGAGATGGGTCTTGAAATATAAGTCGGTGCTTACAAATACATAGAATTATAGTATTTCTGGGCAATTCAGACGAAGGGGAAAATCTATGCAAAGACACAGAACTATTTCAGAATATGGCCACTGAAAGGTAAAAGAGAATGGTGGGTTTGGGGGCTCACAAGAGGGTATCAGTAGGGCATTACTGCTCTTTGGGTGGTGTTGGGACTTTATTCTATTGATAAGTGAGAGTCTTAGGCACTGGGTTTTGGGGGCTTCCAAGGGACTAGACAGTATGCAAGCCAATAAAGCAAACCTCAAGCAAATTTACTATACAAATGAGCGGTATTCATTTGCTACCTTTTATATATATTTATACAAGTCTATTGATTAAAAAGGGTATATTTCTCCTTTCCTTGGGTAATGCTCTGTGTAGTAGCCGTAGCTGGGTATACTAAACAGCATGATAAAGGAGCTGCAGTCAGATGCCTGCTGTTTCCCCGACTCTCTCAGTAGCTCGATTTTCATTAAAGCTGTCAGTGACTTAAAGATCCAAAATCCCACATTTTTAATCTACAAGCACCTCCAGATTTTTGTCCTAGACTTACCCTAAAGGCCACAAATCTGTTCTGCCTTCTTTTGAAGCAGTAGTCTATCTGATTTGCTTATCTATTTACTTCTTTGGAGAACTTTTGGGCAGGGGTTAAGGTGGGCAGAATTTGAGAGAATATCAAGGACTTTTTTTTTTTTAAAGATTTATTTATGCATACAAGAGCTGGGGTACAGACCAGAGATGCGGGGTGTGAGAGGATCCACCAGAGACAGAGTGGGGAACAGAACAGGCAGATTGACTGAAGTATACTGCTGAGGGGCACAGCGGGCAAGTCAGGAGAGGTCTGCTGCGCCGTGTGGGTTGCTCCCTGGCCTGCCAGGGATTGAACTCATGCTGCAGAGGCTGCGATTGCATCATAGTGTGGTGCTTAACCCCTGGCGCCATCAGGGAGGCCATGGACTTGTTTTTTTAAATCAGATAAATGTAATTAAATTGTTTTTATCCCACTTGCTGGGAGTTGTGTCACCTAAAGCAAGTAATTCTGTTTCACAAAATCTCAGTTTCTGCATCTCAGAAATGTGAATGGATGTGATGTTTAAATAATGCATGTATGTAAATTACCTATTCCCTTTGAATTCACCAAGATATGTGTGGTGATAAGGGACAAATTAAACCATGCAGCAAATTAAAGGTAGGAAAGTTACTGAAAAGGGTCTCTTTAGGTTTAGTCTATGTGGCTGTGATGTCATTATATGAGAAATGTGAGGCCTGCTCAGGTAGCATTTTAAGCTCTTGACATTGGTGGTAATTTTTTTCTCTTTGAATTTTGAGGAAGACCACAGGGTTTTCTCTGATTTAGACAGAAGACAGCAAATTAAAAGAATTCACACGACATTAGCCACCAGAGTGATGATCTTTTCTAAAGAGTATTTTTCAGAACTGTGGGGTTTTTTGTTGTCTCTTTGTATGTTTGTTTTTAAAAGTTATTTATTTTTGCATAGAAAAACTGAGGTGTAGAGTTGAGAGGATTCACCAGAGACAGAGTTGGGAGCAGAACAGGCTCCCCACTGCAAAGGGGAGCAATTGGCAAGACAGGAGAGGTCTGCTACACCGTATATGGATTATCTCCCTGGCTAGGGATCGAACTCAGGCTGTCCTGGTTATAGCTCTAAGACTTAACCCCTAGGCCAACAGGGAAGCCTGTGTCTTGAAATGGTGTGGGCTGCTCTTCCTGATCAGTGTCTAATATTTATGGTTTCTGGTCATTCTTTGTAGTTGACCTGTTGGGCTTGTTAAATTGGCGTTCCAACTCTCAGAACATTAAGCATAACTTAAAGAAGTTAATGGAGGTGGATGGAGGAGAGATTGTTAAGGTATGTTTATATACTCATAATAATAATTATACCCACTGTATCATTAGTTCAACATTTTTAATTAAACTGATCTTGCAAATAGAAAATTTACTCACATGGGAAAGCAAGTGTGCAATTTTTTAAAAATGCTATTTTTCAACCTAGTCTGTTGAAACCTACTTTCCCCCAATTTTCTGCAGTTGGAGCTGAACTGACAGCACCAAATAACCTGTTTTTCTTATCTTCAGTTTTTGCAGGATACACTAGATGCACTTTTTAACATAATGATGGAAATGTCCGACAATGAAACTTATGACTTCCTTGTGTTTGATGCACTGGTAAGCAATTATACATATTTACTAGTATTTATTCTATAAATGTGTAGTTTTGATATTTCACTATTATTAATATTGTGATGAATAACCTCTTGCTCAAATATTTATATGCATCGCTTTGATTATTTCTTCAAGCTAAAGTCCTAGAAGAAAAATTAGAAACAATTGACATATTCACAGCTTTTATTTCTTTGATTTTTGTTACACCACAATTTTGATATTCTTTTCTCATTATGGAAAAAAATGTGTCTTTATTAGAAATCACAAACAACATTAAGTCTCTTTAAATTGCCTAGTCATTTAAAAAAAAAAAGCAGAAGATTGTGGCTTGCTGTGTTTCCTGCAAGGGAAACTGAGTTCATGAGTCACTGGTGAACCTTAGGCTCATGATTTTCAATATACAACCCAGCAGACAATTAAATTTGTCACACAAACTACATAAACACACAATCTGTTCTAAAAGCTGAAATCCAGACAGGGATAGGCGATGTCATAATTTGGGAAGGCCAGGAGAGATGGTGGAATGAAGAAAACTGACATATCGAAACAAAGCATCGTTTTCTTGTTTGGGGATTCAAGAATAATGCCGAATTTTATGGGAATGTGGCAGCCATGGGAGAAGGTAAATTGCCGCTTTAGGTCACTCAGCAGTTGGGAGGAACTTGTAAATTCAAGAAGTAGATAGAAAGTAAAACCTAAGCATGTGAGATAGGGGGTCAGTGCCCTCAGCCGAGATCATGCTGGTCAGGTTTATGGGGAAAACTCCGGGTCCTGGGCTCCCTGGGATGAGAGAAAACTGGAGAAAGCTTCCTGTGGTGCAGAGCAGCACAGTGGGCATGTGTGGGAGTCCCAGGCACCTCTTCTTTTGAACTCTTCTGTCATGAGTGGGTGCAACCCAGTTACTTGTAGGCTGGCCCTGGTCATGAGAAGAGGGTCAACACACAAGGAGGAAACTGAGCCGGGGAGTGGGGCAGAAGCCTGGTGCAGCTCAGTTATTGGAGGGATGCACAGTGTCCTCAAGAGAAAAATGTCGTGGGATATTTCTGAGCTGCATCCTTGAGGGGCAATGTATTATGCCCCCAGAAAACCTCTTTCCGATCCTCCTTCCTCCTGTCCCACTTTCACCCCAGGCTTACCTGCCGTGACTGCTCTCTCTGAGATAGTCAGCGTGCTGAGGCCAGGGACATTTTCTCCTATCGGTTTCTTCATAGCACTCAGCACAGTGCTTGACATAGTTGACTTTCTGTTTGTGTTATATTAAAAAAAAAAAAAGACGGAGACTTTTCATTAGGTCTGAGTAGAGAAGAGGGAACTCTGCAACACTGAGGAAGAAAGAAAAGGCACCCCTTTCTAGTGACAGAATCCATGGGGGATGTACATTGTTGCTATTTATATTTTTCATCTCTGGCGCAGGTATTTATTATTTCACTGATAGGAGATATCAAGTTCCAGCATTTTAATCCTGTCCTTGAAACCTACATTTACAAGCACTTCAGTGCCACTTTGGCATATGTGTAAGTATGACACCGGGATCTACCTGCGTTGCGGTATTGGGTGTGTACTCCTCGGGCTGAGGATTGACACAGGAGAGGGACACAGGCCTAGTAAATGTGCCTTAAAGTGCAGAACCATGCTCTATGCTTGCTGATGGAAAGAGGGGACCACCAAACATTCTGTCCCTGGAAAAGGTGCTAAGTTTAGGACTTGCCTTCAAGAAGTTACAGAAGTGATAAGGCTAAATTTCTTTAAGAATCCAGAAGAGTGTTGGCACCAGTCAGAAGCAGAATGTCGGACAAAGGCCTGTCCTCAGGTTCTGGGTATCTACAGGATTAGCATGAAGCCTCAGGGGAATCAGACAGTGGACTGAGCAGGATCAGGTCTGATGGGACTGCAGGTCTTGTCCTCGCCCTAAACATCCAGTGCTTTGTAGAATGTATTAACACAGAGGATGTGAGATAATTGAGGTGTTTTGGGTTTTTTTTTCCTAGAACAGAATGGCCTCTACCTTTCCTGTAGAGACCCTCTATTTGTCTTTGGTTTATGAGTCCCACCAAGGGGAGCATCTTGTGCTTACGCTGCACTTGCCCTTGAGCACTCTACTCACCACGACCCATGTGTGCGGCCCTGCACCCACCCCCTTGCATTCCAAGGATTTTCCAGAGCAGTGTGATAAAGAGTGACAGGAATGTAGAGATTGGGTGATCTTTCTGACTGTGAGTTACACCAGATCATCCCCGTTGCTATCGGCTGGTCCATAAGAGCAGCTGCTGACCTGACCAGTTAAGTCAGACCGCTGATCCCTGTCTCCTTTCCTCAACTAAACAAGAATGTTCTTAATTTTATTTGCAAGGAGGTTCAGAAAGGTTAAAAAAAAAAAGAAAACCCAACAACATAAATGAGGTGTCATGTAGCATAATTAACGATTAACACAATGTGTATCCTGCCCCCGGGCTGCAGAAGCAGCAGATACACGCGTGATGAAGTCAGTAACCTGACTTTCCAAGCAGTGGTAACTTCCAGCGAGGAGTCTTCTCTGTGGTCTTCATTACTCAGAACCAAATGCAACACTCAGGTGTTAGTGACTGGGACTTGGTCAGTTTTCCATGTTTCCTGTGGGATGTTCTTAATCCTAGGAAAACTCAGTTTCCCTTCAAAGTGCAAGTTAGCATGAGCTTAAGACAATGCCTAGTGCAAGACTAAAGTCCCACAGCACTTTTATCTGCTGAGAGGCCCAGAACCATGACTGCTAGTCAGGTGGATCCAGAGTCACAGGAAGTGCCTCTTTGACATTCAGTGCAATTTACCTCTGGCTCCTTTTTTTTTTTTTTTTTTTTTTTTTTTTTAAGATTTATTTTTATTATTTATACAAGCACTGGGTACAGTCAGAAGCATGGGAGGGTGAGAGAATTCACCAGAGCCAGAGTGGGGAGCAGAGCAGGCAGAAGGACCGAAGTACACTGCTGAGGGGAGCAGCGGGCGGCAGGAGAGGTCTGCGCGCCATGTGGGACCCTCCTCTGGTGGCCGGGAGCAGCCGGGGATCGAACCGGCGCTGCAGAGGCTGCGGCAGCTTCGCAACCCAGCGCTCAACCGCTGCGCCACGGGGAGGCTCTGGCTCCTTTTTTATGCATCCCAAAGGGTTTGGCCAGATTGCAGGCCATTAGACTTCTTTTAGGTGGCTCCTTAGGCCATCCCTTACTGGAACAGCTGAAAATGTATGTGTAACATACCAGTGATGAAAATATCCTTGCAATTTGAATCCATCAACTCTTTAATTTCTTGATTGTTTTAAAAATTCTATTAAAGGAAACCATCCTCTCTCTCTTTAAAAATGTATTTATTTATGCATACAAGAACTGGGGTACAGGCCAGAGGTGGGGGGCGGGGTGAGAGGATTCACCGGAGACAGAGTGGGGAACAGAACAGACAGATCAATTGAAATACACTGCTGAGGGGAGCAATGGGTGAGTCAGGAGAGGTCTGCTGTGCTATGTGGGTAGCTCCGTGGCCGGGGAACTTAAGCGTGCAGCGAATAGTTTCATAGGTTGTGTCTTAACCCCTTGCTCCACCAGGAAAACCCCATCCTCTTTCTAAGTGGAAGGGAAACTCCAAACCCAGACTGCACTGAGGAAACTGAAGTTCGAAGTACTTAATTTCCTCATTTAGGGCATATTCTTGAAGAGCTAATTGTAGTTGTGATCTACTTCCCCTGTCAGCCAAGTTCCCTTCCCATATAACTTACCCCAAAACTCAGAGTGCCACTTTGCCTCACTGACATTTTTTCTTTCCCTTTTTTAGGAAACTCTCCAAGGTACTGAACTTCTATGTGGCTAATGCAGATGACTCCAGTAAGACGGAATTGCTTTTTGCTGCTTTGAAAGCCTTAAAGTACTTGTTTAGGTTCATCATCCAGTCTAGAGTACTCTACCTGAGGTAATGATGACAAAAATAAGATGCTTCTGCTTTCAATTCTTTCCTTATATAGTTTTCTTTAAACCCCATGCTCATGTTGAACTTTGTGAGCAGTTTGGTTATGCACAGAATTGCTAAATTTCAGAATTTTAGAGCTAAAGATGGAGAACTATGAAACTGTTAGAGGCCATCCATGTGAAATCCTTTTGGATCAATGGAATTTCCAGAGCAGTAATAGCAGCAAGACCTGGGGACCCAGGTGGCTAAAATGTGTAGCTTCTGGAAGCCTTTGGTGACACAGCTCTAGAGAGCAGGTCCCCTTGGCAGGGTTGATACGGTAAGGGAATTCATTGCAATGTTGAACGTGTAAGTGTAGAATCACGACCCATCATTGGTGATAGAGAGGATGGAGACAGATGTTTGGGATGCATAAAAAAGGAGCCAGAGGTAAATTGCACTGAATGTCGAAGAGGCACTTGCTGTGACTCTGGATCCACCTGACTAGCAGTCATAGTTCTGGGCCTCTCAGCAGATAAAAGTGCTGTGGGACTTTAGTCTTGCACTAGGCATTGTCTTAAGCTCGTGCTAACTTGCACTTTGAAGGGAAACTGAGTTTTCCTAGGATTAAGAACATCCCACAGGAAACATGGAAAACTGACCAAGTCCCAGTCACTAACACCTGAGTGTTGCATTTGGTTCTGAGTAATGAAGACCACGGAGAAGACTCCTCGCTGGAAGTTACCACTGCTTGGAAAGTCAGGTTACTGACTTCATCACGCGTGTATCTGCTGCTTCTGCAGCCCGGGGGCAGGATACACATTGTGTTAATCGTTAATTATGCTACATGACACCTCTTTTTTTTTTTAATTAATATATTTATTTACACAAGCACTGGGTACAGATGTTTGGGAGAAATGTTTCCTGCCTTGTGTGTTTCTTTGTTGAAACCATGTTTAGCTACATTTGTTGAAACTAAACCATAAAGATAAAATAATTCCTAGTTTGAATTCCAAAACCAACAACTCCATAAAAAAAAAAGAACAAAAAAAACAAAACAGAAGAAACCAAGAATGAAGAAGTAGCTAAAAATGTCTACAACTCCAATGCCATCCTGACCCTTCAGTAATAACTGGGTTTCCAAACTGTTCAAATTTATTTTTTCAGGCAGAAGGTAATTTTCTTTATATTTGAGCATTTTTTGAAACTTTGGATATTTTAGAAACCATAAACAAAATTAAAGGTAAATAACCTGCAAAAAAAGCATGATGAGATCAAATTGTAAGCTTTACTGATTAAAGACTCTAATATATCAACAAAAGAATAATAAATATCCTTATATAATACAAAGCAAAAACATAATTTGCAAAAGAAAAATATATAAACAGTCAATTAAATTGTAAGAAATATTTACAGTCACTATAAAAATGCATATACACATACTGTCTTTACTTATATGGTGGCCCCTTGGTGGGGATTGGCTCCAGGATTTCTGTGAACACCAAAAATGTGCGTGCTCAGGCCTCCCCTGGTGGCGCAGCGGTTGAGCGTTGGGCTGCCAAGCTGCCCGCAGCCTCTGCAGCGCCGGTTTGATCCCTGGCTACTGGCGAGGGTCCCACATGGCATGCAGCCTCTCCTGCTGCCCGCTGCTCCCCTCAGCAGTATATTTCATCACTCTGCCTGTTTTGTTCCCCTCTCTGGCTCTGGTGAATTCTCTCACCCTCCCATGTTTCTGACTGTACCCAGTGCTTGTATACATAAATATATTAATTAAAAAAAAAGAAATGGGCAGAAGAACCCATTTTATAAAAAAAAATGTGGGTGCTCAAATTCCTTTTATAAAATGTATTTGTATATAACCTGTAAACATCTTACCATTTACTTTAAGTCATCTCTCATAATACCTAACACAATGTAAATATTGTGTAAATGGTTACTTTATTGTTAGGAAATAGTGGCTAGAAAATTTTTCTCTATGTTCTGTACAAACACAGCCATTGTAGACCTAACTACCTGTATATATTTTCAGTGCTTGGTGGTTTAAATTGCAGATGAGAAAGATTTTTAAAAATCTTTGTCCTTTGATGGACACTGGACAGAAATTGACCCAGGTATTATGGTGGTGGGAGAGAATACAGGGACTACATCTGAGAAGAGAAATCAAATACTGTCCAAAAATTAACAGTGATGTAAGAAAAATAGTACTTAATGTAAAAATAAACTTTAAAAAATTGATCCTGTGTAGTAATGCTAATAGGTACATAAATTCTTAAGGACAGGAATTTGACACTATAACCAAAGAGAAGAAAAATACAAGAAAATATCATTTGTTATTTCTCCCCCTACCACCACCACCACCCACCATGTTTCTCATTAAAGAAACGCAGGGACTGGGAACAGTTCTTGTGGTCAGCCTTCTCCCATTACTTAGATCTGATGGGCACAGCAGTTTTCTGGCTCTGCAGGGGATGCAAATGAAATGCCACTGGGTCCCCACCCCACTGTTGCCTTCACAGAGCTGAATTCCCCTCCTGAGTGCCTTACTGGAGTTGACCTCAATTAGGGTGACAATAGGGGAACATTTAAGTTGTGAACTGCCCTCCATAGGACTTTAAGAAACTTGATCTTAAATCCTCTCAGGGTACCAGGTATTGTTCAGGCCACTGGGGATCTAGAAGCCCATGAGACAGGTTACTGCTGCGATGGGGCTTGTGGGTTACATAGAGGTTATCAAGGCAGATAGTAAAGGAAGAAACCCCTCTCATCGGTTCAGATGAATAAGGGCCACCAGGGGAGGTGTGATGTGACAGTCACAGGATCCCTGCTTGAGCTGAGCTGGTTACAGGAGGCCTCTCTGGTCACTGACATGCTTGAAATATCTCTGTCCAGACCCTTCATGCTTGAAAAATGCATTTTGGGGGTGCCTCACTGGTGGCGCTATCAAGCTATCACCAGCCACTGCAGCGTGAGTTTGATCCCGGGCCAGTGAGCTGACCCACATGGCGCAGCAGACCTTTCCTGACTCGCCTGCTGCTCCCCTCTGCAGTGTATCTTAGTAGATCTGCCTGTTCTGCTCCCCACTCTGTCTCTGGTGAATCCTCTTACTCCCCACACCTCTGACCTACACCCAGTTCTTCTGTGCATAAATAAATAAAAAGAAATCTTTAAAAAAATGCATTTCTGCTGAAAAATCTACTGATAATCTGATTGGTGTTCCCTTATATGTTATTACACTTTTTCTTTTGTTATTCTGTCCTGATTGTTGGTTCTCGACAACTTTATTATTAGGTGTCCTGGTGTAGGTCTATCTGGTATTATTTTGTTTGGAACTCTTTGGACCTCTTGGATCACAAGTTCTGGTTCATTTCCCAGAGTGAGTTATTTTCAGTGGTTATTTCTTTAAATAGGTTTTCTATGCCTTTCTCTTCTTCCTTGACTTTTGGGATCCCCATGTTATGGATATTATTATTATTTTTTTTTTATAGAGGCATGTTTTATTATTTATTTATTTATTTATTTATTTATTATATTTGTTTGTTTGTTTGTTTTACATGCACTGGGTACAGTCAGAAGCGCGGAGGGTGAGAGAATTCACCAGAGCCAGAGCGGGGAGCAGAACAGGCAGAAGGACCGAAGCACACTGCTGAGGGAGCAGCGGTGGCAGGAGAGGTCTGCGCACCATGTGGGATCCTCCTCCGGGGCGGGGAGCAGCCGGGGATCGAACCGGCGCCACGGAGGCTGTGGGCAGCTTCGCAACCCAGCGCTCAACCGCTGCGCCACCGGGGAGGCCCATGTTATGGATATTATTTCGCTTTAACGTTGTCCCAGAGGGCTCTTATACTGTTTTCATTTTTAAAATTTTTTTCTCTACCTTATTCTATTATTTTTTTTGTTCTCCAGCATTCATTAATTCTCTCCATTACTTCAATTTGCCCAATATTAAGACCCTCAATTGTATTTTTTAAGTCATCTATGGTATTGCTTAACTGCATTAGTTCTGAATGTAGCTGTCTTGTATTTTTATTGCCTTTATTCTATTATTGCTTTATATTCTCTGTTGTTCTTTCAAGTTCCATCAGCATTGCCAGGCTCTGCAGCTCTACCCAGTCAAAGCTCCTTGTAGGGTTTTTTTGTTCTGTCATTTGTACTGTGTTCTTCTGTCTCCTCGCTTTTCGTTTTATATGGGTTTTAGTAAGGATAAATTTTCAAATGTTGGTTTTGCACTTGTTGGAGTAATTGGGGATTGGTACCGTTAAAGGGTAGTATTTTAAAAAGAGAACCCGGGAATAGGCATGAAAGGATCAGCTCCTAGAATCAAGAATCTCAGGTTCCTGTTGAAAAGATTTTCTTTGGGGCTGGGGGTGGAACAAGTGTTCTGGATAGTTCAGCCTGGACTTCAGCGATAGTCTCGTCTATAAGCAAGTTCAGGTTCTCTGCCATGGCTTAGGCTACAGCTGTTCTGTGTTGTGAGCCTCAGATTCAAGCCAGTGGCCCTAGCTCACTAGCTCTGTGCCCTCACCTCTGTAGCTCTCCCACAATGCACCTGCAAGTCACCTCCACCCTGGGTGTCTGCCCAAGCACCCGCTTATCCAGTGCAATGCTGGGTCTTAGGAGCCATGATGTTGGGATGTGCCCAAGTCAGTAGCTGCAGGGGGGTTTGCACTGCGGCCCCTCTTCCTCTTATGGCTTGTACTGCCCCATTATTACTTTAAACAAAGTTTACTTAGAGTTTTCCGACCCCTTTCATTCAGACTGCTGCTCCTACTGTGTGTGCTGGTTATAACTTTTCCCTGAAGGGTTTTGTCTTTGTTTTGCATCAGTTTTGTTCACGTCTGGAGGAGCCAGCCCATTGTCTTCATGCTACTGCCATATTGGTGGACCCTCCGGGCAGGCTGCTGTCATCCAGAGTAGCCTGAGTCAGTGCGTCTAGGTGCCTTGTATCCTGGGAAGGCCCTGCTGGGCAGCAGGTCAGCACCAGCCACACAATTCAGTGGCAGATACTGGCTGACTTGTAGGCTGGGCTGGGTTTGGAATGGTTTCTGGACAGAGGAGCTTCTCTTCCCATTATCAGATACTTCAACTCTAATGATAAGGGCTGGCTTATTTGAGGCAGAATTAGAGTAAGATAGAAAAGGAGGATGAGGGAAGAGGGGCGGAGGGTGCTGGAGGCAGGAGTGTGGCAAGTATGGTCATCAGGGAAGTTAACTGGAGGGAGTCCCCTGCTTCTTGCACATTTTACTGTTGTGCTGAGGAAGACAGCAAGGTGGGGCTCCTCATACTCCAGGCAAACCAGCTTCCTGCCATTCTCTCCTCCATGTCAGAGATGCCCACACACGAGTATGCTGGAGCCCACACCAAGACTGGGGCCTCAGACAGCTGTAGGGGGAACTTACCTGACTGGTCCATCCTAACGGACCAAGCAGAGAACTCTGCGGTAGGGTTTTACGTGCAGTGACTTCCCTGCTTTTGTCCAGGTGATAAAAACTTCTCGGCCAATAGGGCTTCTCCCTGACACCACCGTCCAGCACCCCCTGCCTTCTCTTCACACAGCTTGGAGACCATGAGGCACGGCCCTTCTGACGTACGGACAGCAGCCTGATTTGAAAATTTCATTAAAGACAGAAAATCTGACTGCTTTTCTCTCTTTCCTGTTTAGATTTTATGGGCAAAGCGAAAATGGAGATGAGTTTAACAATTCAATCCGTCAGTTATTCCTCGCTTTCAATACGCTAATGGACAGGCCTCTGGAGGAAGCTGTCAAGATAAAGGTCAGCGCTGCGTCATCATGTGTAATGTTTTTAATGCTGTTGCAGAGGAAGTGCTAGAACCGCCTAGACTGGCCATGGCGGGAAGAAGATAAAATGAACTATAATTCATGGAAAGCTTGTGAATTTTAGGGTGACTCCTGAGAAGTAAAGGGAAAACCTCAAGATTTAACTTTCATGTGCATTTGTATTTTCAAATGTGAGTTTGCCAAAGGCAGGTTACCCTCGTGGACACCCTTCAGTGGCTTCCTGGCCATTGATTGTGGTGATGTTACAGGCAGCAGGTTTTTATTTGTTTGTTAATTTTTAATATTTATTTTATTGGAGCATTCTTCACAGCAAAATAAAAGACATCTGAGAAGTTGACAGACCCTAAAGTAAGGAAACATTTCATATTTTAGGACAGTTGGCAGCACTTTTTTCCAGCTTTTTGAATGAGGGTCTCCACATTCTCATGTTGCATGGGCCTTTACCAACTATAGGCTTTGACACACCGGGTGCACAGACAGCAGGTTTTTATTCTAAGTTGTCCCATCCTTCCCAGCTACCCAGTGACACCATCTTCATCATTATCAAATTTTTTAATATAAAATACATAATCTCTGAAGATGCTTCCTTGAACTTTATTACACTTTGCTTTTTATGATGAGGTTGTGAGTGAAACATCGAGATTTTTAACCTCCTCCTGGAGGTTAAAAAAAAAAGGTTAAAAAAAAAGAAAAATAAATTCCCTCTGGATGGTGCCTATTGGTAGTTAAGAGAAGAGGCTGTGCCTCCTGACTCCGCAGGAGAAAGAGTTAGGGGCTCACAGAGCAGCCTCAGCTTCCCTCCCCATTGTAAGAGCATCTGTGTCCAGTTCTCTGTGATCCAAGCACAGCCATCTCTTCCTGGGGTCAAGCAGAAAATTCTGTATTTGTCCTGCTTGGCAACTAAATGTACCTTTCATGTCTTTTTTTTAACAGGGGGCAGCTTTGAAGTACCTTCCTAGCATAATTAATGACGTCAAACTTGTGTTTGATCCTATGGAGCTCAGGTAAGTAGCAAAAGCATTTTTTCTCAATCGTTACAGAGAAGCAGCGCCCCTGCTTGCTGTACATGCTCTTGGTCTTTCACTGAAAGCCTTTTTTTCTCAGTTCTGTGAAAGATATAAAAGGAGATACAAAGCCTGCCCCTGAGAGAGGTTTGCACTTTCTCCAGGGGAGCAAGACACACAGACATAAAATTAACTACAGAAGAAAGTACATAATGATACACTTCGAGCCCTATTCCTCAGTACCCCAGGAATGCAGAGTCAGGCATTCATGGACATCCGGGTGGTTAGTGAGAGAAGTTCTGTGTAGGGTGAGTGTGGAGGCTGGTCTGCAGAGCAGGCATGAGCCTGGATGTGCCTGGGCAGTTCATTTACTTATTTATCTATCTGTCTATTTATCTGTTTATTATATTTATTTTCTTACGTCATCGTTAATTTTTTGGACAGTATTTGATGTCCCCCTCAGGAGTAGTCCTCGTAGTTCCCCCCCCCCCACCACAGCACCCTGCTCCGTCACCACAGTCCCTTGTGCTCTCCCCTCCCCTGTTTTGTTTCTTCTCCCTCTCCTTCCCCTACTGTGTGCCTCAGATCTATGGTCAGCTTGCAAGTTTCGTCTTTTTCCTGACGCTTTGGTTTCTCTATATTCCACATGTAAGTGAAACCATCTGATATTTATCTTTTTCTCTCTGACTTATTTCACTTAGCACAGTCCCTTCCAGCTCCATCCGTGATGCTGCAAATGGCATGAGTTTGTCCTTTTGACCGCTGACTAGTATCCCATGGTGTATATATAGCACATCTTGTTCCAGTCATGTGTTTCTGGGCATTTAGGTTGTTTCCATATCTTGACAAATAGTGCTGCAATAAACATAGGCGTGCCTTATGTTGAGTGTTGAGGCTGGTCTGCAAAGCAATAAGGCTGAGCCCTCTAGTGAGCCTGGAATGCAGTCTCTGCTTTACTTCCTAGAGTTGGGCTCTCAGGTCATTTGGGAGAAAATTCCAGGTAAACCCCTCCATGGCCACACCTCAGAGTAGTGGGAATTGTGTAATGATGCCTTCAACTTCACAGTATGAAAACACTGCTGGGGCCTCCCCGGTGGCGCAGCGGTTGAGCGCTGGGTTGCGAAGCTGCCCGCGGCCTCTGCGGCGCCGGTTCAATCCCCGCTGCTCCCCGGCCACCGAGGGAGGGTCCCACATGGCGCGCAGACCTCTCCTGCCGCACGCTGCTCCCCTCAGTAGTGTACTTCAGTCCTTCTGCCTGCTCTGCTCCCCGCTCTGGCTCTGGTGAATTCTCTCACCCTCCCGCGCTTCTGACTGTACCCAGTGCTTGTATAAGTAAATAAATAAATCTTTAAAAAAAAAAAAAAAAAAGAAAACACTGCTGGGCTTTCTCTTGCAGTGAGCTGTTCTGCAAGTTCATTCAGAGCATTCCTGACAACCAATTAGTTCGCCAGAAACTCAACTGCATGACCAAGATAGTAGAGAGCAACCTTTTTCGGCAGGCAGGTAAGTCTCCACTGAAACTGCTGCTTACTGAGATTCCAGTCTTGCTACTTCTTCAGCCAGCACTTGGCTTTGAAAATAAAAAAATGTCAGTAATGTCCTTGCCAGTTCCTTGTTGGTACTTAAGGGCCTCCTGGGAAACTGGTTTTAAAGAGAAGTTGAAATCATTATTTCCAGTCGTTTCTAAAAAAGCAAAATCACATGGTGTTTAACCCTTTATTGGGACAATCAGCAGTGTTTCACTGACTGGAGATCTTTGTCTTCAAAATAGAAACTTGAGAAAGTAACAGACAAACAGGAAAGATGGACCTTTTACACAGACATCTTCCCCTGTACTGACTGGTACTTGTACCAGGGGCAGTAGAGAGCTAGATGCCTCTGTGCTGACCCAGAGACTCCCTCACTCCATGCTTAGTCATGTCACATCTGTAGCTGGAAATCAATCACGATGGAAATATTTTTACATCAAGGAGATTGGCAAACACTATAAATCAGAGGATTTGGGGAGGGAGCAGTGGCAGGTCACCAGCATCCTGCTGCTGGGAGAGCAGGCAGGCATGGAGGGGAAGATGCTTGCTAGCATTGATACCTTTCATTTGGTAACTAGAGTGAAGCATGTAGCCGTTAAGTCTAAATCACCATGTCCTTGCCCCAGAAATGATACAGGTAAGAAGTTCAATACCCAGTCTTTCCCCAATAATCCTGAGATTGCTGGAGTGGGCAACCAGGGAACTTCTGGGGCTGCCACAGGTCAGGGATGTCCTCACATTTATATTTTGTGGAGGGTCTGAGGGCTCCTCTGAAATAGGTCAGGTTGAGTGGATGGGTGGTGGCAGACCTTCTTGGCTGTGCCCCTAGTTAGTTATGTAAAACTGGACAAATAAGTGACTTCTAATTCTCAGCTTCCATTTCTATTGAAGCAAAGACTTGAACTAGATTCAATCAGTGGCCTCTTTGGTTCTGATGTTTTCTGACCTCATGAATTTGTGCTCAACACTTTCAACTGTTACAACACAAGGTTGGAGGTAGTGTGAAATGATAGTGAATGTTCTTCAGTAGAAATCATCATTCCTAGGGTCTCCGCTGGTGGCACAGGCAGTTGAGCACAGCACTGTGAAGCTGTCCGCAGCCTCTGCAGTGCCAGTTTGATCCCAGCGGGCCAGTGAGGGTCCCACATGGCATGGCAGGCCTCTCCTGTCGTGCCCGCTTTTCCCCTCAGCAGAGTATTTCAGTCAGTCTGCCTGTTCTGTTCCCCACTCTGTCTCTGGTGAATCCTCTCACCCTACCACGCATCTGGCCTGTACCCCAGTTCTTGTATAAAGAAAATAAATCTTAAAAAAAAAAAGAATCATTCCTAAACATCTCAATATACCATGATAATCTGCCTCTGAGGATGTTGAAGGGACAAATGAAACAGTAAAGGTGAGGCATTTGAGCATGCGCGAATAGTTCTCATCAGAGGAAGTGATCACATTGTTGACAGTCATTTCTATGAGTGTCCAGACTATCTGTCATCAAAATAATGTTTCATAATAGTGAAGATTTCAGAAGGAAAACATAGTAGGAAGATAGGACCCTACTTTACTTCATGAAGTCCGTGTGCCTCCATGAACACAGAGTATCTCTCTATAAAACACATTGAAATGAACTAATGAAGTTCAGTATTTATAGGAATTTTATAGTAAACATAAACTACTACGTGGGAAATTTTCAAAAAAGGTTTTTAACAAATCACTTGCTTACTGTATCTCATTTCATATATATACCTTTTAAATATATAGTTGGCAATTTTTTAAAAGCTTAAGAAACTGTTAAATATGCTTAATATTTTGCACATGTACCTATGATTGGATAATTTTTATAGTTCCTACAATCCAGTTAAAGGGCGGAAGTGCCATAGCCTGAGCGCTTCTCTTACCCTGGAGGGACTGTGCACCCCAGGACTGATCCTAGCGCTCTAGGCACTCACTGACCCAGAAAGAACTGTCGTGGGGAGCCGGGCCCACCAGCAGGGTCTGCTGCTCCCGGTGACTGTCCGTGTGTTCTCTCTCAGAGTGCAGGGATACTCTGCTGCCACTGCTGATAGACCAGCTCAGCGGCCAGCTCGATGACCGCTCCAGCAAGCCTGACCACGAGGCCAGCTCGCAGCTCCTGAGCAACATCCTGGAAGTGCTGGACAGGAAGGACGTGGTGAGTCAATTTGTCACTGACACAGACCACGGCACACACGCTAGTCCCTTTGCTTATGAAAAGAATGACTCCCTGGCCGTGCTCTCAGACTTGACCCCGCTGGCTTGGAATCTGGGCCCTGGAGCAGGCTGCACCTGCTCTAGAGGTGATTCCGGAGGTTTCTCTTGCTTGAGCCTGCTCTGCAGATCTAGGGAAGGCCTTGCTGCTGGTGACCTTTCCTTTGTGTGTGGAGAGAGAGGGCCAGCCCTCTGCTGTCTCTTCTAGAAGGACACTAATCCATCTGACCAGAGTACTGCCTTCATGACCTGCTGGACTGCCAAAGGCCCCAAATCCAAAAGCATCCATCATAACATCCACACTTAGATTTTGAACATAAACATTCCATCTATAACAATCTCCTTCACTTAAATTTCTTGCTGTTTTTCCTTCCCACACAGAAGGTGCCAAGAGCTTTGTATTTTTGCCTTTTTCTTTGTACACATCGGCCTAATTGTCCTGGAAACCTGACCTGCTTAGTGTCAGAACTGAGTACCTCATGCTCCTGGGAGTCCCCCCGCAAAAGTGTCTGTTGAGTCAGTGGTTGCCATGAGCTCACAGAGGGGGGTGATCTGGTGATTAGGGGAGCCTTCTTCCCTTGCCTCCCCATGCTCATCTTTTAAATGTTATAGCTAATTATTTTCAACTGATTCCTTACATGATATATTCTGTGAAACCATTTGCTCCTTGTGAAAAAGAAACTGCTTTGTCAAGAAGAGCCAGAATGAGGTGTGAGGGGAACGCATGTTTCCAAGATTCCTGAAAAAAAGGTGACACTAACGCTGCTTAGAAGTGGTGACATGTCTGTGTCTCCCTCAGGGCCCCACAGCGAACCACGTCCAGCAGGTGATGGAACGGCTTCTGAGAAGGATCAACCGGACCGTGATTGGAATGAGCCGGGAGTCTCCCCACATTGTGAGTAACTCTGCAGGAAGACCCACTGCCTCAGCTGCTTCTCTGTATCCTGCTAGTCTGGGGGGAGACTTTTGGTACCAGAGTCTTGAGACCAACAACCCCTGGGCCCTCAGTGCTTTGTTCTGTGCAGCACAGTTCCCTTGGGAAATATGGAGATGGGGGCCAGGGAGTGTCTAGGAGGTGACAGGCCACCCGAATCTGGTCCATCCTGAAGTTGCTCTTGATTCTAACACTGATTTTCTGTTGAGGGAAAATGATCCAACAGTGTGTCAGGAGGCAAAGGGAGGAGAGTTACAGGCTTTTGTAAATACAGAGCACGAGGCCCATTCCTGGGGAGTCTGCTCAGACATAGTAAAAGTTTAAAAAAAAAGAATGGGCAAGACCTGTTACACATTAAAGCAGAGACCTGCTGAGACATAAGCAGCCCCTAGGTCGGCTGCTAAGTCTGTGCCCCCGTGGACTCTAAAGTATTTGTTTAAAGAAATTTAAATATTTTAGTTAAGGAAATTGTCTGCCTTTGTGACCAGAAAATGAGGGGTTTGGGGGCTACATTCAGCATTTCCTCTATTAGCCCTAGTAATTTAGTTCTAATGTTCAATGTATGCCCGCTCTGTCTGCATCTGCCCTCAGTAGAATGATACTAGAAGTGGTAATACTTCAGCTGTCATGATAGCAACAGTAGTAATTAGCTGGTGTGTGTGTGTGTCTCTGCTCTCTGTTTTTGTGTCTGGGTGTGCATGTGTGCATCAAAAACTGTTTTAAGCACTTTAGGTTGAAATTTCATTGAAACCTCCCTCCAGCCCTATGAGATAGTTCTGCTAGCTCGGTTTTGCAAATGAGAAAACGTGCAAGCAGAGGTTCAGAAACCTGTCCCAGGTTTCCAAACTACCAGATGACAGAAGTTGTGTGTGGAACCAGCAGTCAGTCTGGCTGCAGAGCACATGCATTGTTGTCAACCATCCCCGATCCCAGGCAGCTAACAAAGTATCCTCCCAACTGTAGTTGCCATAGCAGAACTGTGATAACCCAGCACCCCTAACACTGCCCCTGTGCACTGGCTGAGGTGGCAGAGTCAGTGTCCCTTGACCTACAGACTCCACACACCATGGCCCTGGATGGGATGAGTGAGTCCTGCATACTCCTTAGCTCAACCTGGAAAGGAGGTCATTTCAATGAGGGCTGCAGGGCACGCGTGCCCTGGGGACCTTTTAATAGGGTCCTTGCTGAAGTAATTGGATGGTGAATGCTGAAGTTTATGCACTCGGGTCTTGCTTGCTCAGTTGGTGGTCAGAGGAGTCTTGCATCTGTGTGCTCTATATTCCAGGGGAGTTTCGTGGCATGCATGATCGCTGTCCTGCGGCAGATGGACGACAGCCACTACAGCCACTACATCAACACGTTCAAAACGAGGCAAGACATAATGGTAGGTTGTTCTCCTTGGGTTCTGCTGGCTTTAAAATTTCTTATATTCAGCAAAAAAAAAAATAATAATAACCAACTGAACTTCATGAGTCCGAGCTGCTTTTCCCAGTCCTCATCAATGCTGTGTGACTGTCCAGTGATTACAAAAAGGAAAGTGCTGATTCTTTCTCTGTGTGATAAGATTTAAAGAACTTATAATATGTATACTATGTGGTCCTCACTCACCCCAGAAATGTCTTGAATTTAGAGAGAGCCTGTATTTAGAAATATTGGGGAGATCTTTCTTTGATCTCAGAAGAGAATAGTGTCTCATATTTGAGGACCAAGTTACTCAAGCTAAGGCAAGGGTTTTAGGAGGCAGAGGTGTGCAGTCTCCTGAGATTGATAACATCACTTTCAGTATTCTCAGAAAGAGAAAAAAGAAGAGGTAACACTAGTCCTTTGTAACATCTATAAGTCATCTTCTGTTGAAAAAGAATTCTTTTTTTTTTTTTTAAAAGATGGGTATTTTTAAAAATATTTATTTATTTATACATACAAGATCTGGGGTACAGGCCAGAGGTGTGGAGGGTGAGAGGATTCACCAGAGACAGATTGGGGAGCAGAACAGGCAGATCTACTGAAATGCACTGCTGAGGGGAGCAGCGGGCAAGTCAGGAGAGGTCTGCTGCACCATGTGGGTAGCTCCCTGGCCAGGGATCAAACTTGTGCTATAGTGGCTGCAGATAACTTCATAGATTGCGTCTTAACCCCTTGCGCCACCAGGGAGGGCCTGTTGAAAAATAATTCTGTTCTCCTATGCTTTAACCTCAGTGAGCCTCAATTTCCTCATCTTTTTAGACAGTACCTTTGGGGTTACTGTGTTGATGGAATCTATACTTGGAAAATGCCTACCTTTGTGCATGGCATGTAGTTAGTGCCCATGAAGACCAGCTATTTATAATTTTTTTATTGTAAACTAAAATTAATATGAAAATTGTTTAGTGGCTTTGTTTTTCAGATTTCCTGCAGGAAGCAGGTAGAATAGGGGCAGTACTAAATTCAAATAGTTGAGCTCTAGTATTTAAGGAAAACACAGGCTAAGTCTTGTTTTCCAGAATAGTGGTGAGCTCATCCCTTTGTATTACTTGGTAACCGAGCATTATTATGCCCAGGAGGAAACTAATCATTGGTATAGAACTGCTGTGTTCAGCTAGGCTTTCTGTCTTTCAGTACTTTTCACTTTCTTATGCTGCCTGCTGAATAAGTCACTTGAAAGGCAGATGTTGGGAAGTGGAGATAAAATGAGGTCTCAGATTTTCTGTGAGTTGCCTCTATTATGCCACTACTGTTTGCAGTATACTTAGCTTATCTTACCAAGAGTTGGATATAGAGTGAGCTTCAGAAGCAGAAAACTGACATCTAAACCTAACCCTTGCCTTCAAAACTGAATTCTCAGGCCTCCCCAGTGGCGCAGTGGGTTGAGCGCAGCGCTGTGAGGCTGTCTGCAGCCTCTGCAGTGCCGGTTCGATTCCTGGCCAGCCAGGGAGATGCCCTCATGGTGTCGCAGACCTCTCCTTTCTCACCCGCTGCTCCCCTCAGCAATGTATTTTGGTCCGTCTGCCTGTTCTGCTCCCTGCTCTGTCTCTGGTGAATTCTCTCACCCTCCCGCGCCTCTGACCTGTACCCCAGTTCTTTTTTTTTTTTTTTTAAATTTTTATTTTTTATAGAGGCATGTTTTATTTATTTATTTGTTTGTTTGTTTGTTTATACATGCACTGGGTACAGTCAGAAGCGCGTGAGAGAATTCACCAGAGCCAGAGCGGGAAGCAGAGCAGGCAGAAGGACCGAAGTACACTGCTGAGGGGAGCAGCGGGCGGCAGGAGAGGTCTGCGCGCCATGTGGGACCCTCGCTGGTGGCCGGGAGCAGCCGGGGATCGAACCGGCACCGCCGAGGCCGCGGGCAGCTTCGCAACCCAGCGCTCAACCGCTGCGCACCGGGAGGCCCTGTACCCCAGTTCTTGTATAAATAAATAAATCTTTTTTTAAAAAAAAAAAGTGCTATGAAAAAAAAAACTGAATTCTTGTTGATTCGAAAGAAAAAGTTAATAGGTGGACACACTTAAAATATACAATGAAAAAAAGTTAAAACTCAAGAACTATGTCTATGATCTCAGGCCTGAGGATGAAAGAGATGACTTGCAGGGAACCAGAAGGTTTGAGGGTAGCACAGACTTCAGAGCCAAAGTTGCTCCCTTCCCTGTGCTGCTTGGCATCCAATGTGCATGTAGCTAACAGGCCTGACTGGTGTCTCAGAGGAATATTGTCAGAAATAGAACCAAGGATTCCTGCCTCCCAGTAGTAGGTTCTAAGCTTCAGGATACCATAGCTCATAAGCTAGGCCTGCATGGTTGCACCAGAAAAATGGGATTGGATTTTCACTTCGGGGATCCCCTTGGAAAATGTCCAAATTTAGTAAACTAATAAAAAAGCTCTCAAAATTTTTTAGCTTTAATTTTTAGTTCAGTTCTATTTCTGAGTTAATTTTTTGCTCACAGTCCCCTTTTGAGTAGAAGTTTGTCTAATTTTTTCACTACTGTGTTCTGTGTGCTGATGTTTTAGTTATCAGAGACATCAGGACCCACTGCGATAATCTCTTTTTAAGGACCATTTAGGGCCTTGTATAGCCAGGAATAAACATTCCTGGAATAGATAGACCCATAACTCTGTTTCTTATTTATAGCATTTTTATTCTTTTCTAAATAATAGAGGAGAATTGGACTCAGAGTTTTAAAAGTATCAGTTTTCTCCCAGTTGTAAATGAATTCATTTTTAAACATGACAGATATGCTGCTACACTTGGCAGTACAAAACTAAAGACATTATCCTCTAACCTTGGGGTCTGGAGCCCCAGGTTTTCTTCCTAACTCTCTTGGTTCCTAGTTTCCATGACCCTTAGCAAATCATTTAATTTTTCACAACTCAGTTTTATCATTTGTAAGATGTAAACAATTTTCTTGTCCCTGCCTTCCTTATCAGTTTGTATGATGTAAGAATCAAATGGTACGGTGGCTGGAAGAAGGCTTTTGCTTTTCCCTAAGTCCTTATTGAGGAGGTCGGTGGCTGTTGTGGGACTAGGGCCGTATTGTTCTGATGTAGTGGTGCTTCTTGTCATGTGTTAGGGGAAAAGCTTACGCATGTAATCCAGTTTCCCCCCAACCATTCCTCCTCTGTTCTCTGCAGGACTTCCTCATGGAAACTTTTATCATGTTTAAGGATCTGATTGGAAAGCATGTCTATGCCAAGGACTGGATGGTGATGAATATGACCCAGAACAGGTGAGACTCTGCCTGCGAGGGTCTGGTATCTAACCGTGTGACCTCTTAACTAGCTGTTAAAACTCTGACTCACATCTCCTCTCTGTAAAGACTGGATCTTTCTTCTTCCAGCTTCCCAGTTTATGTGCTCATGTTCTGGTTTCCCCTGGAACATGTTCATTATCACGCTTATGTTCATTATCAACAACAGCTCAACCATGGTCTCTTTTGGTGGTTCCAGAGGGCCTCCTTAAACCTGGCAATCAAGGCCTCTGAAGTCCAATCCCCTTGCTCTATCTGGCCTTATTTTCACTATTTCCCTCTATGTATACCTGTGCCCCAACCCAGCTGGCCTATTCCTGGTCCTTGCATTGCCCTGCATGTTCATTTCTTTATACTGATTCTTCTGCCTGTGGTATCTTCACCACAATCTCTGGTAATCTACAGACCACCCACCCATTCCTTCAGATCCTTCTCCAGTGCTCTCTCCAAAGGGAGTCTTTCTGACCTGATTGTCATCTTCTCTGCCTTTTATTATTACCTTTTTCACACCCCTCACTGAATTTTCCAAATTCTTGGTTGGGTCTTGGGACGCTCCCCTCCAAGTTTTAATTTCTTAAGATCGAGAATCTTGTCTTGGGCCTCCCCTGGTGGCACAGGCAGTTGAGCGCCGCACTGTAAAGCTGTCCAGAGCCTCTGCAGCGCCGGTTTGATCCTGGCCGGCCGGCGAGGATCCCACATGGCACAGCAGACCTCTCCTGTTGCGCCTGCTGCTTCCCTCAGCAGTGTATTTCCTTAATCTGCCTGTTCTGTTCCCTGCTCTGTCTCTGGTGAATCCTCTCACCCTCCCACGCATCTGGCCTGTACCCTGGCCAGATGTATGAAAATAAATAAATTTAAAATCAATCAATCAATCTTTAAAAAAAAAATCTTGTCTTACTGGGCAGAACCTGAGCCATACTCTGCAGTTGATGGTCTCCAACAAATATGTGTGGGATGGAAATGAATTGAAACAAATATTGGAATATTTTAAAGATTATATTAAAAGATCTTGAGAATTTTTAATGAGATAAATAAAGCAAATCTTTGTTAGGAGTATCATTGTTAATGATTTTGATACCGGATTAGAAAAACCCTTCTCAACTATGTACAGATTAGAGGGAAAAGTTACATCAGAAATCCTAGACTTTAAGAGAAGCACCAGAAAAGAGTTCATGGAGCCCTGGTCCCAGGCTCTGGAGACCTGGTGTCTTGGCTTACTCTGTCCTTAACTGCCTAAATTTAGATGCAGCCTTGAGTGGCTCTTGAAGTCTGTTATAGAAACTGACCTTTAGTGTCCTTCTTTGTGGACTGTGTTCCATCATTGGTCTCTAAGTGGAGATCAAAAGGTCTTCTGTTGCCAAATCCAGGTTTGATTTGGCTTATTTCTTAACATGGATAGAAAATATCTCAAAGAGCATCAAGCTGCCATCTTGACCCAGCATTTTCCTCCTCCAGGGTTTTCCTCCGTGCTATAAACCAGTTTGCTGAGGTGCTCACAAGACGCTTTATGGATCAGAAAAGCTTTGAACTTCAGGTAAGCGTCTCAGCCAAAGAATGAGAACTGCTTCATTTAAAAACAAAATCATCTCAGATTTCATCATGTTCAAAATGGAAAGTCAAAAGTAGAGATTAATTATACATACATACACATACAGGTAGATGTATATGTAAATATATATGTATGTAATACATACAGATAGATATATGCACACCCATATTTGTATGTGTCTCAAAATGGAACCAGACTGTAGAGTTCCTTGATAAGCTCTTAATTCACTTACTTTTTTGCTAATCTCTTCAGTGATGTTAAATATTTTCACAATATTTTTAATGGCTGAATACGGTCTATTATATTACTGGCCAAGATTAGTTTCACTGAAATCTTAGGAACATTCATATTGTGTCCATCTTTCTGTTATGTTAAATACAGGGTGAAGGCCTACCTTGCCTCAAATATTTTTAAATACCCATAATTATTTTGCCAGGATAAAGTCATAAAGTATTTACTAGTTCGAAAGTTGGGCAGAATTTTAAGGCTTTTAATAGATATTGCCAAACTTCCTTCTATAAATAGGTACATTTCTCGGCAACAGTGTCATTTATTCCAGAAGTAAAGATAAATAGAATAGTTTGGATTTCTTTAAATGCTTAATGTTAGTATTAAGTATCAAAACTTTGGGAAATGAATAATTGAAACACAAGGAAGAAAAAGAAGTCTTCTAGATGTTATTTTATTTATCCCTGGTGAGTGACTTCCTGCCATGTGGCACTGGTTTACTGTGGTCCTCATTAATGTGATTTTCCATCTCTTTTCACCCACACAATGCATTTTGAACAGCTCTGGAACAATTACTTCCATTTGGCAGTAGCATTTCTCACCCATGAGTCCCTTCAGCTTGAAACCTTCTCACAAGCCAAGCGCAACAAAATTGTTAAAAAGTAAGTGTCCTCTTCTGTTTGCTTAAGATAGGGAAGGTGATTCTTCCATTTTATTCAGAGCAGGTATTTGCGTTTTATGGACATTGCTGTTCCATCGTGACCCCTGTTGCCAGTAAGATAGGTCTTAAATGATTATTTAATAGACCTCAGATTTCCCCAGAGTCACATCTCTTTTCTCAAGGCAGTCCATTCAAAACAGGCCATTCATTTTCCCGTTAACCACCTATTTCATAGAATCTGTAGCTGGAGAGGCGGAGATGCTAGCCAGGACTCCCATGTCATAACAGCCCCTCCCATCTGCTGGCCCCTTATCCAAATTGCAGACTTGGTGCCTCTCTCTCTGCTTTGATGCAGAAGCTCTATCTCTCAGGCATTTCTGCAGAGAAGCCAAAACTAACACATCCCTGAAGAATGCCCTCCAGAGTCCTGGCTTGGAATTCATAATGGATTTATGTGCAAGAGTGTTGAGGGATTTAGGGAAGCTATTCATTGCTTTCATCTCAGGTCTGTTTCCAAGTTCATTGAGAACCTGGAAATTCAAAGACTATGTAGTTAAAATTACAGTGTGTAGTTAAAATAAGACAAGCCATGGAGTAAAAAAAAAACTAATGATAAATTTCTCACTTGAGAAATTTATTATTAAAGGCTGTGAAATTTTAGTTCCCCTTACTGGAATGTCTGGGATACTATGCAAAGTATTTTGGATACCACTTCTTCTGGTTCCTCCCTAAATCACTGAAATTCGGTAGCTAGGAGATTGAGATTTATTGACTGTGCTTTCAAAGATAAAAGCAAAACCTGTTTTTTTTTTTTTTTTTTAAATATTTACCTGAGGGGTGTGGGAATTCAGAAATAATTGATTTTTAAGATGGATCCCTTGATCTCATTCTTTAGAATATCTTAAAAATTTCCCCACAGCAATATCATTTTTTTAAAGGATAGGTTTAATTTTGGTTAAACCCACAAGTGAAGTTAGCTCACACTAATTCTGATAAGTGAAGTAACTAGTTGGATTAATGATTTAGGATTTGGTCAAAGAAAAGTGTGACTGTAGATACAGTTCATGTAAAAATACATATTCATATGGGTTAGAATAAACATTGGGAAATAAAAATCAATTATATTAAAGTTATAGAAATGTGGATGGATTTTTTTTCAAGGCCTCTCTTAATTTTAGTGAACAGCAGCACCAGTGGTATCATGTGTGATCTGTCATGTGTCCAACATTGACCATATATATAACAGTGAGATTAGATTAGGCACTTTTTTAAAGATTTGTTTATTTATTTATGTATACAAGAACTGGGGTACAGGCCAAACCAGAGGTGCAGGGTGTGAGAGAAGTCACCAGAGACAGAGTTGGGAGCAGAACAGGTGGATCTACTAAAATGCACTGCTGAGGGGAGCAGTGGGTGAGACAAGAGAGGTCTGCTGTGCCCTGTGGGTGAACTCAGGGGATCAAACTCAGGCCATAGAGGTGACAGCACTGAGACTTAACCCCTAAGCCACTCAGGAGGCCTAATTTTAGGTATTTTTGTTAAAATGGAATATTAGGAGAAATACTTAAGTATATATACATTTTTTACTGGTTTCTGAAGGCATTTCCAAAGGGAGATTTTGGAAAAAAAAAAAAAAAAAGAACTGTTGAGTACATGAGTAAAAATTCTGTCAACACAGTTACAAGACGGGCCCATCATAGGCCATTAGAGTTCCCTGGACGCATTCAGTATCTACTTTGATCCACCTATTTCCACATTTCCAAGCCTCTAAGTGACTCATGGCAAGTGGCAGGGAGCCCCCGAATATGTATCCTTAAGGAATTTCCATGTGATTCTGATTCACCTCCATCCAAGACTAGTCTAGTTCTGTGTGTGTCTCTGCTTCTTTTTTCATTATTAACTGCTATCAGGAGGCTTTTTAGAATATTTTTCTAATCATATCCCCCATGATATATTAATACCCCGGATATGCCTTCTGTTTGTGCTTTATATATAAAAACAGTAAACTATCTGTTTACAGTATCACCCACCTTGAGATTATATGGTCTAGTGCTTCCTAGTGTGAGCCTTGTGAAGAACATACTGGCCAGGACACGGGCCACTCAGTTATAAGTGAATAAAGTCAGCATATTTGTTGGACGTCGGTCACATTACTGTAGGATTTGCACCTCGTGTGCCGTCCTTGTCATTGGTGTAGTCTATGTTTTATTTCTTTGTGTAATAACAACTGGAGTTTTTCTCACCCTTGTCCCATCAGGGAGTCTATGCTTTTGTCTTTCCAGTTACTTCTCAGCATTTGCATTTGGCCCTCAGACTTTTTTTTTTTAATTTTTTACATCATTGTTCATTTTTAAACAATATTTGCTTCCCCCCACCCCCTCAGGTGTAGTCCCCATAGAGTTTCCTTCCCCAAGGCACCCGTGCACCATCACCTCAGTCCCCTGGGCTCCTCCCTCCCTCCCTTGCATCCCTCTCCCTCCTCCTCCCCTGCAGGATGTCTCTGATTCATAATTGTCTGTTATTTCAAGTCTCCTTCCCTCCTTGTGGCTGGGTTTTCTCTGCAGAGGAGGGAAGGTTTGTTTAGGTATTAACCTCAACTCCCCCCACCTTTTTTTTTTTTGGTAAGACGCCCTTTTATTTGATTCTCACTTTTCTCATTTATGAACTAGTGATAATGTCCCCTTCACAATATGTTAGAGCTAAATAACATTTAGCATCTTCTTTTGACCTCATCTCTCTAAGTGACCTCAAAACTTGCCTTAAATGGGACCTAGGGGAATAAGGACTCTTTTTAGTCTTCTTGCTTTTTATCATATATACCTGATTCCACTGCAAATTCCTTTCTTGGTTTATGATCTTCTTCCTAGATATGGAGACATGAGAAAGGAAATCGGCTTTAGAATCCGGGACATGTGGTATAACCTGGGTGAGTGTTGACCTTGGATGGGCATCACAGCTGCTGTGTGATGGGCATCCCCATGATGAATTCTTTGTTATTTTAATTCCAGGAATCCTGAGAATTATTAGTCTCTGTCTGAAAGTGAAATCTGACTTGTGGGTTTCACACCCTCATCTCTACTGGGACTTTGACAATGAACTGTCTCTTAACTATGACACCCACATGTTTTCAGAATACCATATTTAGTCACTCACCTTTGAATTGAGTTAATTTACCCACATAAACATTTTTCTTTTCTTGTGGGCGCTGTGGAGGAGGTTTGTAACCTTTTACTTCCAGCTCTTAATGTTGCACTTATTTTCATTTCAGGTCCCCACAAGATGAAATTCATCCCATCTATGGTGGGATACATTTTGGAGGTCACACTGACCCCTGAAGTAGAGCTCCGGAAAGCCACCATCCCCATTTTTTTTGATATGATGCAGTGTGAGTTCAATTTCAGTGGAAATGGCAATTTCCACATGGTAAGAATGGCAGAGCTATAATCTTACTAATGCACATATAGTCCACGCTTACTCATTTTCTTTCCATAAAGAAGCAGTTGTCCGAGTAATACATATCAATGTAGATCTTGAAGCTCTTTTAATTGATTTTCATTTTGTAAATATTCCCTCCAAGGCTACGAGCCATCTTTTTTGCTGGACATGTTTCCTACAGCAGCAGCCAGTCACTGGACAGTTAAAATTTGACATCATGCCTTGCAATCCTCTGTTACAGTGTAGCTGGGGGAATAATATGGATTGAGGAAAAACCTTCTGTAGTATAGCTGAGAGAATGATGCAGAGATTTCTAGATTTCTTTAAGACCCCAGTTTGCCTGCTAGGTCTTATCTGTCCCTCAGTTTTCTTGCCTATACAGCATATCAGTACTGATGGGGAGATTTTTGTAGTTTCGAAGCTCTGTAAAAGCAATTCTAATGCCAACAACTAGACCAAAAACAAAAATAAAATACAAAATTAGAATCCTTCAATTATGTTTGTATGCATAGTTGAGACAGGAAAATAATTTTAATACATTAAGTGTATTAAGTATAATTATAAGTAAATAAAGTCAACATAGTTTCTAGACACCATCCACATTGCTGTGGGAATCATACCTCATGTACCTTCCTTTTCCTTAACATTAGTTAATGAAACATTATGTTTTATTTCTTTGGTTAACAGCAACCAGAACATTTGTCAGTCTTCTCCCTTCAGGAAGTTTATCCATCTCATCTTCTTTTAATGTATTTTATGTTAATTTTAATTTAATAAAAATTAAATAAAATTAGATGTTTATGTAAATTAAAAATATGTTAAATTGTGAATTAATCATTTAATATATGTAAAAGTAATTTTTTCTGTAAATGTGAATCAAACAACAAAGGCTGGTTTAGAAAGTAGGACCTTGGGGCATAATTGATGGGATGCCGGGAAGTGGGATCTTCTGTGTATTTTGGGAAACAGCTCACAATTCAGTAAAGAAATTGAACCGAATCTAAAAGGTGGCAGGTATCGTTCATGTCCTTCTCGAAGGATACAGTCTCCTTTGAAATTGTTCTGCTTTCAGTTTGAGAATGAGCTGATCACAAAGCTGGACCAAGAGGTAGAAGGGGGAAGAGGAGATGAACAATACAAGATCCTTCTGGAAAAACTGTGAGTATTTCAGAATCCAAATATCACATTGATTGTACCATGTAGTGATGGAGAAAAACAGTCTTCTGCTGTGTCATAGACTAGCCCAGGGGTCCAGAATCACCAGGGTCACTGCACAGGGGGTCACAGAGTTTACTCCATCCGCTGCTAGTGCTAGTTTATCTGATGTGCTGATTCCTGGGCCCGCCCCGCCCGGGAGAGCAGAGCAGATGGAGGTGAAGCAACGTGTGCAGAGTGGTGGCATTGTGCCCGGTATGTGAATTGCTCAACTTCAACAAAAGTGCTCTCACCTCTAATTATGGCTCCAGAGCAACAATTTAAAGGAAAAGGGGGAAAAAAAATAGGTTTCAAGGTCCACTTTACATTTCAAAATACTTTATGCCTCTTAAGGACCTCTGAGAACAGGGTTCCATCTCCAGCCAGGTGGGTCTTTGATCTTTCCACTGCCCTGCCCTTTCTTACTCCACTCCCCTCTCCAACATATTCTTCCTTCTCTGTGCTCACATTATCACCACTGCTCCCCACCCGCCCCACCCACACTGAGACATACTCACCCTTCCCCCTCGTGCCTCCTAATTCTCCTGGCACGTCTGGAATTACAAAAGAGTGGTTTCAAATATAAAAAGTGATTTGAAAACACTTGCATGTTAGGATTAGAGAGGAATTGTGCTTCAAATCCTGTTTCTCTACACACTAGTTTGATTTTGGATGGTGGGTTGACCTAATGTCACCTCTTTTTTCACCTACAGAAATGGCATCTCTAGCTGGTTTCGTGGTGAGGGTTAAATGAGGAGAGAGCATCTGTTACAGGGCTCCTGGTGAATCAGTGCTGACTGCTCTGGTGTTCATGGTTGTTACTCTAGATGATTATTATCTATAAATTGTGCCGTCACCCAAGGTTGGACTCACTTGGACCACAGCTGCTCTGAATTATTCATTTCTTGTTTTCTCAGAACATTTTAAGATACTGACCCACCATATCACCTGCTGGAGTATGTGCTGATTGTTTTGTTACCTGCCTCTTTGGAGGGAGTAGGATTTAAATGGAAACATCACAGACAATATATCCAAAATCTACAGTTAATTCTTGACATAAAAGTCTTAATGTTGTTTGCTTCATCCCTCCTGGATCCACTCACTGAGAAAAATATACACTAATCCAGCACCCAAGAGTTTTCCTAGACTGGACTAAATCCTTGGACCCATTTATTTTTTTTTTTAATATTTCCTATTCCCCAAGTTTCCTTCCAATTATCTGAACTAAGAGATCCTTATAGAATCTTTGTACTATGTGTGTCTAAAGGGAGGGAACTTAGACCAAAAGTTAGCCTTGGTCTAACTAATTTACAACTGCATGTCTTTCCTGAAAGTAACATTATTATCTGAGGAATCCATGCCCGAATGTTTACTAGATTCCTCTTAGGTGGGCATCAGTCCCAGGTTTTCCAGAATGGCCACAGGATGCCTTGCAGTGCAGGCCTTAGGGAGAAAAATGACATAGGAAAGCTGGTCTCCTTCAGCTTGAGTGGGCAAATAGCAGACACAAACCTTTTGAGCAAAGGTTGTCCTTTCTGTCGTATTGACAAAACATAAATACAAATAGGAGTTCCAAGAAAGACACTGCTCTGGGATTCTAGTGAAGGTGCATTTGTACTGTACCCAAAGAAAATGTAGAACTTGAGTCACTGAAATGCAACAGAAGTGAAGGCCCTGTTGAGGTAGTGTTTCCTGAAGCCCGTGTGCCCACTTGTCTGACGCTGCCTGCTGTGTAGACCTCAAGGGCTCTGGTCTGGAATGAAGTATATGACAGATGGGCAATTGCCTCTACCTCTGCCTCCCCAGGCTCCTGGAACACTGCCGGAAACACAAATACCTCGCCACTTCTGGAGAAATATTCGTGCTCCTGGTCAGCAGCCTCCTAGAGAATCTTCTGGACTACAGAACCATCATCATGCATGATGAGAGCAAGGAAAACCGCATGAGCTGCACCGTGAACGTGCTGGTACGTGCCAGTCCCCCGGGGTGGTGGGAGGGCGCTGCCAGGCCACCCCGCGCCCTACAGCACAGCCCTGTCAACCTCACAGACACAGCGGTGCCCTGGAGAGCCCTCTATGGAGTCTCCCTCGTAGATAAGTGGAACAGTGGACTCCACTTAGGATTCAGAGATGCCAGCAGCCACTGACCTTTGATAAAATTGGAAATGGGGATGGGAAAGGCAGCATAAACTCAGGACTCCACTCTTTTTTTTTTTAAGATTTATTTATTTATGCATATATGAACTGGGGTATAGGCCAGAGTTGTGGGGGGTGAGAGAATTCGCCAGGATTCACCAGAGTGGGGAACAGAACAGGCGGATCTACTGAAATACACTGCTGAGGGGAGCAGCGGGCGAGTCAGGAGAGGTCTGCTGCACCATGTGGGCAGCTCCCTGGCCAGGGATCGAACTCATGCTGCAGTGGCTACCCACAGCCTCATAGGTTGCGTCTTAACCCTTTGTGCCACCAGTGAGGCCCTCCATTCTTTCTAAAGACCATCCTCAACCAATCTCTTTTGTCTTGGTTATTTGTGGCTGCTTTATTGTTGGAATTCCTGGGCATCGATGAACTTGTGTCGGGACATACCCCATCAGGTCAGCACTGGTTCCTGAAGTCCCTGCAGATGTATAACCCTGTGGCCTGGACTCTCCCTGGACACGAACCTGTGACCGCAGACCTCTGAGGTTTAGGCTGCCTTGGTATAATCCAGAAACCTCCCTCCCCAACTCCCTAAGAAACAGTATCAAGTGATTTGAGTTCAGCAGGCAGTCAACACCCTTAAAAGATCTCCCTCACATGTCTTAGAAACATGGTTTTAAAAAGCAGTTCTTAAACTTCTTTTTAAACTATCACTTCCTTTGCTTGGTGAGGGGAAAGGTGGTGGTATTTGTTCAAAGGAAAGAGTAAACTCTTCAGAAAAGTGACATTGGTGAAAACCAATAACCTTTGACTTTGACCCTTTGACTGGGATCTTCTTTTGTAGAATTTTTATAAAGAAAAGAAGAGACAGGACATATTCATAAGGTAAGTTGAAGAAAATTTCTGCTTTTGTAAAATTTTGTGTTATGGTTTTATTACTTGTTTCTTCAAGAAACAAATAACTAACCCTAAATACCGTGCTTGTTCCTCTGAGAGACTCCAAAAAGTATGTGATATGCTAGGTAGGTTCTGATGGGAAGATCATTTTTCAAGGGACAACCTTTCTTCAAGAATATCTTTATATCTAAAAGGGCCAACTCTTTAGTCACAGATAAGTGCATTCCGAGGGAGCATCTTGGGAGGGTGGTGTCAAGATTCATGGGCAGAAGAGCGGGCAGGTGATCAGGCAAGGCTGCTGGAAGGGGGCGAATGGGGACGTTCATGAAATTCTCTTCTATCAAGAAAGGTTAGCCTGGGGTCTATGACAGGCTGAAGCAAACTTGGACATAAACTCTATGTATTTTCTCAGAACAGATGCCCTAACTCTCATTAGCTTCCCATGGGGGTCCATGACATAAAAAATTTAAATGCCCCTCCTGTGGACACAGAGCTCAAAGCAGAATAGATGGAGTAGGAGAGACACACACAGAAAGCAGGTCAGAGCTCAAAAGAACAGGAGGTAACACATTCCTTTTCATAAGAGAAATGTGGGCTCAGATGAAGCTCAGGAGAGAGACAGGAAGGCAGACTGAGATCTGGTTGTAGGATGAGCTGAACGCCAAGCACTGCCTTACAAACGGCCTCCCTTCTCTCCTAACTAGGTACTTGTACAAGCTGCGGGATTTGCACCGAGACTGTGAGAACTACACGGAAGCGGCCTATACACTTCTCTTGCACGCTGAGCTTCTGCAGGTAAGAGCATCAGGGGCACTCATCTTAGAGGGTGGAAGACAACACACTGTAGCTGTCTTTTGGGACTAAATCCTGTAGACTTTGTGGTTCTGATGGGAAGATCATTTTTCAAGGGACAGCCTTTCTTCAAGAATGTCTTTATATCTGCTAAATAGGCACTGCTAATTTTCAGATCCAGGTTAAGAAAATGTCAGTAATTTATTTAGAAATTCTTAGGAAACAGAACTTAACTTATAGGTCTCTAGTAATTGGCTCACTGATTAAAGAAACAAAACATACATCAATAAAAGATATAAATAGATTCATCTCACTGCAGAAAATGAGTTGTAAATGAATGTAGTACCATAGGAAGGTTTTCCTATTTATAGTCTCTCACTAAGTAAAATTACACTACAAATAATAAATACACGGATACATCAAGGATCCTAAACAAATATTTCTAGCTCCAAATATTCCTCTAACTTTAGGTTCATGTATAATTTATGAGCAGCGGCCATGGAGGCTGGCTGCCTGACTTTCCTGGGAATGCCTGGAGAATTTGTCCATTTAGGTCAACACTTGTTGCGTGGCTGGCATGTCTGTGTGTGTATGTGGTTTGGGTGTTTGATAAATAAGCTACAACACTATGAATCAGTCAAAGATATACTGAACTATTTCTATAACTTTTTTGTCTGAATATTTGTTACACTAATCTCCTTTGACTAACTTAATTAATAGACTTGTTACCTTAATCTCTTCTGTTCCTTCTATTTGTCTTCCAGTGGTCTGACCAGCCCTGTGACTCCCAGTTGCCTCAGAGGGCCAATTACAATGTTTCTACCCAGCAAGAGCTTAAAGAGAAGTTGTATCAAGAAATCATATCTTATTTTGACAAAGGCAAAGTGAGTGTTGGGCTGTTAGTCTTGTAATAGGGAAAAGGAAAGTGACTGCAGTGCTGGATGTGGTTCTGGTGCTAGTTACCCAGAGTGATCCAAGACCCCCCCCCAGGTTAGGGCACATTCCCCAGCCCTAAAGCCTCCCTTCTGGTGCCAGCACAGGTTCCCAGGCCACCCACTCTTCTGACTAATTGACTATAAATTTGGGAGGTTGTCCCATGACTCCCTCAGGTTTGACAGTATGCTCCAACAACAAACAAAACTTGGAAAGATGCTGTATTATGATAACAGTTTTACTATAAAGGATATAAATCAGAACCAGCCAAATGAAGGAGCATAAATGGCAAGATTTAGGAGGGTCTGGACTACAAAGCTTCTGTGTCTTCTTCCCATAGATTTAGGACATAACCTGATTTGGCAAACTGATGTGTTCACCCACCAGGAAGCTCATTTAATCTTTGTTGTGCAGTTTTTATGGGGGTTTTATTACATAGGCTTGATTGACTGAATCATCAGTGGTGTGATTAAACTCAATCTCTGACACCCCCTCCCAATCATCTAATCACATGAGTGATGAGTCTGCCATGACTAGTCCTCATCCTGAGAGTGTCTAGGGGCCACCCTGTGTCACCTTTTTTAGGGTAAACTCAGATGTGGTAAGTGGTCCACCATGAATAACAAAGACACTTCTGTGTCTGGAGACATTCCAAGAGTATAGAAACTCCATCCCTGAAACTCAGGACCAAACTCTTTATTATACAACAGTGACTGATGACTTATTTTTTTATTCCCTGTGTATCTTTGAATTCTGATATTTTAGTGGGAACAAAAGTGACTACGTAAGGTAACAAAGGTAATAAAGATCAGTTATCTTGAGAACACTAAACTCAATGGAGACTAGAATTAGCAGCTTAGAACCCCACTCTGCACAATCATAATTTTACCTCTTAAGAAGGTGTTGCTGGGGCCAAGAGCTGGTACCATCCTTTACTATGTATTTTCAAGAAATTGTTTGCTAGCACCAATTGCACATCCCATATCCAGGTTACTGTCTTTCTCCATAGACTGTAGGGTAACATGCAAGTTAAATGCCTGTGGGAGCAAGAAGGTAAAATGAACATAAGATGTGTACCAGGAAGTTGTAGTCTGTGATCTGCTGGAGAAATCATGTCTAATTGATTGGCTTTTAAATTAAAAAAAAAAAAGAGGGACCTCCCTGGTGGTGCAAGGGTTTAAGATGCAACTATTGCAGCACAAGTTTGATCCCCAGCCGGCCAGGGTGCAACCCACATGGTGCAGCAGACCTCCCCTGACTTGCCCACTGCTCCCTTCAGCAGTGTACTTGGTCAGTCTGCCTGTTCTGTTCCCCACTCTGTCTCTGGTGAATCCTCTCACCCCAACACCTCTGGCCTGTACCCCAGTTCTTGTATGCATAAATAAATAAATCTTTTAAAAAATTCTAAAAAAAAAAAAAATGAAAGGGCAGGGAGAGAAAAGAAAAAATTGCTGTGCTAACCTAGCAAAACATCCCAGATTAAGGTAGTTAAAGGAACCTACATAGTTCCTGTGGTTTCCTGCCACCTTATCTGTTTTATCAGTGGAACATGTTGGTTAATTAATAAATAAGCCAATAATCATCATGATAAAATAACTAGCATGTGTTTAGTGCTAGTTACTATCTTAGGTGATTCCCAGACATTTTTCCTAATTTAATTCTTCCCCTAACCCTACAGGTAGATCACTGTGTTGTGTATATTAAGTACTTGGGACTTAGAGAACAAGTTTGTTGGGTTCATCATTTTTTGGTCTCTGCATTCCTTTATTTTCAAAATCATCGAGGATCTCAAGGAGAGCTTTTGTTCTATGGGTTATATCTTTTGATACTTGTAGGAATTTTAAAAAATTAAATATTCTTGCTCTTTTGTTATAGTAATTTATTGCATATTAATCATTTATTTTATGAAAAATTACTATTACTGTATTTTCCAAAGAATTAGTGTGAGTGGTATTGGTATTGTTTTACATTTTTGTGAATCTTTTGAACTTCTCACTTAATAGATGGATTTTTATAATCTGCTCCTGCATTTAACTGATAGTGACATCATTCATTCTGTACCCTTTGGGAAGCTCCACTGTATGCACATGAGAGATGAACGTAGAGGAAGGCAAACAGTATGAGTTTTTTAAAGAAGATAGTGTTGACCTCATGAGTCCCCTGAAAGGGCCTGGGGTACTGTCAGGGACCAGGGACCACATGTTGAGAACCACTGTGCTAGGAAAACTCCCTGTCTCTTACACAGTTGGTGTTTTCTGAACTGAGGAGAAAGCTGGACCCCAATTCTGCTGCCTCTGGCTCCCCATACCAGCCCCAGCCCATCTGAAAAAGGTTTCCATTAGGAACATTTCACAGACTTTTCAGTGACCTAGGCTGTGATATTTCACAGGGGGCAAATTCGGCTGATGATAGTTTTACACTTGATCTTAGCCAAAAGGCTGAGAAGCAATTGGCTAATGATGATTTTAAAATATTTAATTTTAAAATGTTCTACAACTGTATGTGAACTTCACATACATTGCTTTAGCAGTCAAAAACAATGGAAGGAAAATAGCATCCTTTTAACAAGAATGAAGTAGAAAATGACCGGATATTATGTTTTAATAGTACCTAAGAAATCTTATGAAATACCAAAGTGATTGGCAGGCCCAATCTGGGATGCAGCCTCAGACACCAGATTGTGTATCATGCTGTAACTTACATGATCACACATGCTCTAAGTTATTTCCCAAAACTCTGCTTGACTGAGTAGATAGTTTAGTTGAAACAGAGAATTAATGTCCTAAATTCAAAGTACAATTTCTTAAATTCCAAACAACAGTACTATGAGCCTCTCTTCGATCCCCCCACCCCAAACAGCCTAACTCCAAACACAGATTTACACACCCCAGGACCAGAACTAGAGCCCACACTAACTTTACCCTCTAATAAAACTCTCACATGCTCAGGGCCTAGGTTCAGAACCGGTTCCCTGGCTTTAGTGCTTTGCCCTTTAAACATGCTTTGGAACACTCAGTGTTCTTTGTGTTCTTATAAACTTATTTACCAAAGATGCACCCTAACAAAGCAGCCAGTCTATAGTAACTTTATATTGTCAGCAAGAGGATTAGTTGATCCAAGAGATGAAGCTGGCTGGAAATATTTGCAGCAACTCACCTCGCAGATTGCTCCTAGCCAGTGACTCTCAAATGGCTTTTGCTGCCAGGTGAGTGACTACTTTGTTCTTTGCTTTTTTTTTTTTTTTTTTAAAGATTTATTTATGTATGCATACAAGAGCTGGAGTACAGGCCAGAGATGAGGGGGGTGAGAGTATTCACCAGAGACAGAGTGGGGATCAGAACAGGTAGATGTACTGAAGTACACTACTGAGGGGAGCAGCAGGCGAAACAGGAGAGGTCTGCTTTGCCATGTGGGTTTCTCTCTGGCCAGCCGGGGATCGAACTCGTGCTACAGAGGCTGCAGATTGCTTCATAGTGCAGTGCTTAACCCCTTGCACCACTAGGGAGGCCCCTGTTCTTTGTTTTTAACCTAACTTTTCTATTTCTAAAGATGTGGGAGAAGGCGATCAAACTTAGCAAAGAGTTGGCTGAGACTTACGAGAGCAAAGTGTTTGACTACGAGGGCCTTGGCAATCTCCTGGTGAGTCTGGGTCAGATTTCCTCATGCCAACAACAGCCTCGCTAAGATCAGTGAACACAAAGCTGTTTCTGTGAGCTTAGGAAAGTCAGGATAAATTTTGTCATTTACAATGGAAACAGAAGCCTTGTGAAAGGAAAAGTGAAAAAAGATGAGGTCCCAAACCTGTTCCCAGAGCTGGTCCAGGTTATCCTCCACAGAGGGTTCCTGTCTGCACGCCTGCCCTTTCCCTGTGCTTCTGTTTCTCTCCGGCCCCTCCTCGTTCCCAGCCCCTGTACTCTTTACCTCTCAATTACTCTGCCTCTGAACACCGCCCATATTTTAGATGACTTCTGACATCTTCTGTTTATCCAAATTACTCATGTGGCCCACATCCTCAGGACCCGGCTAAATGAATGAATTGTTCACCTTTGTGCCTTGTTTTATTTTTTTAAGAGTCCCACTCTGCACATTTGTTTCATTGGGAAGTACTTCTACCACCAGCATACTCTACTTTTACTGTTCCCCGAATTTATGTATTATACCTGGCTGTAGGCACAGGCCAACTACTTTGGAAAACAAAGCAAAACAAAAATAGCCTTGTAAATGCCCAGTGGTAGGTAAGCACAATATTCTGTTTGAAGAGTCAAAAAAGGTAGGGTCACCCATTGTCATGTAATATTAATGTATTTGGGGAGATGGCTTGTCAAGGTCACTTTGAAAAGAATTTGCTAATATAATGTATTAGCTCCTACTGTCACAAAAGAATAGCTCATTGGTTCCATAAAGTAAATTGAGCTGAGCTGTTAATAATATAACATGTTACTTTTGTAAGGAGACTACTGTGATAAAAACTTGCACCTAGATGGAGTGGGAACAATCATGCTGGCCTTTGTAGGTGGGAGGGACTCGGGCATCCCTCAAAGGCCTTGGTCTGCTGCCTGTTTCGCTTTCCTTAAGAATGACTGAGCCTTGTCTGGGAAGCCTCTCCCGTGTGAAAAATTAAAGACAGGGTGGTATGAAATATTGAGAAACAGAACAAAGCTCCCACCTTCTGGCTACCTGTAAGTGAACCAAGGACTTTAATCCAAATCACCTGCAGGAAATGGAAGGTTCCTTATGTGGTTTTCTCTGTCTCTGCTTAAGTACAGCCACCCTCTGTGAATCTCAGAAAGTGCTTCCTAACATTGTAGGGGTCCTGAACCCCTTTGAAGAAAGCAGTGAAGTGTGAACACTGTCACCTTCACAGAACACTTGCACACACATCTTTCTGTGCACAGCGTCAGAGGTTCCCAGACTCTCCAAAACCCCGTCTTGGATCCCAGATCCAAAACCTCTGCCTCAAGAGAAGGCTAACTCTTTGACAAGATGTTTCCCAAAGACCTTTTATTTCTCTGTGTTAAGTGGGAAACAACAAAGCAAATAATCTATTTTTTTTCCCCAATAGCATCCTTGTAACCTCTCTTGTAACCTCCTTTGTTTTATTTTCCAGAAAAAAAGAGCTTTGTTTTACGAGAACATCATTAAGGCAATGAGGCCTCAGCCCGAATACTTTGCTGTTGGATACTACGGACAGGGCTTTCCTTCTTTTCTGCGGGTAAGAAGCCCCAGGGTGGTCTCCAAAGCCATTAAGCTGTGGAGTCTGAAGGAGGGAAGGTCTTCACCTCTTTTCCAGATGGGCCTAGTGTGTTAGCAGCTGCTGACCCGTGTTCTCACTGTGGGAGGTCGCGGAGGGAAACCACTTCCTGAGCAACCGCCTCTTCACCCCACACCCCGCCTCTTCACCCCACACCCCGGCTGCCTCTGCTCTTCTGGCAGCTCTTTTGTTAAGTGACTTTTCCCAGGTGGAATGGAAAGGGAAAAACAACCATCCTCTCCACTGGTCTGCTGCCACGGGTCAGGCTGGGGAGAGTGTGGATTGATATATTCAGTTGTTTATTTTATTTCCAGCCAGAGCTAGTTTAAAAGCAAAAAGCCCAAGGACAAGACTACAAGAGTTCACAAAAATAAATAAAAAGTTTTGTTATAATGGTGAAAAGACTGTGTTTTCCCTCCTTTCCTTCCCTTAGTTTTCTCTAATACTGATTCTACAATCTAAAAAACAAAAAAAAGCCTCCTGTTTCCTACCAACAAAAAAAAGCCTCTTAGAACTGAGCTATGTTTAAAGGCTATATTTTTTTTAAATATTGATTTATGTATGCATACAAGAGCTGGGGTACAGGCCACAAATACACTGCTGAGGGGAGCAGCAGACAAGACAGAAGAGGTCTGCTTTGCCATGTGGTTTCTCCCTGGCTGGCGGGGGATCGAACTTGTGCTGCAGAGGCTACAGATTGCTTCTTAGTGCAGTGCCTTAACCCCTTGCGCCACCAGGGAGGTCTAAAAGCAATTATTACTTATCTTACTTCCCCTAATTGAAAAAAAAGTGGGGAAAAACCAATTTATATTCCTTTCAGGTTGTTCAATCATTCATTCATTCATTCATTCATTCAATAACTTTTTTCTGTAGATACATACTAGTCATTTGAGGTACAGTGCTAATTGTAAGATTCCTCTCCTCTAGATTTTATACCCTAGTAGGTGAGGTGTTAATTAAATAATCACACAAACAGGGCCTCCCCAATGGCGCAGCATTTGAGCGCCGTGCTGCGAAGCTGTCCACAGCCTCTGCAGCGCCGGTTCAATTCCCTGCCGGCCAGGGAGAACCCCACATGACGCACAGACCTTTCCTGCCTCACCTGCTGCTCCCCTCAGCAGTGTCTTTGGTCCATCTGCCTGTTCTGCTCCCCACTCTGGCTCTGGTGAATTCTCCCACCGTCCCACGCTTCTGACCTATACCCCAGTTCTTATATAAATAAATAAATAAATCTTAAAAAAAATAATCACACAAATGTATACTTGAAACAGAACAGGTAAAATATTCTGTGCTATAAGAGTCAGTTAACCAGTGAGTATTCACCCAAGTGAAATAAAAACCTATACACAAATCTTGTAAGGGAGTGTTTTAGCATCTTTATTCATATTCATCAAAGATTACACACTACCTGTGTTTCTCAACAGGTGACAGTATAAACAAACTGTGAATAAGTATATAATGGAATACTACTGGGTAATAGAAAGGAATGAATTCCTGTCCACCCCTGTGGGTGAATCTCAGCTGCTTTGTGCTTAGTGAAGGAAGATAGAGTTCAAAGATTTCATTCATTGATTTTATTTATATAACACTCTGCTCAAGCCAACATTTGCTTGAGGGACAGAGAAAGGATCTGTGCTTCTCTGGTGGTAAGAAAGGGTAGGCTACGAATTAGCATGGGAAATATTTAGTGGCAATGAAACTGTTCTGTGTCATGTCATAGCCATGACTATGGCTACATTGACCAAAACTCACAGACTCTTACCCTAAAAAAGGAAAATTGTGTAAGTTTTCACTGAGTTTTGTAACAGTCAGGATAGACATAGCCATTTGAAAGGTGAGCTGGGAGTTAAAGAGGTAAAAGGGAAGGAAAGAGCATTCTCGACAGAGGAAACAGCAGGCAGAAGCTGTCAACAGGGAGAAATGAGAGAAGATGAGTGTGGTGGGAATGGAGGGAGCTGGGGTGAAGCAGGAAGTATGCGAAGAGCGTGAAGAACCTTGGGGTCATGTTGGGTATTTTGTCTGCATCCTGAGAGTAACAGGAGTCACTACAGACCTTTCGTGTTGGCAAGGTTATCTGGCTTCAGGATGGAGTGGACAGGAACTGGACAGATTAGCTCCCAGAGACATCGCAGGTGTTCAGGCAAGAGATGACCACTTGGAGAAGGGAGGTGGTTTTAGAGAGAAGTGGCAACAGTGGTGGAGACTAACTGATGGTGGATGGGCTCTATGGATGACATTCTGGAAAAGGGTGTCAAGAATGATTCTGAGGTTTCTAGCCTGCATAGTTGGGAAAGCAGTGACAGCATCCACCAAGGGGGCAGATTTGAAAACAAACCAAAATCCCGGAAATTGTGGATCTTATATCCTAAGTAGATCAAAAAAAGAAAAAGAAAGAAAAAAAAGAAGTAAAATATTCAGTGTGTCAGATGATCCAGAACAATGCCTCATACAGGAGAGGAGTAAATAAGCATTAGGGAGAAAAAGAGAAAGGTGGATGGAGAGGCTGGCACCGGGGTGGTGTGCAATTTTAAATGAAGGGACTAGGAAGTTCTTTACCGAGAAAGTGATATTTGAGCCCAAACCTGAAGGAAATGAAGGAATGAGCCAGGTGGCTGTTAGGATGAGCAAGGATACCAGCGAGAACAGCAGATTCAAAGGCCGTGAGGCTGGAGAGCAGCAGGGACATGAGGGTAAATAAGAGAAGGGCGCAGAGGGCTACAGGGACTAGATTGCAGAGGGGCATTGAAATATTTATAAGTTGATTATAAAAGTTGGTTTTGGACATACTCCATGTGAAATGAATTTGGAACAATTCAAAAAATGTGGGTCAGCAATTTGATCTATGTATCTGAAACTCAAAGGAAGGTTCTCAGGTGGATAGAAAAGTTGGAGTCATTTGTATGCAGTAAAACGGTGGTTGTGGTTTTTTGACCTGTAGGTTCGAGAAATAATGCCCACAACAAGGACTGTTTTGAGAATTAAATATATAGCATATACTCTATATACTCTATAAAGTGTCAAGTGGTTTTTAGTTGTTATGTGTTGTCAAAGTCTACTTCAACACATAAAATTTGTAACTTAAATGCCTCTCTATGTCAGAGACTATTCCCCCAGATTCAGAATCTTCTTCCTGTTCCAAAGCTGCTAAGCTCAGAATAATTGTTGACTTTCCTATCTCCTTTCCCTTCTCCAAATGCCACATCCTGTAGCTTCTCCTCCCCCATCAGCTCTGTCTCCCCAGATTCCTACAGTTGGACACACACGTACTCCCCTGTGTCATATTATGTTATCTATGTTATCTGCACTCCTGCTTCCATCATGCTGTTCTCCCCTTCTAGAAGCTCTGTGAATTCCCTGCAGCCTGTCATGTTCTGGCTCATCCTTCCAGCCCAAGGTTCTTTCTTCAGACTAACTCCATACTTTATGTCCTTGAACCTTATCCTTTCCACTTCCCATGCCTGATTGTCCTCCCCATCTGTCCTTCTGTCCATCTGTCAATCAGTCACATGCGTATCTTCCTTAAAGCTTCTTTCTTTCCAGTTGAGCCCACTCGTGCTGAGTTTCTGGATCTCAGTTCCTTCCACAGCCACTGTCTGTCTCATACAATCATGTCTTCTTTACCCTCTGATCCCCTGCCCACCACATGTTGCCTGAATGTTAGTACATGTTAGTACTGCCCAGTACATGTGTCAGTCACATGAATCTTTCTGAGTTTGGAAAAATATTCCAATATATATGTCCATTTTCATTGTCTTCAGTGTTTAGCCAAGAAAGTATACTACTTATGCTAAGATAATCTTGTTTACTTGTTTATTTCTCTTCACTGGGAGGTAAGTTTCTGACAATGAGGCCACCATTCTATCCCGAGTGTCTAGCCTGTTTACTGTTTACTCCATACATATTTGTTATATAAATAAACAAGTGCTTTTTAAAACACATTTAACAGGGCAACATCAGCCCAAGTTTTCATTAAAAATGCATGTTGCATCTGAGTGACTAGCAGACAAGCAGAACCCTCAAAAACCAGCTAGGAATTAACTAGACCGGCAGCAACATCTTCCCAGACTTAGGAGAGTTTTTTAAAAAAAATCCAATTTTACTAGTTTTATAAAAGAGAAAACAAACTCCAGCTAGAAATGGAGAAAATAAGTGTTTAGTGCAGTTATTTTCTATGAGGTATTGATGTTGCTGTTCTTCTTGTGTTTTAAGACTGGCCAAGGGACTGTTGGGGATTCTTCCTGGCCTCTTACCTGTCCCTTTGCTGTCTTCTATTTTCACGTTCTCAAAGGCAGCACTTCAAAGTGCTGTTACTGGATCATGATGAGATGAGAAACTTGTACCTGAATGTAAATGAATGCTCCTTCTTCCCTCATTCAGAGTGTTTGGCTCTGAAAAAGGCAGCTAAATTAACAACATACCCAGTGAGGTCATGGAGCTCCTTTAGAACACAATCTGTATATTTCCTTGAGGATCAGTGTAGACGGTTTGTAGCCCTGCAGTTGGCACACTGGGGTGTGGGCCGCACTGTGAGAAGAGCCGCTTGAGGTTGTTTTTCATGCTCATGACTTAACTCTGCAAAAAAAAAGTGAGCTCTTGTCAGTAGTAATGGTTGCTGTGGGGCACATAGTAGGTATTCAGGGAGAACTTGACTATGGATTGCCCTTTGACTAGGGAATAAGTGACTTGCCCAGCATCAGAATCTTCACTCTTTATTTGTAATTATTTGTCTTGCCATCTCTGACCTGCAGAATAAAATCTTCATCTATCGGGGGAAGGAGTATGAGAGGAGAGAAGACTTCAGCCTGAGGTTGCTCACCCAGTTCCCCAATGCAGAGAAGATGACCAGCACCACGCCCCCAGGAGAGGAAATCAAGACATCCCCAAAGCAGTGTATCCTTGCCAAAGGGAGTGTGACCTAGATGCTCCTTAGCCTGGTCAGGCTGTGGCGTGCCCAGCTTCTCTGGCAGTTGTGTTTGTTGGAGGTGACTATCAGCATCCCTGGTGCAGTAACCCGCTGTGGTCCTGGAGAAGCAAACAATACCCAAAGATACACTTCCTACTGCTGGCTTTGGAGTGTGGCTATTTCAAGGGGATGCTTGACCCAAAGAAATTATTTCAGACAGATTCTAATCACCCATATCTAGTCATCCTGATGTTTCATGGATGTCTATTTTCCTGTGGCCAGGTTGTTTGCCAGCTTTCTGACCAAAAAATACCTTTGGGTTAATTTTTAAATAATGCATCTTAGTGATACAGAGGGAAATTCCATTTTCATTGTGGTTCTGGCATTTAGTAGAAAGGAATGATTGACCCCAGTTCCATCTCCGTGTACAAAGCAGGAGGAACAGGCATCTGCCTATGACAGCTTCAAGGCTCAGCCCTTTCTCCTCCTTAACCAGTGACTCAGATATGCAGTGTTTCACAGTGAAGCCAGTCATGAGCCTGCCACCCAACTACAAAGATAAACCAGTTCCAGAGCAGATCTTAAAGTAAGTGGGCCTTTTTATTTTGACTTGTTAAAAACATTTTTCACTCTTGCTTTATTGAAAACTACATCAAAACCAAAGCCTTAGATGCATTCTCATTTGGAAGACCTTCTGTTGTCTCAGTCCACTGGGACTGCTCTACCAAAACACCACAGACTAATGACTTACAAACAACAGACATTTATTCTCACAGTTCTGGAAGCTGGAAGTCCCAGATCAAGATAACCAGCAGATCCAGTGTCTGGAAGGCAGCTTCCTGGTTCATAGACAGCCACCTTTTCATTGTGACCTTACATTGTGGAAGGGGCAAGGGAGCCCTCTGGTGTGTCTTTTTTATAGGAACACAAATTCCATTCATGAGGGCTCCACTGTCTTCACCTCTTAAAGGCCCCAGCTCCTAAGACCATCACACTGGGCATTAACATTTCAACAGATGAATTTCTGAGTGGACACAAACGTTCAGACCATAATAATTGTCCATTCCATTTTTAGCATAAGCGCTTGTTGGTACTCAGAACAGTTTGAGGGTTTTGGGCAGAGGGCGGGAAGTCAGGAATCTCACACTTAGATTTTGGACCTCTGGCTCTTATTTCCACTCAGAAGCATTCACTGCCTAGGGCTGAGCTCTCCGTGCCTGCTGGGTTCCCCAGCAGAAGCCCTAATTCCTTCTCCTGAGAAGCTGCTGAGGTGTTACTAGGATTGACAGAACTGTTATAAAACTATACAAGTGAGATCATAAATATGGACATAAATATTATACCTGTTTAAATTGTGAGCTGTGAAATAACAAAATTAAATTAACATGTCATGAAGTCAGATTGCACACAGCCTCCAGCGACCTTGTTGAGGAGACTGTCAGTTTTGACATAGCTCAGTGAATCTGACTCAGACTGTGTAAGAGGTAGTACAGGTTTTGTTGAAGTCGTATCAAGGAGTGCCTATTCCAAAAGAAACTATAGCAAGTGGCTGTATCTTTCCCAGTTACTACAGAGCCAATGAAGTACAGCAGTTCAGCTACTCTCGGCCGTTCCGGAAAGGAGAAAAGGACCCGGACAACGAATTTGCTGTGAGTCCTCCCCTTGTGTCCTGTAAAACAACATGAAATTGACATCCAGACTGGAGGCCTTTTGCCTCACTGCAGAAAAGAGCAGAAAGCTGACAACCCTGGGAGAGAGATTACATGCTGACTACTGGGATGGCACACTGTGATTTCAGTGGAAAACTCTAGATTGGGAGTCTGGAAACTAAACAATACCCCTAGCCTGCTGCCAATGTGATATCACCTGAACTAGGCTCATCTCTCCGCTCTTCACATTTCTACCTAGAGGGTGAAAGGGCCCAAGTAGATGATCCCTTGCAGCATCCAGAATCCTTACATCTTTTGAGAAAATAAAGTCTGTTCCCTAAGGAGTCATTTGAGAATGAAAGCTCTGCTGTACCAGGGATTTTGCTGTTTTACCTGAAAACTGACCAGCATTTTCTGTCTTTCCTCTGCCAGACCATGTGGATCGAAAGGACCACATATACAACTGCATACACCTTTCCTGGGATCCTCAAGTGGTTTGAAGTCAAACAGATTTCAACAGTGAGTCATTTGAAATTGGAACTGGAAAAAAAAAATCTGTGGCCAAATATAATAACAGCCTTTGTTAAAAATCCTCCTACTAGCTGGCCAGCCTCCTCGGGCCAACTTCATTTTCCAAAAGAGAAATAAAGACACACTTGTGTGCTAGAACTCCTTGTAACACTGATGTGACAACACCAGCGCTATAGGTTCCTCACAGTGAATGACTCTTTGATGACCCAATGAGTATTGTCTCCCATGGGGCCTGCCAGCGCCCAGACACATTTTTGGGATGTCATTCAGATTCTTCTCTCCCAGAATCTTTCCTCTTCTTTTATTCTCAGCTAATCACATCACCAGTCACCCTGGACTCTTCCATCTTCATCACCCAAAAGCTGCCCAATTTACCATTTTAACACTTACTAAAATCTCTTCTTCATTTCCAGCCATCTTACTTTTCTCATCTTCCTAGTACCTCGTTCAACCCCAAGGCTCCCGATTGGCCTCCCTGCCTTGTCTTCTTCAGGCTCCCTTCCCTCACTTCCTCAGGGTGTGAACTCTGTGGGGGCAGACCTGATCACGGTATCTCTGTGCTTAAAACCCTTCCTCAGCTCCCCATGTCTCTAGGGTCCCATGTTCTTTTGCAGACACTACAGGGTCCTTGTGACCCAGCCCTTCTACCTTATCTTCTGTGGAATCTGCTGGAACTAAAATGTTCATTCCTTGCTATTTCAGCTGTCCTTGACACTGTTCATTTTTTTCTGCCTAAAATGTCCTCACATCACCACACAGATTACCTCCTGTCCAGATTCATTTTAGGCACCAGCTTCCCCAGGAAATCACTCCTGAAATTCACAAGCTGGATTTGATGCCTTTTCTTTATGGCCCTTGATAACTAAGGCTTAATTCTAAGGCATTACCTTCCATATCTTCATGTCTTGAGACCCCACTAAAATCATAAGCCTGTCCCAGCCATGATTTATAGGTTCATCATGTTTGAAACCTTGGTGCACACCACAGTACTCTGATAAAACAGCTGTTCAGGAATATGTCATGAACAAGTCTGAATTGCAGTTCCACGTGTTCCACATCAGCCATGATAAGTTATTATTCTTCAGGTCAAGTATAAATGATATTTTCAAACCAGCACTTATAGATGAAACTTGAAATGTCATGCTGGCTATAATAGGTAAAATGAAGAGGTCGTGGGGTTTCTTGAAACCTGTTTTGAAACATTTCCATAGAAGGACACGTCTCACTAACTCCATATTGCATCTCACTTCATTTTCATCCAAAATTCAGCCTATTACAATCCATCCTATTATTTCTTACTTCTGTTAAGCACGGGACCTATACTGAAGTCACTTGTGTATCCTCTGACTGTATGACTTTTAGAATCACTTTCTTCTTCTCAGGGAAGAAGCATTAGCCTCTCACCAATGAATGTTTTTTCTGTGCAAAAATATTTCCAATTAGATACTTGTTATTCTATTGTTACTGAGCTTCTCAAAATCAACCTAGGAAGTTTTGCACAAGAAACCATCATTCTGGCTCCATTTTTTTCTCTCAATATTTTTAGAGAGACTTTGCCCCAAGCAATAATTAGTACTGTAAGTCCAGTTTTTAAGTCATCGTTGTACTCTCTCTGGAGACTTTCAATAGCTTATTTTGCAATTTACATAAGTGTGGTGTCCTTGAAAGTAATCCTGACAAGCACAATCACTCTGTAGGCTGGTGGGTGTTTTATAGCTTTGGAGGGGAATATACAGGCTCCTTTCATTCTTTGCTGGGGGGCCGACTAAGTGCCCTGCCTGCTCTGTCACAGGAGGAAATCAGTCCTTTGGAGAACGCCATAGAGACCATGGAGCTCACCAATGAGAGGATCAGCAACTGCGTGCAGCAGCATACCTGGGACCGCTCCCTCCCCGTGCATACCCTCTCCATGCTGCTCAGCGGCATTGTCGACCCTGCTGTTATGGGGGTTTTTCCAACTATGAAAAGGTGGGTGCAGGCTGGCATCCCTCCCAGACTCTAAGCCCCTGTGAGTCTCAGTACCTCCCACAGAGGATGGTGCAGCTGGTGAATTTGTCTATCACACCTTCTCAGAGATTTTCATTCTCCCTTTTTTAAATGGGGAGATGAGATGAATGAAAAGCTCAACTCCTAGAGACCCTCAATCACCCAACCACTGTCTGCTAAAGAGTTACCCCAATATAATTGAATGGTCGACCTGGTAAACCTGAGGTTGACACCCCACTACTGCCTTTCTCACTCCCTTTCTCCCCTGAGAGGTGGAAAGCTTACAAGTGGACTCCAGACCTGAGGGTGCTCCAGAATCAGGCAATGTCTGTGGGAAAGGCAGAGCCACGTTCCATCAGAGTTAGCTTCTAGCAGCCCCCACCTGACAAGGTGTGCCATAGCTGTATGGACAGATTCCAATTTAACTGTTACTACACTTAAATGAGTTCAACTGAGTCTTGCTGTCCATTTTTCTGGAAAAACATGCCAGGAGTGCTCAGGGCATGTGAATCCATCACATAGGGTTTGGATGTGGCACCATCTTAAAAGGGGGTTGTGCATTCAGTAAGAAGAATTCAGTTAAGTATAATTAATAGAGACAGGATTTTTAATTATTAGGTATATCTTTATGACCAAATAATTTTGGGGTCCTCTTGAATATAAATAAATTTGACAATTACACCCCTGTGGGCTAGCCTGGGGAGTGGGAAGGAGACAAATGAGAAGGCGACTGGGCATCAGTGGGCTGACTCTTGCTTCCGTCACACACAATATCCTAGCAAGACCAGGGGATCACCTCTCTGAAGCCTGCCTTCCACTGACCACTCTGTGTTCTTGGACCAGATGCTCAACCTGTCTGGGCCCCAGCCTTTGCATCTGAGAAAAAGGAGCGTGTGCTAATTCTCACTCGCATGTCTTCTGCTTTCAGGCTTTTTTCACAGAAAAGTACTTGCAGGAGCATCCTGAAGATCAGGAGAAGATTGAGCTGCTCAAGCAACTGATTGCATTACAGGTATGCCTCGGGCAGGTGTGGGGCAGACAGGGCTCCTTGGTAGTGGCCACAGTGCAGGACACCAGTGGCGCAGTGGTTGAGCGCTGGGTTGCGAAGCTGCCCGAGGGTATAATGTACAAGCCCACTTTTAGGCCTACTTTTTTTTAATGCCATAAGGAAACACCACCTATATTTATTTGTTTGGCCTGGAGACCTAGGAAGGCACCTCTTTAGAGTGCATGCTGTTGAGAGGTGCCATCCAGATTCCCCAGTTGGTTTCCCAGCCTGTGCCTTCTGCTGAGAAATGTTGGCTCCTTGGCCTCAGCTTTCCTCCCTCGCTTTTGTGAACAGTGGGAGAAAGTGCAGCCAGGAATTCAGTCTGAGGCTGAAACCATCCATTGCTTCTCCATAGAAGTGGCCTTCAGCTCAGGGAGATTTGTCTAATCTGTTGGCCTTCCCTGTCTGGGGCCTGCTTGTGACCTTGGTGTGTAGCTTCTCTGCATCCCTGACCTGAGGGCCTCCATCTCCAAGCCCGACATGGAGGAGCAGCATTTCAAAGCCTGGGCCTGCCACTTTACCTGCTCCTCCTTTCACAACCCCCAAATCTGAATGACCACTCTTCCTAAATCATATTTCATTCATCTCATGTCCCTTTCTAAGATGCCTTTGCTATCAGAGGGAATCCGCATCCACGGAGAGAAGCTGACGGAGCAGCTGAAGCCGCTGCATGACCGGTTATCTTCCTGCTTCCGGGAACTCAAGGAGAAAGTTGAAAAGCTCTATGGGGTTATAACACTGGTAGGCACAGAATTGTCTGTTTGTTTTTGTTTTGTTGTGTTGTGTTTTGTATTGTTATTATTTTTTCCCCTGACATCTTATTTGGTTCTCCTATAAGTGAAAAACATCCGATATTTTTCTTTTTCCTCCTTATTTCACTGAGCATAATTCCTTCTAGCTCCATCCACGTTGCTGCGAATGGCATGAGTTTATCTTTTTTAATTGCTGAATAGTATTCTACTGTGTATATATACCACATCTTCTTATAAACCAGAGACATGCTAAAGGGGAGGAGGAGGGAGAGGGATCAGAGGGAGAGCCACAGGGGACTTTGGTGATGGTGCACAGGTGAAGGAAATTCTATGGATGGTGCACGGGTGAAGGAAATTCTATGGACTCTACACCTGGAGGTGGTGGGGCTAGCAAACATTGTTTAAAAATGAACCATGATGTGGTGGCACAGTGGTTGAGCACTGGGTTGCAAAGCTGCCCGCAGCCTTTGCAGCACAGGTTCGATCCCCAGCCGCTGGGCGAGGGTCCCACATGGCGCACAGACCTCTCCTGCCGCCCACTGCTCCCCTCAGCAGTGTACTTTGTCAGTCTGCTTGTTCTGCTCTCCGCTCTGGCTCTGGCGAATTCTCTCACCCTCCCATGCTTCTGTCTATACCCCAGTGCTTGTATAAATAAATAAATCTTTAAAAAAAAAATGAACCATGATGTAAAAAATATATAAAAAAAATAAATAACACTGGCAGGTTTTTCCTAATTTCTTTACCTTTAGTGCTATTGACTCATTTTGCAGATGCCAAATGAGTCATGGTAGCATGGGCTTGGCATGCCAATATGGGGGCAGGTAGGAGAAAACTAGTCAACATTGACCTTCAACTGCCATTTTGCTAGATAGGGGTTCTCAAACTTGACCCACCTTCAGAACCACCTGGAAAGCTTGTGACAAGACAGGTTTCCAGGCCACCTTCCCAGAACATTTCATTCATTAGGTTTGGGGTGGGGCTCAAGAATTTGCATTTCTAGTGTGCTCCCCAGTGGAACTGATGCCAGGGTCTGGGGTCCACACTGTGAGAACCAACCACCTGCCAGAAGAGGGTGCTTTCTAACCCCAGACACTGGTATTTGTCCTGTCTAACCCAATTCTTCCCCCCCCCCCCACCTTGGGGTGGAAAATGACTTAAAAAAAATAATTTACTGTAAGAAACCCAATTCTAAAATTTTTCCAAATCTTCTATTTTTTTATTTTGATGAAAACTTTACTCTTTTCACACCTTTGAAGGAGAGAAAGACTTGTTAGATCCACTTGCAATGCATATTGCTGATTTCATGATTTTTTTTTTGACAGTTCTAACACCATTTTTCACAGTTACAATTTTTTTTCCTCTTGAGAAGTTGGGTGGAGGAGTGTATGTGCCAACCTCTTCTCTCCAAAAGTTGGCTGTAGGCTTGTTTCCAGCTTTATTTATCTGCTCCTTCACCTTGCTCTCTTTAAATGTCCTAATGTTTCATTCCCTGATGCTCAAATTCTCTTTCCTCAGTTCCGAGCTCTGAACTACTTTTCTGTACTCTTCTCCCTACCCCATACTTCCATCTCCACTCCCCGTTTTTCCCAGAGTATCTTGTTGATTATCTTTTTCATTTGCCTGAGAGTTTCTTCATGTCTTCCTAAGAATTCGCCTCCTGCCTTACTGCCAATAAAGGCTTTTCTTCTAGGAACATTTGACTCCATCACAAAGACTCTAACTTTGACCCAATGAGTTTAGCTGTTAGTAAAATGAGGCCAATCTTAGCATGTAAATCTGATAGGGTGGCATGTGAAGATAATCATTTCTTCTGGTGCCATCTTTTAAGAGAGATCAATGCTCCTTTATTCCCTAAGATTCATCAGATTGAGTTTCAGATCTGTAACTTCACTCTAAAATTCTTCTCTTAGGCCAATATTCCATTTTTTACATGACCAAAAGAAGCTAAACTGGAGAAGCAAAGGTTTTCCTATTTTATTGATAAATAATGCACATCTTTGTCCTCTTTCATATGTCTGACAGTAACTGATGATGCATTTTTCCTTAATCTTAGAAACAAAGTAGGTTTAACTGAAGTTGTATTTATAACTGAGAAAATAGGTCTCTATGGTATTTAGCCACCGAGGCAGTACAGGCACAGACCAATCGGGATGAGGTGCCTTTGCCACAGACAGCGGGGATGGGTGCTGCACCAGTTCTTCTGGGCTGAGCAGCAGGATCGTATCTTCTTCAGCCCCCCAACTTGACTGAGAGGAAGCAGAGCCGCGCGGGGTCTATGGTGCTGCCCTACATCATGTCGTCTACTCTGCGAAGATTGTCCATCACCTCGGTGACTTCCTCTGTGGTTTCCACTTCCTCAAACTCATCAGATAATGCTCCTTCCAGACCTGGGTCTGATGGGTAAGAGTTTGACCTTCAGCCTTCAGGAGGGGTGGGATGACCTCTAACTGAGGTTTGCTTTTGGCCACTGCAGTGGCATATGGCCAGTGTGATACATCTTTGCCTTCAGGGAAAGAATTCAGGGTAGGTGGCTTATTCTCATGAATCTTTTGTTTCGTTCATTCTCATGAATCTTCGTCATGAGGAATATTTTTACTTACATAATGATGACAACAATTAGGATAAATGAAAAAAAAACCTCACCCATAACACACATCCTGTCACCCACCCTATCACATATCAGTTCAATATTCTGTGTTAATTTATAATTATTGCTTGATTTTTTTAATCTCAATTTTAAAGACTTCTGTAATTTTGAATAGGTAATGTAATCACATGACATAAAACTCGAAGGTTCAAAGTCATGCAGTATGAAAAACCCTCTTTCAGTCCCCAACTCCCAATTACCAGTTCCCATCTCCAGAGGCAAGTGATGTCAGCCTTCAGGTGCCCAATGTGCTCCCGGCAGCTCTGTATCCACACACAAGCAATGCCTCCAGGTGTGTTCTCACCTGCAGTGTTTTCTATGAGTAGCACCATGTAATACTCCCTACCCCTTGCTTTTCTCACTTATGTACCTTGAAGATCAAGCATTTCACAATTTCCGGTACTTCTGCACCTTGACACATTCAGCAGGTCCCGTGGAGGGGCCCTTGGTTGATTTTAATCTTTTACTCGCACAATGGTGTCAGTGAGGAACCTTTCAAATAAGTTAGTTTGTGTGTGTGTGTGTGTGTGTGTGTGAGAGAGAGAGAGAGAGAGAGAGAGGGAGAGGGAGAGGGAGAATAGTAATATGAGAAAATCTGAGAGAGAGAGAGAAAGAAAATAGTAATAGGAGAAAATCCCAGAGTGCAGTTGCTCTATCAAAGACATATAGTTGCACTTTTCAAAATTATTCCCAAAGTGACTCCCACAGTGAATAGCAGTTGTGCCAGTTCACAATCCCTTCAGCAACGTGCAGAGTGCCTGGTGACCCAGACCTTGTCACCCTTGTCACTTGTTAAGGTCTGGTTCATCTTTGGATGTTTGCCATTCTGGTGTGAATTTATAGTTGTGTTATTTCTGTTTAAGAGTAAAATAGTTAATATTTTACCAATTGTAAAATTAGTGTATGTATGTGTAAGAACTTTTCAAAGTACTAAAAACTTTTAAAAGAGCAAAATGCTTGTAACGACAGCACTCAGAGATAAACACTGTTAAAGTTTAGTTATATATTATATGATATGAATCAGTATATACACATACATTGTATGGAAGTGGAACAGCATTGCATATGCCATTTTTTTCACCTACTACTTAATATACATGATGATGATTTAATGTCATTCTTTTATTATTAGATATACATCAAGACAGCTGATTATTCCTAAATTTAAAATTCCCTATTATGGCAATTACCTGTCCATATGACCTGTCCAAATGGCCCCTCCCTGGAAATCAAATGTTTAGCGTTTCTTAAATTATTTATCCTTCCTTTTCCATTGACACAGATATCTTTACATAATTGCAACTATAACAGATATAGTTTAGTGATTGGCTTTTCTACCTTTTTACTATAAGTAAATCCCATGTTGCTGAATAATCTTTACTGTCAGTTTTTATGGAGACAAATAAAGAAACTGAGGATGAAAAGATTATCTGCCTGGGGTCACCCAACAAGTAAGTATATGTAGGATTTGAACACAGGCTGTCTGGCTCCCAAGTGTGTGCTAAGTACATAAAGCAACTATTTATTTTTACTATGTGAATTCTCTGCCTGTAAGTTTAAGTAGACCTTCTCTTACTGGGATAGAATAAACATTCACTAATATTTTCTCTCAGTACTTTAATGGTCTCATTTCTGTACATACATGCCTTGAAATGTTGAAATGATTGTTGGCATTTCAGGCTTAGACCCTGAGAGGGAAGTGATAGGTCAAGATTCAGTTGAGTAGGCTTTTCAGGAGTAAATGCTGACTGCCGGCTGACCAGTGTTTTGTGGCTTTGTCCTTGGTCTTGGCTGGTAGGTCAATTCTGGAGCCACTTCTGGAGCGCAGGGCCTCATCAGGTGCCAGAGTAGAAGATCTGCCCCTCAAAGAGGACAATGAGAACCGGATCAGCAAGTTGAAGAGAAAAGACTGGGGCCTGAGCAAGTCCCAGGTCATTGCTGAGAAAGCACCGGAACCTGATCTGATGGTAAAAAAAAAAAAAAATGTAAAGCCCTGGAGGTTTGCCACCTCCTCCCTCATAGCCAGGCACCTTGCCAATCACTTCATAGCCTCAAGTCATGAGACAGAAGCCTGGCTCTGGTCTCAGGACACAGCAGCCTGTGGTGGCGTCAGAGCTCAGAGGGGGCTAAGAAAAGCCAGCACAGAAAATCAACTCTCTAAATCAATATTGCTGCAAGATCTTGTCTTTACAACATAAACATGTGGGTGGATGCTTGGAGTTGCCGTTCTCACCGCGTTCCATGAGTCAGTTCAAACGTTGTCATTTCTCGTCTTCTAACTTTAAAAAAATAAAAATAAAAAAATAAAACCTACTTCTTCTATAAACCACATCAAGTTGTTAAGTGTGGCAAGACCACCCTTCCCTGAGAATCAGAGCAGCTGATTTCCAGTCTAAATGACACAGCCCAACTGTGGTCAAAATCAAGTGTGTGGCCAATGAGAAAATAATGCCTACTAGTGTCTCCACCCTGGGGCCCAGCACACTCTGTGATAGGCTTAAAAATGGCTCCTGGAATGGTGCCTTTTAACAAGGTCCCATCTAGCAGCCAACCTTTGTCACCATAAGAATATTGTGTTGTGTTGTGTTTCCCCCTGTACTAGAGCCCGACCAGAAAAACACAAAGGCCAAAGAGTCTCCAGTTGGTGGACAGCCGGCTGACACCATTTCATGCTTCTTCACCTTCTCAGTCAATGCCCCTGAGTCCGCCTCCACTCACTCCTAAAGCTACCAGGACCCTAAGTAAGTTTTCCTATATCCCTCACACTCCATTCCATCAGGAATAAATAGAATGTGTTGATGAAGCTGGGGAATTTTTAACCACATCTGCCACAAAATATATGAGACTGTTGTAAAGTTGGTTCCGTTGGCGTGGTGGGAGTACACAATTGGACTAGAATTTGGCAGAAGCCCTTGGGTTGCTAAGACGCATTAATGTGTTCAAATCATGATCCGAAGGGCTCACTGACCCTTGTCCAGCTGTGAAGTTATAAATGAGGTGGATCTGGACAAGGGCCAGACAAAAATCAAGTAACTTATGAACTATTAGGTAAATAGCCTGTATTTTATAAAGAGAATGGTTCAAAATAAGGACGTGTAACAGATCTGTTGCATATACTACTTAGAGTCAGGCTTGGAGAGTGAGCAACACACAATGCTTGAGAAGAAATTACAAAGTACTTTTGAAACAAAGGCATAAAGGAGGGGTAAATCACTTGTGCCAAATGGGAGGCAGTGGTCAGCCGTGAATTAAATATTATCACGTAGCTTCCTGGAGGGAATGGATATTGTGCCCTTTAAATGACCAAATTCAGTTTGTTTATAATTAACCAATAGTCACGTAACAGGACTTTTTCTGAGCACCTGGGACAGAAATGCCAGAGAGCAGTGTAAAAAAGCTTCATTCTAGAAAATACTCTCATTTTCATTATAATAGTGAAAACCTTCGACAAAAGATTTTTAGTTCAGAACTTCTTGTAAAGCCATTTGATGAATGGACATTTGTTACAAGGGGTAAGAGCTCCTTTCCATTCAGAAACTGCAGACATGACCTTTGTAATTTGGCCAGGTTGGTGTAGGTGTTACGATGGCAAATGGGTTCTGTGAGATTTCTTATAAATTCTCCTCTCTGCCTTCATTGCTTTTTATCATTTCCAGGCTCCCCATCTTTGCAGACAGATGAGCTGATGACTGCTACTCTCCCACCTCCCCCTCCCCCCAAAAGCAGCCAGAGGAACTCCGCAGAGGTAGGGGACAGAGCTGTCATGGGAATATGACATGGGAACACAGCATTGGGTTTCCCAAGCTTTTGAGTAGGCAGGTTTTTCCAGAACTTTGTCACTCTGATTGACTCTTGGTTCATTCCTGAAATAACAGGAATGAATAGGATAGCAGCAACATGCAGTTATCCTGAATAACAGGATAGGGGAATTGTAAATGAGAAAGAAGATGGACAGGTAGACCTTTTCATCCAGGTGAAGGGAGAGCTTCTCTGTACCTTACCTGGGTATGGGTGGTGAACTAAGAAGTGAGTGCTGGTTCACATTGGAAGAATTTACTTCTTCTGAGTGAGTTTTTCTGTAATGATCCCTGATGGGTTTCCATCATTCATTCAACAAATACTTGATGAGTGTCTGCTCTTTGCGTGCCTGGCACCCACGTGCCAGGCTACAGCAGTGTTGGTATATTTATGATTAACTCAAGGAGAACAAGGGAAGACACGTCAGTCTTATTTCCCTCATCACTTTGCAAAGACTGTGCAGATAAATTTAGATCAATTAGAAGCTAAAGCAGAAAGTGAGAAATGTGGGCGGAAAGACAGAATTGGTAGAAAGATAAGACGCATTAATGCTTTCCTGTGTCTCCCCCTTCAGATCGCTCCCCCACTGCCTGTCCGAAGAGACGCCAAAGCCCCACCCCCACCCCCTCCAAAAGCTCGGAAATCTGGCATCCTTTCTGCTGAGCCTGGATCCCAGTGAGGATCTTGTCTTCCCTCCTGGGCTTAAAACACCTGGGAGAGCTGACGCCGGGGAATTCGCCTCCAGGGGGCAGTGTCTGCAACTACAGTGCTCCCTGCTCACTTCCTTTTCTGCCTGGGATGAGGTACACCAGCTCAAAACTGGTTTTGTTCTTTTGAAATCTTTCTCTTTGATCTGTGCCTGATGCCAGACCACGTGTCTGGTCCATGTGGAATTTCAGAACTTGCCACATCCTGCGCATTTCTCAAAGGAGAGACCTTCCTCGCCATTATGAAGTTGCAGTCTCCATTGTGGAGGCCATAGGTCCTTTCTGTGCCAGAGAAGTTTGGTGATGGCGGCGGAGCAACCCATTGGTGTTTGGAGGAATTTCTTGTTTCCTTCTGAAAAGCTGTCCCTGAGACATACTCAATCCTATATAAGTACTGGAAGAGACAGATAACAAATACACTTTGGGTCTCAAATTAGTAGACCCTTCTAATGTGACTCCTTTGAGGAAAACAACTTTTTATTGGAGAGTGACTGCTTTCAAATGTTATTGAAAAAATATGGACTTTGTCCTGAGCCCTGAACTCCTACATCCCTCCGACCCCACCCCTCCCTGGCGTCCGACCTCGTCACACTCCTGACTCATGGCCCTCACTGTACCACAGTCGCTCCTACTTATAGGGACTCCTGAAGCTCTTTCTTTTGCACACACTTTTCTTATCCTTTTGCCTCCTTTGAGCACAAATCACTGGATTTAAGGAACTTAGAAGCCTGGGATCAACAGTTTCTCTTCCAGATCCCATTTGGATGACTCTGCAGCCCCCATCTGCAGCCTGATTTACCCTGGAGAATACAGTGCAATATCCCCCTTTGATTATTTATTCGTCTTGACTGTGGAGTTAATTTGATGACATGTTTATGGTACTATTGCCAGTACTTCTTTCAATAGACAAAAGGGATGATGTAAATGAGCAAGTATTATCTACACAGACACAAAGCAGCCACACAAAGTTAAAGGGCATTTTGAGCTGGAAAGGCTTTAAAGCAGATACAAGCAACCCCTGTGCCTTGGAGATAGTAGTAATTAAGTCTAAACACAGGAAGTCATACTCTAGAGTCTCACTAATAACCCAGCTTGCTAATTTAGACTTTATCCTGTTACCACTTAGACCCAGAATGCAAATTTGACAAACACTTTACTACCTTCCTCTAGGTGGGGCAACAGTGAGAATGTCCCAGATATGTCTATACTCTTAGGTATTTATAGCAAATAGAAAACTTCTTGATTGTGCACCCCCCTACCAGGGGTCTCTCACAACGTTGCCCAGAGCCCCCTGTCCTTCTCGGGAGAGAAGGGATAGTGCTTTCAGCTCCGGGAGTCTGGACCTGCTTTCTGGCCTCTATGTGTGCCTACTTCACCGCCATCCCTTTGTGGGGAGAGATCCTAATTCATCACAGGGTTAGGGAAGCAAAACTCTGAGATGTGTCCAAAAAGACGCCCTAAATTAGTGTGCGTGTTCCAGAAGTGGTGAGGGAAAGTAGGTCCTTCACCCCTACAGCTCTCCCCTCACACGCCCTCTAGAACCTATGATGTGGTATGATGGAAAGAACCTGAGCTCTGGAATTAAACCCATTTGGTTGCCCATCATCCCTGCTATGTCATCTATTAACTTTGCAAACTCCTACAAAGCATTTGAAATTCGCTGAGCTTTCATTCTCTCGCCTTTGAAAAATGGCGATAATATCTGCCACACAGGTTTTATGAGGGTCAAGTGAGATTGCAAATTACCTTTTTAAAGGTAATTTAAAATGTGAGTGCAGGTTCGTTGTGCACATACAGTCCCTCTCCCAAAGGTGGGATCTGTTGGAGTTTTTCCATAGTTATTTATGACTAGAGACAAGAAGTTAATAAGAACTGAAAAGGATTTTCAGTGGAAAGAGCCCAAAGAAGAAGGAAGGAAGCAACACAGGAGTTATTCAGGGCTTATGTGGAGCCTGGAGCAGCTTCTGAGAAGTTGCCTGACTGGAAGGGATTCCTATTCCCCACCCTACTTTTCAGGCTGCCATTAAAATACAAAGATATAAACTGAGTCACACACATTAAACAAACAAGCAAATCAAGCCAGTCCCTTGAGGCTGGGAGGGTGAGTCCTGCAGAAGGATCTGTGAGCGGAGGCTGGGAAAGTCTGATCCACCAGCACCTACCTAGATACGTTCCCTTTTTTAATATTATATATTTTCCATCTGATTCACTTTCCATATTAATGGCAATCGTAGGTCTCTCCTTCCTGAACACAAAGAATTCCAGGTAATGTAAATAATAAATTGCAGGAGGCATTGGAAGGTTTAGGTCCTTGGGAAGCCTCTGGGTAAAAAGAAATCATATTTGAGAAAAGTTCATAAATAATGTCTGTCCTGAAATCAAAGAGGAAGACTACAAAGAAATGTCTTATGATTACCTTAAATATTGGAGAGATAAGGGACAGGAAACAAAGTAGTGGCCTTTATATTCTTTGAAAAGAACTCTGGGGTATTAAAAGACATTGAAGGGAGCCCCCAAACTCTCACAATGTGGTGGATACTGGTTTATGAGATTTTTAATTTTTTTTTTTTTTTTTTGCTCTGTACTGGGAACGTGTCTTGATTTCAGACTTTTTTTTTCATTTAACATATATTGAGCTCTTACCCATCGCCGCAACCACCACACTAGACCCTCAGGATGCAGAGTGCTTTGTGTTGCAGCGCAAATAGGCCTGTGTACAGACGGCGGTGACGTGCAGCTGGGAAGTGAGTGGTATGAGGGAAAATCTCCTCAGGAAGGGCAGCTGTTTGCCGCCCCCTCCACTTACACACCTTAACTCCAAATTGCAGTCATTTTCCTGTTAGTAGAGGCTGCTCCCACCCCAGAAAAGAAATCAGGCTTGGAGATAACAATCTGCTGTTGTTAACTTTCCAGGCTCCAAAGTCCTGCCCCTCTAATTACCCCCAGATCATTAGGTGATTCTTATTTAAAAATTGAGATGTGACAAATCTTCGATGTACAGATGGATACATTTTTACATAGATACACAACCTCTGTCACCATCTCTCAGGACAGACAGAGACCACTTCCTGTGTTGTTGAAGTTTCCCTCATGTCTTTCAAATTTGTTCCTTCTTTCCTCTTACTTCTCAGGTATAAGAAAAGGGGAGAAAAACCCCGCTGTTAACACGAGACTGTAAAGATTCTACCTGGACCTCAATTTCCTCATGTTATATATATGTACACTCACGTGTGTGTATATATTTGAGGCACCATGATTTTTAGAAACCTTTCAGTCATACCTTTCTTTTTTTCTAAGTGAGTAAAAAAGAAAGAAAGCCAGAAGGAAACTTTAAGTTTCTATGCAAAGACTTTCAAGTCCATGCATCATGACCAAGTAGCATTTAAAAATTATGTGGAAAAGGTAAGTTTCTCTTGGGATGAGTTAATAGCAGAACCATCAACTTTAACTATCTACAAAAGGAAAAAAGATGATATTCCTGCCATCGATGATGTCAGGCTGATTCTTAAAATCCAGCCAAAGCTGGTCTTCAGCCTGTGCTGCCCAAACTCACCCATCTATAGTCACTATTTGTGAGTTGTTTCAACAATTTGTCAAAAGTTCTGTTGTAATGATTTTGTAAAAGTAGTGGGTTTCAAACATGGACAGTAAAAGAATATGTGTCGAAGTAGAAAATTTTTGTTCATATTTGCTATTATTTATTTTTTAAATTAAAAATGGAAATGTATTTTAAAGTATGGTGTGTTTAGTTTATTGTTACCCTATGTTAATGAAACAAAAATCATTTCTGGACTTTTCCTTATTGACACCTCCTTTGTGACATATCACACTCAAGAGTCTCTGTGGCCTCACTAGAGTCCTGTTAATTTAAACTTGTACCATGGAATTGTTATAGGGCAGCCCCGATACAAAACGGGGTGCCTGACTGTGGGTCCTCACCCGCACGCTTTAAAGGACTTACCAATGCTCTACTGCAGGCACACGCGAAAGGTTAATAAAGGGTTTATTTACAAGGGAAAAGGAAATAAGGAAATGTACAACTCAGGGAGAAAAGTGGGAGACCAAGTTTTAAATGCGTCCTACCTGATCCGCCGATCTGGAATCCCAAATGGCACTCTGAGAGCTGGCCGCGAGCCAGGAGCCGTGAAGCCAGGAGGTGAGCGACAGAGCGAAAGACCCCAAAGCCCATGTGTTTGGTTTTTATACCAAACCTGGCTGCTGCTTAACTCCACCCTCAGGTCCCAGCCACCCTCCCCTTGGTGGTGACAGGATTTGTCTTTCCCAATGTCCTGATGGCTTTGGTCTGGAGTGGGGGTGGAGTCCACAAAGCCTGTATGGGATTAGCTCAGGACATCCTTTCCCCCTAACAGAATCAGAGTCTCTTTTGCCTAAAAGCCATGAAAACTTCAGACCCTGGTTCTGCCCCACCCCGTCCCCCTCCATCCGTCACTTTGTCACGCGAGCTGACAATTTTCTAGTAAAAATTCATTCAATTCTCACAGCTTCTATGTCTTCACCATTCGCTACTGATAATTTGATAGAGGTAACAACAAATAAAGAGGTTAAAAGGAATGTCATAACTTACAGGGAAAGGATAGGAACTGAGTCCCAAATGAGGATGAACAATAGTATTACCTAGAAGAAACTACAACCCCAGACCCATTAAGTCAGAATTTCCAAGAGAGGAGAGTGAGACCCAGACACTGGTTTTTGTTTTGCTTTGTTTCCAAATCCTCACCTCATGTTATTTCAATATAAAGCTAAGGCTGAGAACCATTATAGCGTTCAATAATTGAAGTTCAAGGTGTGTTTCTTAAAATTCCCGCTAGTGGTGGGTCCGGCTAGAGAGAGCAGCTGTACCTCAGAATAGCTGCCTTGTTTTAAGTCCTGGGTTTATATCTTAGATTTGTTTTTCTTTTTTTGAGAAAATGTTCCAGTATTTGCAAACATGTGCAATCTATTGCTTCTTAGAGCAAAAATGCTCCACTGTCTCCATATATAAGATGCTTGTTAAAAATGCAAATAGTGTGAGCCCCCGACTGAATCTATTAGCCTGGGGAATCTTTGGGTTTAGGGTCCCAATGACAAACACTCGAGAATTTTCCACTGTCAAAATGTGCAAGTGCAGTTATCTCATGCAGTGATTCTTGGCTTTTTTTACAGTCATCTCTAGGATTCTACATCTAAATCCTATGCTAAAATGGTCTTTGTTAAAGTCATTCTTTTGCTTTTTTGATCATTTAAGGCCTTATCTACTTGAGAACTCATCTCATTAATTGCATCATTTGGTATGTTTCCCTTTTCCTTTATTTTGAGGGACTACAGACTCTTGAAGCTAGATTGAGATGAGTTAGACTTTTTCAGATTCAGGAAAATGTCTATATTAAACGGTATTTTCACTCTCCTTCTGCTTAGTAATTTGGCCATCTGTAGGGTAAGGAAAAATGTCAGGCATTTCTGCCCTCCCGCCATCAGGATAGATGATGGATCCTTGCGGTCCTGAATGCATGCCTGATGGCGGGCACCTGGAGTAGGGTGTGGGCATAGGTAGATGGGATTCACCTGGGCTGAGACTGGGCTTTAAGGGCGGCGTCATGGGGATGCCAACAGAAGCTGAGAGAGAAGCAAGAGAAGCTGAAGCCGAGAGAAGGCCGTAGAGCCCAGATAGTAAGGATTTGCTGGGGGCTGGGAGGCCTGCCAGTCTCCCACCCCCCCCAGCATCCCTGCCTGCCATATGCCTGGTGAACCCCAATAAAAAACCTGCAGAACCACTGAGGAGTCTGATTCCTCCTTTACCCGGTCTGCATGGGATCAGAAAACCTGCAGTGTGGCCATTCCTGACCCTACACCATCTGAGACTCATACCCAAAACATTCCTGTAAGCTGCAGATGACCACATGCCATCCTCAGCCTCAAACATCCTCATCAACATCCCCACACTCATCAGGGTGTGGGGCCTCAGCCCCAAGCCTGCCCTGGTCTCAGGCAGATGAGAAAGCAGGCCACAAAGCCCATATGTGGGGAGCAGGAACAAGTCTTTAGCACAGCAAGAAGAGACACACAGCATGGTCTGTGTGCTGGCCTGGCGGGAGCAGCCTGAACCAGTGTTTCAGGTGGCGGCAGCCCCGACCCAGCCCCAGTGGTGGCAGGCCCCTATGGCCCCTGGGCTCTCTTGGCCCCCTTGTCCCTGGCAGCAGTGGCAGTAAAGATAGAAATAGCAACCGTGGCGGCGTCCAGTAGCAATAGCCCCTCCAGACTCTGGCCACAGCAATGGCCCATCAGCCCATCAGTGGGTGGCAGTCAGTCAGTCAGGGCTCCCCCACCCCCACCCAGGAGCCCTATTAGCTTTTATATGATTAAAAGACAAGGCCAACACAGCACCAAGTTTATTTATTTTTTTAATTTATTTATATAAGCACTGGGTATAGTCAGAAGCGCGGGAGGGTGAGAAAATTCACCAGAGCCAGAGCGGGGAGCAGAGCAGGCAGAAGGACCGAAGTACACTGCTGAGGGGAGCAGCGGGCGGCAGGAGAGGTCTGCGCGCCATGTGGGACCCTCCTCTGGTGGCCGGGGAGCAGCTGGGGATCGAACCGGTGCTGTAGAGGCTGCGGGCAGCTTCGCAACCCAGTGCTCAACCACTGCGCCACCGGGGAGGCCCAACACAGCACCAAGTTTAAGCCTAGTTTACATTTTTACGCATATGAGCTATACATCAAGGTTATATTATTGTAGGGTAAGGCGAAAAAGTATCAAGCTTTTCTGCCCTCCCGCCATTGGGATTGATGATGGATCTGGGGTCCTGAATGCTTGCCTGATGGCAGGCACCTGGAGTAAGGTGTGGGCATATGTAAGTGGGTCCACCTGGGCTGAGAGGCTGGGCTTATAAGGAGGGCGTCAGAGGGACGCCAGCAGAACAGAGAGTGAAAGAGTGACCGGAAGAGAACCAGCAGAGAAGCAGAGGCCATGAGAGAGCGTGGGAGAGCTCAGAGAGAGTGAAGATTTGCTGGGGGCTAGGAGGCCTGCCAGCCTCCCTGCCCCCTGGTACCCTTGCCTTCTATGTACCTGGTTGAATCCCAATAAAACCCTGAAAAAGCCACCAAGGGCTCCAAGGACTCCTCCTTTACCTCATCTGCTCGGATCATACAGAACCCGCCCAGTGGCCTTCTTGCCTCTACAATTATTTACTGCTTTCTTCACATGCAGACTACATCTCCAGGCTACATGTTATCTACTAGGCCACCTATGCTGGAAGGTCATGAGAAAAACAGCCTGAGAAACTTGGAGAAACGACGTTTTTTTCACTTGCCCAGTAGTCTCTTTTTCCTTGGGGTCCTCTCAGCTTCTAGTTGACTTTCAAAGGAATTGGAGACATTCATTCTAAGTGCGAGGAAGACTTGGGTATGGGCTATCTACTGGAGCACACGGAGGAAGATAAAGCTACGGCCCCAGGGAAAACTATAGCTGAGTGAGCTTTTGTGACCGGGCCCATTATGCGACTAGTCTCATAGGCACAGGGCTGTGCAGGAGCTATGAGATTCCTGTCCTGAACAATAATGTGTTTTCCACTCATCTGCCCTCTGTGGACTCACTTAGGAGGAATCCCTGGGGGACCACAGTGTCCCTCCCCTACCAGCGTTGGAGAAAGACTTAAAGGTAATGCCACTCAATTCACACCATGGAACTTTATTATGAAATATGTGCTATTTGGCATAAGAATTTCTAAAATTCACACAATTAACTTACAGCTATTAAATGGATCACAAATTTCAATGCTAGAATTATACTTGTTTTGTCAATCGTTGGGACTCAACGGATTTAAATTTTCTTCTGCCCCTTTTCCTCTTCAATCAGTCTTTCCTGAAAAACAGGTAACAAATATATTGAAATTGATTTAACTAGCTGAATTTCATTACGTTTTGGCATTTTAATTTCTAAAATATCAATATAAAAAGAATAAGCTCATTGGTTTTTGTGCACTAGACAGTACTGAAGGGATACAGAATATAGCATCTCTTTAATAAACAGAAAAGCTACATTAATGGCTTAAGGATAAGATGTGAAGAAAAAAGGGAAAGAAAAGTCAGATTTGTTGATTTGCTCTTAACCTAACCTTTGCTTCCACTCCTTCCTTCTGAGGTCCTGCTTGGGAAATTTCACTTCTCATTTTTATGATGTGGTAAACAGGATTAGAGAAAGAAAGGAAATAGAGATACCTGTCATTTTCTTTGTTCTGTGGGTGGAAATGGAGAAAATGGAAAGAGTAGCTTATCATCATGTGTGATTTCCTGACACTCTCCTTGCTTTCGGGACGATCGGTAATGAAGGGCAGTGCCTTCTGACGAGCTTGAATGGACAACATACTACTCCAAGAACATCCATACTGATTTCAAGAGTCAGCTTCTATATTCAATTCTCTTTACATATATTTTAAATATCTAAAACCATGTTAGTAGATTTCCATTTTGGGTGGGAATCTGGAGATCATCAAAGTGCTGTCAGAAAATTGGGAACCAGTCCCGCCATTATGGAAAACTGTGTGGAGGTACCTAGGAACACTAAAAATAGATCTACCATATGACCCAGTGATTCCACTCCTTAGGAATCTACCCAAATACACAAAAACACTAATTCGAATGGAAACCTGCTCTCCTATGTTTATTGCAATATTTTACTGCAACAGTGTATTGCAACTATTTATAATAGCCAAGATATGGAAACAACCCAAATGCCCCCAAATAGACTAATGGGTCAAAGTTGTGTTATATTTTCACAATGGAATATTACTCAGCAATTAAAAAAATAAACTCATGCCATTTGCAGTAAGATGGATGGAGCTATTGGGGATTATGTTAGCTGAAATAAGGAAAAAGATAAATATCAAATATCAGATAGTCTCACTTCTGCATGGAATACAGAGAAATCAAACAAAAGATCAAACAAAAGCTCAAGAAAAGTCAAAACTAGCAAGCTGACCAGAGACTGAAGCATACAGCAAAGCAGGATCAAAACAGGGGAGGGTTGAACATACGGGAATATGGTGATGGTTCATGGGTGACATGGTGGTGGGGGAACTAGAGGGACTACAACAACATAAGACAAAAATTTTAATTAATTTTAAAAAACTAAAAAGAAAATTGGAAACCAAATATGTGACTGAATTATAAATTTACAAGTTTGGATTTTTTTATTTCAAGGCAAAAAACAAAAAAAATAGAGCACTGTTTTTGATCTCTACATTTTCCAAGGTTTGGAAAAACTATATCATCCTAAATACAATGGAAGAATCTGGTCAAGAGTCTAGGGGGTTTGTTGAATATATTTGAAGAGCTGATATAGAGCAATGGGAAGAAATTTGTTTTGTCAGCCCAAAGGCTAGAGCTCAGATGAGGAGAAAAAGTTTACGGAATTGAGAAAGAAAAAGATAAGTCCCAATGGACTGTGCTGTCTCGCCACTGAAAAGAAGGGCCACGCAATCATAAAGCCCCACACGGAAGAGCCTGGCAGTCGGGAGGGTAAGCCTTGTACAGCCTGACATGTGGTTGTCCCACCCAAGGGCCTTTCCATCTCAAAAGCTCCATGTTATTATCAGTGTCACTCACCAGAGCTCCTCTCAGATCCCTGAGGGGAGAGGGGGGTTGGCGAATGGTGCATTCAAAGCGAGGCTCTACTAGTTGATCAGACTCCTTGGCTACCTGAAGAAAAAGAATGTTATTCTTGGAGATGGAACTAAAACTAAAATGGTATTTTCTAACCTCCCCTCCACCTCTGCTCCCCCGCCCCCATTGTCTATGGAATGCGAGGTCAAGGGAACTATAGGACTGAAAATTTGTGGGGTTGGGGTGGGACTTTATCGTTTTGAGTAGAGTTTTTTATTTTCTAGTTTTTACTAAACATGTCATAGTTAAATGAGAGCTGCTTCACATATATCTTTACTTATAATAGAAATTATCTTTATTATTTCTCCACAAAGAAGGCTTTTTTTCCCCCCAGTGGAAACCAAATTGTTTTAAGCTTCTAAACCTGAGTTTCTCATCCTCAATACTCATCCTTTAGGGCCTAGTTTCCTATTAACTTAAAAATCAAAATAAATTTTTTTGTGAATCCACTAACCTTTTTTGAATTAACTAGATAACATATACGGCCCCTTCCATGTAATCCTCATGTGACCCCAAGATTTCCCACTATATAGATAAAATAAAAAATAAGTCCCCTCTCTCAGTGATAATAGTTCTGTCATCGATATTAAATTGAACGCAGCAATTTTCCAGGATACGATTTTTTCTCCTTGAGATTACTAACTGCATGTTTCTAGTGGTCCCCAGCTTCTTAGCTTAAATGGCCATTATCTGTAAAGTTATAGGGCATGCATTATTGAAAAGGATACTTATTTTTAAGCTGTAAAGTATATTGCTCGCCTAGTATCCCAGAAAGTCTAAATAGGTGATGAAAAAAAAAAAAAAACATACCACACACACACAAGCAGAAATTCTAGGATTTTCTTTGCAATACAACATACTACATTGTACTGGTTCCTGTATTCTCTTCAAGGAGTTCCTGCTGTTTGCTTCCTTAGTTCTGTCTGAATTGAAAGGAGTGAGGCTTGCCTTTGTGTCTCATTGCCCCTGGAATACCCGAGACAGAGCCTCTAGCAGCTGTACAAGGGCACACACTGAATGTTTAGCATAGTGGAATTGAATCAAATAAGCTACATATTATTTGAAAACTGAGAAAAACATACCTCTTGGAAAGAATCGATCAAATTTTCAGCATTTCTCTTTCCTCCAGGGCGCAATCCGTAGGACCAATGTTGGCTAGAGCAGCCCATCACACATAAAGTCAGCAGAATAAGCCCAGCTAGAATTTTCGGAACTGGTTCCATTCTAAGAAATATCAATGCAGTCAAAAAAGACCCAGAATGCGTGGAGCAAACAGTAGAGACCTCTTATGTAAAAAAGCCTAAAATCTGTGTCACTAGCTCCACAGAGAATGGAAGGTAGGACTCGTCTACAATTCACACGAAGACACTGAAACCTGCGTTACCAAGTTCTAGCCTTGAGATTCCTAGCACTAGGGGCAAAAGCAGTATATACTTTAAACTCATCTGTTCATTACTTTTTAATATAAAGCTAGTCTATTTTTATTTTTTATTATTTATTTGGCTATCCAAACTCCAGGATTCCTGCCTTGTCAAGTTCACCTTTTTGCCTTAACATTTTTTCCATGTGATTGCTTTTCAACTATGCCATTCCTTAAGTAGAGAGAATTGGGCCATTTGCTCTGAAAAGTAGCTCCTACCAGGAGTCTCTGGGTAATATAGACTTGCTTGACATTAAATGGCTACACCATGTTACTGGTGGCGCTTTGTTGAGTGTCTGTCCTTTAATCTTCCGGTGGTTACTTCTGACTAGACCATCTGTGAGAGTGAGACAGGACTTAACACCTCTCACAGCCCTGAGTCACAGACCAGATGCCTCCTTGGCCACAGGGGTCAGAAATGGTCTCATCACATATGGTATTCTCACAGAGAGTCTTCAAATTAACTTTCATTTGATGGGGAAGAGACTGGAGGCAAAATCAAACACTGGTTGATAAGCTGTTGCAATTCTCCAAAGCCTGGATCTCTGAAGGTCAAGGTTTGTTTAGACACCATCACACTTGGACTCAGCCCTTAGGGTATAAAATGCCCCATAGACAGAGTATAGCATGCAGTCTAGAAACCATGTTAGAAATAGAAAGCATTTTACCTGTTTGTGGGCAAAGAGCCAAAAGAATCCCAAGCTGTCTTTGGAGTATTGAGTTCTGTGACTTTTCTTTAGCTTTCTTTTTATATGAAACTTTTCCAGGATCCTGCAATCTTCCCTGCTGGTTAATTGTACTGCACATGGACTATGCTTTTTTTGTTCAAAGTCTTTTTTTTTAATCCTCACATAAAGCCCTTTAATGGTGTATGTAATTGGAACACCCACTGGTGTTTTTGTTAACTTACTTAAATCTTGTCCATTAAAATCTCAGCTAAAACTTTTATAGCTGGGTCCACAATTTAAAAGAGATTAAAATCTAGCTGGGTTGGACTCCCTTGAGGAAACTGACAGACCTAGCAAAGTTCAAGAAAATAACTGTTTTAGATTAAGTGAAGTTAAATGCATACATAAAAATGTTCACAAGAGAGGCTTTGTAATAATCATAGTAAGTTGAGTCAAGATGCCAGGGAGCTAATCTCAACTCTTTGATTCCTCATTTGCAAATATAGGGATTTAGACCAGATCATACAGCTGCTGCCAGTGAAAAAAAATCTGATTTACAAATAGTAATGTGATTATTGGTACTATACAAAGCCCATAGTTTCATAAAGCAGATTATGTGAGCTTAAAAATTTGCCAGTCTTCTGCACACCAGATTCCCTCCTTGACTTATGTTGAAAACATTGTACAGCATCAAAAAGGTAAAGAGATGTTGGAGGACTCCCTCATTTACCTGGTCACCTCTGCGGAGGTTGTCAGAACATGATTGGTAGAGAATGGGATCAACTTTAAAGTATAATTGCAAATACAAGGAAATAAAAAAAAAATTATGTGATGAAGTATTGTTTAAATTATTTTAACTATTTCATTTAGGTACTTCCAATAATTTAAGTACTATTTTGAGAGGTAGAAGTGGAAATTCATCCCCCTATAACACAAAGGTAAGACTTCTTTTCAACAATTATGTTTGAACAGTGTTTGCTTAAACTGTCCAGTTTATTTCCTGTTTGCCGATGTGCTTTTCAAAAGTGTTGCCTAAGCAGATTTTGGTTGGACTAATGAAATGGGATTTAAGACTTCTGAACCTTATTTTCTGGTTAATTACTAATTCCTGGTTAAGTATCGCTGTATTTCTTGCATATTATTTAAATTCATACTACATTTTTGGAAAATGCTTTAAAATTTTAAACAGCCACACGGCCTTTGAATTCAGCCAATATGCTTTATGTCTTGTAAAACTTCATTAGTATTATCTTACGTAACAAAGATCTCAAGTACAAATAGTAAATTTGTTTAATTTTCTACAGTATCAAATATGCAATTGATTTTTGATGTTTAGTGACAAACTGAAGTTTTTAATGGTTCTAAGGATAGGTCAAATTACCAAGAATTGGAATTTAGTAAACTGAGTTTAAATAACAGGACTTTATAGATGTTATTTTTTTTCTAAATTTAGAAGTTCCCTTAATTTTAGAGTATGCTTTCACAAGAGCGACTTCATTTTCAGCATAAAAAGAAACACTTCAAAATTATCAAAGTGCAACAAAAATAATCTGATGATCTTGCTGAATGACAGATGAAAATCTTTTTGCCTAATGTAAAATCTCAGCAGGAAGAACCCAGGGTGAACTCCAGCTGACAAAAGTGAAAGGTTTTGAGAATTCTTGGATAAGTTGTTTTACCAGGAAAATAAAACTGCTTTTCTTGTAGAGGTGTAAATTTCAATTTTAAAGATGATACTTTCTTGGAAATTTAATACAATTCTAGGACTTTTCATATATTGAAAATGATCTGAAGTTGATTTAGGGATAGATTTACAGTTTAACAATCAATTCACAAAATGAACAACTGGAGAAAATGTTCCAAATAATGATTTATGATGGTAACCCTCTTAGGAAAACTAATTTGCAATGTTTCTTTCCCACAATTTCTTTGAAATTATAGTTGTAAGAACCAGACTAAATTATAGTATAAATTGCTCTAGACAATTATAGGAGTAATGAGTTTTTTTACCCATATTGATAATCTAGCTAATTTAGATTCAAAACCTTTTTTTAGTCTTCCCCCCATCAACTTTATTTTTACAATGTATTTCAACATTAGGATTAATGGAAGTCTTCTCTTTGAAAATTTCTCCCCTTCTTAGTTTTCAGGTAAGAACGTTTTAGAAACAGTGTATTTAACCAACTTAATCATGGTAACAGGTAATATTCTTCAGGTAAAGAGTTAACACAAATGAATTATTAGAAAGTAGTTTTTTCTTTGGTTGATGCAATGAAACTTCTTAATGTAACTTTTATCATGGCTGATTTTAAGAAGAGGATCATAAAATAATTATACTTAAATAAATTTAATGCTACTATCATCGAGACTAATCCGTAAGTGTTATGCTGTATTTCTTTGTCCTACTAAACTGCAGACCCACAGGATGGGTCATGAATGCACAGTGAAGGAATGTAAGCAAAATATGGAAAAGTGCTGAATTTCAAAAGCAAGACAAACTCCTTCTCAACATTTCACATTGTTTATTAATGCTTATACATTAGATCCAAAATCTGCAGTTTCTAAGTATACCATGTTTAGATCTTTCAGATCCTTCTGCAGTTTTAGGTTATGTCTACAGAGGTACCCTTAAGTGGATGAACAACTTTCTATAATTATTGAAAATATAGTACAGAGTGAAATGATTTAAATATAATTTAGGCACATATTGATTATGAAAATAGATATCTCTCATAACAATACTTCTCTGTCTTGGTAAAAATAATAAAGCAAAGAAAATAATTCATTTCTGAAGTTGCTTTCCCCTCCCCATAAAGGTCCTGTCTCCTCCTATTATGCATATGTATCCTTTACTATTAAGGAAAGCTTTGCATAAGTGTGTATACATATATGTGTATGTGTCTATATATGTAGAATAAGCTACGTAAATACTGAAGAAACGTCATTCTCCCAAAGGAGACAGTGGTTTTTAATGATTCATTGCCGCAAACTGATGAGTCTGTAGAAATCAGAGCTCACTCGGACGCAGCTTATATTCCTGCTCCTGGATAGACACAAGGTTATTGGTAAGGAAGTACAGGCCCTATCACTGCTGCTACAGATGACGTATCAGGAAAATCAGGATAAATTCTATTAAAATAAAACAAAACCAAATCAGAACATAGTCAGTAAAAGAACCACAGGTGCAGACTGAGTGGAATTACATTTTGGGCCAAATATCTTTATATTTACGTATGAAGTTTTTTGGTAGTGATAATCAAACTGTCAGTTTAAAATTCCCTCATTCCCACGGAGGCCTTCAGCTGCAATTATGTTGACATCTCAGATAGTTTTGTCATATTCACTTATATTTTCTAGCTAATATTTTAGAATTTAACACTTATTTCTAAGCTATTTAAACAATTTGGCATCTGTATTAAATGAAATTAATAATGCACCTCGGTTTTTTTTTTTGGTTTTGAAATATCTTTTTATGCTTATTTTGACTAAGAGGAAATGAGGCCAGTAGTGTAAATAGATAAATTTGGTGTTCAGTGGAACTTGCTAAGAATGCAGTCCTAAGGAATGTTTATTTAAAAGTTGTCACTATAGGTAAATTCTTCCATCCTGACGGTTCCACAGTACTTTCTGCGGACAATGATGTATTTCTTTCTACTCTCTTAATCGTAAGAATAGAGGATTTCTTTCATGGAGTTGCTGTTTCGTTCCAAAAAATAACCGTAATGAAAATGAACCTGAAAAATAAGCCCTGGGGACTCTGATCTCACCATATTCACATGGTGTGATGAGTATTTATTTAAAGTAGGGGAGGCATCACTAAAGCTATTTTAAACCTGAACAACCTTTTTAAGTTTTTCTTAAAGTTTAACAATTTAAATATCCATACTGCATCTAGAGATTCAATAAATATAATTGCATATGTTGTGCTTTTCATAAATTAAAATCCTCAAATGCATTTTAAACCAAGATGGTGTTTCCACATCATGCCTATGTATAAGCAAGTATAACAGATAATATTTCTGGCTGCAACACCAGACAAATCCCCCTACCAAACTCAAAAGGCAGCAACCTAATCTAGTTTCTCTATGTCTATTAAATGAGTGCTCCTCTGTTAAAATCAATGTGGAAAGCCACTTTCCCCTTTATGCACTGCTGAGAACAAGCATAATCCTCTGAATGGTTTCTTATTCCCTTACAGTGTTATTTCTTCTCAACTGAGTGGGTGGAGAAATTGAAAGTGGTAAGAAAAATATTTTTCATCTTGGGCATCTGGTCCTAGAATTCTCATCTGACACTTTGTGACATATGTAGTGGTGTCAGCATCTCTTCAAATATAGCTCCCTTCACGTTGGAACCTCTCAGGTTGGCTTCTTGAAGATCACACCCAGATAGATCACAGTTCTGTAAGACAAAACAATACTCAGGGAACTGAGGTTTATCTGTTCCCTTTCAAAATGACTTGTGGGGCATATTAGGAAAATGTTCCTATATTCTACAACTCAGTTATTTCTGGGGAACTTCCTTTTTTAGAAAATGTGTTTCAGATTTTCTTCTATCTCCACCAGTTTATGCTTAGGTTGACCACCACAAATATAGATATAAACAAAAATTTCAGTGGAAGCATGTCCTTTCTGTTTACTTAATTTAGAATTTGAGAGCCAATGTAGTAAATATTTTCTGAACAATCCCAGAGCAATGATGATGAAAGACACGAACAGGGAAAAGACTATTAAAAATCTGGGAGAAACAGATTTTATTTAATATTTAAATTAAATAAAAGATTTTCCCATTCCCCAATCTTAACATTTTTTAAGGCAGGGAACTGTCTTTTTTTAACCCCAAATTTATGTGCATATTTCAATGAGTTTTAACAAATGAATACAACAGTAACCACCACCACAAGGTGGTGCTTTTAAATTCCTGTTAAGATCACAGGGTGACAGATGAGACAGATTCTGCCAAAGACCCTGGGGATGATGGGGCAATAATTAGAGAAGGGTGACTTGCATAACATTTTAGGAGGACAGAATGTCAGCTGCTGTCCCCTCCCCTCCTCCCCAGTCAACCTGGTCAGTTTGTGTAATCAGCTAGGCAGAAAGAGGCTTTAGCTATCTTTACTATTAACTACATAGTAACTAAAATCAAGGGGGAAAATCTTCTTAGGTGATATAATACATAATAACTAATTAAATAATTGTGCCCATAACAGGTTTCTGCCTTCAGCCTTAGGATGGTTCTTTTCATGCCCGTAAATTTGGGGAAGTGGGGAGGGACTGTGGCTGAAGGCTATCAAAAGAACAAGACAAAAACATTTTTTAAATATCCATTAAAAAAAGATTAAAAAATATCTATGGCAGGGCCTCCCTGGTGGTGCAGGGGTTAAAGACACAGCTCTATCAAGCTATCGGCATCCACTGCAACATGAGTTCAATCCCTGGCCACTGAGCTAACCCACAAGGCACAGCAGACCTCTCTTGTCTCCCCTGTCGCTCCCCTCAGCAGTGTATTTCAGTAGATCTGCCTGTTCTGCTATCCACTCTGTCTCTGGTGAATCCTTTCACCCCCCCCACCTCTGGCCTACACCTCAGTTCTTATATGCATAAATAAATCTTTAAAAAAAATCAATAGCAATCTAAATTTTGATATACTAGTCACCACAAGCCAATCTATGACAGATTTTCTTATACAGAGCTATACTATAGTAAGATATTGATATTCAACATGATAGCCATTAGCCACATGTAGCTATTTACATTTCAAATACAATTAAATAAAAATTTTAAATTCTTTTTTTTAGTTGCACTAGCCACATTTTAAGTACTCAACAGTGAACAATGACTGGTGGCTATAGTGAAGAGTACCACTGAAGAACACATCTAAATGTAGAAAATGCTACTTAAAAGTGATAGTCTATATAGACTCATCAACAGCTATAGGGCCTGTGAGTTAAATCTGCAATTCAAGATAATATGTAGAATATAATTCACATGAAAAAGATGATTGGACAAAATTAAGATCTCAAGTTGAGTTTCAAGGGGAGTTTACTGTCAATTTAGAATAGGCTTTTCCTGAAGTTGAATTTAAGCCTGGATACCATTTAAATTGCCTCAAGTAGTTCAGGCAATAATCTGGCCCTATTTAATCCTTAAAAAAACCACAATAGGGCCTCCCTGGTGGCGCAGCGGTTGAGCGCTGGGTTGCAAAGCTGCCCGCAGCCTCTGCAGCTCCGGTTCGATCCCCGGCTGCTCCCCGGCCACCAGAGGAGGGTCCCACATGGTGCGCAGACTTCTCCTGCCACCCGCTGCTCCCCTCAGCAGTGTACTTCGGTCCTTCTGCCTGCTCTGCTCCCTGCTCTGGCTCTGGTGGATTCTCTCACTCTCCCGCGCTTCTGACTGTACCCAGTGCTTGTATAAATAAATAAATAAATCTTTAAAAACAAAACAAAAAAAACCACAATAAATTAGATTAATACAGCTTCTATCAAATTCATCTACTTGAAAGAAACTCAAGGAAAGGAGGAGAAATGAAATCAACTTAGACCAAATGTCAGGAGAATCCTCAAATCTGAAACTGGCATCAAGGACTCAGATAACAGAATTTGGCTCTAGAATTCAAATTTGTTTAAACAAGCAGTTGAAAGGAAAGCAGCCCCAGTGGTACTGGCATGTTAGCTGGCAGTTTTTCCCAGCCAATTACTTTGTTTAGGTTTGCAAAAAATTTTGCATGAGGTGTTAACTTTTCTTGATTAACAAAAGCTCTTTAAAAATTGGTGACTCACCTCTAAATCAGTTCCTGCTAGAGTTGCTCCCCTGAGGTTACAGTTCTTCAACTTAGCATTTTTTAAGGTAGCAACTCTCAGGTTAATTCCTGTCATTTGACTTCCTTCCATATCCACACCTTTCAGATTAGCACCTAAAGTGAACACATTTGGAAAGCAGTTAAACTTATATTTAGTTATCTACCTTCAAACACTGCAAAAGGACCTATTGGAGGTGAACAACGAGTCTCTTTAATTTTCAAAAATGGCTCTATGAAGTATAAATAGTGCAGAGTTCACTTTTAATGATATATTAATGTTGTACTATAAATTAGGAATGCTTTTTAGCCTATTGTTGGGGTGAATTCAATTTTATCTCATGATAATTTGCTCCTGTATTAAAATGCCTCTAAGTTTATTACAAGGGAGGAAAGGTCAACATCTTCTAAATATACAAATAAAAAAGTGTGTCGTTAACATACAACCAAGGAATAATGAATTCGTAAACGAAACATTAAATCTAAAATGACAACAACTACCTGGCCTTGTGCAAAGTGAAACTGTTAATTTTGCTCAAAGCAAGAGATTAATGGAAATTATTAGAAAGTGAAAGATATTGATATTCAAATCTGCAACTAAAGCCTCATTAAATATTAGAGTGGCTATCCCCCTGAATTCTCAATGTTGATTAACACATGACTGAGACCAAGATATGACATATCCCATTGCAAATTCTCCAAGTATGAAGACAGAAAATCTACCTCCCATGTTTTATCCATGAACAAATTTTGCCAGGCATTTTACTTTTTGTTTCATTTTAGAAATGTTAATTATAGACAGAAGCTCACCTTCTAAATTGGCTTTAAGACCAGAAGGATCTTCAAAATTACACAGTTTCAGGGATGCCCCTTCTGCATTAGAACAGAGCATCTTGACTCCCTGGAGATTTGCACACTGGCAAAGAAAAGAGTTAAGTCCATGTATTAAGGTTTTTGTTTGGGAAAGAAAAAAATTGGCTCACACAGTAAGGTAAAATATAGAAAAGGAGGAAAAATGCTCAATTTGATATAATCACTGAAAGGTCCAGGCAGGAAGACAGAATGCAGGAGCCAACCAGGAAGCCCACCTGGGGGGCAGGAATGTGGATACCTGCCTGGAGGACTCAGACAATGAGCCTCCCCCCTCCCCCTAGAGTCTCATCTCAGACAAAGAACCTCTACCTGCCCTACAAACTTTCCCGCCGTACGAGCCCAACTACCCACCTGACCTCTCCTCGCCCTATAAAACCCTGCTTCCCCCTAACAACGTGCGGGACTCCACTGACCCCCGCCTTGGGTCTGTGAAGTCCGCCCCGGGCGCAATAAACTTTCCCTCCCTTTGAGAAATGTAGCCTGGCTCTCCTTTTCTTTACCGCGCCGAACCTTTCAATCACTTTCTGTTTACAATAGTAAGTAATTGAACCCAGTAAGAATTGAGGACTGCATTAAAAAAAAAAAAAAGCTCTGTAAAAGAATGGTTTATTTTAAAAGAAACAAAAGCCAGGCCTCCCTGTTGGCACAGGGGTTAACAAGCTATATACAGCCACTGCAACATGAATTTGTTCCCTGGCCAGGTAGCTAACCCACATGGCAGCAAACCTCTCCTATCTCACCCACTGCTCCCCTCAGCAGTGTATTTCAGAGGATCTGCCTGTTCTGCTCTCCACTCTGTCTCTGGTGAATCCTCTCACCCCCTTGGACCTCTGGCCCCAGTTCTTATATGAATAAATAAATAAAAATTTATTTTTTAAACATTTTTTTTAAAAGATTTATTTATTTATTTATACAAGCACTGGGTACAGTCAGAAGAGCGGGAGGGTGAGAGAATTCACCAGAGCCAAAGCGGGGAACAGAACAGGCAGACTGACAAAATACACTGCTGAGGGGATCAGCGGTCGCAGCAGGAAAGGTCTGTCGTGCCATGTGGGACCCTCGCCGACAGCCGGGGATCGAACTGGCACTGCAGAGGCTGAGGCAGCTTCGCAGCCCAGCACTCAACCGCTGTGCCACCAGGGGAGGCCCAATAAAAATTAATCTAAAAAAAAAAAAAAAAAAATCAAAAGCCAAATTAACAAAAGCACACCCAACTTACACAAAACATAAGCATTTCATAAAGAAATTGGGAGTCAGAACTAGGACATCCCTATTTGTATTTTTAAATACAGGTCTGGGCATGATGATATGATATTTGCAATCTATGGGCAACAAAGACATAAATGTGATAGGGAGATGGATTTTCCTCTCCTTATTATCATAGGAAATCAATGAAATTCTTGATGTTCAATGATGCTATTACCATCACATTCATTTCAAAGGTCAGAACACTTAGGCTAGCAATTAAAGGCACCTTTTAGGTACAAAACACCATTGTTTGGTCTTTCTGTACTAACCATTGCTAAACAACATCGGCAACCTTGAGCATCCAAATAAGTGGAAAACGTAGAATGAAAACCTACAAAATGTTTAAATTTTAAGTTATGTAAATCCCTCTCAAAGAATTCGATGCCATCAGATCTAATGCTAACAACTACTGGATAAGTCAGGAAACTATAAAGTTGACATTAACTTTAGACTTTTACAAATAGTTACCGTCCAAGCAGATAATATGTTCTAAATGCTGTAAGGCAATATATGAATAATAGTGCTTCTATTATTATATTTACCAATCATATATATTTGTTATCTACATATTATATTCATTCTACATATTACATGTATATATATCAACCACATTGGCAAATATAAAATTTTAAGGCTCATCAAATTATGTTATATCCATACCTATTATGAAAATTCTTTTTTTAAAGGTGCAGTTTTATTCACCTACAGTCAATTCTCGTGAAAAGGAGATAAACCATAGACCATTTCAAATCACAGATGACTGTTAAACACACTCATTCTCACCTATACCTGTGTCTTAACACAAGATAGAACAGAAGTTCAGAATAACTAAAACAATAAGGATTTAGGAGGACCAAATTAACTAAAATAGCCAGATTTTAAGTACCTGGAAATATAACAAGAAGCTGATACAAATAAATAAATGCCTCTGGTTTTATATATTATGCTCTCTGTAAAACACACTGTAAATGTTATCAAAGTTCCCATGGTTATTATATAAGTAATGAATGCCCTATACTTAAGGTTAACCTATAGAATGTCACAAAGAAAATATATATAGTGAAAATGAGTGAAGCTTGATATCTTTACCATGGAAAGAATCTCACCCTCTATTCATCAAAGAGTAAGGTGGGTCCCCAATACTGAGATTTTAGAACTCAGCTACTAATTAAATTATCACTGCACCCACAGGATCTGGGCTGTTTTAACTTATCAAGGGGCAATGTGTTTGATGAGAACAGGTTATTTTTTTTAATATGATAGATATTAAAAATTGCCCTAATACAAGAGATGAAGTAAATATTAATAGGTAAAATGGTGAATTGCTTCAACATGATCTGTAAAGACATACAGACAAAACAAAATTGGTTGGTGAAGGTATAAGGGGAATTCATTATAGTAGTCTATTTTGTATATATTTGACATTTTCCAAATGAAAAAGTCATTAAAAACTAAGGAGAAGCAAACACATGCTTTAGAGTCTCATTCTAACTATGAAGAAACTAGCTTTGGGACTTGAGTAAATGTCAAGATTTTAGTTTCTCAGTCCATAAACCCGCAAGTTAGACTTGATCACTCTAAGTCTCTTTCCAGCTCTTAACCCACTCTCTAGGTCCTGACTGGGACAATGCAATAGATATGAACAGCTGAATTCTTATACTTGCTTCTATGCAGCAGGCTAGAGTCGAGCATGACAGGCAGACCATGTGGAAGAAACAGTCTAAAACATGCCGACAGAATAGGTTGGTTTCTATGGAGAAGTTTCACAGTCCGTAAGGGAAGGAAGCAAAAAAAAAAACCATGAATTGTTTGAGGAATTCAACATGAGTGGTAAAACCACTATGGGCATTCTGTATGGCACGGTGCTTTAGCACACATTATAATGTGGGCACTGCAACACATCAGGGTATTTATCAGTAGTCATTTTCATTGCCAAGGACAATAAAATTAGTTTGAATTTCACACCCTACACAGTGACTCTTCTACATGAGCCATTTTTATTATTGATAATTAAATCTAAATTCTATAGCACATCACTTTACCAGATACATACTCAGTTGACAGCCCTGGAATAACATAGGGGTTAAGGTGCTGACCCCCATACAGTCAAAAATCCATGTGTAGGGCCTCCCCTGGTGGCGCAGGAAGTTGAGCGCAGCGCTGTGAAGCTGTCCGTAGCCTCTACAGCACCTGCTTGGTTCCTGGCCGGCCAGAGAGTTTCCCACATGGCATGGAAGCCCTCTCCTGCCTTGCCTGCTGTTACCCTCAGCAGTGTGTTTCAGCAGATCAGCCTGTTCTGCTCCCCACTCTCTCTGGTGAATCCTCTCACACTTCCACACCTCTGGCCTGTACCCCAGTTCTTGTATAAATAAAAATCAATCTTCAAAAAAAAAAAAACTTAAAAGCTTGCTAGCTCAGTGTTGACCGGAAGCCTTCCTGAATAACACTCAAGCAACACATATTTTGTATGTTATATTTTATATTGTAGTCTTACGATAGCCATAAGCTAGAGAAAAAATGTTAAGCAAACTGTGAGGCAGAAAAAATACATTTATTTATAGCACTGTATTGACTCAATACTGTAAGTTTGTTATGTTTATTTTTTTATTTATTTTTTTTTTTAATAGAGGCATGCTTTATTTATTTGTTTTGCTGGTTTGTTTGTTTGTTTTGTTTATACATGCACTGGGTACAGCCAGAAGCGCGGGAGGATGAGAGAATTCACCAGAGCCAGAGCGGGGAGCAGAGCAGGCAGAAGGACCGAAGTACACTGCTGAGGGGAGCAGCGGGCGGCAGGAGAGGTCTGCGCGCCATGTGGGACCCTCCTCTGGTGGCCGGGGAGCAGCCGGGGATCGAACCGGCGTCGCAGAGGCCGCGGGCTGCTTCGCAACCCAGCGCTCAACCGCTGCACCACCGGGGAGGCCCAAGTTTGTTATGTTTATAGGAAAATCTGCATTTAAGTAGACATGCGCAGTTCAAACCTGTGTTGATCAAGAGTCAACTGTATACACCCCTTCAAGCTTTTTCTTAATGCTGTTAGTCTCTTGCCTACTTTGCTACCAATGTAATCCTTCATCATAAAATGGAACAGGGGAGTGAAAAATAACTCAAATATGTATTTGCAATTTTGTTACTAGACCTGATATTAACTTCATGGAAAAATAGGCTGCAACTAAGGAATGAAATAATAATTACAGTAATTCAAGAAATACTTACTAAATGATAACTAAATGCAAGGTATTAAGTGCTGTTAACTCAAGACAGACACATGAGTCTTATATTAAGGAACATTAAGTTGTTAGTAGATTTCACTATTGGTTCTGCATATATCCTCCAACCCCAAATTAATATAGGTAACTGCTACATAAATATCTCTATAGACATTTGTACACACACATACATATAAACATATAAACACATGCACATACACACACATATATGTTGATAACGAGCCACTGAAATGCTAACTTACACAGAATGATGCATACTATGTTTATTTCTCAGTATCTGCAATACTCAAGTAATAATATTTTCCCATTTAAAAATGTGTTTCAATAGAATATATCAAGTCTTTTTTAGCTTTACCATTGTAATTCACAGAAAACTGATAAGCAGATTATATCAAGGAGATCAGGGTCTAATTTCAAGATTTAATTTCTTATTAGTTGCTAAACCTTTTAGGTCTATGCTTAATAAAGGATATCCAAGTTGCAAAAGTAACCCATTTCACTTTCAGACTCTTCAGTTTTACTGACTTAACAAATTATCTGTTTCATGTAAAAGTTTCATTAAGAAACAGATAAATCTCTGCTCTCTGAAACTGTTCAACAAGCTAAAAACTGTATTTTCTTTTGTAACCAAAAATGATTCTTACATCAAGCACTGATCCAGAGAGATCAGCTCGTTCAAGATTTGCACAGCAGAGATTAGCATGTGCAAGATTGCATCGGCTTAAATTGGCCATTTTGAAGTTAATGTATCGAAGGTCCAAACGAGAAAGATCAGCACCACTGAAGTTTAAACCCTAAAATTAAAAAACAAATTGTCACAATATTTTAACCATCTGTTTGTATTAAATTTAATTATTATAGTTAACTACCAAGATCTTCAGAAATTGGCAGTTCAGTCATTTGTACTCTATTACAAAACACAATCAAATGGAACACAGAAACACAAAATAAGTGTCTTTAATGGATTCTTAGTAAAAGGAAATGCAGACTGGCTATACCTCTTATATGTGCAGGAAGTTTTTAAAGTGGGATCTCTGTTTGCCATGAACCTGATTAATAGCATTATTTTAGTTAAATTTGATTGCATTTAAATTATTTAATTCAATAATTCAGTTTTATTTTTAAAGAGTATTGTGGTTTAAAAAAATCTTTAACGCTATCACACATAAAAGTGTCTGCTACTGACTAGTCACACATAGCAACTGCAATTAACAATTGAATTTTATTTTATTCACTGCAATTTTCCATGCAATATTCAAAAACTGCTACATGAAACATAATTAGACAATAAAAAAGGCTATTACATCTCTTTTGCTAACCATTCTGAGATTCTATCAATGCTATTAACCTATAATTAAACAATGTCTTGCATGAAAAAGGAAAATAAGGCAAAACAAAAATCTTAAGAATGTAAAAGTTTGCTCACCAATTTGCTGATACAGTAAAAATGTAAGTCTGCTTTAATTACCTGGCAACGCAATTCAGACTTGGTTGGAGTAGCTAGCAGAAATCGGACAAATTCTTTTCGAGATATTGGTGAATGATCCTCTGGTGGTTGGGAATTCTTGAAAAAGATATTAGGAAATTAATGGAGCATTTTGGGAGCTAGCAATAATAAATGTATATTGACTAACGTAAAAAGAATCTTTACCTTTATAGCCACTTCTAGGTGTTCAATCAATGAATCAATACCAAAAAATCTGGCTTCTTCTAATACACCTACATTGATAAAAATGATTTGACTTTTACAGAAAACCATTTTAATGTTTATAGCATTCTTCAAGTTAAATTCTCACAGTTGAACTGAAATTTAACAAGTGAGGCTATCAATACAGAAGAAAAATAACATGTTTAGAACATATACATATAATTGAAAATATTTATAAAATATATTTCTCTAAATAGTTTACATTCAACAATAGAAAAAATGGAAAAGTGAATTAGAATTAAATCATCTCACATTTCAAAGTTATTTCTGAAAATTAGGCCACATGCAAGAAATTATAATATCACACATTCTTAAAACATTGGTAAAGTGATATGATTATGAATCTAATAAAAATAATTAGTTTACCTAATCTTAATATTTCACATATTTTTTCCAAGGTGGCAGATCTGAACAGGATAGTCATAAAAAATTACTGAATCAGAAAATTACATACACAAACAAAAGTCAAACAAAAGACAAAAGTATAATTGACCAACCTTTTTTTTTAAGAGAATCAGTTTTTAGAATAGGTTTCTAAATAACGGAAGGGATTTTATGTGTCATTTACTATTCTTAATTTGGTTTAAAAAATATGCACATTCCTTATGTGACGTGGTATGTATGCTTTCTCATGTCTGTTAATAAACATCTTCATCAGAGATGTGGAGGTAAACTAGGAATCCATTCTCCTTCAATCAAGGCCTCAGTCATTCATTTGGCTAAGTCCATTTGTTCCCAGGAATGCACAGATGGTTTAATATACATAAATCAATAAATGTAATATAGCAACAAAAGATAAAAACTCATATGATAATATCAACAGATGTAGAGAAAGCATCTGCTAAGATTCACCACCATTTATATAAAAACTCTAAACAAGATGGCACTGGAAGGAACCTCCTTCAACATAATAAAGACCACACATCACAAATGGTCAGTATAATATTCAATGTTTAAAAACTTAATCAAGGCTCAAAACTTAAGTGCACACTCCCAAATGGAAGCTGGAGTAGTCAGGCGTGTTTTCTCGATATCACCACACTCCCCAACAGACCAAATTCAGTCTCTTGGAGTTCTACTGAACTTTGACCACACATAGCCACTGCTATATAAGGGCTTTCATCTACATCACTACCATGAACTTTCACAAAAATATTTTTAACGTAGCCAGGGATGAGTGGATTTTTGAAACTCTTTTTTAAAGTTGTAGAGGGCCTCCCCTAGTGGCACAGGCGGTTAAGCACCGCACTGTGAAGCTGTCCGCAGCCTCTGCAGCCTGGGTTAGATCCCGGTCGGCTGGCGAGGGTCCCACATGGCGAGTAGACCTCTCCTGCCTCACCCACTGCTCCCCTCAGTAGTGTATTTCGTCAGTCTGCCTGTTCTGTTCCCCGCTATGTCTCTGGTGGATCCTCTCACCCTCCCGCACATCTGGCCTATACCCCAGATCTTGTATAAATAAATGAATCTTAAAAAAAAAGAATGCAATTAAAAAAAAAAAAGTTGTAGAACTGAGATTCTAGTTCAGTGTTATGTTTCCAAAGTATAATTTTTCCTTTTAGCCACTTTACTTATAAATATAAGAATGTCCAGCAGTGCCTGCTGTTCCCCTCAGCAGTGTATTTCATCAATCTGCCTGTTCTGTTCCCCGCTCTGGCTCTGGTGAATCCTCTCACCCTCCCATGCTTCTGACTGTACCCAGTGCTTGTATTTAAAAAAAAAAAAAGTCCATAATTTAAAACAAAAACAAAACAAACAAAAAAAAAACCACCACAATCACACTTTGATGAAAAAAGTTTTTTTTTAAATAAATCCTTCAAAATCCCTGGTGAGAGAATCTAAATCTGCTTAAGATCTAAAATTGGAATTTATGGGTTAGATATATCTATGCAAAAACCTGTATTTTATATTTATATGTATTCGTATACTCATTTTTATCATTTATTTGAAAATACAGAAAAGACATACTTTCACTTTATGAAAATATTGTATGTTATTTATCAAGAGCAAAAAATTAAAAATGCTAAACTTAACAAAAATGGGAGGGATTATATTGAAAACTCACCTAATAAATTAATGCCATCATTTACAATGAGTTGTCCATGACGCAAATAGTTCAAAATGGGTTCAAAGTACTCGGGACTTCGATCAATTAAGAAAGCTCCTCTATGATCTTGCTTATTCCCCCAGACACCTGTGTTACCCATTACATGAAGAAAACCCCCCACAGACAAAAAAAAAGTTAGAAATTTATGGAAAAAAATTGTGCAACATGCCAGTGTTGATTCTTATCATTTAAAAATGTAGGAGGACAGGAGATACACAGTCATCAGCTACAAGCAGATCACACCAAATGTGAGAACAATGTGTTGTACTCACCTTTGTCCTTAAACATGTGGGCCAGCATACTGTCGGGTTCTTTATTCACTAAAGTGCTCCTAAGAATTCAGGGAAAAAAATTGATTTCTCCTTTTGTCTTTATAAACAAATATATTTAAGTCAAGAGTATATTCGATCCCAGCTGCTCTCTCAAAAAGATGCATGCTATAGCCTGGTAGAAGTGATGCTGGGAAACAAAAACGTGCAGTAAGTTGCCATTTATCAAAATCCCTTCTAATCTGGCACTTCCTTTGATTAAATAATGTTTGTTTCCTTTAATTTAAATACTAATCTATCCTTCCAGCATGCTATTATATACAATATTCTTGATCTAAAATTTTTCTGATTTTGTTAACACAATCAGTTTTAGTCTCTACAAATCTCAATATTGTTAACTTTTACTGGGGTTACACATATATATTACTGCTATCTAGAAAGCATGTTTTAGAACATTGAATTCATGCTTTTATGTTTTCTCTTGAATGACTTGTGAGCTATTTTTCAACTTCTGAAAAAAATACTTTGCAAAAATGATTTCAGATCACATAGTATATTGAAGTGGCATTTGAATTATCTTTTAAGAAAATCAGCAAACTGAAGAAACAATTGGTACACACACACACACACACACACACACACACACACCAAACATACACACACCTACCGTGTAGTTGTAAAGTACCGCCCTCCAACATTTAATGTTAGCCAGTCTGTGTGAGATCCCGACAGCCCTTCAGGTAGTTTAGAATCTGTCTGAGGATCTAAAGATGACATGTAGAAAATAACAAGAACATTCAGATTAGGGATTTAGGTAAGCTGACAATAGCAAAAATTTTAAGACTAAAAACACACATATAAACATATCAGAGTTACTAAGACAGCAAACCCCACACCCATGGACAGTATCTAAAACAAACTGGGTGATACAATATTTCCACCAATACAATTAGTATGTTCATAGCATGTCTAAAAGAAGAAGTGAGAGAAATAATAAAGCATGTGATAAACCCAGGATTCTAAAGTAATGCATAAATACTCTCTTTGAAGTGACCAAGTCCATTGAGAACAATGACTGGAGGTAGAAGGGGTAAGACCATAACAGTCAGTGATGCAAGTATTCTGCTGAAGACCTAAAGAGGTGAAAAATAAACCCTCAAAACTCACCTGTTAAAACTACCTTCTGGGACAAAGTCCCATATTAAGGAGAACACTTTGGGAAAAGAATCCAAGATGAACAGAACAGTGCCAAGAGAAACAAATACATATAAAAGTCAAGATCTAACAGAAAAAGGGTTATATCAAGAGGCAAGTTCCATATTTTTCACACTTCACAAAGCAACAGAAAAGGGAGTTCTGGAGTCATGAAATTAGAAAAGCTCTCCTAAATCATTCCTCCCTGCCCAAATTAAGAAAAATTAATTTCATGTAAAAATTAGCAATTAAGGATTGAGATCAAATCATATACAAACTTTTTATAAGAATAAGTACATCTCTAAAGACAATGAAAATGTCAGAAAGTAATGCCCGCAAAAATAGACAAAACTGCAATATTCTAAAACATGCTAAAAGAAATAAATAATATAAAATATGGAAAACAACATAAGCCACAATTACAAAATTCAGAATGAGGCGAGAGAACTCAGAAGAGAATTAGAAATTAAAAAAAAACCTTATTGGAAATGAAGACTAAATTAAAAGAAATACAGGACTGAATAAACACAACAGATAATACCTTAAGGGAAATAAAAGATAGAGAGGAAAGCTTCAATACCCAAAAGAAATGAAAAAAATTACGTAAGAAGGGTGTAATAGAAGATTTCAAATATAGAAGGCAGTGTAGAAGAAGTCCTGAAAGAAAAAATGTAAAGCCAAGGAGACAAAATAAATATAAAATTTAGGGACATGAATCTCTGGGTGACAGATCCAAAAAGAAGTATAAATTAGTAACAGCCTGGAAAGAGCCAAGAGACCACTAAATTTATAACCTTAACCCAGAAATATAACTAGAAGGGAAAAAGGAAGCTCACTCCCTCCCAACAAACCCCAGCATCTGGTAGTGAATTTTGTGAATAAAACCTATTCATTTTAACTTATTTATATCTTACCACAATTTTTAAAAACAGTCTTTTAACTAGGGATCCTAGGAAAATTGGTTGAATCCTCAGATACTTTTGAAAAAATAACTCCTTTTATTACTATGAAGCATGAAGTATTATTATGACAGAAAATAGCCCCCCCCCCATACTTGAATCATTATTTATTTTCACTAAGAATTAATCCACTCTTGGAATTAAAAGCAAGCTTTTGTTGAAATAAATTTATTCAAGAAGTTATGTTCAAGAAAAACTTTCTAAAATAAAAAGTTTGACATTGCGCATTGAAAGGGCGTAATCCATGTCTGCCAGCATCAAACCAGAACAACCTAGAAATCCCAAAATAATCTCCCAAATTACTGTACTTTAGAAAAAAATCTTTTGAGGGGTCTAGGAAAAATAAATACATATGAAAGATCAGATATTTTTGACACCAACACTTTACCAGAATAAAATGGAGTAACATACTTAAGATATTTAAAGAAAGAAAATATGAACCAAGAATTTTTTTAACAGTTTCATTGAGATACATATATACAAATGGTGTATGATAAACTACACATCATTAAAGTTTACAGTTTAATAAGTTTTGACATGATTTTAGATCTAGCCACACTGACTTTAAATATAAAAGCCACAAATTAATATTAACACACAGCTATCGAGAATCCTGGAGATATTGGAATAAGAATTGGAGATATGCTTTAAATACACTTGAAGAAGTAAAACTAAGTGAAGGTTTTAAGCATATAATGGCTATGTAATCTGATAATGTAGAAACAATAGATTTATATTTCAAGTAAGGGTAGAAAGGAAGGAGTATATGCAAATACATTTTACTGTCTTTACTAATCCTATTGGTAAAGTACTGGGACTGTTACTTTGACATTTTTTGTGTTTTGTGTGGAATGAAGTGAATGAATAATTAGTTGATATTATAATTCTATCATTCCCTATGTCCCTGACAATCTTGTTACTGATATGGAAAAAGTAGACATGGAGAGAAGACAAAAAGGGTTAATAAAAATCTTAAAATCCTGACTATAAGCCAGGAGCATTGTGTGAATCCATGAGATATTTTATCTATCTATATATTGCTATACATGATACAAACTTTGTATCATATTACACATTACTTATCAGTTTTATCTCTAGTTAGCCATACTTCAACTACTGCCCACTTCAAGACTCATTAACAATGATGACTTCAGGAGCAATGACTCTCCCTGGCACAAGATTATGTTTTGAAATGACACATCCCATTAAAAGAAATCTAGGCTCCTTGGGAGAAAAATAAAATCCACCTGGGTCCAGGACAGAAGTATATGAGTACCTTGTTAATCCAGGTAATAAGAAAGCTGTAAGACTAATGGAATTGAGTTAAAAGGACTTAAAGAGGTTTACACCGGCTAGAGGTAAAACAAGCTGTAATTAATAAATCCAGAGGATAAAAAAAAAAAAAACCAAATATCTTTTTAAATCCAGAGTTGATAGTAATAAAACAAATATTTTATATTATTTGTTTGTTCATATGTATGTAATGAATCAGCTAAGTGACCGCTGCCAGCCAGCCACCTGATGGATGAGTAAACATGAAAGAATTTTGTTCACAGTTTGAGCTCTGTCTCGGTTGAGACAGAGAAGAGCATACATTCCTCTTTATCCCAAAAACTGCCTCTATGTATCAAACTGTGACTACTTCAAGAAATATTAAAATATTCAGGGTGTGATTGTATGGAACTAAGTATCCAGACACTTGTTAAAGAATATTTACCTTATTTAACTCTTCAACTCTTTCTTTGCACAACTGTATAAGCTTTCTTCCAAATCAAAAGGTGGTATATGCTTTTGTGTATGTGTGTATGGCTGATACCAAGTCTTTTTTGATGAATTTGATGTGATCACTGTGAAGGATGGTCAAATACTACTTATACAAGCAATTTATGCTTAATGATACATAAAATAACACTTAGAAAAATGGTGACCACTACCAGCAAAGAGAAAATTTCAAACAATTGTAATTTCTAAAATTAATATTACTCTATCATGTCATAGTTAATGGATATGTGCATCCAGAACATTTTCGAGACATGTAAAAGACAAATTATCCATACTAAATATGATATTAAAATTAAAATTTACTTTAACACACATAATACAGAATCCACAAAGGTTTGACGATCTGAACACTGCCACAAGATAACTTTTTAAAGATCAACAAACTCAAGTAAAATATTTTCCATTTCACCTTTTTTTTAATTGTGGCTGATAAAACTGGTTTTTAAGGAAGTCACTTACCAATAAATGGTTCTCCTTCACACACAAACAAAACATCATCATCCCTAGGAAAATCAAAATTTAAAAAGCCACCATCAAAATCCAGAATCATGTTACTGATGTGTTGACAGAGCAACTACTCCTTAAAATTATGAAGCATTCTATAGTCTAGAAGATAGGCTTTGTTATCCATCTATACTGCAAAGAAGTTGACTATTTTCTAATTTCTAGTATTTTGCCTTACCCTCTGACTTAATTGCCTTTGGATATAATTCAAAAAAGATCCTGCCCAAGAAAGCACTTTTAAAATGGCAAAAATAACAACCAAAAAAGGCCACCTACAAATTCAGCTTTCTCATCAACTGGAGATTGTATTATTACACTTAAAGGTTATGTTTACAGCCATAGCCAACTTTTAAAAAAAAATTTTAACCCTAAATAAGTTATTTAGGTTTTCTACTAAATTGTGAGCTGCTTTGTGCTTTGGAAATGAAAATAAATTTTCATATTAAATCTATGAAAAATATGGGCATATAATTGCTGTAAATACTGACCCGCTCTATACCCACCACACTAACTGTAATGACTGTGCATATCCATAATTCTGGATTACTGGTGTATATCATCATTCCCTGCCCCAACTATAGTATAAATAGATGATCAGAAATTGTACTGTGAACCACAAACTATTACACAGGTATGTATTTCATAGTTCAGTATTCAGTTATGAGCTTCCATGCTGTAGAAGTTTTAATTTTCTAGAAGATCTCATAAGAACACACTGACTTTTTCTTAGCAGCAAAGTCTGTATTTAAAGAGAAAATTAGGTTGATTTAGATCATCCAAAAATGTGACTCAGTAATCCACAAAAACTGAAAGAGGCTGGAAGATAATATAAAAAACAAGAAATCTCCTAATTTGTTTGGATTTTAAATGCAGTTTATAATCATTTCTATTTTTTAGTATGGAAATTTGTTTTCTTATAAAAAATCAACTTCTAAATTGTGTGACCTGGGCAAGTCACGTTACTTCTCGGATACCTAATTTCCTTATTTGGAATATAAAGGGACTGGAGATGATTAATTTCAAGAATAGTATAGTAAGAGGTCATTCTACCTGGGTTTAAACAAAAATTAAACTTTATATGCTATAATAATTTAGAGTATCATTATCCTCACACCACTAATTAAAATTAAAACTCATGCTCTGCCAAATTAAATGAGATATCTTAGGCAAAGCAATTACATTAACTGGACAGTCAGCATTTAATTTGTTTTCCTTTCCCATCTTCTTTGTTAAGTCTCTTTGTGCTCCAAAAATCTGTGATCCTATGAGGATGTAATGAGGTGAACTAGGTACTTGTTTTAAAGAGATAAATCTACCTGGGATATTTAAACAAATAAATGAACAATCAAACAAAAAAACTGCTACTGCAGTAAATCTACAATCCTAAAGCATGTTAAATAGAGCTCCAGTTCTGAAGATAGACCTGCATTTGATTTAGTGACATTTTCTAGCTAATGATTTGACAAAGATTAAACCTTTTAATGCTTCAGGTGCTTTACATTTTACTAAAAATTCTACCATATATAGCAAATTCATTAAAGTAGCTCTCTGTGATGTTTATAAAAATTGAAAGCATTCTAAGGAAAGGTACAATAAGCAGCAGCATATAAATTGAAAGCAATCAACTAGATTTCTAACACTAAGAATGTATGTCTTAGTAGATTCATCTCTAATAACATAAAGAAGAGATTCTTTCTAGACATAAATGAGCTATACAGAAAGACTATCAGGGGCTTCCTTGGTGAACAGGAATTAAGTCTCAGCACTATCACCCCTACAGCCTGCGTTCTATCCCTGACGCCTGCTGTTCCCCTCAGCAGTGTATTTCAGTAAATCTGCCTGTTCTGCTTCCTACTCTGCCTCTGGTAAATCCTCTCACCCCCTTAACCTCTGGCCTACACCCCAGTTCTTCTATGAATAAATACATAAATAAATCTTTTTTTAAAAAAAGACTATCGGGGCCTCCCTGGTGCTGCGGGTTGAGCAGGTTGAGCGGGTTGAGCTCGCTACTCTGTGAAGCTGTCCACAGCCTCTGCAGCGCGGGTTCGACTCCCAGCCGGCCAGGGAGATTCCCACATGGCCAGACAGACCTCTCCTGTCGCGCCCGCTGCTCCCCTCAGCAGTGTCTTCAGTCCGTCGGCCTGTTCTGCTCCCCGCTCTCTCTGGTGAATTCTCTCACCCTCCGGCACCTCTGACCTGTACCCCAGTTCTTATATAAATAAATAAATCTTAAAAAAAAAAAGCCTATCAATATGTTGGGGGAATGTACTGAAGGTTTTCTATCTAATCAATATACCGTAAGTTCAAGTAATTTAAATTCCAAAGAACAAATTCTAGGCATGCATTTGCCAAAATTCTTTATTAGCAGTGACTAATATGAATGCTTAAAGGAAACAGCAGAGCAGCAAGAAGCTGAGGACACAGCATAGGCGGTTTACAAAAAAGGTGAAGGTTACCTGATCAAGGCGATATCGTCAATCAGTCCACCTTTCCCATTATACACACTGGTGGCTTTTATGCCGAGTTTACTGCTGGCCACAGACAGCAAATCAGATAAAGTTCCATATACAGCAACCACCTGTAAGCACACAAGATTAATTTGAACAACTTACACAGTGAATTTCACTCCATAAACAGAACTAAAAAATCAGATTATCATATAAAAGCAGATTTTCGAGTTTCTTAACAGTGTCTCTTCTTCTTCTATGGCGTAAGTATTTACTTAGTGTCTAACATTACTGAAATCCAACACTAGAGAATAAGAAATCATCTTTAACTGAAAATAATCTACAATCTTAAATATGTTAAATAGAGCCCTGATTCTGTAGACATGCGTTTGAATTTAGATTATGACATTTTCTAGCTGTTGACTTGAGACAAATGATTTAAGCTCATTTAACCTTTATGCTTCTGTATAGTTAAGTCTTTTCCACTGACATATTAAGTTGAAAAACAAGCCACACGGTATAACAGCAACTCTAAAGTGATATTCATAAAAGTACTGAAAGTGGCTGTCTTTGGATAATGGAATTATGGCTGACTTATTGTCTTTGTGAATTTTTGTTTTGATTTCCAGATTTGTTATGGTGAACTTGTATTACTTATGCAATAGGGGAGAAGTTATCATTTATTTTAAGACACTTTCACAAATAAAAATTACTTTAACAGCTGACAATTCATCTAGCAATTTAACACTTTACTTTAAATGAAATTATCAAAAGGCCATTAATATGAGAAAACAGAAATAAAATTAATACAAAGAATGTTACAATTCTGTAAGTGTTGTAAATTTTTAAATTTCCATTAAGTTGGGCCAAAATACGAATTCTTCACTGGAGGTTATTTTTGACATTTGTTTCTCAATTAGATCACTTTAGTTTGATTCTTTTGCATATATTAGCAAATAAGATGGTATTATAGTGCAAATACAGTTTCTATAAACTAATTAGGATATTAGATTTTAAAGAGATATAGATCAATATATAAATGTAAAGCATATGGGAAAAGATTTTAAGCTTTCTTTATAGAACTTTGGTGGGAAAAAACAGCAATAGAAAATTTGTGATCACGGATGTGAGCTCTGTTACATGCTCAGCTTTATTCCTCAGAGAGAGGCTGAACATTCATAAAATGATGATGCTTATTGTAGCTATTTGCTTCATGGGCTTTACTCCCTGGTGTGGTGTGAACTTGAAATTCCCACATCACTGTGATTATCTACTTTAATAACCTACACACTCTCCTTAAAATGGAAGCAGTCTATGGAATAAATCGAGAAGGACGTTTATTAAAGTATATGATCAGTGTTATACTACTTTTTAACTTAATCCCTTCTAAATTTCAGATGCCATGATAAGAGAAAGTTACCTTTTCACAGGGAAAGTAAATGACAGACTTATCAGCTTAGTGGTTTTAATTTGCCTTTAAACACCATTTCCAAATTATAACCTGTTATTCAAATTAAGAAATTAAAACAAGCACATGAATTCATTTTTCTCATATCTCCAAAACATCTGATACATTATATAATAAATAGCTAAATACGATAATCAAAGTGATCCATATTCCAACTGGCAGATGGGAAATCAAACTGTATCACAGTAGAGCTTCCTTTCAGCTCCTTTGTCATGCACATCATGTTATGCTCAAGTCACTCCTGGCCAAACACAGCCACCTTATAGACATAAAAATGAAGGCTGTTATGTGTTGTTATCCTGCTCTCTTTTGTAAAATAAGAGTAATTATAATGTTATTTTTCAACCAACTGAAGGAAGAAAAAAGTTAACACTGACAGGGCTTAGAATATGTTCTCCAGTTTAGTAAGGATTCTGATATGCCTTAGTTTTAATAATGAGTTTACAAATATTCTCCAGCTTGGGTTTTCATGATCTTTGTAGCATAAACATACTTATCTTCAGCTACTTGAGATGCTTTTTCCCCAATCTGCTGAGGTACTCTGGCTATTTAAAGCAAATAAAATTTAAACCCCCAAATTTAACCTAGTTAAAACTAGTTTTAAAAAATCTTATTAAAAATAACATGGCAAGACTAACACAGACAATCTTGAACAAAAACAGGATTCAGTTTCAGAAGAGATTTAGAGCGTAATTATTTATAACTGGTTAAAACATCTAGTCTTTCATGGAATAACAGAGATGTTTAAAAGGTCAATCAGAGGCCTATTTTTAAGAACATAAAACTTTAGATAAACTGAATCTTTCAGTAGCAGCAAAAAGCCTTAGATTAGAAGAAATCCTGTATTTTGAAAAAATAAAGGATGTTTTCAAAAAAACAGATGAGTAGTACCTAACGACAGACAAAACCGGTTTAGAAAAGGTTAATAATGGTCACAAAGTAACATAAATCTTGTGACGCATAATCTGAGAGAGTATTTATAAAAAAGCAAGAACTTGACTTTCTCCTAGTTGTTTTTCTATGAATATAACATTTCTAAGGTCAGACGAAAACAAAGTTACAGTCAATGAACTGGACTGGAATCCAAACTTTTAGAGCACGTTTACTGCAAAGTGCAAAGTCAGCTGGAAAATCTTTTTCTTTTTTTGCACGAGGGCACAAATATGCTAGTTAAAAATTTACGTTTCCAAAATACGCAGGAAATCAAGCATTCTGAGGTCAATTTCCCTTTACCTGAGCCAGAATTACCTCCGGATAGCTTTTGGCTACATCGAGCCCCTGCCTCAGGCACTCACATTTTCCCAAGAACCCGAACGCCCCTCGGGGTGGGGTGGGGCGGGGCGGGGGCTGGAAGGAGCAGGGTTCCCCTGCGGGCCCGGCCGGGAGCGCCCCGAGCTCCACGCCCTCAGCAGGGCCCAGCGCGCGGGGACTGCACCGCCCTGGCAGTCGGGGCCAGCGCCTCAGGTCCCGTGAGCAAAAAGTGGGCTCGTCAAGTACTAAAGTCCCAGCAGGAGTTTGGCGGCGGCGCCCGTGGGCTCCTAAGAGCAAAGGGGCGGGGGCGTGAGGGAGGCGTCAGGAGAAGGTCCCCTAACTTTTGATGCTGTTTGACCTCGGACGCCAGAGTGTTTCATTGACTCACTGGCAACGGCTGAATTCCTTTCACCTGACCCCCCCCGGGTGCCTGAGCCACCCCTGGAGGAGACCATTACGCAGCGCGAAGGTGGAACCAGACACTTTCTCGGGCCAGGGGCGGGGGCGGCGGGGTTCGGGGGTGAGCGCGCAGAGGCGCCCTCAGCACCGGGCGCTCGGGACAGCGACCCGCGCCCGGCCCGGAGCCGCCCCGCGCCCGCTGGCCGTCGCGGAGCGGGGCCGCGGGGTGACGGGCAGGCGGGGCGCGGGGGAGGCCGGGGCCCGCCAGCGCCTCCAGGACGCCGCGCCCCGCGCGCCCGGCCCCCTCCCGACTCGCGCCCCCGCCCGGAGCCCGCCGGGCGCCCGCCGCCCTCGCCCCGCCGGCCCCGCGCCCGCCGCGCCCCGACCCCTTACCTTCCCGTTCCGGGGGCTGCCGTTGAGGAACAGGGTCACCCGCCGCATCGCGCCGCCCGCGCCGGGTCCTGGGGGAGCCGCCACCCTCCCGCCCGGCTCCCCTCCCACCCGCGTCCTCTCCGGCCCGTCCCCTCCCGCCGCCCACTCGGACTCGCCGCCCTTCGCCACCTTCCTGCCCTGGCGGACACCGACACGCACGACGCGCGCACACCCCGTCCCGCACCGGCCCGGCCGGTCCCTTCCCACCCCGCCCCTGGGCGCCGCAGCCCGTCTGGGCCCTTCCCCCATCGCGCCAGACGGACTCTAAGCTCCGCCAATCCACCGGCAGCGCCCGGCAGCGCTCAGCCAATCATCACGCGGCCTGGGGCGGACTCCCACTAGCCCCGCCCAGGAGGAGGGAGGGAAGAGAGGCGGCCGCGTAGTAGACGGGAAGGGTTATCCGTCAATCAGAGCCGAACCTGGAGCCTAACGGCGGCCAGAGCAGCTACTGAGCAAGCGCAAACTCAACAGCAGGTAGCCCTCATCTGCATACGGAGGCGGGGTTTAGGGAAGAGGTGGAGAACTGGAAATGACCAACCCCAGTGAGCGTCTGCCGGATGTAACCCCGCCCACTCTCTCCGCCCACAAAGGAACGGCGGCAGTTGGGACTGGCTGATTGGGTAAAAACCTGCCGGACATTCTGTCAGGATTGGTGCAATGATTCTTTTCGAAGTTTGCAGCATCCAATCAAAAGGTGAGGATGCCTTTCTTCAAACACCGTCCAGCGGGTTCCTCCGCAAGATTCTCACGGAAAGTAGTCCCCGCGGGCTCGTGGCCGGCGCCGCGCTCTCCGGCCAGGGTGGGCTGAGGCGCGCGCGGCCGCCTCTCCTCGCCCGCGGGGCTGCGCTGCCCCCGGGGACAGCGCGCGGGGGGCTTGGGAGGGTTCTCGGCGCGCGCGGACACGTGCGGGCGGCGGGCGCGGCGGAGTCGCCATCGCTGAGTAACGCCGGGCGCCGCGGGGCGGGGCCGGGGATTTGAATCGGCGGCGGGCGGCGGCGGCGGCGGGGGGGATGCGTGGTCGGGCTGCGGGGCCCGGGCGAGTCTGCGGCCTGGGCCGCCCCTGCCTGGCGGGCCGCGGTCGCCTCCAGAGCGCGCCCTCCGGCACCGGGGAGCCAGACCGGCGCGGGGCGGCCGACGGCCACCTGTGGCCGAGCATGGAGAGCCGAGCCCGAGAGGCGAGCCGAGCCCGGAGCGAGGTAGGGCGGGCGTCGGGGGGGGTTTCAGGCTCGGCGCGGCCGCTCGGGGGTCTGCCGCTGGGCCCGCTCCCGGGCCGAGTGTCCTCCCGTGCCCTGCGCCGGGCCCATTCGCGGGCTCCTGCAAACTGCAGGTCCAGGGGTCCCCGCCACCCCCCGGGGTAGGGTTCCTGGGCATTTGCAAACCCGCATCCATCCTGAGCAGGGACGCCAGGGGATCCAGATGTTCCCTAAGGTCGAAAAGCAAATGGCTTCTAGCAGTTTCCCTTTTTATTTTGAGTCCCCAAAGTAGTCTCTGGACGTCTGTTTTCATGGCAGTGTGGAGTGCATTGGGGGTCAGTCTTGGTTGAGGATTTCGATTGGGTCATATTAACTTTGAGGGTAATTTTTCGTCGCCTTTTTAACTGTCTAGGTGGATACCACTTCCGAAGGCAAGGTTTCACTTCCTGAAACCAAAGAATCTGCCATTAATGATGGTGGTATGTAGTGATCTCTTTCTGGCCTCTCTGTGGAGTTGCATTCTCGGGTATTGTCTTGATATGGACAGTTCACCTTCATAACATGTTGTCTCTTTCAGAAAAGGCCTCTTTCACGTTGGGCAGTAAATTTGTAACTCCTCATAAGGAAGCAGCAGAAGTGACTCCTAATCTTTGCACACCAGACACCTTTAAATCGCCTATGAACTTTTCCACTCTAACTGTAGAGCAATTGGGAATCACACCTGAAAGCTTTGTAAAAAACTCTTCAGGTAAGAGAAGCTGTCATTCTACTCCAGTGCTTTTAAAGTTTTAAACATAACTTTAAGAGTTTTGTATGTCTGTCTAAGTTGATTGCCTCTGCAGCCTTCTTCATTAAGGAGACATGGCTGCATGGAACCACTGGGGTAACATTGCTAAGTGAGAGCTGTGGTTCTCGCCCATACTGGAGAAGGATGTGTGTGTGAATTTTTAATAGTTTTTGACATGATGCATGGGATATAGTGATTACTTAAGTGATGCCCTTATGTTCAGTGATGTCTGGCCTAAATTAGAGATTGCTGAAGGGCAATTAAGAAATATATAGAGGGCCTCCCCAGTGGCGCAGCGGTTGAGCGCTGGGTTGCGAAGCTGCCTGCAGCCTCTGCAGCACCGGTTCGATCCTTGGCTGCTCCCCAGTCACCAGAGGAGGGTTCCACATGGCGCGCAGACCTCTCCTGCCTCCCGCTGTTCCCCTCAGCAGTGTACTTCAGTCCTTCTGCCTGCTCTGCTCCCTGCTCTGGCTCTGGTGAATTCTCTCACCCTCCCGTGCTTCTGACTGTACCCAGTGCTTTTATAAATAAATCTTTTTTTTAAAAAAAAAAAGAAAGAAATATATAGAACATTGAAAGATTGGGGTATGCCTCCTTCGAAATCACAAATAGAAAATGGACTTGGGCTAATCTCCTTTAAGGAACCGAAATAAAATCCATTTGTGAAATCTGATTTAGAGAAGAAAGGAAAATGAGAATGGAATTAGAGAAAAACATTCTAAAAGTGAGGATAAATGAGGGATTTGAAAATCAAAGTCTCCACCTAGGTAACACATGAGTGAGGCAAGACCAGAGTGACACACCATTCTCTATTCTCATCGAGAACATCACAGGTAGACCTTTAAAAAGGTGGATTTATTTTTTATGTTTAGGTGTATGGTCAGAATTCAGGGTGGTGTGCTGAAGGTAGGTAGGTATCTACGAGAAACAAAAGATCTGGAGGAATGAAGAGCGTGAGCTTACCTGTGCCCAGGTAGAGAGCTTTTCTCTTAGTCCAAGGCCAGCCGTGACCACCTCTGGGCAGAGAATGGGAACCTTAAAATGTGCTCTTGTGTTTATCCCAACATGTGCTTTTGTGTTTATCCCAACATTTGCTCTTGTTTTTTTTTTTTTTCCCCAATAAATACCTTCCATGTGCCAGGTGCTGTTGATAAATAAATCAGCAGGGCAAATACCCCTGCCCAGCTGATCCTGTAGGAGCCACTTTGCCCATAATTCTCTAGATTTCTGTACCACCTGCTTATCATGTTCCCTCTCGGAGCGGTATATCACTGCAGTTCAGGCCCTGGTTTTTTCTTGTATTGATCCAATTTAAAAGAGAGTCTTCAGTCTCATGTGGTACATAGAGAAAACATGCAAACAGAAGAACTAAATAAAACAGAAATAAACTTTTAGACTGTATGAGCAAATAGCCACTGTCGGGGCCCACAAGGATTGGTAAAATTGGATATTAGCGATCCATTGTATAATGGAGGATGGAATTGGACTTTTACTGATGAATTTGATGACGTACATACATGTTGATAATTTTAGTGATGCACACCTGAAACATAAAATGTTATGATGCAAAGTTACTAAAAAGAGAATTTTCGTTATAGGAAAGTCATCATCCTACCTTAAAAAATCCAGACGTCGCTCTACAGTTGGTGCTCGGGGTTCTCCTGAAACAAATCATCTTATTCGTTTCATTGCTCAGCAGCGGAATTTGAAAAATGCAGGGAAGTCTCCTTTAGTGCACAATTCCCCTTTTCAGGTATGATTTTTCTTCTGGATTTTGTTTTAGATTCTTCTGGGGAAAATGTTTTAGCTTAGATCTGGAGAGAGATTTTTCTTTCTATGGTATAGAGAATGTGCAGTTAGCATAATGTGATGTTGAACATGGATTTTAAAAAAGTTATGATGGGCCTCCCCGGTGGCGCAGCGGTTGAGCGCTGGGTTGCGAAGCTGCCCGCGGCCTCAGCGGCGCCGGTTCGATCCCCGGGTGCTCCCCGGCCACCAGAGGAGGGTCCCACATGGCGCGCAGACCTCTCCTGCCGCCCGCTGCTCCCCTCAGCAGTGTACTTTGGTCCTTCTGCCTGCTCTGCTCCCGGCTCTGGCTCTGGTGAATTCTCTCACCCTCCCGCGCTTCTGACTGTACCCAGTGCATGTATAAACAAAACAAACAAACAAACAAATAAACATGCCTCTATTAAAAAAAAAAAAAAGTTATGAGATACTAAATGGCTTTCCAGAGGAGTTTTCTATTTTGCAAACTTTTTTCTAGTTAACGTCTACTTTCCTGTGATGAGGGAAGGCAGTGTTTCTGGACCTTTTCCTTTTAATCTGTTTTCTCTAAGTCGCTAGTTTTTTCATGACATCATGTGTTGGCATGGAGGGGTAAGAGTCCCCCGGAACAAAATAATATGTGGGACAACCTGATGGCAGGGAGAAAATTATTTGTCTGATGATGGGGAAGACATCAGATATTTTTTTGAGATTTTTGCAAGTATACAGCTTCTAAAAAAAGTTGAAAGTATTTAGTAGGATTTACATAATGTTTCTGTAAAGGCTTACTATGAAAGGCATAGTGCCAGCTTACCCTTCTTGAAGAATGACAACTTTTACTCTTTTGATATTGGACTTCCTATTTTAAAATACCCTTAGATTGCAACTGCTTTACCACTGTACATGAGGCTGTAGAGGATAGTACAGTGGTTCTCAAAGTTTGTCTACAGATCCCAGCAATCCTGAGTCCTTGAATCCTCTGCATATCCGATGAATTTTACTCTACCACCACATTGGAATTGCTGTTCTAATCTAGTGTAGAAATCTATTTTGGAAATATTTTCCATCAATTTTGGAAATGTGACTGTACAGAGGTCAAGCAAGATTCCACTCATTCATTCATTCAACAAGTATTTTGGTTCCCCATCCTTTATGTGGCCTGCTTTTTCGATTCTGGAAGCTCTGTTTCTGGTATTATAAAATTTCATGAATGGGTGTCTTTCATTTGGATTGTTGAGGACATGACAGTTCTATTGGAAGTTTTCTTCCTCATTTTATGGCATCTCTTTTCCTACAGATTCCATTTTGTGGCCTGGCTTTTCAGACTCTGTCTCATGCTTAGCTCTTTCTCCAGATGGCTGTGATCCTTCATTATTCATATTTAAAAGTAGAATACTTTAAAAATCTTACTCGGAGCTCAGTGTGCAGGTTCTGGGTTTGTGCTTTCTCTCATCACAGAAAAGTGGATATTAACTAGAAAAAAGTTTGCAAAATAGAAAACTCCTCTGGAAAGCCATTCAGTATCTCATAACTCTTTCAACGTCCATGTTCAACATTGATTTCCAGGTGGGACAGCATTTCCACATGGGACAATAAGTTCACTTTTTCATTGGAATATAGTGAAAGTTTCATTGTTTGTTGGGAAAACTTGGAAAAATTCCAGTTATGGTGCACAGCCTTCTGCCTTCAGCTCTTCCTAGAGTTCAAAAGTCCTGAATATCTGTGTCCCCTCGGAAAAGCAAAGGCTCCTCTCCCCCCTGTTTTGGACGTTACAGCACATAAAACTCTCTGTAATCAAAAGTTGTGAGGAAAGAGAGACAAGCACAGATTATGTGATGATAACAGCTTGATTATTGTTATAATTAATTTCATATAGTTAACATGGGAATATTTACAGTTTAACTGATAATTATTTGGTTATCTGATTTGTTAAAGTCTGCAGAGGGTATTAAAATTACTATATTTCACGGTTTAGGGTTATTTGATATTCAGTATATGGGGGTCTTTTTTGTTGTTGGCAGGCAAGACATACTGCTCATTGTAAAAAATGAATTATGTGCATGAAAAAATACTTGTCTTAGTCAAACCATAAAAAAACAGCCTTACAGTTTGACATATTCTGTACTGTCTCAGCCAATATATTTATAAATACAGAGATTTTAAAAAGGGTATAGTTTATGTAAAGTTCAGTGATAAACCTTTCTTGTTTGTGGAGGGATCTGTGGGTTCCAGGGCTGCTGCTAGTTTCAAAGTTGTTTCTGTTGTGAGTCCTACCTATTGCTTTTGTTTAGATACCAGAGCCTCATGGGGGGTCTGCAGCAGGTCTGCTTGTTTCCTGTTGTCAAACCACACTAAAGAGCTTCTCTTCATTTCAGCTTCAGCTCTCAGGCCTAAGTCATTTTTTGTTGACATTCCATATTTGCTTTAATTTTTTTCCTCTCATTTTTTTAAAGATATATGTATCTGCATGTTATTACCACAGCCAAATATATCATGACTGTACTTAAAGAATTACTTGAATATATATTTCTAGAATCCAGGATTGTTAAAAAATAAGGACTTTTGAGTTTTTGTGAACAAGTCACTAATTGGCCTTTCACCGCTGAGATTTGCCTCTGTTGTAAATGCCCTTGAGGTTTTTGTTTTAGTGATTATTACAACTTAATATTTCAGTTCTCATTCCTTCTCTTTCCTTGATCAACAAGTCCACTGAATGCATGAATAAAGCAATTTAAGATAGTTACATGTTCTAATCTACTGACATGTTCTCAGATCAACTAGTGGAACATTTTGGGTTTTTGGTAAAGTATAAGGGCCTATACGCTTAAATAATTCTGCAGATTTTCTCCATCTCAGGGGAAAAAAAACACTTTAGAGGGGAAAATTCCAGCATTGTCTTGTTTTCTTTATTGAGTGTATCAGCATATACAAGGGCCAGTCCAGCATCCGGGTCATTGCAGGTCCCGACTTCTATCACGCCAGTGACCTAGTTCTCTCCCCTGCCACAGCCACCCTCTTAGGCGGCACTTGATGGTGTGTCATTGTTGAGATCTTTCTCTGCGGTCTCTCCCCACTGCGTTTCATCTGTTTAAGTTGCCTTAATAGTTCTCTCATCGAAGCCTCCTAAACTATTGCTCTTACCTCCTTTCATGGTTTTCCCCCACATTATCTTACCATTTCCCTACTAGAGTCCATATTCCAACGGTGTGAAATTTTCTCACCAGTACTTTTCTGAAGTTTTAAGAATTTTATATAAATATAGGTATCATGTAGGCAGGTATTTAAACAATCAACTGGCCCTATAGGGTTTTTCTTTCTTTTAAAAATAAAAACAGCATCATATAACTTCCTTTTCCTCACATTTGTCCTTTTTCAGAGCTTCCATTTTCTTCTTTTTTAGCTGGTGCTTTTGGTATCTCTCTCTTAATACCATGCTGCTTCTGCTATTTCGTAATCTTTCAACGTTAAGCATTAACTGTAGATTTTCACCATGGACAGTGAAGAATTACTCCTCTTCTTCATACCTGTGGGTTTTTTTTTCCCCTGCATAGAAGAACTGGGGTGTAGGTCAGAGTTGGGGGTGGTAAGAGGAGTCACCTGAGACTGAGTGGGGAGCAGAACAGGCAGATTTACTGAAATACTCTGCTAAGGGGAGCAGTGGGCAAAACAGGAGAGGTCTGCTGCTCCATGTGGGTTAACTCCCTGACTAGAGGTAGAACTGAAGTTGTAGAGATGATGGCGCTGAGACTTAACCTCTAGGCCACTAGGGAGGCCCCTTTTGTTATACACATACATACGTATTGCTTCCCTTCCTCTGTACCTTCCCTGTAGCTTGGTCACGCCAGCATTAGATGTTTACAGTATTGTGGCCATGTATGTTATTCTGAGCTGATTTTTCTCCTGCAGTTAAGGATAACTTCAGTGTCTCTTAACTGTTCCTAGACCCTTGTGGTGTCCCATTTCTGTGCCTCTCCATTACAGTAAAGGTCTGTGCACAGGACTTGTTCTTCCTTCCCTCCCTCTACTGCTGGCCACTCCACTAGGGCTTTTGTTTCTGCCATTCACTAAAAGGACCTGTCATCATTGGCCAGATAGTCTGTGCTTTGTCAAGACAAAGATTAAATCTAGGTATTCTTTTTTAGTAAGAAGAGGTAACTTTAGTAACTCTTGGTAGGTTTTACCACACTCTCTTGAAAACACTGTTCACTTGGTTTCTGGGATACCACACTGACCTGTGTCACTGGTCATTTCTACTGTTTCATTTGCTGGTTCCAACTATTTTTTCAATTTTTTCCTTAAAAATGCTTGAGGTAATGCTTCCTTTGCCTTTTTTGCTTTCCTTAAGCAGTCTAACCCATTCTCATGGCTTTGAACATCATCTATAGATTGATGGCCCAAAATTATGTGTAACTGGCCCAAAGCTCCCTAGAACTCAAGACCTGGAGATAATAGTTGCCTAGTCATCATTTCCACTTGGGTGTTCTAATAAGCATTAGACGACCACAACCAAGCTACAGTTTCTACTCCCCACCAGTTCCTCTAGTCCACTTCCCCAGTTAATACATGCCACAATCTTCCAGTTACGCAAGCTACTCTAACCTGTCTGCTTTGTTCATTCTTCCCCATCTCCCACATCTAACTTGCCATCTTTTGGGCTCCATTTCCAACATCTACCTGCAATTCCTATGTCCCTGAAGCTCCACTTCTTCAGCTCTACTGTGATTCCTGCCTGGGTCACCAACTGCTTTCTTCTAACTACTTTCTTTACTTCCCACCTTCCTTAATACAGCCATCATTTCACTGAGCAGTCAAGGACACAGTTAAAATAGAAATCAAGGCATTCATTCATTCTGCTGCTTAAAAACCTTCTCATGGGACCTCCATGGTGGTGCAAGGGTGTAAGCACCACACTATAAAGCAATCCACAGCCTCTGCAGCACGAGTTCGATCCCCGGCGGCCAGGGAGCAACCCACATGGCACAGCAGACCTCTCCTGTCTCACCCGCTGCTCCCCTCAGCAGCGTTTTTCAGTCAATCTGCCTGTTCTGTTCCCCACTCTGTCTCTGGGGGATCCTCTCACCGCCCTCCCAATCTCTGGCCTGTACCCCAGTTCTTGTATGCATAAATAAATCTTTAAACAAAAAAACAAACTTTCTCACTGCTTCCTGTGAAGAGTAGAATTAAATCGAAGTCCCTTCTTAAAGTCTTTATTGCCCCCTCTGTTCTGAGCCCTGCCTGACCCGCTCATCTCCCCCACTCCTGCCATTCCTTGGGCAACCTGACCTTCCTGCCACAGCCTGTTTCTGCTGGAGGCCTTTGTTCTTGTTCTTCAGAATGCCCTCCCACCCAAAATATCTTCTCTTAACCACTAATTTCTCATTATATTGTTTTCAGTTGTGACTTAGGTAGAGAGCAAGCTAAAGCAGCACTTTTAGTTAATCACATTATTTCTGTTTTCTCAATAGCAGCTGTGCCTGAAACTATATTAATATGTTTTCAGAATTTCACTCAAGAAGGTAATTTCTCACCTGTATGCTGAGCTCCTGAAACCGTTTCTGGTACATGGAAGGAGAGCTATTGCGTGACCAACACAATTGATGTGACAAAAATACCAAAAAGAAGTACATTTTGAATGTTTCATTTGCTTTTTACATATGAACCTTGTTCTCATTCTCTATCAGGAAATAGATAAGAAACAGTTTTGCTAAGGGAAATTTTAATTTGTTTTAAGTAGTTTTCAAAGTGCCTCAAATTATGAATGTCCTGTGCTGTTTATGTCATAAAGGTTTACATCATCAACTACATTTGAATTTCATATGTTCTCTTATTATGTAATAGCATTTGTTTTATGAATGTATTTAACTGGGAAAAGAATCAAGCATGTGAGAGATTCACCATCAAACATGACTTCAAGATCTTAACTGATTTTCTTCCATCCCTTAGAGGGAGGTAATTTTTCACTTTAATGTTTACCTGCTGATATAATTTTTTCAAATTGTCACTGTCTCCAAATAGTGGCACTATGTTTGTCTGAATGTTCAAGGAAAAAAAATAAAATAAAAAAACCTGGATAAAGAACTTAATTGCTAATTCATTTCCGTGGTAAACTGAATTCTTAAATTGTCTATTGCTTGGATTTATCCGACATTTCTATCCCAGTTAGTGTGAATTTCTTGACTCTGGCTAAAATCCTGTTAGCATAATTTCTAGAGCGCTCCTATGCTTATTAGACCAACAGTTTGGCTCTGTATTTTCAATGAATGGCTTTCAGTTCTAAAGAGGTGAGGTTTCATGAAATCAGGACCACTTAGCTGGGGAAAGCCAAAGGAGAGAGGGTAGATGAGAGGGTGGGTATCTAGCAGAAAGGATGTGTGGATGGCAATGAGTAGTTAGAATAGCTTGGATTCAACTCCATAACCTGGGACCTATGCTTGACAAAGGCATCATGCAGATGATTTTCAATAGTTACTTTTAGCAGACCTTTTGGTAAAAATTTCCAAATAGGCATGTTCTTCCTTTCCTTCTTCCTTGTCCCAGTTCCGGGATTCAGTTTTTTCTGGTGTTCTCCACGTCTCTTGGACTCACCTCTCTCAAGCATTTGTGTGGGAAACATCTTTCCTGCAAATTTTTTTTTTTTTTTTTTTTTTTTTTATAGAGGCATGCTTTATTTATTTGTTTGCTGGTTTGTTTGTTTGTTTTGTTTATACATGCACTGGGTACAGTCAGAAGCGCGGGAGGGTGAGAGAATTCACCAGAGCCAGAGCGGGGAGCAGAGCAGGCAGAAGGACCAAAGTACACTGCTGAGGGGAGCAGCGGGCGGCAGGAGAGGTCTGCACGCCATGTGGGACCCTCCTCCGGTGGCCGGGGAGCAGCCGGGGATCGAACCGGCGCCACAGAGGCCGTGGGCAGCTTCTTAACCCAGCGCTCAACCGCTGCGCCACCGGGGAGGCCCTTTCCTGCAAATTTGATCTAATAAGGCTGTCTAAGGTTTTGTGTTCTAAGATATGAACGAGAGCCAAAAATAATCCTTTTTAAGAGTTGGTTGGTCCCCAGATAACTGGGGATGTGTTTTGTCTGGTGCCTTTTGGAAGAGTTTCCCATTGCCTCCAGACTTGTCTGGCTCATGGATCTGTTTGCATCAGCGTTGACCATCCTGGAGCTCCGCAGCCATGTGTGGCGTGAGGCTCTTCCTCTTTGCTCAGGTTTTGCTAAAAATGGGAGGCGCAGTAGGGAAACTGCAGTGATGTCAGTGCACATCCCAGCTAGCTGTGTGAGGCTCCAGGACGGGGGTGGGGTGCTGCGCTCCACTCCCCAGTTCTCTTTGATCTTTGAAAAGCCTCTGTGCATTTAGTTTTAGATTCAGTGTTTATAGGCCTCAACTATAGAAACTTTAATTTGACTTATAATACCCTCTTCATATCTGTATTTCCACAGAGCAGCCCTGGTCTGTATCGAAATGTTAATTCTTTAAGGGAACGATTATCCTCCTTCCAGTCAGCTTTTTGCTCCATAAAGGAAAATGAGAAAATGACTGACGACCCTGAATTCTCAGAGGCAGGAGGAGAGTTTGAGACAGCAGACATGCGTAAGTAGAAAGAATTCAGTCACTTTGAACTTACTTGTTTACATGGGCCTCTGCTATATATAAAAAAAATTAATTTCATAGTGTGAAAGTAGCCCTTCATAGCACAATTCTATTTCTAAATGAAGCCTGACGTTAAACTTTGGGACATTTCATACAAAAATATGGATTTCTAGGGGGCCTTCCTGGTGGCACAAGGGGTTAAGACGCAACCTATGAAGCAATCAGCATCCACTGCAGCGCAAGTTCAATCCCCGGCCAGGTAGCTGACCCACATGGCGCAGCAGACCTCTCCTGTCTCGCCCACTGCTCCCCTCAGCAGTGTATTTCAGACAGTCTGCCTGTTCTGTTCCCCACTCTGTCTCTGGTGAATCCTCTCACTCCCCACACCTCTGACCTGTACCACCCACTTCTTGTATGTAGAAATAAATAAATCTTAAAAAAAAAAAAAAAAAGAACTGTGACTATAAAAGGATTCAGTTTAAAAAAAAAAAATCTGGATTTCTGGTTTTTCTTGGGGGAAAAGCCCTAATATCAAGCATTCCTAAATGTATATTTCCACGTTAAGTTTTAAGTGTTAAAAATGTTGGGACTGATTAGATCATTTTAACTTATGAGCTAATTTTGAATGTGAAAACCTTGATATTTAAAGGATTATTAAGTTTGGCAAGCACTGGTACGAATATCAAGTACCCAATGACTTTATAAATTGATGTGTCTAATCTGGGCATATTCTTGACCATAACTTATAGGTTGTAATTCATTGGGTTATTTATTTTTTAAAAAAGATCGATTTATTTATACAAACACTGGGTTACAGGCCAGTGGTGCGGGAGGGTGAGAGAATTCACCAGAGACAGAGTAGGGAGCAAAACAGCAGAAGGACCGAAGTACACTGCTGAGGGGAGTAGTAGGCTAGAGAGGAGAGGTCAGCCTCGCCATGTGGGAATCTCCCTGGCCATCTGGGAATCGAACCGGTGCTGCAGAGGCTGTGGACAGCTTCACCGTGCTGCCCTCAACCCACTGAGCCACTGAGGAGGCCCTCATTGGGTTATTTTATCTGCCACTTTTGATTTTCTAAGTACAAAGCATTTCAAACACCAGAATTAGACAAAATCTTGTCCTTACTGTAACTGTCACAACCTCTGCACCCCAGTGTTCCAAATGATTCTGCTTTGGTTTCTTGAACCATCTTCAAATACATTTCAGGACCTGCCTGCATGCAGTGTGCTACGGAGACTTAAGTCCAGTTCTTCTACTTCTTCTGTGCGTGATCCACTACCAGTACTCTTTGTATATGTAGTTTGTAATTTATGTTTTCCTGAATTTTTAAGTATTTTATTTACATAACCACTAGAGGTCTGCTGATGATTAAATTACCTTTTTGTAGGAACATGATTTGTTACCTTTAGGAAGAACTGAGGCATGTTGTGGCTTTTTCATAAAATCACACATAATATAAGCAAAGCCAGCATTAGAATAGAATTACTACCATTAAAATGTTCAAAAGATTTCATTGTAAATGTGAAGACAGAATAAGGTAACATCTCAAAAATTCCAGTGTATTTTTTAGCATGACTTAGTATAAAGTCTGAAAAACATTATTTCTAGCAGTTAAATTTATTATTTTTTAGTAGTCATGTTTTCTTGCCTTTCAGTTATACTAGCTTTTTTGGATAAAAGAATGTATTAGATGTTTCTCTTAATTAATAAACTCAGACATTAAATTTTGCTATTATTATGATATATGAAGTTTTAAAGTGATGTTGTATAAGAAAATATTTATGCCTGTGTTTTTTGGTTATATGTTACTTTCTATAAAAAGCCAAAAAACAAAGTGTCGGTGAGTGTCAACAGTCTGAGTTCCCTGCGAAGTTATCATCCAAACGTCGGAGAATATCCTCACAGAGCAACTCTGAAGAGAGTCTAACTGATGCACTTAACCTCCAGATCTTCAGTGTTGTCACTTCTGCCAATACAGACAGAATATGTGCTGCTGAAACATCTCTTGCCAAAGTTTCCGAGGTAATTCACTTGCTGGAAACAGAAAAATGAAGCTTTGGCTTTCTGACCAGGCAGTTTTAAGAATGTTGAAAGAATGCTGAAACCCTTTTTCAGTGATAGTAACTAGTTCTGCTATATTGCTATATCACAGGTTTTGAATTACACACATGCTTGTGTGTGTGTGTGTGTGTGTGTGTTGTGTGTGTGTGTGTCCTAGTAGTTAATGTTTGTTGTTAGTTGGTTTGTTATTAGAGACCATTTTGATAAATGTGTTGCTTTTGATTATGAAGAACACTTTCTGAGAGGAGATTAAGTCCTGTGGTCTCTGCCTATAGGCTGCTGTTCTGGATGCTCATGGTACAAGAGTGAGAATCACATCCTGCCATTGAGCTGAGGGAGGCAGACAGATGAGCGTATTGTTTACACATAGCTGGTAAATTAGGTGAAGATTACGTATGGACGGTGCTCTTTAGGCTGAGGATCTTGCACTTCGGTATTGCTGCCCTTAGCTGCTATAATCCTGGCTAAGAAGAAGGGTGCAGTATAGCAATTAGTTTATTTGTTCACTTGTTTCAAGTAACTGTAGGGGTTTTTGTTGCTTGTAACTACCTATAGCCTGTCAAGATGACCAAAGACACTAACATGAATTAAATAATATTTCTGAAGATTCTTGACCTTCACTCTAATGTCAGTGGGGAGCTGGTTCTCTCATGGCTGACTCTCTCTTATACTGTTAGTCCAGCAAGTTCCCGTTTCTTCAGTGAGAGGAAACACCTAATGCCATTAGCATTGAATCTTTTGCACCTTCTCTGTCACACAGGTGCAGCACCTTCCTTTTGATCTTATTTAGACTGACATAATAAAAATGATAGTCATTGAAGAATCTTCAGGATCTAGTAGGTTTCATCTCTATTTCAGAGTTATATTATAATGTCTTCTGCTGGATTCTAGCTAATATGTAAAATAATCACCCGACAGTACCAATAATAATTGTTCCTTAGAATTTTGATTGGGGCCTCCCCTGAGGGCGCAGGCAGTTGAGCGCAGCGCTGTGAAGCTGTCTGCAGCCTCTGCAGCGCGGTTTTGACCCGCTGCTCCCCCCAGCAGTGTATTTCAGTCAGTCTGCCTGTTCTGTTCCCAACTCTGTCTCTGGTGAATCCTCTCACTCTCCCGCACATCTGGCCTGTACCCTGGTTCTTGTATATATGAATAAATAAATCTTAAAAAATAATAATAAAAATAATTTTGGTTGTTTGGACATCAATCACGATGCAGAAATGATTTCCACATGAATGTGAGTGTGGTTTCTATGCTGGTCACTAACAGTTTTCCTATCATAACTGTTGATACCTTGTGTTGTTTGAATGATGATTGTAAAGCATTTCCTCTTTAAAGAAAGCACTTAACATAATTTTCGAGACTTCAGTTGGTAGGGTAAAAAAATATGTCCTATCATCTTTTCCTTCGGAACTGAAAATTGCTTGGTGGAATGTTCAGGAGGCAGTTAGAATGAATACAGTAGTTCCCTTATCCTTGGGACATCTCCTAGGAACTCCAGTGGCTGCATGAAATTGCTAATAGTACTGGACCCTATATGTTCTGTTTTTTCTTGTATGTACATATTGGTGATAAAGTTTAACTTATAAACTAGGAACAGTAAAAGATTAACAGCCATGCATAATAATAAAACAGCACTTATAACAATATACTGTAATAAAAGTTAAGAGATTATGGTATCTCTCAAAATACCTTATTTTGTGTAATATTTTTCAGCCTCAGTTGACTGCAAGTAACTGACATTTCAGAAAGCAAAACCACAGGGCTGCTATAAGTAATAAATTGAATTTTTCAGAAAGCAAAACCACAGGGCTGCTATAAGTAATAAATTGAATTTTTTTCCCCCCCAAGAAATCTTCTGAGTCTTGTTTAACACAATCTGGATATTTGGTTGAAGAGTCTGTTCCAATTTTAAATCTCACAGAGGCTTCAAGTGGTAAGTATTTAATTTTTCCTTCGTATATGTGCCAATTAACCCCTTGAAATATTTGTTGAGTGTATACCTTTATGTGGTGAACCTATATGCTAACATTTTAGAAAATGAAGATCATTACATTTTAGGAACTCATTGGCTAGCAGAAATATTTCAGAATTCTCATTATGTGAGAGATAATATTTTCTTTTTTGACTGCTCTGAGTAAGAATTAGTAAAATATTTCCAAACCGATAGACTCTATGTATTGTTTATAGTGAACAATAGACTGGACATATTAACAAGGAAGTTTCTTAGAGAAAATGGTACATGTATTTGGGGTTTTTAAGCATGTGAAAAGGAAATAGCATTCAAGACCTAAATTTGCATTGCTTTTCCCAAAGTCATTCTGCTTGTACTGAACAAAAGTCACCAGGAAGGTATCAGATTTGCTTTCACTCTACCTGTGTCTTTATCTTTAAAGTGAAACTTTATAGACGAGTACTTGAGTTTTGCTTTTTATCTGTTCTGAGAATCTCTTCCTTTCAGTTGGAATATTTAACTCATTAATATTTATAAAGTCATGGTTGATACAGTTTGATGTAAATCTGGTTTGTAATATAATTTCTGTTTGTTCTTTGTGTGTTTTTTTTCTCTGTTTGCTCTTTTTTGGTTTTATTTGAAAATATCTTAGATATTCATTTACCCGTTACTTTTTAAACTATACCTCACTGCATCTTGTTTTTTCCTAATGATTGGTTACTTAAGGGATTGCAATATACACCCTGAATTTTTTACAGCCTACTTAATGTTAATTTTTTGCATCTTTCATGTGAAAATTAGAAACTTGACAGACTAAATCTAGCTCCTATCTGCCCCCCATGTCTTCCTGGTCCATCACACCATAACTAGCTAGCATCTATATCACAAGATGCTATCTTCTTGCGTTAAGTGATCATGCATATTTGGGAGCAGACAAATTGATCTTTATTTCAAATGTTCTTCATTTCTTGTTGAAGAACTGAATTATCCTCTGATATCATTTCCTTTCAATCTGAAAAAGAGCGTCTTTCAACAATTGTCGTGTCCATCTGCTTGGACTTGTTAACTGTGATCATACAATGGAGCAGACGATGGGTGGGTGGATAAAGCACGGAGTTGGGTTATGAGTTTGTTTTCTAGATAAAATAAGATGCTTCACCATATCTCTTTGCTCTGTTTCATGGTACTTTGTAGTAGAAGTGACATATTCTTTGGTCATAGTTATAGAATGTATGAAGCATAGTCAATAAACACTGCCATCATGCCAGACACTTTCCTATCTGAGTGGGAACATCACAAGAGCCAATATAACCATGTTCAAACTTCACTGGCCTTAATATTGCGTGAGACAGAGAAAGACAAGTCTTGATTAAAGGAATCTAGTGCTGAATTCAATGTTTTAAACTGGTTATTTGGCGGCACCCAGAGTTGGCTTTGTTGCCAAATGTAAGCACATTACACGATGGTGCAGAAGTCAGAAATCATGACCTGACAGGAGACTGGAGGCAAGGCTTTCAAATCAGTCTCCCTGAGGATGTGACTTAGGGTAGAAAATACAAGTTGGTAAAGTCTGATTTTTATTTGGATTGAGACTCAGCACCCTTTACTTCTGAATTTGATAGATCTAAGCATGAGTGGGCATATTTGTTCTGTCTTCCATGGCTATTTTCTGGCCAGCCAGTGAGATCTCATCCCAAGGACAGTGAACACTTTTCTGGGGCTGCACTAGGAAGCACAGCTTGTCACCTTAGGAAAGATTGGTGTCGTTTCCCCCCCCCCTTTAAAATGATAGGGGTATTTTTGTCCCATTGTTGCAAGCCCACCTTGTTCTTGGAGGATAAACAGAAGCAAGAAAAGACCACCATGACCTTAATGGTTTCAGGGTGACCAGTGCCATTACTCGGTCTTCTTTATATATTTCTAAATGAACTGCCAGAGGTTACTCCCTGGGCCAACTGTATTTGGATTGAATTTCTTAATAGCATAATAGTCCCTTTGTAAATACATAATCAGTTTGGTCTAGTACAGACAGACTCAGATGCTGTCCCCCTCTTAGAGTCACATGTTTATTTTGAAGGAATCAAGGTTGCTAACTGCGCAGAGGACAAAGGATCAAGTGGCACTGTTTCATTTGGCAAATTCAGGGAAGTGAGCACAGACACAGGCCTGGGAGTCAAGTCCCCAGTTGCTCCATTGTGCAAGAGGGACATTCCATCCTCAGAAACCTTCATACTTCGCTCTGTGCTGAAGAAACCTTCATTGAAACAGTTTCAAGAAAGTCTACAGGTAAGGATAGAGCTGCATTTCCTAAAGCAAATTGTATAAGAGTTCATTTTGCTTTAAAACCAGTAACTCTAAAATGTTACATGTCATACTGGTTTCAAAGGAAATGTCTTGCCCTAATTTTTCCGTCGTCTTTTTTATAAACAACATGAAATATAGTATGTAGAATCTATAGGTAAACTATATTTCAGAAATGTTTCATAGCTATGTGTAAGTTTATTAGTAATTTCTATCCAAAATATTTCATCTAAAAATCAAATATATGGTCTTTTATAGGAATGCAGTCACTAAACCAGGCTAGATGAGAAGTACGTTGATGGGAACGAATTAGTATTTTTTTACTTTTTTGAGTCATTTCTATTGACTATTCTGGCATATATTGTATGTATACAGCAGCAGAACTTCAGACAAGGTTTAAGTTACATTTTTTTTTTTAAAGATTTATTTATTTATTTATACAAGCACTGGGTACAGTCAGAAGTGCGGGAGGGTGAGAGAATTCACCAGAGCCAGAGCGGGGACTAGAACAGGCAGAGTGATGAAATACACTGCTGAGGGGAGCAGCAGGCGCAGCAGGAGAGGTCTGTGCGCCATGTGGGACCCTTGCCGGCGGCCGGGGATCGAACCGGTGCTCCAGAGGCTGCAGGCAGCTTCTCAGCCCAACACTCAACCGCTGCGCCACCGGGGAGGCCCCTGGTTTCCTTATCTATTAAAGGACAATGTCAATAACTACTTAACAGGCTAATTAGAGATATATGAAATTAACATCAGTGTCTGACAAATGAGAAGTACATTTTTTTTAACCCATAGGCATTGTAACTATGCCTAAAATTGTATGTTTCTAAAGCCAAAATGAACTAGACTACCTGCAGTCTACATTGGAGATATGGGCAGATATTTTCAATGTTTAAACTGTTGATTTGGGTCTCTTGTCACTGCTGGTTCATATCGTTATTTGCTTCTTCTTGAAGAGACTTACTATCTTAATGGTCCACATAACTTTTGTTAACAATTCTTCATAACCAACATCACATCCTGCCACTAAAATCATGAGGACTTTTATAACTGATGATTTTTTTTTTTTAGTGAGCTGCCCAGAGTTTGTAGGTATACACAATTTGAGTGTTTGTGAATGGCTTCAATTAAATATAAAAGTTAGCATGAATTTTGTTTCATGAGTTTGCTTACTTTACAAATTCTGATCCATGCATTTTCCTGGTCATGTCTCACTAACTTGGGAGATAGTTCATTAAGGGGGTTTGTTGGGGCTGGACTGTTACTTTGAGGAGTTTCTGCTCTGGGTTGGGTGCTCTGGGGAAAGTGAGTAGCTCTGGAGGACAGGGCTGCTTAGGGGTTAGAGAAGACTGGACAAGCAATGACCACTTAGTGGTGACTCATCCAGCCTGCAGCCCTGGCTTTTTCTTGCTTTGTGCCAGTGGCCCTGTGTTTCCACTTGCCCCATCTTTTTCTTTGGGGTTAGCACTCGCCCTTCCTTACCGTCTTGCCTACTAATCATGCCTACAAATCTGCTATAATCTTGTAGGAACACAGAAGAACAAATATTACCTCTGTCCTTGTTCCTTTCTTAAGAGTATGGTATTGTGTGCTTCTCATGTTTAAAAGATCAAGTAAACTACGATTATACCATTTACTATTTAATGTTTTTCTTTTCTTAAAATTCTTCCACCTCAGACTGTAGTCTGTCTCATCTGACACCATGTACTGTAAGTACCTAGAATTCTAGTTAGTCACTCATATTTTCATTAACTTTATTTTCTAGCTAAAAAATGAGAGAATGAATTTAGTGCACATATGGGTTTCTATTTCATAATTTTGGCCTAAAATATAGTTTACTGTCATGGTGGTTTAAGCCAGAACAGTTATGGAAGTAAAGGTAACTGCAATGCTATATGGTTCATCTTTTCTAGAAAAATTCCAAGTTTCCATTCTTAGTGACTATATATATGTTTGTGTATATTTAACAGCCCTCATTGGTGTATACCTTTTTAGGAACACTGTGGCAATCTCTGTGAAGGTGGGACTCATCCCAACTTAATCTCAAACCTTGTAAACTGTTGCAAAGAACAAAAGGCAGGTAAGAAATTCCTACTCACTTTGAAGCCCAACAAGGATATCATTTTCTTGTTATTGAAAAATCCTATGTAGTAAATGGTATTTTCAGTAATCTTTAATGACTTGATACCTCTGAAATTATAGGGAAGTGAAGAACAGTTGGGAGGGACAGAATATCTGAAGTTTCAGAATTACTCTATCCATTTCATTCATCCCTTTTTGCTTAATGGCAGACCTGGTAACGGAAATTAATAATGCAGTTCTCAAAACTTTTAAGATACTAATGCACACAGTTAAGTTTCAAATCTCTTACCACTTTTAGTTAAATGGTGCTTACTATTTTGTTTTGTTTTTTTTTTCCTCTGCACACTGTGTTTTATAGTCTACAATAGCCAAATCAATGCTTTAAGATTCTAGGATATGCTTTTCAGGAATAAGTACAACTTAATTTTTAAATATATTCCTATTTATTATCTGTAGACAGTCAAGAAAGTTATAAAGTACCGGCCTTTCTAAATATGAGGAAGAGGAAGAGAGTTACTTTTGGAGAGGACCTAAGCCCTGAAGTGTTTGATGAGTCTTTGCCAGCAAACACTCCGTTGCGCAAAGGCGGAACACCTGTTTGTAAAAAGGACCTGAGTGGCCTCAGTCCCCTGCTACTTGATCAGTCTCCAGTTCCTGAACAGTTACCGCAGCCAAACTTTGATGACAAAGGGGAGAATCTTGTAAGGGTGAAAACAGGTTTTTTTTCCATAAGATCATTTTCTTGAGCAACAATTATCCTTTGAAATCATAAAATGGGCTAAATGGTGTACCATGGTATAAGTTAATAATTTTTTTTATTATCAGTTTCCTGTTAAATATAATATGGTACTTAAACATAGCATATTTTGTGAAACTTAAAAGCCATTGTAAAATGTGCCATTGTTTTAGGTATCACTTAGATTTTAAAAATGTGTAAGTTAACTTGACACACCATAAATGGTATGATCCGCTTATATTTCAGAGATACTACAATGAACAATCTAAGATTGTGCCAAGAGCAAGTCTTAGCCTTGATATATGAATCTTTAAGGAAGATATAATGCTAATTCTATATATAGCTTATAAACAGACTGAGAACAAGGGAATACTTCCCAGTTCATTAATGTCAGCACAAACCTTAGACTATAATCAAGCAGACGTTATAAGAAAACTCCAGGCCACTATCCTCACAAACACAGTAATATATAAAAAGATAACACATCATATGTCTCTGAGATTAAACCCAAAAGACTTAAAGTTGGTTTAAAATTTTGAATGCAATCCATAATTCACTTTATTAACAGACTAAGAAAAACTATATGGGTATCTCAGTCGATGCAGAAAAAGCTTTTGACAATTTTTATCTAGGAAAATCCCACAACTACCATTACGCTGGCAGTCAGGAAAGAGATAGTTGACATCTCCTTTGATATTGTCATTTTACTCTGACATTCCTGTGAATGATACTGTAATACTAGGTTGTGTTTTTAGTGGAATTTCTTATTTACTTTATAAGAGCCTTAGGTCATGGGGTTTTAATAAATCGAAAGGTAACATCTTAGTGACTATTGAGGCTACTAGTTTTATTTTATTTTTGGTGGATTATATTAATAAACATGGTTTCATTAAAGATGATTGTTACATAATATAAAGAATAAAAGAATATTATTATAGCTCATTTATTTTGCTTTGACATTTTTCCTTAGTCTTTTATTGATCTGTCACTTTTTATGCTTATAACAACTCTTCCTACACAGATAAATCCTTATTTTTGGGGGGTACATTACTGATGGGCCCATTGAATTTAAAGATGTGAAATTTCAACTTTATTTTTTCCCTTTGTTTAGGAAAACATAGAACCTCTCCAGGTATCATTTGCAGTTCTGAGTCCACTTAGTAAGTCTTCAATCTCTGAGACTCTTTCAGGTAATAATATTTTTCAAACTTGCAGATGTCATTTTCAGTAAATTTTCCTAAACTTTGTAAGATTAAAGTATTTTTATGCTTAGTGTCCTTTATGCTGTTTCATTATTCAAATGTAGCTTGGAATAAATGGGTATCTGTGAAAACACAAACATTTAGTGTGATACAGTTTAATGTGTTATTTTAGCAAAGTAATATATTGTGCAGTCTCCATCAAAAATCACGAAAGTTCTGCATGTTTAGTAAACTTAAAATTTACAAAATTGTTTTGGATATCAAAATTTATTACTCTTACTAAATATTTATGTTTAAATATGATACGGTGCTAGAAGCAAAGGTTGGCACCCAAAAGAGTGTCCAATGTGTGCAAAAGGTGATAGATTTTATAACTTTTTGTTAGTAACACTAATTTTACATACATCTTGTTCAACAGGCACTGATAACTTTAGTTCTTCAAATAACCAGGAGAAAATATCCCCTTGTAAAGTTGGTACAGTAACACGGACCTCTAAGAGAAGAAGTGTAAGTGTTTACATTTCACATAATATATTGTTTTTAAATCTTGCAATAGATTTTTTCTTTTCATGTCCAAATGGTTATAGATAAATCTGAGTTTGATCAATGTCATTAAGAGCTAATACCTTCTCCTACCTGGATTATAATGCAGAGTAATAATGTTTCTCTCATTTGATTTTAATTCTGTTAGAGGAAAAATCCAACAAAACAACGTGCTTTGTTGCTGCACCTCCCCCTGCAGTGACCTTTAGGGCTAACCATCCACGCAGGGGGAGAACAGCATAACACCCTGAAGCAGAGGAAGTACAGCAGAAGTTCCCTGAAAAGGCAGAAGCTTATCAAAAGATAACAACCACCAGGAACCACTACAAGAATGCTAAAAATCTTATCCCCTCTTTCTAGAACTACAAACTTTAATCCCTTATTTGTCTTTCTAAACTTCCTTCTTTCTTCTATAAAAGTCATTGCTTGTTATGTAGATCACCTCCCTGATGGTGATAGACTGAGCCCATGAGCAAGCTGATTTCATTGATATTCATTGTCCCTGTGCCTTTGGAAAACATGTATATTGGTCACAAACTCAAAGAAAATTACACTCAGATTTTCACTCTTGAAGTGTGTCTGTTTGTCATTTCTTTCACCAACGCCCTGACCACCCTGCACGCTTCTCTCAACCCTGAGGTGGCCTCATCATCTACTGCTGTGCTGGTCCCCGACACTTTGTAGTTTATGTTAATACAGAGGGCAATCTGTATGAAAAGTTTGTTTTGGATCTATGTAATTTTATGAATTTTGTTGAGGTGCAAAGGGGAGACAAATGGCATATAGTTACCAGAGCCAGAAAATGGGATAAATACAACATTTTAAAAAGCTATACTTTATTTCACCTGTTTTCAATATGAGATTAACTCCTACTGAATCTGTATCTTTTGCTATTGTATTAAATTAAGATAAAATTGCATTTTCATGTGTAACATCACAGGGCATAAGCATTTTGTTAAGGTTTTTTAGATAATATTGTTGGATAATAAATTCAGAAGTCAAACTTAAAAATTTTAATAATTCATGATTTTCCCCCCCATAATCCAATAGAAATAAGGTGTAAATTGTAGTTGCTCAACAAATATTTGATGAATGAATAAATGAAATAATTTTTTTTAATAATAATAAATTTTATTTTTATATTCCCCATACAATTGCAGCCCCCCCATTCTGACGCCAATCCCTCCCCTCCCACCCCGCCCCCTAAAAGTGTCTCTGGTTCGTAGTTTTTTGTTGATTTTGATTTTCACTTTCTTATAGTTATTCGTTTTCCTGGTCCCTTATTTAAGTTTTCTAGATTCCTGCTATGAGTGAGACCATCCGGTATTTTTCTTTTTCTTTTTGGCTTATTTCGCTGAGCATGATCCCTTCCAGTGCCATCCATGTTGCTGCAAATTGCATGTGTTTATCTTTTTTGAATGCTGAGTAATATTCCATGGTATATATGTACCACATCTTCTTGATCCAGTCATCTATTTTTGGGCATTTGGGTTGTTTCCAAAGCTTAGCTATTGTAAACAGTGCTGCTATAAACATAGGGGTGCAGGTGTTCTTTGGAATTGATGTTTCTGTGTCCTTTGGGTAAATACCTAGGAGTGGAATTGCTGGATCCTATGGAAGCTCTATGTTTAGTAGGTCCAGAAATCTCCACACAGCTCTCCACAGTGGTTGGACCAGTTTGCACTCCCACCAACAGTGCAGAAGAGTTCCTTTTTCTCCACACCCTCGCCAACATTTGTTGTTGCTAGTTTTTTTAATATGTGCCATTCTCACTGGTGTAAGATGGTATCTCATGGTAGTTTTGATTTGCATTTCCCTGATGACAAGTGATGTTGAACATTTTTTCATATGCCTGTTGGCCATTTGCATTTCCTCTTCAGAGAAGTTTCTTTTTAGCTCTTCTGCCCATTTTTTGACTGGATTCTTTTCTTTGTTGTTGTTAAGTCTCATCAGCTCTTTGCAGATTTTTGTGATCAGTCCTTTATCATTAGTGTTGGGTGCAAAAATGTTCTCCCAGTTGGTGGGGTTTCTCTTTGTTTTTGTTATTGTCTCTTTTGCTGTGCAGAAGCTCTTTAATTTGATGTAGTCCCAGCTGTTTCTCTTCGCCTTCACTATCACTGCTTTGGGTGATGTGTCTGTAAAGATGTCTTTGATGTGCAAATCACGTAGTGTTTCGCCTGTATTTCCTTCTATATATTTTATGGTTTCAGGTCTTATGTCTAGTTCTTTAATCCATTTTGAGTTGATTTTTGTGTATGGTGTGAGGTAGTGGTCAAGCTTCATTCTTTTGCATATAGCGACCCAGTTTTCCCAGCACCATTTATTGAACAAACTTTCTTTGCTCCAATGCATAGTCTTTGCTCCTTTGTCAAAGATTAGTTGACCATAAATCTGTGGGTTTATTTCTGGATTTTCTATTCGATTCCATTGGTCTGTAAGTCTGTTCTTGTACCAGTACCATGCAGTTTTGATGATGATGGCTTTGTAGTAGAGTTTGAAGTCTGGGAGTGTGATGCCTCCATTCCCTTCTTTTTTCTTCAGGAGAGCTTTGGCTATTGGGGTTTTTTGTGATTCCATATGAAATGAAATAATTTTTAAATTAGTTTTTCTTCTTAAAATAATTTGGTAGAGTGTATATGCTTCTTTGATAGACCAGAAATTAGTACTGTTTCCCCAACATGAGGTTAAGTTGCTTAAAATATTGTTAGTGAATTTGTAAATGAAAAGGAAGTGGGATATAGAATAGTAGGAGCAGCACGAGAAGGGAAATAAGTGTGGAAATATACTTTAAAATACACTGAAATGTAGTTTCTTGTGTCTTATGGTATCCCTGCTTTTAATTTTCTTCATAGAAGTTGATCGATTTTACAGAAGAGACTGTTTGCAACTTACTTAATACAGACACTCAGCCTTGTAAAGAAAAGAAAACTAGAAGGAGGAAATCTCAAGAAAACAAGCGCAACAATAGAGCACCTCCTAAAAGGAATCAGGTAATGTGTGTCTAGAGGTAAAACAGAGTACAAGTGCTGTGTTTTGAATGGGGAAACATGGAAACGAAATTTTTTCTTAATTTTGGATCAAACATTTTAAAATCATCTTAGGAGGTATGGAAAGCACTGTGAGAGAGGATGTGCTGGGTTGTCAGGACTGCTTTGGGCATCTTTGTGTTCCCTGCATCTGGTCGTGTACAGAATGTCCTCAAACACTGTTGCTTTTATTCCATGGCTTTTCATTGTAATCCTGATGAGAAAGACTGGTGTTGGGCAATGTCGAACAAGATGTTATTCACTGACCTGGTTTGTTATTTGTGGATGCTCTTAAAGTGAGGTTTTCCAAAAACCTAAGTGAGGACTTACATCATCAGCACTCAAATGTTAAAATTGTTTCATGTTTTTTAATGTTATTTGATCTAACCTCTCCACTCTACTTGGCAACTCCTGTAAGTTCTTAAATAGGGATGAGTGTACCATCTGCCTCTTGTTTGACTTTGCTGCTGCCAATGGCTGAATCACTTCCCCATATTTAAGGAAGAATTTGAAAACTAAATCTCAGTCTTCCTCAATACTCCAGAGCCTGTGCCAGCTCAGGTGGCTTCCCATTCCTTTGTGTTTAGCTGACCTGGCACCTTAACTTGGTTTTCGTCTTCTTTCGCTTTAATGATCTAGACCTGCCTCTGCCCTAGAAGCCTGTTGGTACCTCAGACCTTCCCACTTTGAATGATACACCTGAGCTGTCCCCATATGAGCCCAGCCTCTTTCCCGTCACTTCCTTCCTTGCCTGCACTAATCATAATCATCTGCCCCGTTTACTCTCAGGGTTTCAGATATCCCTTAATTTCCTGTTTCCCGGTTCATCTTAAACTGCATGCGCAATTTTCCACAAATCGTGTCAATAATCTTACTTCTTTATACCTTTCCATCTGGATAAATCTAACCATATACCCCTCTCCCATCTAACTTTGCCCTTGGAGAGAGTCACTCGGTTGTGACTATGAATCCATTGTTTCATATATTCTCTGAAGTCAGGTCTCATTCTCTGCCACTTTGCCACTAAAATTCAGTGCGTCCTTCTTGGACTGCATCTCAGCAGTTTTTGACATCATCAGAACACTCCTTTACTGTCTCTGCCTTAGGTTTGTTTCCTTCCACCTGTTAAACCTTCGTGTTTCCTGGAGTTCTGCTCTTTGCCTTCTAAATTGTTTATTTTCTGGGTGATTTCCTAGGCAGTGTGCTAATGGCTCCCAGATCTTCCTTATCTGTAAAACATATATTCAGCTGTTTACTGGACAGCTCTTAAACCATACTGCATGACCTCAAAAATCAACATTTTCCAATATTAACTCATCCATTTCATCCCAGTACATTCCCACCAAAAAACAGTCATTAAGCTTTCTTCCTGCTCCATAATAGAAAAACTGTTGCCCCTCTTAGTTGAAAAAATGCCACATATAGCCCCAGTTAAGCCAAGCCAGAAGAACCTAAAAAGCCCCATTTTGAGGTTAGTCCTTTTTTTTTTTTTTTTTTTTTTTAAATATTTATTTATTTATTTATACAAGCACTGGGTACAGTCAGAAGCGCGGGAGGGTGAGAGAATTCACCAGAGCCAGAGCGGGGAGCAGAGCAGGCAGAAGGACAGAGGTACACTGCTGAGGGGAGCAGCGGGCGGCAGGAGAGGTCTGCGCACCTTGTGGGACCCTCCTCCGGTGGCCGGGGAGCAGCCGGGGATTGAACTGGCACTGCAGAGGCTGCGGGCAGCTTTGCAACCCAGCGCTCAACCGCTGTGCCACCGGGGAGGCCCGTTAGTCCCTTTTTTTTAAGTTACTCACTTGTTTGAAAGATTCCTTGCTGAAAAAATACCTATGTGTTCAAAAATACTGCCCACAACTTATATTGGTATATTAGAAATTGATTTTTTTCCATCTATACTCCTAAAGAAAAATACCTTAAAAAAAAATAGTGCGGGCCTCCCCAGTGGTGCAGTGGTTGAGCACTGGGTTGCGAAGCTGCCCACAGCCTCTGCAGCGCCGGTTCTATCCCCGGCCACTGGGCGAGGGTCCCACATGGCGTGCAGACCTCTCCTGCCGCCCGCTGCTCCCCTCAGCAGTGTATTTCGTCAGTCTGCCTGTTCTGTTATCCGCTCTGGCTCTGGTGAATTCTTTCACCCTCCCGTGCTTCTGACTGTACCCAGTGCTTGTATAAATAATAAATAAATCTTTAAAAAAAAAAAAAGTAGTGCACCTATTTCTTCACATAAAATCAGTAGCCAGAAAGTTTCAGAAGAGTTGAGGATTAAGCTTTGTATCAACCCCTGGCAGGACCCCACTAAATTAAAATCATTAATTTGATTTAATAAAATGTATAGACTGAGTGAGAATGACAATGAAAGAAGAGGTGTTAAGCAGCAGAGGACAGCCTTCAATGAATTTGTGGACGACAAAGCAGATGGGAGCATGTTGACAGATAAAAGAGGTGGAAAGATTTGCAGCCCAGAATGTTGTTAGGAGGGAACTGGAGAGGCGCTGGGAGCCGCCTGCTCATGGAATCCCAAGAGATCCTGGGCCCAGTTTGTTAGGTACAATGGATGGGGAGAGTGAGAAGTGGTGAAAAACAGAGATTAATTGAAGTCCCATTTGTGAAACAATTAAACAATTTGTACCAGTTGGCACCCCATCCCCTTCTACTCAGAAGCTCAGAGCAAATGTTGTCACCTAGGTTAAAGCCCTCATTCTGGTATTTGGAAAGTCCCCCAGTCTTGACAGGCAGCTCCTACCCTCATGCAAAAGCTGCCCTCGACACTCCCCATTCTACGCTGCCCTGTGCCACACAGTTCCTAGGAGAATTTCCATGCATGAAAAAGACTAAGGGAAAGCAGAGGAAATCCACACCGATTTATCCAATCTTTTCTTCCTGATAATCAGACAATTGAGTAGAACCAGTACAAGTAAGAATCAGTACGAGTAAGTTGAAAAACCAACCCCAGATTGAAAAGTTTTTTGGGGAACAGAAAGAAGCAAGCTTTATTTTAAAAAGTAAGTGTTCTGCTGTACTCAGATTTAGGAAAATATTATCTGCGAGAACTAGAAAGGGGATAATAAAAAGCAAAGCTGGGCTTAACTAAATTTGAATTGGGAAATGTATGAACTTCCCCTCCCCATTTAAAACTTTCTAACTCGGGCATATGGCTTAGAGGCAGCAAGCATCCCTGGTACCTGGATTGTCATCTCTGAATACCATTTCCATCTTGAAGGGGTCAGGGTTCCTCAGAGAAATGGCTGCTCTCAGATTTACAACAACAGGTAAAGAAAATGTACCAATGTGTGTAAGGAAGGAGGGTTCAGGGGCCATGTTGACAATAAAACCATCTTGGAGGAGCTTCCAAGGACCAATTTAGGGCAGCGTGACCATCAGAAATAATGATGGCAGGGGCCTCCCTGGTGGCGCAAGGGGTTAAGCACCACACTATGAAGCAATCTGAAGCCTCTGCAACATGAGTTTGATCCCCCGCCAGCCAGAGAGCAGCCCACATGGCGCAGCAGACCTCTCTGGTCTCCCCCGCTGCTCCCCTCAGCAGTGTATTTCAGTCAGTCTGCCTGTTCTGTTCCCTACTCTGTCTCTGGTGAATCCTCTCACTTCCCGCATCTCTGACCTGTACCCCAGCTCTTGTATGCATAAATAAATAAATCTTTTTTAAAAAAGAGAAAGAAATAATGATGGCAGTGGAGTGAAACACAGCATCAGATATGAAGGAAATATGATAATTGAAACAATCACAAGTCTTAAAATCTTTGAAGCTGTCTAGGACCCCAGCTTACCTTTCTAAAAGCTGGAAAATAAAGTTTGAGCTCTAGTTCAGGTTAACAAATAGCTGGAGGGATGTAGGAGAATTTCAACTATTCTGTTTGTGAAAGCTGTGAAATGTTAAGTAGCAACTGTAGGTAAAGAGAGACCTGTCAGTCAAGGGGACCGTGCAAGACCCTTCAAGTGTCCTGCTTTGGGCAGTTGTAAAGGACATTTATGGGCCAGTGGGCGAAATTTGAACTCAGGAAATATTATGGAAAATCGCTGTCTTTGTTTTCTGTGTTTAAACTTTTGATTTGAGATCATGTTTTGAGATGAAGTCTGTAAAAATTATAGAGTAGTCCCTCGCATCCTTTACATGGGGTCTGTCAGTGGTATCATCTGCAAAACTCTCCCACAGTGTCACATAGAGCAGTATTGTGCTGTGTTCATGGTGCGGGTATTTCCCATCTGTGAGGCTCTCTCTTGCCTTTTTATAGCTGCGTTCACCTCCGGCGCCTGCCCCCACTTAGCTCTGCCAAGCACTAAACTGGTCTCCATTTACTTAGTTTTGCCATTTCAAAAATGGTGTGTAAATGGCCCCACACAGTATAACCCTTTGGAACTGACTTTTTTCTTTTCTTTTTTTAAAGATTTATTTATTTATACATACATACATACATACATACATACATATAAGCACTGGGTACAGTCAGAAGTGTGGGAGGGTGAGAGGATTCACCAGAGCCAGAGCGGGGAGCAGAGCAGGCAGAAGGACCGAAGTACACTGCTGAGGGGAGCAGCGGGCGGCAGGAGAGGTCTGCGCGCCATGTGGGACCCTCGCAGCGGCCGGGGATCGAACTGGTGCTGCAGAGGCTGCAGGCAGCTTCACAGCCCAGGGCTCAACCACTGTGCCACCGGGGAGGCCCTGGAACTCGCTTTTTTCACCTGGCATTATTCTCTGGAGATGTGCCCAGGTTGTTGTATGTCGGTAGTTATTTCTTATTATTGATGAATAGTATTTATAGCTATTATAAAAGGGAGAAGATCACTTTTTTTTTTTTTTTTAAGATTTATTTATTTATTTATTTATTTGTTTATTTATTTATTTATACAAGCACTGGGTACAGTCAGAAGTGCGGGAGGGTGAGAGAATTCACCAGAGCCAAAGCGGGGAACAGAACAGGCAGGTGACGAAGTACACTGCTGAGGGGAGCAGCGGGCGGCAGGAGAGGTCTGCGCACCATGTGGGACCCTCACCCCGTGGCCAGGAATTGAACCAGGGCTGCAGAGGCTGCGGGCAGCTTCACAACCCAGTGCTCAACTGCTGCGCCACCGGGGAGGCCCAGAAGATCACCATTTTGCAGTGTATTCAGTAGATGTATATTAAGTCATCATATTGTGGTATATTCCTGTTGGCTAATGACTGTGAAAAGAACATAATTTTACTCATGTTTTGAAAAGTTTTTCTAAGGTTAAATGTACTTTCTTTTTTCTTTCATTCTTTCATTCTTTTGTTCATTTGTTGATGTTTTTGAGTAGTCGCTTTGTGTCAGGCAATGCTATAAGCACTGGGGACCCAAAGATTTCCAAAACCCTATAAAATGGAATTTCTTTTTCCTTACCTAGCAATCAGAAACTGTCCTAGGAGCTACAGTCTCTGAAGACATTGACTTTGTCAGTACGATAACTGACCATGTATTGCCTGTACCCATAGCAATGCTAAGGGCATAATTTGATATTAATAGTATTTCCCGCCCTCCTCCGCCCCCCAATGCCAGTTCAGAAAGTAGTAGGAAGAAATTTAAATTTAAAAGGCATGTAAAAGAGCTCTTTAACACATAGCTCTTGTTCTGGGTCAAGCCCTCTTTTCACCACTTCATATATATCTACTTCCTGAATAATAAGCACTTTTCTGTGGTTCTCTAGTGAGTCCCATTTCACAGACAGGAAGAAGAAAGAGAGTGATCTTAGAGATAACTGCCTAAGATTATGAAAGCAGTTAGGTGGCAGAAGCCAGGGTCTGGCAGACCTGAAGGTGTCTGACAGCTGAGCCCAAACTTCTCTTCTGCCCTCATCTGTAGAACCCAAGTTAAGATTTTTCTCTTGGTTTCTATTTCCTTTGACCAAGTTATCCTTTCTCCCAACTTCATCAGAAGTTCCATGAGTGGAATATTTGATGGACACTATTTAAGCTGCCATTTTCCTTATGTATATAGAGATTATTTGTACTGAGGACTTCTCAGAAAATTTAGTGCAAAGTGTATATTTAAATCACCCAGAGGAACATTTATCTTGCACAGTTCTAAAGTTATTTCTCCTGGAAATATTTTGTTTAGTTTGACAGGCTATCTATAGATCTCAAGGAACATAGAGTTCTGTGTCATAGCTATACTCCTAAATGTGTCTACTTTCTGCACCCTTAGTTTCACTCAGATATTCTATTCTGTCACCCAAATGATCTTTCTGAAATGGAAATGTTGTCATGCCATTAGTCACCAAATGTTGTCATGCCATTAGTCACCATGCGGCGAGTCCTATGTGCTTTCAGGCTCATCCTTGTAGCTCACGAGGGCCCTGCTGCTCTGTTAGCTCCTGTCACTTCCGTGGGAATACACCTGCGTGCATGTTACTTGTAGCTTTCCCCTGTGCTGCCCCACTCACACCTCTTCGAGTGCCATTCTCTTCGCTTTGGGAAACCCTCAGCTCCACGCCCACAATTGGCTGAACTAATTCTCACTGATCTAAGATTTGACGTAGACATTACCTTTTCTGCGGAGTCTGTCGTGAGCACCTCCTGTCAGACACGCAGCCAGGTGTTCGGTCCATAGCTTTGTCGTGCTGTGTTTGTTTTATTATCATTAGCTCATAGGCTATGAACTTCCGAAAGACCACATGTTCTTTGTTTTTGTAGCCTATTCTTAGCAAGTTCTTACATACACATAGCAGTTTCTCAACAAGTGTTAGAATGGATTCCATTTTCTGGAAGCATTGATTATTAAAAACATGTTCCTTTTATTGACCTGAAGTCTGATGCTCTGTTTGATCACATTGGATAGATTTCTTTCTTTCTTTTTCTTTTTCTTTTCTTTTTGCTCATGAGTCTTGCTGTAATCTCAAGTACAGTTTTTGAGTTTTTCTATAGTTTCCATATGAAATTTTTTACGTATAGACATTAGCTCTCAGTTGCTGATGTGGTGATCAGAATTAATATTGCATTCCAGAATTTATTAAAGCAATTTGAGGTTTAAACACTATTGACAAATCTTTGTCACTGATCTTCAACTTTTGCATATTAAAATCCATCTTTTGCCTATTTGCTTTAATCATCTGTTGTTTGAATCAGCTCGGCTATGTTATCATTATTGAGTTTCATGTACACATCTATTGTTTTTTTCACCCAGATCTATGAAGGGAAAAATCTCTCGGAGCTTCTAGTAGAGAACTCATTCTAGCTTAATCCTGAGTCATCCTAACAATATCCTGGTTAGAAGTACCTTTTCCTTTCTAATACATTTTTATTAAAAATTTCTTATTAAAATTTTATAATATAAACTTTATGACTTTACATCTGTATACAGTGCTTTATCAACAATATCTCCTGTCTTAAGTGTGTCCTGCTCTATGGCACCTAATCTATTTTTCACTTATCCAGAACTTATTTCAGTAAATACTTTGTGGAAACACAGAAAGTTACCCCTCTATTTGAGAGTTCTGCTTCAAACTTTATTTGACTTTATGTAAGCTACCTAGCTTCCTTCCCCTTACTCAGATTCCTGCAGTATTCAATGGAGTAAGTTGGCCTTAAGTTTTTTTAAAAAATTAAAGGGTCAAAGTTATACTTGATGCTGTACTTTTCCCAATTACAGTGTTTTATTACATTTTCACAGGCTTTAAAAAGTTCCAGAAAGAAGAAAGGAAAAGGAAAGAAAACTGTTCAGAAGTCTTTATATGGAGAAAGAGATATTGCTTCTAAGAAACCTCTCCTGAGTCCTATTCCTGAGCTCCCCGAGTTCTCTGAGATGACACCTTCAGCTCCCAGTACCCGAAGGATGGGTTCAGGTAGCCTGTCCTTCTGTCCTTCACATTTATCCTTTCATCCTCTATTGCTATTTCACTTCCCTTTTCCCCATTTTCCCCATTTACTATGTAAAGAGAATATAGCGTTAAAAAAAAAAAGGCAGCTTTTCCTCATTACCATGAGAATGTTGAGATAAGGAAGCAGTGGTAATTGTCATGTACTCACTAGACATTTTTCAAAACTAGATGGAAGCTTTGGATACTCTTCCCAGAAAAACTCAAGAGACAAGATTTTGCATATAATTTTAAAGAAATAATTTCCTTTCATTCTGTTTCTTTTTGCTTCTTAAAAGCATTTTATTAAAATAAATTCACTGGAATTCTATTAAAAGTGAACTGGGGGATGGCTCGGGAATAGGTATATATTCTGCGAATTAAGGACAAAGGTGAGAAAAAATAAATTTGTCCCGCATTTCAGTCAAGATGGCACTACTAAGCATCTTCTGGAAATGACATTTATTTATTTATTTATTTATTTTTTAAATAGAGGCATGTTTGTTTATTTATTTATTTATTTGTTTGTTTGTTTGTTTTTGTTTATACATGCACTGGGTACAGTCAGAAGCGCGGGAGGGTGAGAGAATTCACCAGAGCCAGAGCGGGGAGCAGAGCAGGCAGAAGGACCGAAGTATACTGCTGAGGGGAGCAGCGGGCGGCAGGAGAGGTCTGCGCGCCATGTGGGACCCTCCTCCGGTGGCTGGGGAGCAGCCGGGGATAGAACCGGCGCCGCAGAGGCTGCGGGCAGCTTCGCAACCCAGCGCTCAACCGCTGCGCCACCGGGGAGGCCCTGGAAATGACATTTATAAAGTGAATTTAATTACTCTGAAAGTTTTGTTTAAAAACATTAAATTAATTGATATCCTGATTAGAATACACCTGGTTCATAATGCCTGGATTTTACATTGACTAAATCTTGCTGAAAGTAATGAGTACGTGCCCTTTTGATGTGTTCATTTTGAGTCATTTTACAAGGCTGCCTTTGTCAATCAAATATATAAAGCCTCCGTTCCATTTGTAATGTACTATATAGGATTTACAATATATCCAAGGATGAATATGATAGATGCCACTATGGACCATTGTCTTCTACCAGCTTTTGAGAAAAGCACAAAAGCTTAAACACACAAACAGTGTCCGTTCATACACATGCCCCTCCAGCCTCCAGGCACCAGTGGGGCAGCGCTCTCCTTTCCCAGCCTCTTCCTGTGGCATGCCTTGGGACCAGGGTCAGCCACCCCACCTCTTTTAAATCTGGCCTAATGCCGCTTATCCTGTAAGTTTTAGCTGTGCTGGCTGCCCTTTCAGGAAAACTCTTGGTTTGCATTACATCTTTCCCTCCTGCTTTATCATGACCTGTCCACCTTGCCCTGTAAATTGCATTCCCTGAGACTGGAAACTGAGTCAGATTTCATTCTGTCCTTAGTCCTCACAGAAGTTTTTCCAAAGATGACTTAGTACGTATTTTCTATCTTGCATCTAATTAGAGAATTTCTTTTAAAAATACTTGACGCGTTCATCTATAACTCAGAGTGTCTGCTGCGGGGTAAAGCAGATCAGGTCCTCCCTCCTTCCCCTGCCTTTCTTCTCTAGTATGTTAACTTCATGAAAAATACATAAATATTTATTTTTAAAGTTGTATAAAGAGTCCAATGGACATTAATTGGTTGACACTAAGTGGACCCTACTTTTTCTCTAGCTTTATTTGACATGATTTAAAGTGCCCAAGTTATGGCTATACCTTTTTCAAATTGGAACATAAAGTTTTAGCTTTGGGGCTTGTGTTTTGTATTTTCCTGTTTTGATTTGAAAACACTTTTATATCCATTTAATTTGCTGTTAAAACCATTATTTTCTGATAACAAGATAGAGGTGTTTCATCTCCTAGGTCTGAGATTTAGGACTCCTAAAGCCTGAATGCTCTTCTGCTGCTTTAGGCACTAATCTCAAAAACCTCGATGGTGGTTTTCCACCTCTCACATGTCAAAAGCATGGCATATCTTCCTGGAAGATGAATTTTAGTCAGATTGAGGAAGCAGGAGATTTTAGAAATTTGAAACAAATGTGGAGTAGAGACTTGAGAGCCCGTTACAATTTATATTGATTCAACACAGGGCAAAAGACCCGGTGTCTTCAGAGCCCTTCCAGCCAATTCCTCAGTTCTCCCAGAAGCCCAGGTTTTCTTTGGAACACCGACAGAGAAGTTTCAGAAGCACAAGGTTGTCCATTTTCAGTAATTCATTTTTGGGGAAGTGGGAAAGTGGCTCCCTCACGCTCGCCGACCTTGTAGTGTGGAAAGTACATTAGAACAGAGGAAGCAATTTAAGATACAGTTCTCATTTTCATGGTCTGTGGTTATGTGCTTTTATTAATTCATGCATTAAATACATTATTTTCTTAACCTGTGGGTTGGGAAGAACCGAAAGGAAGAGGAAGATGAGAGATGGGTTGAGTACAGTGGTCACATTTGTAGGTCTTGATGTTTGAAAAACACAGAATAGAGTAGGGCAGTTATTGATGTATTAAAGTTTATTTCCATTGTTAGTTTTAACTACATTTAAATTTATTTATGCCCATAGATTATTTCAGCTTAAATGGTGAACTTGAAGAAGTGCAAGTTCTTAAAAGAAAGAATCTTTTGCCTCAGAACCCAAGAGGCGTGCAGTTGATCCAAGGCTTTAATCAGCAGGATGTGTCTGAATTCTGCAGCTCCTACGTGCACGACTGCTTGCCTCTTGTTAGTGATACTCTTGGTCAAGATGCAAATATAAATACTATAAAAGTTAATGAAGATAAAAATATTCCAAAAGCAGAAATTGAGTTGGAAAGTGAAAATGAACTTCAACCTGGGACAGAGAATGGAAACAGTCAGATGTCTTGTGCTGTGATGGACCAATACATCATGTCAGATTATTCAAAACCTGGTTTTATTCAGCAGTCCCAGGAATTTGTTGCTGGTGAGCAAAATACTGGAAATCTTTTCCAAATTTTTAAAATTTCAGAAGATAAAAATATAAAATGTGAAAAACAGGATGTCTTACTAGCTTCGGAAGGAGAACTGTACACCCAGCATTTAATGCCTGACTCACAAAAAGAATTTGATTGTCCAGAAGGTATCTGCATTGATAGTATAAAAGAAAGCCACAATGGAAGTGAGGGTTCCGAAAGAAACAACCCCAAAAGTAGCAGCAGTGTGAATTGTAGAGAAAGGAAGCAAAGACGACGTTCTGCGTGTTACTCCCATGGTCAGAATTTATATTTGGAGAAAAATGAAAATCACCACGCTGGTGTGAATGACTCTGTCGAAATTGGTTTAGAAAATGCTGAATTGTATAAAGATTTATCTGACTCCATAGAGCAAACCTTTCAGAGAACAAACAGGGGCACAAAAGTCAGACGGAGCACCAGGCTGCAAAAAGATTTGGAAAATGAAGGGCTTGTGTGGATTTCCCTTCCATCTCCTTCTGCTTCCTGCACGTCCCAGAAAACCAAAAGGAGAACCATATGTACATTTGACAGCAGAGGGTTTGAAAATCTGTCCTCCAGGAAAGAAACTCTGCCCTCTAGACAGAAACCAGGTATGCTGCCCTCTGACTCGGGAAAAGAAAACAGTGAGGACTTTACTGCCATTTTGTCTGATTTACCAGGCAAGAGGAGGAAGAGCTTTTGTACATCTACACTTTCAAATACTAAAAATACTACTCAGTCAAAATCCTACAAAAGAAGAACCTCTTTCAGCCAAAAAGGAGAAAATTCTAAATGAAATTCAGAGATGTAAAGCAAAAACTGACATTTGCTGCCGGACACTTGACAGGAGAGAAGGTAACCATCCATTGGGAGAATCTCAGTCTAGTTCCCGTCCTGTGTTCAACTTCAGTGCTTTACAAATTTCAAATAAAGTCATATGAGTTGAACCTACTTTTAACTAGTTATAAGTGAATTTCTTCATTCACAAAATATTCTGCTAAATATGTCTTTCCTCCCCAAAATGGCAAATGCTTTATTAGTATTTTGCAAAAAAGATGGTTTGGGGATCCAGCGCCCTATCTCTTACTTTTTATTTCACATTAGTACCTATTTACCACTGAAGGTAGTGACTCCAGGGTAAAAAGCATCTTTTACAATTGACTCATTTTATCTGGATGAGAATTTTCTTTAAAATTACAAATTGATAGAATTATGGTAACTTTGCGAAATTGAATGTAATATAAGGTCGAAAACGAAAAGGAAATGTAGGGCAAGATGGGAGTTTTATTTTAAAACACTACAAAAAAATTTGCTTAAAAGTTGAACAGGAAAGATGGAAATTACAAAACTAGCTTTCCCTTTAGGTTAAAATTCAGAAAACTTATCATGTTGCTTTATCTTGATTGAAATCTTACACATGAAATTTTAGAAAATTCTTTCAGTGGCAAGAATATTGTAAATCTTTATAAATAACTAATGTAAGAGTCTCTTTTTCCTTCAAACGAGGTCCTTACATGCGTTGGTGGGTGAAAACTGGAGGATTGGTCTTTGATGAAAACATAGCAGTTTAGTTGAAGACTCAGCTCCCTGATTACTCATGTTTGTCACAGGTAACTTAGGATTCAGTTCTCCATTAAAAAAGCTAAAATCCATCAACTCGTAAGGGTCCTAGAAAATTAATTTACTAACTTGAACCATGGTGCTGGGTTGCTGATTTCTTTGTTAAAGTCGCATTTTCCAGTACTTTTCCTGTACCAGTATTGTCACATGTCTCTGACTTTTAGTAAAGCAGCAGCAATGTAGCCTGTCCTATTGTGGTGACAGAGGTTTGAATCTAATCTAAATTGCTGTATAGCTGGAATGTATGAATGCTCATAAATCATTGTATCATTAAACAATTGTCTTTGAAATCCTTTAAATCATTAAACTCTCCATCTTGCCATGATAGCAGAAACATGTTAACAAATAGAGCTCTCTATAAATAACACAACAGGGAAGAAAACTCCTGCTGAGAGGCCCATTTCCTCTCCTTAGATAGAGACTATTTGTTACCTTCTTGGCACCAATAGGTCTGGAACTCCTGCTGCTAAAGACTAATGTATTTTACATTAACACTCAAAGTGATCCCCAATTTCTCCTGCTAAAGGGTGGATTGTTTAAAAATTCTTTTTATCTTTACACGTAAATTATTTATTGATGTTTGCCCCTCTCACTTTTAGAGTTTGGTGTAGTTGGCATATCCATACCACTGAAAACAAACTGAGAACTGATAACAGAATTAACTTTTTGTGAAGCTTTTTGGTTTTGATAATTAAAAAAACATTCAGAATTGTAAGATGCTAGAAGGTTTGCTTTAAAAAAAGTGTTCTCTAATAGAAAGGCTGAATCTATTGATTGTTTTCTCCCCCTTTTTACTGTATATTTCATATGGTTTTGATTGTATTGTGTATTTTGAAAACTTCACATCTTGTTTTATTCTTTGAAAAGTGCTAATGAGGATGAGGAAAACATTTTGATCTGTGACTTTTGACTTGATTTTTAAAGTGTAAAATTGTTGTTTTCTAGTATCTACAGTTAAAAATATAAATGCAATTTAAAATATAAATGTAAGTTCTGTTGGTCTCAGAATGTTTCACTTCAAACATTTCATATAAATGTTTTGTTGTTTGTAAATAACAAAGAGGCAGCTTTTCTGAAAGGCTCAGGTCTGACAAATCAAAACAGCTTAGGCACATTTTTCTCCTAGTCTCACTTGCATCATATTTGCAAAAAGTTAATGATTCCATGCTTTATGATGCCTGTTTAAGCTGTTTGTTTTATTAATGGTTAGATCAGAATAATGTCTTTCTGCCCAATTTTTTTCTAGACTTCATTGTAACCCCTGCCTGACATTTTGTCCAGAATGTCTTCTTGTACTTGTCCTGCTCCTGTAGATTCTTGTTTGCTCCAGAAGATGGCAGCAAGACATCTGACGTTCTCTGCCTGTGTGGTTACCTTAAAGCAGGGCAGCTAGCTCTTAATTGTCGCTGTGGCAGCTTCCCTGTCACCTTGTTTTGACTCATTTTTATTACAAAAGTAATATGTTTACCGAAAAAAATAGAGAACCATGCAAAATTAAAAACTTACTTCCCCCACCCCATGCATGCATCCTATAGCCACACCTTCCTCTCCCCAGCTTCCTATTCTGGATACCACTAACTGGTGTCCACCCTCCAGACCTCAGCTGAGTAAACCTAAATAAAGGTTCTGAATTTTCTAGTGGAATTGTTATAGAGCAACCCCGATATCAACCGGGTTCCTGGCTGTGGGTCCTCACCCGTGCGCTTTAAAGGGACTTTTGAATACTCTACTATAGACACACACAAAAGGGTTAATAAAAGGTTTATTTACAAGAGAAAAGGAAATAAGGAAAATGTACAACTCAGGGAGAAAATAGGGAAATAAAGTCTTTAATGCGTCCTACCCGATCCGAGGACCTGGAAACCCAAAGTCACTCTCAGAGCTGGCCGGACGCTGCGAGCTGGTTGAGAGCCAAAATGGGGGATCCCCAAAGCCCACATGTCTGCCTTTTGTATCCACCTGGCTGCTTAACCCCACCCTCAGGTCCCAGCCACCTTCCCTTTGGTGGTGATGGGATTTGGAGTTCCCAGTGTCTTTGGCTTTGACCTGGGGTGGGGGTGGAGTCCACAAAGCCTATATGGAATTTGCTTTGGGACATCCTTTTCCCCCTAACAGAATCATTACATGCACCTTCTACAACTTGATTTTTGAATTCAACAAAATGCTATGGGCATTCTTAGGGACAGCCGTGTTGCTACTGCAGAGCCCCTGCAAAGAATTCGATACTTTGAAAATCTCTAATTTAGCCATCTCCTTACTAATGGATGCAATTTTTGCCTCTAATTTTTTTTTTTTTTTTGTTATTGAAAATTGTGTCACATTGTACTTATGAGACCGATTCTTTTAAATTAAATGGTTCTGAAGTTCTTGTCTGTAGAGCTTACCTGGCCAAGTCCCTTTTTAAAGATTTTGGCATCCTTGTCCTTTGTCCTATTCTTCTGCCACTTACTGTCATTTCGCTTCTATTTTCTTTCACTGCCCTCATTGGCACTTAAGCTGTAGAATTGAGGGTGAGGTTTAGAACTAGCATAAGAAGGAGGAAATTATTAATACCTGATTTATGCTTTAGATTGAAAGAGCTGTTTGTTTTTTTAAGTCAGGTTGATTGAGGTATAATTAAAGTATGATATTTAGTCACCCTTTTATATCTTTACTTTTTGCAAATCCATATGACCCTGCAGCTACTGCCAGAGTCAAATAACAACATTTCCATGACCCCCAAAGAAGTTTTCTCCTATACCTCTTTACAGTCAGTCCCCTGGCCCTAGAAATCACTCATTTGATTTCTGTTCTCATAGCTGTGCCTTTTTTGGAATGTTTTATAAATGAGGTCACAAAGTATATGTCTTTGTGTCTGCCTTTAATTTAGCACAATGCTTTTAAGATCCATCCATGTTACCTGGTGTAACTAGTTGACTCCGGTTTATTGCTAGGTAGCATGCCACTTTATGGGTGTACCAGTGTTTATCCATTCATTCTCCAACTGATGGATATTTGTATTTCTATTTTTTGACTATTACAAATAAAGCTGCTATAAACACTGACATATGGATTCTTTTTTACAGACACATGTTTTCATTTATCTTGATAAATTCTTAGGTGTGGGATTCCTGGGATGTGTGGTTGGATATATTTAATGTTTTAAGAAACTGCCAAGCTTTTCCATAGCTTCCATGGCTGCTCCATTTTGTGTTCCCACCTGCAATGCTGTTTCAGTTGCTCCATGTCTTCAATTTCCCTAATGACTGATCTTTTTTTGACTATTAAATCTTTCCCTGTGCTTATTTGCTATCCTTTTCATTTCTTCTTATTTGCTATCCTTTTCATTTCATTGAAGTGTCTTCAGTCGTCTACCAGTGTTTTCCTTTGTTGTTGTCTCACTGAGTTTTGTGTTTATTTGGGACAATTGGATATGTCTTACATGTATTTTCTCCCATCTGGCTTACTTTATTTTCTTAACAATGTCTTTTGAAGAGAAGATTATAATTTTGTTATGATCACATTACCAGGTTTTTGAAATGGTTGATGTTTTTGTGTTCTAAAGAAATCTTTGTCTGATTCAAGGACACAATGATTTTCTACTGTTTTCTTATAGAAGTTTTAGTTTTACCTGCCATTTAGGTCTTGGGTCCACTTGGAGTTAATTTTTATATATTTAAGATAAGGGTGTTTTAAAATGGAAATCATTACTGTTGAAAGTTTATGCATTCTTCATTGAATTACAGTGGCACCTGTGTTGAAATCAGTTGATCTTCTGTATGTTTAGGTCTATTACTGAGCTTTGTTCCATTGCTCTTTATGTCTGTTCTTAAACCAACATCATACTTCTTGATTAAAAATTTTTTTTTCTTTGCTGTGAATCTTTATTATAGTTTATGCTTAAAGTTCTTGAGGGAGAGGAAGCTGAAAGAAACGAAATGAAGTTTGTCAAAAATTAATGAAACCTTGGTTCATTCTTTCATAAACAGATTTTTCTTTTTAAAATTTTTCTTTATTTTATTTTTTTATAGAAGAGCTGATGTGTAGACCAGAGATGCTGAGGGTGAGAAGATTTACCAGAGACCACTGAAATACACTGCTGAGGGGAGCAGCAGGCGAGACAGGAGAGGTCTGCTGCACCATGTGGGTCAGCTCCCTGGCAGGGCATCGAACTCTCAGGCCCTGGTGGTGACTGCACTGAGACTTATCCCCTAGGACACCAGGGAGGCTCCATAAACAGATTTTTCAGTAGTTTGGTTTAATATAAAAATATTCACTGTCTTTACTCAGAAAGTAGCCTTAGCATTTGAGAATTACAGATTTCTCAGTCCCCATCCAAAAGTAGAACACGAAACTTTGTGTAATCTGAAATGGTGTAAAGTGAGTAAGCAATCACCATTTACTTTTAAGGAAAAATTGTTGATTGTTCTCAGACCCAAAAAATCTATCAAAACAAAGCACATAAAACTTACCGTAACACGAAAACATAGAAAAAGCAGTGATGGTCTAACATGCTGCCTGCATAAAGTAGTTCCCAGGGAAGGAGCTGGGTGTTGCCATTTTATTGCTGGGGTGTGTGCTGCCTATAGAATGACTGCTGGAAAACGATGCTATTTTAGCCTTTTGTTATAAAAGCAAAAATCCTCTTCGAATTCTTTTGGTAATGGAAAAACAGGTATTAATGCTGGACTCTTATAAAAGTGAAACAGCAGAATGAACTTTTCAAAGGTAGGGGATACCTGAACTTCTTGGGAAAATTTCCCTGCACCACATCATCCCAGGTAGGCAGATGATGGATCTGTTAATTCATTTTAGGTATTTATTCAACAACTGTTAATGTGCCAAGCCTTAGTTTCTAAATGTGTTCACTGCCTTCAGGATGCTTGGTTTTCTCTTAGGAGGCAGAATTATAAATACATGGGTATAATTAAAAATGTCTCACACGTCTCAGCCTCTGAGATGACACCAACTTCAGATCAGGTAAGTTCGTTTCTGAAATAAGTGCTTGAAAAAGTTTGTTAATAGTTTTAGTGTAATGGGGATCCGAAAGGCACATTTTATTCCAAACATCCTGTATTATTCACTGAGTTGGCTTCATACACAATTTTGGTTTAAATGTTTTTCTAAATTTCCCATTCTGACCTGTGAATATATCTCAAAACAAAGCATGAATTTTGAATTAGAGATTGTGAATTGCACATAGAAAATTTTAAAGAAATCTCTCAAATAAATACTTAACCATTTTCATCTTTTGTACTAACTACCAGGTTTCTTTGTAGTGTCTTAAGGGTTTCACTTTGAGTTTGGAATCCTATGTCAAGTGAGCAGGCTTGGAGGAAATTAAATTACAGTAAATAATGGCACATACAAAAAAAAAATAGTGGGCTTTTTGGTCTTCAATTTATATGAATATTGTTCCATAGCCTTGTCTTGACGCTGGAATGGACTCATTGCTAAGGTTTTATGACTCAACAACTTCAAGTTTCTCTAGTATTCTACTGACATTTTCAATTTTGTGCATTTGATACTTTTTTGTTTCCTTTGTGAAATTTGTGATCAGACTGCCAGTCATAGCGTAGGTGAGCAAATGAGTCGTTACTGCCATTCCCCTGGCACACATTTTTGTCCCATACCTTCAACTAAGATCTTAAAGTGATTGGGACCTTAATTTTAACATTTATTAGAAATGTTTTGGGAAAATTTTAGGATATTGAGAGTTAAATATACTTCAGAATGCCATTTTTTGATACTTTTAAATACACCCCTTATGTGAAAAGAGAAATTAAATGATCATGCACATTAAGGAAAACTGCAGGTCTGTAGCTTGGGATTTCATCACAAAATTTCCAGTGACTAGTTAGAAAGCTGATTTTCTTAAATCTCACTTTTTCTACTTTGCCTCATCGAGTTCATGTATCCCAACATACTCATTAGCTACAGGGTTTAATTTACATTCTCTACAATAAAAATGACCTGCAGGGGTGAAAACTGCTTGAATTTTGTTTTTAAAATATAACTCAAGAAAATTCAAATTATGTAAATATTCTTGATATTCCAAATGTTTAAGTGTGTGTATGAATTTTTCAGCTCTGAAAGGTAGCTAACTCTGACATCTATTTACTTCTAGTAGTTTCTTTATTCTCATGACTTTATTCACCCACTTAAATTTACTTTTGAAAGAAAAAATTAAACTTTGGTAATGTTAGGTAATGTAAACTATAGGGATTTGTTAGTGACATTTCTATTTTTATCATTGAAAAGCTGCATTTCCAGAGTTCTAATGATCCCAATGTTTATGTGTAAACATGAAGTAAATAACTGTTAAATACATCAGGTATTTGCAAAAAATAGCTTCTTCCCAATATATGATCCAAACAGCAAAATATCTTTTTGACTATAAAACTGGTGTCAAATAATTGAAACTTCATTTAAAAAAAATGAGTCAAAAACACTTTTCGGTCAAGTTAATTGAGTTCAGATACCAGGCACGTGAATGTAAGTGAATTTTTTTTTTTTTTTTTTTTTTTGCCTCGCATTTGAACAAATGTATTCATTTTCTCATTGTTCATAACAGAGCTGTAATCCAATGTAACCTGTCTTTTCTTGTTGTTAAGTATATGTTGGGAATGAAGATTTCAGAAGTATTCCCTAACTCCAACCTGAAAAACCTGGTGTTAGTCTTGGGTGATTTCCAGTGACCCTGTGACTCCCTCCTTCCTGCCCCCTGTGTAGATTTGGAACTGGGCAGCCATTTTTGTTTTTGGAAGGGAAAGGAGACAGATATAATGAATGACTTTTATTGTGCAATATTTCAAACTCTCTTGAATGCATTCGAAGGGGATGGAAACTGTTCTGCCCTATGTCATAGCCAAAACAAACAAAACATATTCCCTAAACCTGGATGTGTGTTTCTCTCAAGCTGGCAGTAGTTAGAGCTCAGCTCTCAAACAAGAATTTGGTTTGACAATTTTTAGCCCTTGTTCAACTGACTATTTAGGATAGGTCACAGCCAAAGTAAATACTGTGGGGAAAAATTAATATACATATTTACAGCTTGCAGGTCGCATTTTTTTCTTAAATGTTAGATATTTATCTCAAGGAATTGCATTTGTGGTAATACTTTTAAATAGACTGCTTTTTTGCTAATACTTCTTAAATGAACTTCTCTCCAATAATAGTGACTCCAAATGTAAATACATTCTACAGAGGTCCCTAAAGAGTGATAAATTGTTGAGTTTAAGTATTTAAACACTAAGCATCTGAGAATTCTAAGACTATCAGACCCAGCAAATATGCAGTAAAACCCCCTTGATGATCGCCTGCTCTGGCCTCTACAGAATCTGTAGTGAGCATTGACTCCTTTATGATGACCTCCAATGCCTCTCCCTGACTCCAGCCACCCCCACTTAGTTGTTAGAGTTCCACCCTTTGGATCTGTGGGGAGAAGTCATTTTGCACAATCAAGATAATTCATTTTGTAATGCACCATCCTGCTTCATGACCCTGGCAAATTTATTAGTCACAATAATTTTGAATTTATGGTCATAGATGACCAACAACAGGCTCTTGGTTTCTGCCTTAACCAAGACGTGCTGGAAATGCAAACGTTAAAGCCAGGCAACGTGTGTCTCAAAGTGATAGCACAGACTCAATCCACCTCTCTGGCTAGAAGACCTCTCTGGTTTGAAAAACAGAATTCTGACTTCCACCAAGTATTCTGTTGAACAGTATCAGACATCAGTGGGAATGGAAATGAGCCAGTGGATAACTCTGTTGCCCATGACCTTTTTATATAACACACTACAGGTAAAGCGCTGCCTGCATCCTGCACTTCAGTTAGAAACAGGGATTGTGGAGTCCAGTTCTGTTCCTTCAACTAGCCTGACCAGCATGGTCTGGACATAAATCACTTTCAGGAATAACTGCTTCATTTTTTGCGGTATGTGTAATTGGCAGATGAGTCGGTATTGCTGAGGTCTCCGGCTCTCAGACTGTCAAGAGGCCAATGTGAGTGGAAGATTCAAAGGGGTTGGGGATACAAACTTCCTGGGAAGAAAGGAGGCTCTTATTTTTCACTTGCAAGTGTTGCTTTAAATTCTTCATATTCAAACTTAACCCATTTTATTTTTAGAGTTAAAAATCATGTACCTTTTCCAATTGAATCGGGGTCTCCATTGTGGCTTCCTTTCTCCTCAGAGAGAAACAAACAACCCAGCTTTCCTTTGAATAAGTCGCCTAAGTCACCATTTGCACGCATGACCTTTCAGCTAGCCTTTCGCCTTCTTGTTTTTTTGTTGTTTTTCTTGTTCATCCACATTATAGTAAATCACATAGAGCATCCTATGGTATTGTCATGCATCCTTATAGAAGCACAAAGCAAGATGTATTTTTGTTCCTGTCTCGTAAATAAGTTGAGTAAAAGGGAAGTGACTTCTCTGTTGGCAGCGCACAATGATAAAACCTGGAAGACAGTGGCCTTCTATACTCAGCCTGTGGTTTATTTTCCTCCTGCTGCCTCCTCCTTCCTCTGGCTTAAGGCAGTAAGGCCACTTGTTGACTGTTCCTGTAAGACTTTCTAGAATCTCTAGAAAGTTGCATCTGTTTTCTTAAAACTAAGTGAATGATGAGTGTTGACTTACCTTTACCTTTCTAACCTAATTTGTTTATGAAGAGGGCACAGGGAGGAGGGAAAAAGCTGGGGGCCATACGACCTAAACCAGAAACTCAGGCTGCATCTGCATTTAGAAACCACACTTTGAACAAGCAGCATTCTGGACTCAGCCATGAACCATTCAGACTCAGTCCTGAGGCCTGTGCCAGCGTCCGGCAGCCGTCCTGTGAGTGTCTGCGTGGATTTATATCTTGCCTTTCTCCAAGAGAGGAAACAGTTCTAGGCCTATCCCAAACACTTCTGAA